GAGGAATTGACCAAGCTTTTGGGTGATGTTACCATTGCTCAAGGTGGTGTTTTGCCAAACATCCACCAAAACTTGCTGCCAAAGAAATCTGCCAAGTCAAAGGCTTCTCAAGAATTGTAAGCTGTTTAAGATCTTTTGAAAATTGGGTTGGCTGGTGTTTGTGATTAGGATTCAATGTCCGCTATTGTATATTAGTTTACATAACGGTTTTTTTAGCTTATGTGATTGGGCAAATTTAATGTCAATAAAACGGATTGAGTAGCTTTGTTTTGGATCAACAGGTGAATGTTTTGAAAGTTCTGGTTTGAGGGGTGTCTGGATTGGAAGGGGCGTATTTTCCCCCGCAAAAAGTGGATTAATCCGGAAAAGAGATTCTGGCTACAACACTTATTTCGTAGTAGGTCTTGTTTTAAATTGGACTTCGCGTTCTCTTCTTGTTCTTCCCTTGATTCCGATTTTTCCCGTGAACTAGCCGAATTAATCTTGGAATTATCAAAATGCCTGTCAGAAGTATCATCAAGTTTCTCAGAAACCAATACCAGTCCATCCTAAAAAGATTTGGCAACAGCGAGAAATCTGCTCCAGTCCCTGTTGAGGAGTCAACAGATGTTGGCGACGGAAATGCCGCTGAAGAGGAGGTCCAGGAAGTTGGATCTCCTGGCTCTTAAGCAAACATATGCTTCAAGCGCTCCGGTGACCATTTGCTTTCTTCCACCGGTGTTGCGCGTCATTTTTTTCAAAACTCTCTTGTTGGGTCACAAGTGAAGCTGCTTTTCCTTCTATCTTCTGTGTCTTTCATGATGTGCTTTCTTGAGTCGTTTATAACCAATACACATGATTAATTCTTCATATACAAGTCTGGGTAGATTCACTCCATTTCGACGTCTTTTTTCTTGTCTATCAAGTCCCAGACCTTCAAGACACCATCACGAGACACCGAGACAAGGGCAACACCATTATCAAATGCATCAACTTGCAAAACAGGGCAATTACTATCAGAGTCTTCATCGCCTCCATTCAAAACACTCAGTATATCCTTGGATTGCACGTCCCAAATGTAAATCTTGCCGGAGTCAGATCCTGACACCACCAAGGGCTGCGACTGGCCGTCTAACAAGAGGAATCTTGTTCCACAAGTATATTTTTCGGCGATAGGTTCTTTATCAGCTGTAAAAGTCTTTGCCACTTTGTTATTCATATAATCCCACAATCTGATGCTTCCGTCTAGAGAACTAGCCAGAACGTACTTGCCGTTTGGTGAGAACCTAACATAGGAAACCGGCGACGAAGACCCACCTCTATCATAAATCAAAGTTTTCAGACATTGGCCTGTTTCTGTATCAAATATTCGTCTTTATGGCGGTTGTTAGCATCGCGATCTCCTGTATTTGTGGAAAAAAATTCAAAAGTTAACTCACATTTGACCATCGTAACTAGCGGAGGCTATCATGGTGCCGTCCCAACACAGATCGATACTGGAAATCGGATCCGAATGAGCACTCAATGTCTTCAAACACTTTCCTCGTTGAATGTCCCAAACTCTTATCGCTTCGTCAGAGCTTCCACTAATCAATATATTGCCCTTGGGACTGAACTCCACACACGTGATGTGGTACGTGTGTCCACGCAGCTCTTTAAGGCAGGCCCCAAATTCGACTGACCAGATCCTAATGCTCATATCGTCAGATGCTGATGCTATATAGGAGCTATCGGGCGACCAACATAATTCGGATACTCCTCGCGTGTGGCCCTCGAACTTTCGCACGTAGTTTCCGGTGGCCGCTTCCCAGAGTCTTACCGTTTTGTCGGATGCTGGAGTTGAGAGTTAGCTAAAACTATCTACTTTAATGAACCTTGAAAGCCAAAGGATCTTTCCAGTTACTCACATGCAGTGGCTATGTATTGGCCGTTGGGACTGATCTTCGCAGTGGATACCAAATCATCGTGTATTTTGGGCAACTGAAAGCGCAACTTGTAGATTTCAGTATTCCGCGTGGATATTCTATCCTCCGTGGGCATTGTGATGCTTTGAAAACCTTGAATGTTTGGCTAAAGTAGTGCTGTTTGGCTCTCTGTGTTTGGTGCAATACTTGAAAGAGGTGGGCATCGCCAATAGTTTCCCAAGGTCGCGATAGCGCCACGCAAATTCATTTGGCCGATATCAAAATTCATTTGGCCGAGGGCTCACTACGACAACCTCTTTTAGAGATTATTTCTTGCTTATTCAAGCCAAACCTGTCTACTTATTATATTTCCATTATTTAGCTAGAAACCAATTTGCTCACCTGCTCGTAGCCTGGTATCGCTTCCGCGGCACCTTTACCCTGTACGGTTAAAGAGGCGGCCGCAGTAGCGAAGACCACTGCCTGGTCAATTGAATCACCGTTGGCAAGTCTAACTGTAACTGCTCCCAGAAACGTGTCTCCAGCACCAGTGGTGTCTATGATTTGCTTTTTGGAAAGCTCCATGGCTGGAAAATGCTGGCCCTCTGGAAAGGCATCTGACACCACGAGAGAACCTTCACCACCAAGCGTGATGATAACAGTAGACAATTTGCTCTGGTTCAAAAAGCCCTTCAGGTCTTTCGCAAGCTTAACGAATTTGGATCTTTCTTCCCCAATGTTACCTTCTCTTGCTTCGGTAGAGAAGGCTTTGGCACAGTCCAAAGCCTCAGACTCGTTCACTACCAACACATCAACAGCTCCCAGAACATCAGTGTTCTCAGTATTGAAATCTTTTATCGGCGATGGATTGTACACGACTGTAGCTTCTGGTTCGATTTTTCTGATCAGCTCCAGATGCTTAACCGGATCGGGTTGCTCGTTCTGCAAAATGAAGAATTGATTCTTGTTTGAGCCTATCACCTCTTTCAAAATCTTCTCAGTAACTTCAAGCTTTCCATTGGATCCTGGAATAACCAGAATTCTATTCTCACCTGAATCCTCAACCAAAATAACAGCTGTGCCAGACCTTTCGGCATCGTCAACGAGAACATTCTCAACATCGACCCCAACTGACGAAACATAATCCTTCATTTCTTTTCCAAACAAGTCATTCCCTACTCTTCCAATCATCTTCACTTGTATATTGTTTTTTTGCTCTGGTGACAACAGCTTGCCCACGGCTACAGCTTCGTTGAGGCCCTTACCTCCGTAGTGAGTCTCGAACGATTTTGCATGGATAGTTTCTCCACCACGCGGAACAACCGAGGTATATGTTACTAGATCATAGTTAAGTGAACCAATAACAGTTATAGCCACCATCTTTGGAAACAGAGGGAAAAGAATGATGTAGATAAGAGGAAAAGATCCAAAGTTTGGCAAGCCACTAAGTATGGAGATGAGGTTATCTTTCCTAATTCGGTAATGACCTACAATTCAAACTAACCTGCAATAAGAATCATCTGGGGAAAGTCCAGTTGAACACCCTAAGAAAGATAGAAATGGATATATATTACGTTCTGTTCTGGTGGTTTGGCTATTTAATAGAAGCTTTTAGTCCTCACATGAGTTGCATCTACTAACTTCTCATTCGAAATGGGGGTATCATCGGGGCCAGGAAGGTTCGTAGTAGATCTACTTAACAACGCCCACGCAGAGTCAGCAGGTACTCGGAGTACGAATGATTCGAAGTTTTATGGAAAAGTCTTTGGAGGATTGTTTGGGGGATTGGCTCTCTTCGTAGTGATCTGTTGTATGTGGTCACTATGTTGCGGAAAAGGGTCGGAGAGGGACCGAGAAATGAGAAGGGAAAGAGAATCGAATGCTGGGCACGGGTCAAACAACAGCTCAAACAACAGCTCAAACAACAAACTAGCAAGTTGGCCAGTGAGAAGGCCAGAGCCTATTCTGCGCGCTCCACCGTCATATACCAGTCAATTACCGCCATATTCTGCCGAGGACCCCGTCAACCAGATCAACGAGATTAACCCTGCCGAACCACAGCAACCCTTAGAACCCTTGGAACCTCCAAAGAAAGCTGCTACTAAATAATTGTTACGGTAGGAAAGCATCATCGTTTACATCGTCTTCGTCGCCATGGGCGAGATGTCGCAGATTTCTGTCTACTAGTTAATCAATATTCTTATAATAATTCCAATATTCCACTGTTCAAAGTCTGTAAGGAGTTAAGGCCTCTTTCGAAAAAAGATCTTTGTTTCCATCATCCAAAGAAGGGTCTAGAAACAAAATGGGATCAGCGGAATCGACGTGACCGCACCATGGCTCAGAAATGGCATAGCCCAATCTTTTCTGCCATTTAGTAGGAAATGATTTCGCCATTTCCATGGGAACACCCAGATATTGGTTCTCCTCTTGACGATAATATCCCTTCGTGGTAAATACACCAACAACCAAACGCTCCTCGTCTTTGGTTGTGTTCTTACTTCCTCCGTGGTAGCAAGAACCAAGCATGAAAAAACCATCACCAGGATTCATCTCTGCATAATAAGCGAGATGGTCAGATGGCTCTCTATCCTTTCCCCACAGATGGGAGCCAGGAATAAATCTGGTAGCACCGTTTTCCTTGGTAGTCTTCTTGACCGCAAAGAAGTAACCAAGCAGGGTTTCTCTTTCTTGCAAGTCCTCCGGGTAAGTATCAATTTCTTTGAGGTTATTGTGATGGCAATGGTCATCTCTGTGCAAAGGCTGGTCTTCCTTACAAGGGTTGACGGAGAAAGCAATGCAGGTGTTCAATTGAGGCGAGCTCTTACCCCATTGTTTCATATCACCGTACCAGTACCAATTGACCTCTGCAAGAAACGCGTCACTCAGCTCCCAGAGCAAATCGTCTCCCAAAGTTACTTGCGCTGCAATTCTGGATTTTCCAACGAGAACACTGCATCTCCTGGTTTCTGTGGGGAAAAACCCACCGTCCCAGTCAGAATCATTCGAGATCAGTGGGCGGATTTCAGCCTCCAGCTCTTTCATCAGTTCAGGCGAATGCATGCCTTCTACAATCACACCACCAGCAACGGTCAAGGCCTTGACCAACTCTCTTACAGGAGTACCAAAAGGAAATCTTTTGACCTCTGGGAGATCCTCTGGCTTGATATCAGCAGTTCTAGGTGGCAGGGACACGGTCATTGCAGTCGATTCAGGAATCAAAAATCCAATTAATTGTGACTATAATCGAAGCCGTTGCTACTTCTTTACTCTCTTGATTAACACTTAACGGGGGTTATATAGATTCCTGGTCATAGATAGTGTTTTACCTGATTGAGAAGGATGCCCGCGGGTTTCCGAATCGGGAAATTTTTCATGATCTTATCTCTATGTACCAATCCAGTAAGTCGCATGCGGGAAGACCTTCTTAGCTGGGGAATTTGAAAGCTTTTGTTAATCGGTGAGATTCAAACGTCTTTCAATTGCTTGAATGGATTCCGATTTGGGATATTGGAGATGGCGTAGGTGATGGGTTTCGGGGTTTATTCTCTGTGGTCTCATCTCCGGGGGGAGGTGATCATCAGCCTTCCAGTGTGTCCCCAAACGTGAATAAATGGTGGAAAGTTCTCTGTGAAGATTAGGCTTTTGAAATTATGTGTATGTCCTTTTTGTATATTAGAAGACCAATTTCAGTAAAAAATTAACATTGGAGGTTACAGTTGTAGTGCTGTCAATTTGATGTATTTTTCAGAATTCTAGTAATCTTCAAAAATTACAGATTTATTCTGAATTCAATCCGAGGGCTCTTTAGAAAAAAAAAGATAAAATAGTGAATCAAAAAAACAAGAGATCAAGATATTTACACACAAATGAAAACAAATGAGAACAAAAACGTTCAAGATGCAGAGGAACATTCGGGAATAAACAATCATTGAATATACCAGAACACATACCAACAGAGAGTCCGATTCATACTGACTATGCACTCTGAGCCACTCCAGAAGCCAGGCTTTCAACGAGCGTCCGTCTCATAAAACGCTGATTCAAATATGGCTCTGATTCTGCACAATTCTGCATAAAAATGGTGTTTATGCTGTGTTCATTGGTTAAAAAAAAGCTTTACCTCAAGACTCTATCTATAGGCCCAAAAGTGTCAACCCTGATAAGCGGATAAAGAGATGAGGAGGCTAGGAGTGAAATTTGGCCTTATTTTGAAAACCCATCGGATCAATCATCCGTGACTTATTCCTTTGTCCATCCCGCTCCATCTTTACATGGACTAAGTTTCTCGCCCTTTTTCTGCTACCACAATATTCACAATGTCAGCTCTACCCATCGTGGCAAAGGCTGCTGGTTGGATATACACTCTTGCTTGGGGTATTGGCTTCTACCCCCCACTGCTCACCAACATCAAGCTGTGGAGTATCCAGGGACTGTCCATGGACTTCATCTATTTCAACCACTTTGGCTATGTTCTATACACCATATACTATGGAATGCTCAGATTCAATTCTTGCGTGAGACAGCAATATTCAGACAGATACACTCTGCCTTCCGACCCTTCTCCCAGAATGCCTTTGATCAAGACCAACGACTTTCTGTTCGCTTTACACGGTTTGTGTGTGCAATCAGTGTTGATATCACAAGCGTATTGGTGGGGATTTGCTAAAAACGATAACCAAATTGTTTCTAAGACTTGCAAGAGGGCAATTTCTTCGGTGGTGCTGTACGGTGTTGGTATGGGTTTGTACGTCTACCACACTGGAGGTGATAATCCCATTGGATGGGAATGGCTGGATCTATTCACGTCTTTGGGACTGTTAAAGATTGCAATGAGTGTCTGCAAGAACATTCCTCAGATTTACTACAATTATAAGAGAAAATCCACTCATGGATGGCCAATTGTGATGATCTGGCTGGACTGTGTAGGTGCAGTTCTATCATTAACTCAGTTAGTGATAGACGCAATTGAGGTTGGCGATCTCAAATCGGTGTTCAACAACTTGCCTAAGTTCTTGTTGAGTGTGGAAGCCAGTCTGGCCGATATTGTGTTTTTTCTGCAGCATTATTATTGGTATTACAATGCAGATGTTCAGAGGTACGGAGACTACAAGGCAGGGTTGGCTGAAGACGAACAGTTTCTGGAAGAGCATAGACACGATCACGATCATTTATTGGAAAATGAGGAAACGGGCACTAGTCAGGAGCAAGTTTGCAGTGTGAAGTCCACTGATGAGGGAGAAATGCAGCGGTTGTTGATTTAGGTGAAAAATTATGGTTAGAACGTCAGGAGACAGACAGATGAATGTTATAGGATAATAGAAACCCCTTATTTAGATTAGTCTTGATCAATATTGCGCTGATGATTAGGAATGCGGTAACCAATTAAACTTAATTGAGATCCTCTTCAGAATCCTCTACTAGACTTCCAGAGTGTAAAAAGAGTTACTAGGAGATACTAAATAGTCACAGATAGCAAAAGAAATGAACTTGGTGATGGCAGCAATGACGAAAAGTTCCAGCATTAGCCCCATGGTTGGACAGTCATGATTCAAGAGTAAACATAATTACTGGACACCAATCACTGAAAGCTCCAGAGTCCACACTCTTCTTATATGAACCTTCACGACTGTCTTGGCCAATAGATTGCCCTCAGAATCCTTCAGACCCAAGTGGCTGAGATCAACCTCGATCTCCTCGTTGGACCACCAACACTTTCTTGCCGGCTTTTTCCAGAAAAGAAGCAATTTGGTCGCGGTCGTGTTGGTGTCTCTCTTCTGCGATCTGTTTCTAGAAACTGAACGCGAGGCATTTCTCACGGCATTGTGAGCAAACGTAGACAGTCTGGACCTGCCTGGGTTTCCCGAAGAAGAGGCTGAAGTCGTAGGTCTGAGACTAGGAGAATCCTGAGGCGTGACCTCCTCAACCTGTTGTTTGAGACGAACCAGCGCCAGTGAGAAAATAACCGTCTTACCAGGCTCCATGGATCTATGGCCCCAGTCACCAGTGACTGAAAAGCCAGAGGAACACAGCATGTCTAGCAGATGCTGCTCAGCAGGTCCCAACTGCTTACCTGGCGAATACCCCAAGCCGTCGAACAGCCGTGGGTTTTGCACCAACTCATCACCGACCAGCAGCTTCAGTTCCTTCATCTGATCAACAGTGAAACCCTTGATGGGAGGAATGCAATAGTAGTCTAAGTCTTCTCTCAGAACAATGATAGATGGCTTGTCGTTCAATACATCAGTATCGTTCAGATCGTAGACATCGTGCCTGTTACTGGGAGACAGCTCCAAGGCAGCAGAGTTGAAGGAATCGCAGATATACCGAAAACACTCAGGTGAGAAGTTCACATAAACTATGTCGTCCTCGGTCAAGTTCGATATCACGTTCCCGTCTATATCAACAAAAACACCATTCGGAAACAAACAAAGCAAAATGCTTTCAGGCAGCGCCATCAACTCGTCTCTCGTGATGGTGAACGGATGGCCTCTAATGTTGAGCTTTATTTCTGTGTTATACTCATCAACCTCGTCTCCCTGGATAGCCTGGCTATCGTAGCTGCTGTTATCAAATGCAACAGCTGACATGGCAAGAAACAAGAATCTTTTATGAAACTCAAACAAATCACTCTATAATAAAAGAATCCAGTGGTCCTTCTATCCGCGTACAACCGGGATGCAAGTCACCAACCAAAACAATCAGTCAGGAATCCAGCAAGCCAAGAAAAACACAGAGGTCAAACTTCCGGTCTTGTTTCGATAATAAATGAAAGATATGTAACGATGTAGTTGGCGCTTCTTGTTAGTGCGATAAAATGTCTCAGTCATTTCTCACGGCTCAGAGGCTGTTTGTTAAAAAAGTAGTGCGATAAGTAATTAAGGATATAGTTGCCGTAACCGGGTTGGCCGTGGACTATTATGGAGATGTGAACATTAATAGTCTACAGATGAACATATGCTAGGTTCTATGATTTTGATAATTACCGAACTATAATAAATGTGAACTAAACGTAACCATATTCACTCACTGTTTTGTCAAGTGGAGGGCTCCGAAGAGGTAGCAGCATCACAGCATCAACCTAACTATAGATACCCAAGTCAGAACCTACAGGAATAGGCCTGTCTCCATAAACCCCAGACCAGGATTTCGGCCTCAACCATGTACGTCTCGTGTCTATCTCCAAAAGTGCCGCAATCTTATTGGTCAACTCTTCTGCATCTCCAAAGTTGTCTCCCTCATACACGAACTCAGATACCAAGGTGGTAGGAATAGTAGCGTCAGTTCCCGCGCCCAGTTTGGAAGAAATCGACTCATCACCTGACATCGGTAACGAGTTTGGAAACTTGGCTCTGAGCAAATTGGAAACGTCCACTTCACTCTCTGTAGGCTTCAGAGTTCCTAAGCTCTTCTGGCCAGGGTCCTCCAAAAGCGTCACCAAAGCGTTGGAAAACTTAGAAATATCGCCTGGCGAATTCACAACACTAATGTTGGACTTATCGTCAATATTCAGGAATCCTAGTCTTGAAGTAAGGCTGTTTGACCAGGTTTCAAACTTGTTGGAGGTGGTGGCATCTCCTTTCAAACCGGCGTCTTTGGAGTGCACAACCATCAGTTCGGAGAACCCGACACTGTAGATGAATGGAATGATCAGAGTCTTCAAAAACTGGCCACTGCAATTGGGCAATATAGGAGAACGCTGTTGAATCACAGTGAGCTTCAAGGACTCGCTGAAGTATACCTCCAAAGCTGTAGAAAGCCCTGCGACGGGTGCCAACTTAGACTCCACATAATCAACGGCTGATACAAAAGGATATAACGAGGAGTCGTCCAGATATCCAACGGATTTGAGCTCGCAATTGTGGATCAGTAGATCAATCGACAGCTGGGGGATGTTGCCTATGGAAACACTCGGTATCACCAACACAGAATTTTGCAGAGAGTTGAGCACCTCAACTGGATTGCGTCCAGATACGCAATGAAATGTCATTTTTGTAAAAATACAAAGTGAATATTGAGGGCTAAATAGACTACCTCTCTTCGTTGCTTGTTCTCTCCACAGCCACCGCCATCTGTCTGCCATTTTGTATCGGCTAGGATTTCTGCCATTTACTGTCGGTTGAGATGCCAAGTATATTGTGCATAAAAAAAAATTGTGCCATCTTTCAGCCCGCTAAGTTCGAACTATTTAGTAGCACAGAATTTGATATCAAGACCGAAAATGACTGTGGGAGTTCTAGAGAACGAAGTTGATGAGAATACCAGTTTGGAGAAGCTGAGAGATGCTCTGGTGAACAAAAGCGGCGAGGTCAAATTGGCAGACCGTTTCAGAGCCTTGTTCTATCTTAAGTCCATTGGCGCTGAGTTCGCCGAAAAACCAGAAGACGCATACAAGGCCATTGTATACATTGCCGAATGCTTCAAGGACGAGTCTGAGTTGCTGAAACACGAAGTTGCTTACGTTCTGGGACAAACCAAGAACCTTCAAGCTGCCCCAGTACTAAGAGATGTCCTGATCAATACCAACCAACAATGTATGGTCAGACACGAGGCTGCAGAGGCACTTGGAGCTCTTGGGGATGATGATTCACTGGAACTGCTCGAAAAGTACTTTGCAGACGAAACCGAGCTCGTGGAGATCCGTCAAACTTGTGAGCTCGCTATTGAAAGGATAAAGTGGGAAAACAGCAAGTCAGCAGCCACAGAGAATCTGCAGACTTCTTTATATGAGTCTATTGATCCCGCTCCTCCAATGCCTCTGGATGCTAAAAATGCAGAAAAAATCTCTGTCCTTCAGGAAACTCTCAACGACCAGGCAAAGCCTCTGTTTGAGAGGTACAGGGCCATGTTCAGACTCAGAGACATCGGAACTGATGCAGCAGCTCTTGCACTTGCATCTGGATTCAGTGATAGTTCAGCTCTTTTCAAGCATGAGATTGCCTATGTTTTTGGACAAATGTGCAATCCTGTGACCGTTCCCTCGCTGATCAAGATCCTCGGTGATAAGTCCGAGGCTGCTATGGTCAGACATGAAGCTGCTGAGGCTCTTGGATCCATCGCCACAGATGAGGTTTTGCCTATTTTGAAGGGTTACTTGAATGACGAAGATACCGTCGTAAGGGACAGTGCGATTGTTGCGTTGGACATGTACGAGTATGAGAACTCTAACGAGATCGAGTATGCTGGAATATGAACGGTAGCAAGCATGATGAATAATAATGAAAGGGTAATATAATTACAAGGAATAAGATTGAGTAGCAATGTGGTATGTCATGAAGTAAGCGTTTTATCCAAAAAGCTGATATAACTACAACCGGAATGTTCAATGGTTTCCTTTCTTATCTTGATGCGAATTCAATAAGTTTGAAATATCTATAATACAAATTTGCTGGGGCATGTTTCCACCAGCTGATCTTCTAGTTGTTCGTTCTGAATCTATAACCGCAGGAAGTGCAGGTGTAGAAAACCGTTGCACCTTCATCTGCAGACCTCAACTGCAGAGTGTGATATTGCATTTCCTCGTTACCACATTGCGGACACTTCTCCTTGATAGTAGCCCCTTCTTCTAGCTCGTTGGACTTCAGCACAGTTTTCACCAGAGAACTCTTGGATTTTAGAATAGAGGGAAATGCATCATCAGCTGTATGGGTGGTTACCTTGAGGTTGGCAAAGTTTTTAGACCCGTATGATTTGCCACACACCTGGCAGTCCAACGTGGGTTTCTGGGTGACAGAATCAAGCAGATTTCCACACTGCGTACAGAAGATCAACGAACCTACCACAGACATATTTTGCAGTGATAATTTGCTTGATAATGAAGCGCAAAAAGTCCAAGACCCGTCCTTGGAGATTTTATTTTTTTTCAGAATGTGTATCACACTACTCAATAGAGCCGCACAAAAAATGACAGAAAAGTTTCTTCAATTTGTAATTGAGTGTTCCACGCATCTTTCGCGAATGTCCAACAGCTGTCGACACGGTTAAGCAAGAAGAACTGCAAGGGCCACCACCAACTGAACCCGATCTCCATATCCGAGAAGTTTTTTATTCCCGAGAATGTCCGGTCAACAGATGATGGAGATGCCCGATCTCTCCAATGCTATTGTAGCACAGGATGAGATGGGAAGACCTTTCATCATTGTGAGAGAGTGAGTGACAAATTGGAGTTACGCGTTTTGCTCAAGTTTGAGTCTTTGAATATTTTTACTAACTAGAGTTCCTTCAATTTAGTCAAGGAAAGAAACAGAGAGCTCATGGTATAGAGGCGGTGAAGTCGCACGTGCTTGCTGCCAGATCAGTGGCGTCCATTCTGAAGACCTCGTTGGGGCCAAGAGGTTTGGATAAGATTTTGATCTCGCCAGACGGAGAAATTAACATCACCAACGATGGAGCCACTATTTTAACCCAGATGGAGCTTTCCAGTGAAATTGCCAAGCTTTTGGTTGAGTTGTCAAAGTCCCAAGATGATGAGATTGGAGATGGTACTACTGGTGTGGTCGTTTTGGCCGGTGCCATGCTTGACCAAGCCCTGGAGCTTATCGACAAAGGTATTCATCCAATCAAGGTGGCGAACGGATTTGATGAAGCAAGCAAAATTGCAGTTGCTCACCTTGACAAGATCGCGGATACCATCTCGATAAACACTTCGGATATCAGCGAGAACCTGACCAGTGACTCCGAGCTTTTCAAGGCTGCAAAGACCTCTTTGGGTTCGAAGATCGTTTCTAAGACTCATGACAAGTTTGCAAGGATGGCAGTTGAGGCCGTCTTGAGTGTGGTTGACTTTGAGAGAAAAGATGTTGATTTCGAACTCATCAAGATAGAAGGCAAGGTCGGTGGATCTCTGGAGGATTCCAAGCTTATCAAGGGTGTTGTAATCGACAAGGATTTTTCACATCCTCAGATGCCCAAGGAGATACGAGACGTCAAAGTTGCAATTTTGACATGTCCATTTGAGCCCCCAAAGCCAAAGACAAAACACAAGTTGGATATCTCGACGGTGGAGGAGTTCAAGTCCTTGCAGACCTACGAGCAGGATAAATTCAAGGAGATGATCAAATACGTCAAGGACTCAGGTGCGAATCTAGTAGCTTGCCAATGGGGTTTTGATGATGAAGCCAACCATTTGTTGTTGCAAAACGACCTGCCTGCTATCAGATGGGTTGGTGGTCCAGAGCTGGAGCTTTTGGCCATTGCTACCAACGGAAGAATTGTTCCTCGTTTCGAGGACCTCACTCCCGAGAAACTCGGAACCGCCGGTAAGGTCACCGAGCTTGAGTTTGGAACCACCAGAGACCACATGTTGGTGGTTGAGGAATGTGCCAATGTCAAGGCTGTTACTGCATTCCTTAGAGGCTCCAACAAGATGATCGTGGATGAGGGAATCAGAGCCTTGCATGATTCTTTGTGTGTGGTCCGTAACTTGATCCGTGATAACCGTGTTGTGTACGGAGGTGGAGCTGCTGAGATTGCGTGTTCTATTGCGGTTGCTGCTGAAGCTGACAAACAGAAGGGTATTGACCAATATGCGTTCCGTGCTTTTGCCCAGGCCCTCGATGTCATTCCATTGTCATTGGCTGAAAACTCTGGTCTAGACCCAATTGACACTCTCACTTCCTTGAAGTCGAAGCAGGTGAATGAATCCAATAACAATCTGGGTGTTGACTGTCTTGGAGCTAACAATAACGACATGAAGGAGTTGTTCGTTATAGATCCATTGATTGGCAAGAAGCAGCAGTTGTTGCTTGCCACGCAATTGACCAGGATGATCTTGAAGATCAACGATGTCATTATCAGTGGTAAGGATGAGTACTAGTTAATGTTGAGTGAATATAAACTACAATCAAGCTGTGAGTAAGTGATGGAGTGTAGACCATTTCAAATCTGAAACCTAAATCAGCCGGCTGTCAGCTGAAAAAGAGCAAGGTTATTTCCATTTATGCGGTTTCCCCTTGGGTACCAGAGTGTAAAAGAATTCCCAGAGACCATATCACAACAGTTCATGGCTCAGAGGGAAGTGAAATATTTCACAACATGTAGCTTGGACTGGACTTTTCAATATCAACATGAGAAAAATTGTGCTGTGCACACCATATCGCCAGTGCTCCTATCCGTGGTGATCCCAAGGGGGAACTCGGTTGAACTGTCAGTATCTACAACCAGACCCGATTTGCCAGCTCAATTCATTTCCAGTTTCCAATTGGTTTGATTAAAAGAAAACATTTGGGTGGATATTTTGGAGCACGTCAAATTCAAACAATATGAGCATGAACACACCGGCAGTTGTCATGGGTAAGTAGCGGATGAAGGAGCCGTTGGCTTGTTTGAAACTTCGGGCCAAATCAAGCCAAATTGCTTCAATTATTCGAGAAAGCGTACTAACAATCGATTTTATAGACAAGTAAGTTACTCGTGTGAGATTGGCGAATGATTAAGGCTGGTATTGCTGATACAGCCAGATCTACCTCCACATCTATCAGCCTAGGAACATCTACTAACTACAGTGACAGCGGTACGGGGCTGACCAAATTGGGATTTGCCGGAAACGATGCGCCATCGTGGGTTTTCCCGACAGCAATTTCCACAAGGGCTGCGGGATCGTCCACTGGTAAACCAGCAGCTCCTTCCAAGCCATCCTTTCTGAGTGGTTCGTCGGCATCCAAGGCAAGTCTGGGTGGAAACCTGTCTATCAAAAGAGGAATGGAAGATCTGGACTTCTACATCGGAGACGAAGCTTTAGAGGCCGCTAAGGGTCCTTCGTATTCGTTGAGTTATCCAATTAGACACGGACAAATTGAAAACTGGGATCACATGGAACGGTTCTGGGAAAACTCCATTTTCAAATATCTCAAGTGCGAGCCTGAGGATCACTACTTCTTGCTAACTGAGCCACCTTTGAATCCTCCAGAAAACAGAGAGAACACGGCCGAGATTATGTTTGAATCATTCAACTGTGCCGGTCTATATATCGCTGTTCAGGCAGTGCTTGCTCTAGCAGCATCCTGGACTTCTTCCAAGACTCAGGACAGGTCTCTGACTGGTACGGTAATCGACTCCGGTGATGGTGTCACTCACGTAATTCCCGTTGCAGAGGGATACGTGATTGGTTCTGCGATCAAGAATATCCCCATTGCAGGTAGAGATATCACACTGTTCATCCAGTCGTTACTCAGGGACAGGGGAGAACCAGATACTTCTCTGAGAACAGCCGAGAAGATCAAGCAGCAATTCTGCTACGTGTGCCCAGACATAGTGAAAGAGTTCAACAAATTTGACACTCACCCAGAACAGTTTGCAAAGTATATGGTGGAGACCGTCAACAAGTCCAAGCACATAGAGGTTGATGTTGGATACGAAAGATTTTTGGCCCCAGAGATCTTTTTCAACCCGGAGATCGCCAGCTCGGATTATTTGACACCTCTACCAGAAACTGTCGACACGGTGATTCAATCTTCTCCTATTGATGTGAGAAAGAATCTTTACAAAAACATTGTTCTTTCGGGTGGTTCCACCATGTTCAAGGACTTTGGCAGAAGACTCCAGAGAGATCTGAAATCGATTGTCAACGACAGAGTCGCACAGAGTGAAAGACTCAGTGGAGCCAAGTCGAGTGGTGTTTCAGTCCAGGTTATCAGTCATAAAAGACAGAAGAACGCTGTGTGGTTCGGTGGTTCTTTGCTCGCTGGTACTAGTGAGTTCAAGAGCTACTGTCATACCAAGCAGGACTACGATGAATATGGGCCCAACATCGTTAGAAACTTTTCCCTTTTCGGCGTTCTTTGAAGAAGATGGAAAAAAGTTAAATAAATGGCCTTTCAGGTTTGTAAACGATAACTCAATTGAAGTCACATCAATTGCCATTATGGTCAAGTGTCGTGAGATGGATTTTTCAGTCTCTGTCCAGAATACTAGATAGTAGTGCAAGGGCTAAAGTTTATCGGCACCACCCTTAACACATATTCCAAGGTGGTGATAGATACCAAAGGAGTCAGTACTCCCCCAAATCCCGGTCTTAGAGCTCGGACAATCTGCCGGTTTTTGCAAATTCATTGATTGAGACAGACGCCATCTGATTGGTATACCTACTCTCTTCTGGTGACACAAGGGATCAATCGCAAGATGTCATCGCAACAGTCAACAGACAACCTGACTCTGAACTATATCTTTGCGGGACTTGGATCGAAAAACCCAATCAAAAGACAAAAAGCAGCAAGGAGCCTAAAAGATCACCTTATATCTATCTCAAGAGACTTTGTATCTTCCGAACAATGGTCGTTGTACAATAGTGACATTAACAAGAGGGTGTTTGAGCTCATTCACAGCCCGAATGCCACTGAACAGATGGGTGGTGTTGAGGCCATCAACGCCCTATTGGATCTAATAACGAATCCTGTGAGTGGCATAAGCATTTCTCAGAATTCGGCTGCTTCTCTGGAAGAAAACACCAGTACTATCACCAGATATGCCAATTATCTAAGACGGCTGATACCTTCCAATGACCTGGAAGTGATGAAAAGTGCCACCAAAACCTTAGGAAAACTGGCTATTCCAGGAGGAAGTCTGACGGGTGATTTTGTGGAGTTTGAGATCAAAAGATCCATTGAATGGCTGGTGAGCGACAAACAGGAAGTGAGGAGACATGCTGCAGTCCTGACCATTAGTGCTCTCGCGTACAATTCCCCAACGTCCATGTTCCAGTATTTGAAAGACATCCTTGGAAATATCTGGATTGCGTTAAGAGACCCCAAACTGGCTATCAGAGAAGACGCCGGAGTGTGTCTGAGATACTGTTTGAGACTGGCATACGAAAGAGATAATCAAATGAGGGCCCACTGGTTCACCAAGCTTTACAGCGAAGCATCCCAAGGAGTGAAATCTATTGGAACCAACTCAAGTACAGTAGCAGCCACTACTGAAACAGTGCATGGATCGTTGATCTGTTTTCACGAGCTCATATTTCTGGGAACGGAGGTACTGGCCCCAAAGGTAGACGACTTATACGAGATCCTCATGAGACTCAAAGACCACAAATCTCAGGAGGTGAGGAAGGAGGTTACTGTCATAATACCCATACTTGCAAACTATGATCGAACCAAATTTGTTGAAAAGTTCATGCATCGCATCATGCTATACTTCCTCTCCCAGCTAACGCACGGCAAAGATCGTGTCTTCATCCTCAGAAGTGTGGGTGATATCGCGACCGAAGTCAAGAGTAACATTGTTAGTTATCTCGACGGTGGCATTCTTGCCAACATCAAAGATGCTCTTTCGACAAAAGTGCCAAAAGCTCGCAAGGAGCTTGAGCCAGCATGTTTCTACTGCCTCTCGAAACTGGCAATTGCCATTGGCACTCCGTTGACAAAGTTCATTAACAACTATCAGATTCTCAAATTGGTGTTCAAATCTTCCATCAATGACAGCATGCTTGAGCTGCTCCGAATCCTGATCGAGAATCTCCCATCTTTAGAGCCTGTTATAGACGAGAGACTCCTAAACGTTGTCAGCATGTGTTTGAGTGGTTATGAGTTCAAGCATCCTGGATCACCGGATTTTAAAAGGGCCATGAGCCCTTCTTTGGCATACTCTTTCCGTCAAACAATGCTTCAAAAAGACGGCGGAATGATCTCCGTTAATACGGTTTTGAGGGTAGAAAGTGAGATAAGTTCGGATGAATTATCCCTTGCTTCTGCTTATGAAGATGGCGATGTGGCTGTGATTCTACAGGCATTGAAAGCTCTCAACTTCTTTGACTTCAGAAACTACTCTTTGACAGAGTTTGTTCGCTACTCCGTGATTACCTACATAGAACATGACAATCCAGAGGTGAGACTGAAGTCTGCGTTGACCTCTTGCGCGATATTCTTGAAAGATCCAATATGTCTTCAGAGCAGCGAAAGATCGTTACGTGCAGTCGGGGAAGTCCTGGATAAACTGTTGACTCTGTGTATTACTGACCCTGTTCCTGAGATCAGGTTGGAGATGCTGAAGTCTTTGGGAGAGAGGTTTGATCCCCAACTATCGCAGGCTGACAATGTTAGACTTCTGTTTACCTCTCTCAATGATGAGTATTTTGAGATCAGGAAAACGGCAATCAAACTCGTTGGAAGACTATCAGCTATCAATCCTGCCTACATTGTTCCTTCTTTGAGGAAACTTCTGATTCAATTGCTCACCAGCTTGGAGTATGGAGGCACGAGTGCCCGTAAAAAGGAGGAGACAGCTACGCTGTTGCACTTGTTGATTGCCAATTCGCGCGACATCACGAAGCCTTACGTGAAACCTATCCTGGATGTTCTGATACCAAAGGCAAAGGATGAAAGCTCTTCTGTTGCCTCAAGCAGTATCGTTGCCATTGGAGAACTGTCTATTGTGGGTGGTGACGAAATGCTGGTCTTCATTAAGGAGCTGATGCCAATCTTGTTGGACACTTTCCAAGACCAGAGTTCAAGTTATAAAAGAGACGCTGCTCTGAAGACCCTGGGACAACTTTCTGGCTCTTCTGGATACGTTATCCAGCCTTTGCTTGATTATCCTCAGTTGCTGGGAATGTTGGTCAACATTTTGAAATCAGAATCTTCTGCTGTGATAAGAAGGGAAACAGTAAGACTTCTGGGAATCCTCGGAGCTTTAGATCCCTACAAACATCGCGAAGTGGAAAGAAACAGCCAGGATTCTGCTACTGTTGCAGAGCAGAATGCCCCATCCATAGACATGGCACTTTTGATGAAAGGAATGTCACCTTCCAACGAAGAATACTTTCCAACTGTGGTTATTAACACTTTATTGAAGATTCTCAAGGACCCTTCTCTATCGACACATCATCCCGCTGTTATTCAAGCAATAATGCACATCTTCAAGACCTTGGGTACGAAATGTGTCCCATTCTTGAAGCAGGTGATTCCTGGTTTTGCTCGTGTTGCCAGAACATGCCCCCTCTCGATGCTAGAGATCTATTTCCAACAGCTGAGCGACCTGGTGAAGATAGTAAGACTCCATATCAGAAATTATCTGAGTGATATTTTTGCTTTGATCGAAGAGTTTTTTCACCTTCCTATGGTCCAAGTGACGATCATTGGACTTATAGAACAGATATCAAAGGCTTTGGATGGTGAGTTCAAAATGTATATGCTCGATATCATCACTTTGATGCTGGATGTTTTGGAGCAGGATAAGTCTCCCAACAGGTTCCCATCACTGAGAGTGCTAAAAGCATTCGTGGTGTTCGGTAGCAACATTGAGGTTTATTTCCATCTGATAGTTCCTCAGATTGTTCGCATGTTCGAGTTTGGACCCCAGAATTTGAGAAAGGCTGCCATTGGCACTGTTGGAAAGATCTCAAGAGATGTAAATCTCAATGATATGACCTCGAGAATCATCCAGCCCTTATTGCGTGTTTTGAGCAATGGAAACGAGGAATTGAGAGTGGCCACCATGAACACCTTGTGCCTTCTGCTGTTACAACTTGGGAATGAGTTCACGATCTTTGTGCCCGTGATAAACAAAGTACTGGTGAAAAACCGTTTGCAATACCCAATCTACGACCAGCTTGTTGACAAACTGCTTAATGGTGAGACTCTTCCGCAAAACTTGGTGATAGACCAAGACATAGACACTGCGGGTACTGACCACAATGATATTGAGCCAAGTGCAAGGAAACTACCTGTCAACCAACAGGCATTGAAAAATACATGGGATGCTAGCCAGAGACGAACCAAAGAAGACTGGCAGGATTGGATCAGGAGGTTGAGTGTAGAGCTTTTGAAAGAGTCTCCATCTCATGCTCTGAGAGCCTGTGCTGCCTTAGCCAGTGTGTACCATCCATTGGCAAAGGATTTGTTCAATTGCAGTTTTGCAAGTTGCTGGAACGAACTCAACATTCAGAACCAAGGTGAACTAGCACAAGCTTTCTGCGTGGCACTTTCGTCGCCGAATAACCCACCAGAAATCCACCAAACTCTGCTGAATCTCGCAGAATACCTGGAACACGACGAAAAGTCTCTGCCAATCAGGATCCAGATTCTCAGTCAGTATGCCCAACGCAGTCATGTCTATGCCAAAGCCTTACATTACAAGGAATTAGAGTTCATCCAAGAGCCATCCACGCCAACAATTGAGTCTTTGATCAGCATCAACAATCAACTGCAACAGTCAGATGCAGCTATTGGTATTCTGAAATATGCGCAGGAACACCATGGGCTGCAATTGAAGGAGACCTGGTACGAGAAGCTGCAGAGATGGGACGATGCTTTGAGGGCCTACAACGAAAGGGAGCTGGAAGAGCCCAATTCTATGGAAATCACCATGGGTAAAATGCGGTGTCTCCATGCTTTGGGTGAATGGGAGCAACTTTCTGAGCTCGCCCAGGAGAAATGGAACAGTTCTTCTGGAGATATCAGACGAGCAGTTGCACCTTTGGCAGCGGCTGCTTCGTGGGGACTCGGTCAATGGGAGAGGATGCACACGTATATCAGTGTGATGAAACAGGAATCGCCCGATAAGGCTTTTTTCAATGCCATATTATGCCTTCACAAAAACAACTTTGACGAAGCTTCCGATCACATACTCAAGGCCAGAGACTTGCTGGTGACGGAGATCACAGCACTGGTGAGCGAATCATATAACCGTGCATATGGTGTTGTGGTGAGAGTACAAATGTTGGCGGAGCTAGAGGAAATTATCAAGTACAAGTGCTATGCTCCCGGCTCCGAGAAACGCATTGCTATGCGGGCTACCTGGAACAAGAGACTGTTGGGATGCCAGAGAAACGTTGATATTTGGCAGAGAATGCTGAAGGTACGGGCGCTGGTGGTCAAGCCCAAACAGGATATGGAAATGTGGATCAAGTTTGCCAACTTGTGCAGAAAGAGCGGAAGACTTGGGTTGGCTGAAAAATCGTTGAACTCGTTGCTTGACGAGGGAAACGTGGAGAACCACAGACCTTCGCGGGCACCTCCTCACGTGGTTTATGCTCAACTGAAGTACATGTGGGCCAAAGGTCAAAAGCGTGAAGCTCTCAACCACTTGGTGGACTTCACTTCCAAATTGTCTCACGACCTGGGATTGAACGAGAATGAGTCCATCACTCAACCTCTGCCTACAGATGCTCCGGGAGCCCCAGATCACGTGGAGAAGTACACCAAACTGCTGGCAAGATGCTATCTGAAACAGGGCGAATGGAAGGTTGCTCTGAATAACAATTGGCGTAGCGAGGAAGCTGCTGGAATTCTGGGATCCTACTTGCTGGCAACCCATTTCGACAACAAGTGGTACAAGGCATGGCACAACTGGGCTCTGGCCAACTTTGAGGTCATTTCGCCTCAGTCTGGCGGAGAAGAACCTCCCGTGGAAATTGAGAACGGCAGTGGTGACTCGCAGTTTGCTCATATTCTGCACTATGTGTTCCCCGCGATCAAGGGCTTTTTCTACTCCATCTCGCTGTCAGAACTGAATCCACTGCAGGATACGCTGAGGCTTTTGACTCTGTGGTTCAAATTCGGTGGAATTGACGAGGCCGCCAAGGCACTCGCCGAGGGATTCAGCATGGTTAGAATTGATACCTGGTTGAATGTGATTCCGCAGCTGATCTCACGTATCCACCAGCCCAACGTGGTGGTGAGCAGGGCTCTTTTGGGCCTACTGTCCGACCTGGGCAAAGCTCATCCCCAGGCTTTGGTGTATCCGCTCACGGTGGCCATCAAATCCGACAGTGTCTCTAGACAACGTGCAGCCCTCACAATTATCGAGAAAATGCGCGCCCATAGTTCGACTCTGGTTGATCAGGCAGAGCTCGTGAGTAACGAGCTTATCCGTGTGGCGGTGCTGTGGCACGAGATGTGGTACGAGGGGCTGGAGGACGCGTCACGTGCTTATTTTGGAGAGCAGAACATCGAGAAGATGTACGCGACACTAAACCCGTTGCATGCGTTGCTCGAAAGAGGTCCGCAAACTATAAGGGAAACGTCGTTCTACAATGCGTTTGCCAAGGATTTGTCTGATGCTTACCAATGGATTATCAACTACAACCGAACCAAGGACACGGCGTATTTGAACCAGGGTTGGGACCTCTATTACAGCGTGTTCCGTCGGATCAGTCGCCAGTTGTCGCAGCTACAGAATCTGGATCTGCAACATGTTTCGCCTAAACTGCTGGCTACCAAGAATCTAGAACTGGTAGTGCCGGGTACATATGTCTCTGGTAAGGAGATCTGCAAAATCGCATATTTCCATCCCATGTTCACCGTGATCACATCCAAGCAGAGACCCAGAAAGTTCAGCATCATGGGCAGTGATGGAAAGGATTATACATTCCTGCTTAAAGGCCACGAGGATATTCGCCAGGACAGTCTGGTGATGCAGTTGTTTGGTCTCGTGAACACTTTGCTGGTAAACGATCCCGAGTGCTTCAAACGGCATCTGGACATCCAGCAGTTTCCGGCGATTCCCCTTTCTCCAAGCTCGGGCTTACTGGGCTGGGTTCCGAACTCGGACACGTTCCACGTGCTTATCAAGGAGTATCGTGAGCCTCGCAAGATCCTTCTTGATGTTGAACATCGCATCATGCTTCAAATGTCACCTGATTACGACAATTTGACTCTGCTAGAGAAGGTAGAGGTGTTTACATATGCCTTGGATATCACCCGTGGACAGGACCTGTACAAGGTGCTCTGGTTCAAGAGCAAATCGTCAGAGGCATGGTTGGACCGTCGTACAACATACACGCGGTCGTTGGCAGTGATGTCTATGGCAGGTTATATACTCGGATTGGGAGACAGACACCCTTCAAACTTGATGATGGACCGTATCACCGGAAAGGTGATCCACATCGACTTTGGCGACTGTTTTGAGGCAGCAATTTTGCGTGAGAAGTTCCCCGAAAAGGTGCCTTTCCGGTTGACCCGTATGCTGAGCTACGCCATGGAAGTGAGTGGAATCGAAGGTAGTTTCCGTATTACCAGCGAGAATGTGATGCGCGTTCTCAGGAACAACAAGGAGTCGCTGATGGCCATATTGGAGGCCTTTGCGTACGATCCTTTGATCAACTGGGGCTTCGATTTCCCCTTGCGAGACATAACCGGTGGTGGAAACATCAAGTTGCCCCTTAACAACCCTGCTGAGTTGCTCCGGGCTGGTCAAATCGACAAGGCTGAGGCCGTGCGGCTGGAACAACAGTATAAAACCGAGTTGCGAAACGCTCGTGCTTCGTTGGTGCTCAAGAGGATCACCGATAAGCTGACTGGTAACGACTTCAAGCGGTTTGAAGGGTTGAATGTGCCACAACAGGTGGATAAGCTGATCCAGCAGGCCACGAGCGTTGAGAATTTGTGTCAACATTACATCGGGTGGTGTTCGTTCTGGTAAAAAGCATAAGCACCGTTGACAGGGTTGGGCTGGAATGTATAGTCATATAAGAGAGTTGAGGAACAATGAAACGAAAGAACAGTTCACTATAAGTTCTGACGGTAGCATACGTATTTGACCAACTTTTCAAGAACCACAGGACAAAGCCGCACCGTCTCATCCATATCGAGTCTCTCGCCATCAGTTGCCCAGGCCGAGAAACCCGACAATCCGATAATAAGAAAAGTGTCCTCTTTCCCCCGGATTACCCCAGATGAAACCACCGTGTCCTGCACAAACGCCGCATCGGACACCGGGACGTGGGCAAATGTGAAACATTTCAGTCACACCAGACACTCGTAGAAGGCACAGACTCAAGGAAAAAAACCCACAACACTGCACCAGCATCCTGTCCTCACAACTCAACTCTCAGAACCCTATTTTCTTCCAAAGGAACACCTCTCATCACCCTCCAACATACACACACTGGTTCTCGCAAATTTATGAGTCGTGTACAACAGATAAATTCCAGCCAATCACAGCCCACCAAGGTCATTCCCCCAACGCGGGGTACCCCACACTGCGCATGGCCCTCCACAACCGGAGGCAGAAAACAAGGACGAAAAAACCAGGGGAAAGAAAAATGGGAGGGACAGTCACGGCGACACAAATCAGAGAGGCAAGACGGTCAAAAATAAATCTCTTTCGCGTGTTCTTCCTGGAATCTAAGAATTTTGGTTAAGCAAGACAGCTTTGGTGCGATTGCTTAATAATCAAGCTCTGATTGTGATTTTTACGAATTTGTGTATCATTTTTTAGCTGCTAAAGAGAGAACAGAAGATCCTTCTTTCTCTTCTTTCACCGAATCAAAAAGTGTCATATTGAACAAATCTTTCGAGGAGTCTTTTGGTTTTTTTCCCCCGATCTTGAATCGCTAGCACGGTATCCGGCAATACAGGTGGTATTGGTGTTAAGGCTTTCTCAAGTCAGATAAGGTGAATTCGGTGATCCTCCCTTGTTAAAGGAAACAGGGGCTGCAGCATTGAATACACATTTTCTTGTTGTATTCGTTCTACTCAATTGGTTGTGAGGAGCTAGAAGACCAACTCTTCTATTTTAACCAAACAGGGCTGCTATATCTTCATCTAGTTGACCCTACTCCATTTCTCCTCTGGTTACGATCTTCCTGGTGCTTTTTACCCTCTTCTGTATGACCATCCTATCCTAAGATGTCCGGACTTCCCCCAACCTTCTCAAGGACACAAACACCAACCAATTATTCCCGAAACGGCACCACGCCGTCTGGAAAGCCGCGGCTGTTTGTTTGTGCCATTTGCACTCGCGCTTTTGCCAGACAGGAACATTTGAAGAGACATGAACGCTCACACACCAAGGAAAAGCCATTTTCGTGTGGTGTTTGCTCGCGAAAGTTCTCGCGGCGTGATTTGCTTTTGAGACATGCACAGAAACTGCACGTGGGCTGTTCAGATGTTGCCATAGCCAGACTTCGCAAGAAACCGGGCAGACGAGGCTCACCTCGAACTAATAGTGACGAGGAGGAGGAGGAGCCAGATAAGCGGTTCAAACCAGACCCACTCGCAAGGTTTACTTCCGACAGTGCTGCCACTCGAAGAGCCTCTTTCAGTGCGATGTCTGGACCAAACTACGCAATGCCACCGGCTACTGAGGTCAACTTTGCGACGGAAACGGTAGAATTTTCCACACCGCAGCTACTGCCACATGAAGACCAAGAGGATTCATGGCTGACGGATCCGATTCCGACTCTGGACAGTGTTATCAACGGAACCTCTTCGATGCGGATACAGAACGGCCACGTCAAACCAGAGAAGTCTGACGTTTCATCAGGATACTCCTTCTACGACGTTCCATCCAAGAACGTGGACTCGCTGTTCAACTACGGTTTTGATTCCACGGTCAAGAAGAATTTGAGTCCACTGACACAACTATCACCGTTGTCTGAGGAGGAGGAGGACATGGGTCTTAAGTATGACGATTACGACTCGAACATCACTGAACTTGGGAAATTGACTGATATGAATGCCTCGAAAAATTACAAGCTACCTACTGGCTACTCTTTCTACGGAACGGACCAACAAACTGTGCCGAACAGTTCAACGTCTTCGAACGCCACAATCTCACCGATTTTGTTGGATAGTTCCTTCAATCCAAATCCAAGCTTGAACGACGATATTGACCATAAGTTCGACAAATACTCGCGTGTGCTGCTGTTCACAAACAATCTTCGTGGTTACATCTACCATTCTCTGTCGAAGTACCCGTTTATCGGGATACCTTCTCCGACACTGCCAGATAACGACAGACTAAATGCTTTCACAGCAAGTTTCGAGGCTTTGTTCCTAAATCATCACCCGTTCATTCACAAGTCGCTTTTGAATGAATATTCAACGATAAAGATGATTTTAACAACAATGGGCCATTCGATAAACCCAAATCTCAACTCAAACGAAACCATCATGGACAACACAAAAGTTTCTTTCGTGTGTTTGCCTCTTCTGATTGCAACGATTGGCGCTGTTGTTAGCAACCGCAAGGCTGAAGCTTCCAATTTGTACGAGGCTTCACGTCGGTGCATTCACGTATATCTCGATTCTCGCAAGAAGAAGAGCGCATTGCTCAACAAGGAGGAGAGCTCCAGCCCTTTGTGGTTGATCCAATCGCTGACCCTCTCCATTATTTACGGCCTATTTGCGGACAACGATATTTCTTTGAACGTAATAATTCGCCAGGTCAATGCCCTTAGTTCGCTAATCAAATCCTCAAACTTGAACACAATATCATTCGATTATGCTAGTATGGAGAGCGCCAATACTAGCGAGGCCGTCAAATTTGATGAGTTTATCCGCTACGAGTCAACAGTGAGAACAATCCACACTATTTTTCACATAAGCTCACTTTTGTCCTCGCTGTACAATATTGTGCCTTCACTGAAGATAGATGACCTTTTTATCGATCTGCCATGTTCTTCGATTCTCTGGGATTGTATGTCAGCTGGTGAGTTTGGAAAGGTGGTTGAAACTATGCATCTGGAGTCTCAAAAATTCAACAAGGTGCTGGGGAACCTTATATCTTTCGATTTCGATATGCTTGATGCCAATGGACTTGTTGACGGTCACAACTTCTTCTTTGAGAACAACGTGAGCGAGTTTGGTCTGGTTTGTCTACAAGATGGATTGCACCAGTACAACTATTTTCACCAGCTTACGGAACTGAACACCCCCATGAAACGCGGAGGCTTGAACTTTTCGAAAATCGTGTCGAATTGGGACAAAGTTTGTGATTCGAACCAGATGTACAATCGGGACTCAGAGATTCTGTTTGATTCCAAACTTTTGAACAGATTTTTGGCACTCAAAACGTCACCTGTTTTGAACCTAAATCGCACGAAGGAGAGTCTTTGGCTCAAGTCCTGGAATGAGATGTATTTGAATTTTTCCAAAAAACACAACTACAAAGAACAGGATTTCAAAAAGGTCTCCAAAGACATGTTGTCGCTTGTGAAAAACTCGATTGAGATTTTGAAGTTGGTTTTTTTCAAGCCAATCGCAGATCCAGAAGGCGTCGAGTTCTCAAAACCAACATTAAACACGCTTAATGTGAATGAAGACCAGTTGAAGGAGCTGAGTACTAGCGATATTGGTGAGTTGGACTTTGAGAGATTCAGCTGGAAACTCTCTTTGAATCTTCAGATTCTTTTCGATGTGGTGCTTTCTTTGGTAAAATTCCTGGCCAATTACGAAGGAACTTTCAAGGCCAGAATGCGGTATAAGGGTCTCGACACAAACCTTTCGTTTGTGCACCATTTCCAGCTATCATCTACTGTTTTGAAAGACGAAGATGGTGATGATAACATGGAAGTTGATGATTCCGATGAAGCAGAGCTGTTTGGACTTTACGAGAGCATCTTCAAAATCTATTTGAATCTAGAGTTCTTTTTAAAGGTGAACTACGGATACAATGATTTCGAAAGCGAGTTCTCGTCTCTGACAATATCCAGCATCCTGAGCAAGAAAGGCACATCCACAAAGCCCAAAACCGAACGCGATCTCATGATCAACGAGCTGATATCTTTTAAACTCCCCTCTAAACTGCTAAAAATTGGCGAGTTTTTGTTCAATTTCATCTACGACAAGAACCTCAAGTTTATCAACTTCAAGAATTTATCTAATGGGCTTTTCCATTTACGGATCAGTCTTGAGAACAACGAAGATTACGCAGATTACTGAAGCATGAAACCCCCAACGCAACCACCTTACTATGGGATGAAAAGGTTTTTTATCTATATAATACATTCCCCGCACGATGTTATGATTATCACCAACTAAATGTTCCTGTAGTCTTCGGAGGGTCCGAGAGCAAAGCTTCCAAACCTGGCATAGAGTCTTGGCCCCTACAACCTGCCTGATTCAGCATCTATGTCGCAAGCAGAATACATGCTGCACCAGAGCATGCGCGCATTCACTGCAAAGCCTGCACCGCCATGAGTGCCGGACTCACTCGTTATCGGTATCTCCCAGGGATGACTGCGCGGCTGGGACCCTTTCCAGCACAATACACCGCTCTCCATAGCAGTGTAATGCGTAACCGTATACCACAACAGTACCGGAATAGCCTAGAATCAAATAATAAAACAAAAATAAAAGATCAATCAATGTACCTAGGCCATGTTTGATCGGCCTTAAATCAAGCTTCGGCGTCCGTATGCCTACTCCCTCTATGACGTCATCAGCCTACGTCATTCTAGAAAATGCTCATGCCACGCCCACGAATTGGTTGCCACGCCCCCTATATAAGCTGGTGATACCCCATCGAGTTGTTGCGGTTGGCAGATCAGAAATCCACTGAAAATTTCGACAAAGGCGCCGCATTTTTTCGATTTATCGCGTTATTCCAGAATTGAGTTCAGTTTCATCAACCAATCATATTGTCATGTCTTCGCAAAGCGTGAATTCAGAGCCGAAGGAGGCTGCCACGGCAGGAACCACTCTCAGTGCTTCACCCGCCACGTACTCGTTTCTCAACAACGATGGAATCGACCAGATGACCCCGCTACCGCGGAAAAAGGCCTCGTCGCTGTCCCTTTCGGACCAATGGACTTCGCTGCATTCCATGACCAAGCTGACGCAGTTGGATCAGCCTGGTTCAGGAGCTGCCCCTGCTAGGGCCTCTTCGACCAACCTCAAGCGCTACGGCTCCAGACTCAGCACTGGCAGTCTGGCCTCGATTGGTTCCAGAAGACCGTCGATAACGCAGAGAATCAAAAGAACTGTCATTGATCACGCCCGTGTGGCGTCTTATGCGTTTGCATTCGACATCGACGGAGTGATCGTGAAGGGTCCCAATACCATTCCGGAAGCCAAGGAGGCGATGCGCATGCTAAACGGTGAAAATCCGTACAATGTGAAGGTCCCATACATTTTCGTGACTAACGGAGGCGGAAGGGACGAGGAGGCTAGATCGAAGGATCTTTCTGACAGATTGGGTGTGGAGATCACCAAGGATCAGGTGATTCAAGGCCATACTCCAATGAAGGACCTCGTGGATGTCTACGACAACGTTCTTGTTGTGGGTGGAGTCGGCGACGCCTGCAGAAAAGTTGCTGAAGGATATGGGTTCAAGAACGTGTACATTCCGCTCGATGTGATGAATTGGAATCCTTCCGTTTCGCCCTATTATACACTTACGGAGGAGGACAAGAAGGTTGTGAAAGATGCGGATTTTTCTAAGATCAACATTCAGGCCATCCTCGTGTTTGCGGACTCGAGGAATTGGGCTGCGGATCAGCAGATCATACTAGATTTGCTGCTCTCCAAGGACGGAGTCTTGGGAACGGACTCTACGACGTATGAAGAGGGTCCGGGCATCTACTTTGCCCATTCTGACTTCGTCTGGGCCACGAATTACAAGCAATCGCGTTATGGAATGGGCGCATTGCAGGTTTCCATTGCTGCGCTGTTCAGAGAGCATACCGGCAAGGAATTGAAAGTTATTCGGTTTGGAAAACCCCAACGAGGAACTTTCAAATATGCCAACAAAGTACTCACAAAGTGGAGAAAGGACGTTTTGGATGAGCATGTGGAGGAGATGTCTGCAGCCGAAGAAACTGAAGATGACTCCTCTGACGAACTACATTTCACTGCGAAATCCAACAAGGGAGTTTTCATTTCTGATTCTGAAGACGAAGATGACGGCGATTCTGACGATGAAGGTCTCACCGTCCAAAAGCTGTCGCAACTGACACTCGATCTGCCACCGGCATCAACTGTTTATTTTGTCGGAGATACCCCCGAATCCGACATCAGATTTGCGAATTCCCACGATGAATCATGGCATTCGATTCTCGTGAAGACAGGTGTGTATCAAGGCGGAACCATTCCCAAATACAAGCCCAAACACACTTGTGAGAACGTTCTCGAAGCCGTGAAGTATGCGATTGAAAGAGAGCATAAAATGGAGTTGGAAGAGTGGAATAAAGGAGCTCTGGAGCCAGAGCACGGAGCTGTGGATGTTCCCGTGACTTTGGAAGAGAAAATCGTGGAGAAGCCTGAAAAAGAAGAGAAGTAATTAGAAGTATATCGCTACTTTCGATAATTTATAGCTATGCATAGATAAAAAGAGATCAAAGCAAGTTGGTTAAAAATAAAAAATAAAACCAATAGAACAGTTAGGGGCGCCTTAGTAGGTCCTTTCCACTTGAGTTCAAAAAAAAAATAGTTGCTCCACGGGAGGCTCGAACTCTCGACCTTCAGATAGCACACGTTGCGAACGATATGAGACTGACGCTCTACCGACTGAGCTAGTGAAGCTGAAAACTATATTCATTTTTTTCCCGATACATACAGAAGGAGGAAAACCGGTTGGGACACCTCAAAACACGATAACGTAAAAATCTCACTAATAGTCATATACATGTATATCTTGCCACGAAGGAGCTTCGGATTATACAATACATGTTTCTGATCTCAATTTCAGGTTGCTATAGAGGAGATTCCTCTAAGAACAAAACAGGAACGTTGGTAGGTGTCACGAGGAATGTCAATGAGCTCGCCAAATGCTAGATGTGATTTTAGGCAGGCGGCAGTTTGCCCTCGCCTTTATGATAAAGAACGAATATTAACTGCAATAAAAATGCGCCTTTCCTTTGAAGCTGCAGGTTAAGACAGCGCTATCGAAAAGTGCAGCCGAATCACGGAAAAAACTGAACAGGTTGTTTCACAAATTACGTGAGATTCAACACCGAAGCCCGTCAAGCCGCTCAACTTGTTTGCTTCATAACCGGCCGCCCACTAAACCCTTCTTTAATGGAATACACTCTATCAACATTTGCTAGCCGCCTGTTGCCATAGCAAAACTTCCATGCGACGTGAAACTTATATTTAAGAATAGTGTACTCCGCCGCAAAGGTCTATGGGTTTGAAAGGTACGCAATCGAATCCGCAAGACTTAGCACATGCTCGCGGCAGCAGGGCGACAAGGCATGAGTACAGGCATGAGTACAGGCATGAGAGTACAGGGATGACAACAGGTGTATGGAATTTGAGACGCGAAGATGGCAAAAATATCAACATATGAGAATCGAAAAGGAATGCGCTTCGCACTTGCAATCTCCTCTGAAGACCTTTAATCTGGATGGGCAGCTTGAGAAAGTCAAACTGACTGAACTAAAAGCAAGCACTACCAGAAGTTATCAAACCACCAGTGAGACACCCCAAGCACTTCATGTCCCTGTACATTAACACCCCGAGCATTAGGCGCAACTTTTACGCACAGTTCCCACTGTGGGAATGCACGATCGATGTTTGTCACATGCAGGCCCTCGTTAACATCAAATTCACTTACGTGAAGTGCACTGCAAATACGGCCGCATGCCGTCGACACATTCCCACAAAGAGAGGATCAGCAAGTGAAATTGCAGTGTCCCACGAATCGAGGGCCTCAGGCATTGGCGAGCTTCTTAGCATTCTAGCGACACCTTTGCAATCGTAAAATGTGAAACCAGAAAAATGTCCGCCTAAAACAATTGCTATTTACGATTAATTACCCTTCCAGAGCCGCGCGCCCTTCAGCAGACGCACTCGTATTTTTCAGCACAAAAACACGACCTCAACATTTTACGGCTAAAGAAGCGATGGACGCAGGGCAATTACGAGGGGACAGGCATTAGCCCGTTTCGAAAAACAATTCGCTTCAAATATGTGCGTTGCTGTGTCTTTGATGCAAAGGCATGCTGCGTGCGATTGAAAGAGTTAAATTTTCGACCAAAAATGAAAGGCGCTAAGTAGAGGTGTGTTGTGGTCTATACTCCAAGCGAGGAAGATCATGACCAGAAGGTTCTTACTGGCCTGTATGATTTCACTAAACATAATGTCATAGCTAAACTGAGACAATCAGACCCAATTAAGGCTATAGTGCACATCGGTCTATTGTTGAAAAACCACGCCATATTTTGCAGCTCCAAATTCAGGCGTCTAAGAAAAGATCTAGATCTCGCCGATCGCTAACAAATTTTGCGCCCGCCAACTTTGGCGTTTCACCTCAAAACAGCGCCTACCTTGCCAAATTTCAAGCGAGACGTTGGTGCTAACATTTAAAGTTTTTACCGAGCATTGCCGGTTCTATTTCGGGCATTTTACTAGCTCGATTTTACTTTACTCGGTGTTGCACTTTGCAACTTACATCCCCGAGTTTGGTATATTCGTGTAGAGGATCATCAAGTCCATTGTATGATGATAGACAGCCAGGAGACAGGTGTTAATTCCGAGGGCATACCAATATTCTTGATTAAAGCCATGACTCAAATTGCCATTAAAACTACTGAAATTGGTTTGAAAATATAATCGCCTTGTAGTTTCAATTGAGCGCTATAGTTTTATGCTTTCATTACAATTCGCGCTAAATCTAAGGAAATTCCATTTAAACTACAAAAGAGGCCTAGTTTCAAGCTCAAGAGCCAAGAAAACCCCAGTTCTACCGTACAGGGGACTTGCTGTACCCCTACGGAAAACTCCGCTTTGATCCTAGCCATTAGACCCCCATACCACTTGCCCCTCTCGTTAATCCAATTGACCAGGCGATTGGCGATTGGCGATTGGCGATTGAAATGGCAACTCCGATTTCTTCGCGCGCTCGGCTTTGCCTCGCTAAAAACGAAAAGCAATTCAGGAATTGAATGTGCTTAGACAAGAATTACATAAGCATAACTTACAATTTGCTTATATAATCAGAAGGAAGGATTACATCAGCCCAACTACCGCAATGAAGGCCACGCGGGCCATGTACGTGCATCTCGATTGCATTGAGACTGGAATATCCATCAGGTTGAACAGTTCTTATTTCTCCAGAAAATGCAATTGGGATTCATAGTTTGGGCTTCTCTGGTCCCACGGCTTGTTGCTGCTTTGGTGCGCGGTGTAGCACCAAATGGTGAGTGCTAGAGCATTCGTGATGCACTATGTGTGTCGAATTTACCAAACTCATAGACTAACTCCATCCCAGACTATGTTAACTATCTCCCAGATGAGAACGGAAAATGGCACTGTCTTGGGAATCCAGGGATAGTTTTGGACTTCTCCCAGATAAACGACGATTATTGCGATTGTCCGGACGGAAGTGATGAACCAGGCACCGCAGCGTGCCCCAATGGAAGATTCTACTGCGAAAATGCTGGATTTCGCAGTTCGTATATTCCATCGTCCAGAGTGAATGATGGAGTGTGTGATTACCAGGATTGTTGTGATGGAACCGACGAGTGGAGTGGAATAGTTTCATGTCCTAGCAGGTGCAAGGAGATTAATGAGGCTCACGAGAAAGAAGCTCAGGCTAAAAGCTTGCTTATTAGTAAAGGACTGGAGGCTAAAAAATTGATTCTTTCCAGGTCCAACAAAGCCAGGTTAAAGGTGAAGGAAGATATGAGAGTGATCAAACACAAGATAAAAGCCATCAAATTTGATCTAGAAGGTTTGGTTGAACACAGAGAAGAGACTGAGATCGAGGAGGAGGTCCAAACTCCTCTGGAACAGCTGGATCCCCAATTGAACTCCGCAAAGAAATTTGTTGAATCTCAAAGGAACGAATTGAGACAATCTTATGAAAGATTGGCTATTCTGGAGGCATTGCTGGACGATCTGGCCAAGAACTACAATCCCAATTTCAACGACCCGGTGGTGAAAGCTGCAGTTCAAGACTTCCAAAATTACGCTAGTAATAATCAAGTTGTTGAGGAAGAGACGGTCCTAAGCCTTTCAAACCCATCGGAAGAATTCAACAGGATCATAGAAGAGTTTGAGTCTGGTTTGAACTCCATTGAAGTTGGAACTTCCGCCCAAGAGGATTCTGCAGAAACCACTGAATGCTCGATCAGAAAAGCTTTTAATCAAAAGTTCGAGAACTTCATCGAAAAGCTCATAGCGAGCCCCAAAAGAGAAAAACCTCAAAAATACACCAGAGGCAAACTGGACTCAGAGATTGAAGAGAAGGAAAAGGAGATTGCCAAACTAGAGAAGGAGAGATCGGAACTGGAATATGATCTGACCGACCCGAAATATGGCCCAGACGGAATATTAAGGTCGTATAACGGTCACTGCTTAACGAAGAAGATTGGTGATTACGATTACAAGTTCTGTTTCACTGGGTCCGTAAACCAGATAGGTGCTGGACAGAGCGTTTTGATTGGTTCTATGGATAAGGTTGAGGTGCAAGAGGACCATTCATTGAAGATATTCTTTGAACACGGTGCAAGGTGCTGGAATGGACCGATTCGTAAGGCTGTTGCTCATGTTGAATGCGGAGCCAAGGATGATATTCTGTTCACTTCTGAGCCTGAAAAGTGTGAGTATTTCTTCAAGGTGGTGAGTCCTATTGCATGTAAGGAAATCCCCAACAGTAAACTGAAAAAAGATGAATTGTAATTCAGAGGTTTTGGCGGAAACTGTACGACAAATCATTGAAAAAACAAACTGAACTATAATTCAAAAATTTATACCAACATTATGCGAAAATCAATAAAACAAAATTCTTAAATTTTCACCCAATCCCTAACCCTAACCTTGACCTTACACCCTTCCTGTTCCATATCCTAAGAGCCATAAGTCTCTGCCAACATGTTAATTTAATCAACACTAAACATACCTGACCCTTCCCCCTTCAATCTGGACATTCAATAGCACTTTTTTCTTCACGCACTTATCAAAAGGCTTCCCTTCTGAAGACCTGACTAAACTTTCAAAAAAGTTCACAGTGCGCATGAACTCCACAAAGTTCTTATTCTTCCGCTTTCGATTCCTCTCGTAGCCCCTAATGAATAAGCGGAGTATCTCCGAAAGATTCTCCTGCTCCAGCCTGTCAATCTTGGTCTTCAGAGGAAATTGACTATTGTGGCCGTTTGCGTAATTGACAGCCTGCGAACCGTCTGACTGCTCCGGCTTCAGGATCCCACGCACTATCAGCTCAGACCGGGTGGGCCTTTGCGCAAGCAACTTCCGAAGCCTGTCCCTGGTCAACATCGCGTTGAACAACCTGATAACCTCAAATTGGTGCTGGAACGAATTCTCAGAAATCCCAGACTCAAACACATAAAAAAATGAGCGATAGTTCAGCATGCGCATCCTGAACACTTCAGCTCTCGTGGGGCGCAAGAGCTGCAACCATCTGTTCAGCTTATATTTGACGGTCATGTTTCTCAATGAGAGAATATAATTGAAATAGTGATCGCATATCACGTTTCTCAGTCGCGAATTGGTTCTTGATAAAGAAAGCAGATCGGCATAATCAAGGTAGCGAAAGACCCTGATCATGAGCTCTGCAGGCAAATCCAAGATGTTGAATGCATCAGGCACCAGGCTCACAAGTTGCTGGTCCTCCATTGGCTAGTTTGAAAGCAAATAGCAAGAAAGGAAAGAAGAAGAACTAGATCGGCTATACCGCTAGTATTTGGGTTTGGTTCAAAGACAAGGTCCCAGTTTAGACAACGCGAAACGAGGGGGGGGGAGAGCCACACAATAAAGCTATGGCCGGCTAAGATAAGCACTTGGACGGATTTCCAGCACGGAATATCTCAAGTGAAGTCTCCAAGCAACCAGAGCTAATATGAACAACCCTTATATCAACAGGTGATGTTTCAGTTCGCAGCTTCAAAGTTTGTCAGGAAACCCGAACCTGGGGAATAAAGAGTGGTCCAATCGAAATCTGACGTGTATTGCGGGTAAATAAGGGCCCTCCCGATTGTGGAAATTTGGTGCGCGATAACGTGATCAAAATGGCCAACCAAAGTATAAATCAAATGACGTCTCAAAAGGCTGAAAAGAATATTGCAATTGTCTGACGGAACAAGTTGGAGTTGATCAATGTGTCAGAGAGTTGGCAGAAGGCATTGACTGTGGAGAGGTGGATACATGGATACATGGGCGCACACAGTGTAAGGAACGAACCGGCCCAGTGTGGGAATATTTGGATGGCGTTTCCGGTAACAGCTGTGGGGAATTAACTTTGTAACTAGCTGGTCTGTCTGTTTGATATGACAGGAATTTTCTTGAGGCGAGAGAGAGAACCCTTATCGCAGCTCACTTCCATACCGGCAACAGTCAATAGTTGGATTTCTGTTGAGTTTGGGAAAATTAAAAATCTATGGTGAAATCATCCATTAGAACATTGGATTAGCTAGTAGTTTCCAAATGGCCTTTTGTTTGATTTTTTTGGGCCAGATAAACGGTTTGAAGTGTCTTCGAGAAGACACCATTCGGCAGTATAAAATGCCAAAAATCAAGATTTGGCCATGCTCAACACCATCCGACTTGTTTTTGTGACCTCGAAGCATCTGATCACACTATGTTCATGTTTACAAGCTGTGATTGGCCACTTTAGACGTCTTTAGCAAAAGTTTCTCAAAGAGCTTCATCCCTAATAGCTTCTAGGTGAGTGAATGATCTCAGATAACTCCAAAGAGAGTAACAAAAAAACAATCTTCTAAGGATATGCCATTACTCAAACATTTGGGCATCAGTTTGGAGCCGTGACTTAATTCTTTGGTGCATTCTTCAACAGCTTAAGATTACTGGATGTTATTAAAAGGTTCAAAACCATGCACTGCAACTCCAAAATCCCAACTTTTCATTCCTCAATATCATATTGTTTTTATTCTCGTGAACAGATGTGAAGGGAGAGGAGATCACTTCTACTTCATATGGACTCAATGAGGGTCAGAATGTCTTTAAGCGAGCATTCAGGATTTAGTGCAAGCGCATGATACACCAACATACACTGCTACCTATGATTTTGCCTATGCTTCTACTTGTGCTTTGAGCTGTACGTCTGCGTTTGCAGTCTGACAAACATAGACTCCAAATTCCTTGGTCCAACAAGCGCCAATCTTGCACGACCAGTCAGTTCGTACTTGCTTAACTCACCTCATGATACTGCATCGGCCTGCATGAATTAAACCACATGGCAATAAACCCAGCATACCCCTGAGCGCAGTTGAAACACACCCTTTTTTATTCCGCGCCCAAAAAAAGTGTATACATTCAGCCAAGAAACTAAACCAGGGCCATTTGAGATCTTAGACCTGCATACAAATTACCCACGCGCAGGTGGACAGGTTTATAGCGCTGCAGACATTGCTGGGCTTTTGCCCGCACTAATCGAAATGAAATATCTCGACGGACGCCATCATCTCAGCAATAGTAGAAATATTCTTTGGTCTGCAGATGGTAAATCAATGATTACATATAGGTCGTAAAAACAACAGAAGGGGTTTCAAGGTTTTGGTGCACTCATGCAAACCATCTGCGAAGGCTTCAGCATCATTTCCCGAGATGGACGATGAAGATCATCCCGAGCGAACGAAGTTGTCGTCTAGTCGCTGGAGATTGTTAGTATTTTGGAGACGAAGGCTAAATTACTATGAGGGGGGGGCTATGCTGGCTCCCACTTTTGAAAGTTGCTGCGTTTTAGTGAGATAAGATAAAAATAGTTAGCAAAGCGTGGCATTGGTGGGAAATGCATGACCTCGGATAGTAACGAGAGGTGCTTGAACATAGGTCTGGGGCACACGTCGATTGTGGTTCTTGGTACGAGGGCCCAAATCTATCACTACAACGAGTATTAACGCTGATCGAGCCCTGCGAGATCGCAATATTGCTTGAAGTGGTCGGTTGAGTTACCCAATGGGTGTGACTGCAGAAAGACTCAGACAAATAGTTTACGACCAGGTGGCCGCGACACTACTCCAGGCTACATTAAAACTGCAAGGGAAATACAAGGACACAAGCTGAATACCAATTGTAACAGGGTGACCAAACTATCCACCAAGCCAAAAAAAGAGGTTCCTCCGCCGTGTAGAAGAAGGGACCACGGTTCTCAGACCCGGATTATGCTCTCGATTGGATAATTTGTACCACGAATAGACCTCCAGGCAAAAAACTAAATCTGATTCATTTTACTTTGGTGCTGGTAAAGCAAGCTTCAAAAGATTGATTCGGTGGCACACTGGGCCGAATAACCGAGCAATAGTGGAGATTAAGATTCGTATGCAGGTCCCGTATGTCGGTTAAACGGAACCCGCATCAGGCCCTTACTATCGAGACAAAATATAAAGGTCAAAAAATAATTAACAGAAAATAAGCAACCTAAGATCTAGCGAGGATATTCGCGACCATATAGTTGCATTGGATTGTTTGAGTCACGGGACCAAAGTTCGCATTTAAGCGCCGTTAGAGGCCGCATTAGGAGAGCAAATGGACAGAATTGCTGAGCCCATGCTGGGATTGAGATGTACCGAGGAAAATGTGCCGAGAGACACATCTTTTGATCAAAGAAATTACCTTATCACCATATCTGTTTAACTTTGACTTAAGCCAGCAAACACCTTGAAACCTAGAAAGAAGAACTGCCGCAGGGCACGCCTTTCGTTTTTTTAGGTCGGTGCCGTTAAGATGATCAAAAAACATACAAAAACTTCCCGCGCTTTTTGAAATGCTCAATGGCGAGATTTAAGGCTGTGAGAGTGGCTTATATATTTTTTCTTGATTACCTGGGCCAGACTTTGAGGAAAAATAGCGTAGAGTGACACGCTTGACCTGATCTCTAAAACTTCCACCCAACTGCTAGAATGTGTAAAGTAAGAGGTCTAGCAAGACATTCACTGTATCTCGGTGTTTGTGGCGTTTTATTGGTAATACGGTGGATTGTTCAAGAGTGAGCACATACCTACGGAGCGTGGCTGGCGAATGCACGTTGGGTAGTAGTGGACTGGGCCGTTTGTGCAATGAAACTGGTGAGGCTCGAACTATTCCCTGTCACGAGCTTTATCCTACTGAAAAAAAGCCAGCTTCAAAAACGGTGTTCTGCTCATTCTGTTCTAGTCAATTTTGCAACCTCTTGAGAGCCCACCTCTGCGAACAGAGCCATTTTCGTGGCTACGTCGTATGAAATACTGTCCGTGAAGCGGAATTTCACCCAAATTCAGGCTGGAGAGCGTAGATTTTGAACCTAGACTGGGAAGACAAAATACTGTCTCTTTGTTTATTTCAAAGAATCACCTGAGAGACACTGTCGACCAATACAGGACCTATACTCACATTCGAAAAAGCTAGGATAGAATGACATGAGTCACCTGAAGCAACCCCAGTATATAAAACATATGCGCCTTCAACCCTAATGTGCATTATGTCCATCTGATTGTTGGCGGTGCTTCAGAACCGCGAGGCAAACAGCCCAAAAAGGCCCACTTAGGACAGAAGACAAGAACGTAGAGGTGGAAGTTCTTCCCAAGGTCAGCGACCGAACAACAAGCATGGCTCTTACGTGAAGATGACCAGTCTCAAGTGTATTGGAACACAAAAAACGTTGATTTTCTGCTTACAATTTAACTTTCATTCCGCTTAAGCTCTCTCACAAGCTCACGACGACAAGGCATAACCGATGGCTCAAATCCGACGAGGCTTACTTCTTGATTTCTGCAGAGAAAATAAAAATCATAACACATTTTGGAGTCGGATTATTGCTTCGATAATATTCCGGCTTGAAGATTCGAGCATAAATGCTCCTCTATGCCTTCCCTTTTCATCTCTCTACGTATCCTGCGCATGTGGGTTCCTCTGCAAGAGTGAGCAGTTCAACAGACACCTCAGCATCGCATTATATCAGGCAACTTTCCAAATGGATGCATGTAATTAGTGGTAAAGGTATAGATCCGGAAAACCGTACCTTTTTTAAAGCATTTTCATATACCATGACGATGTCTGAGATTCTGGACCAGGACATGTTCTAAGTGTGCTTCTACCGACAGCTATGACTCTATGAGGGACATGGATAGTGCACCACCCAATTCAAACAAAAACTTTAAATAGCAGTGGCCTGACTTCTTTGGGAAGGCCTCGAGATCCACCGCATAACGCGGGCTATTTACCTCCTGTCTTTTTTTCATACGGCAAAAGGCACTGCGCCCCTATTGTGCCTGGGCCGTTTAAGTCAAACGTCTGCTTTTACTTCCGCTTCAATCAAAAGAGAATATTGCGAAGGAGAGACTAACAAAAGCCGCAGAGCTCGTATTCAAAGAATTGAGTGATAATGTACGAGTTGTAAAGATGGTGGTTGTTGAAAGATTTATATCGCAGCAATCTCACAATTTCGTGTTATAAATCATGTGAGGTCTTCAAAGCTTGTTGAAAATTCCCAAAATGGTTCTGCTCTGAAGAAAATTCCACTGACAATCTCAGGCTTCCTTGGGGTCAAGAGCTTCTGTGATGATTATCGTATCAACCCAGATCACGCCATGAAGGTCACGAAAATCCATATACACAAACCTCTCAGAATGTAGTTGAGGATGCCTGAAGATTTGCCCTGAAAAAAACCCTCACTAATTAAAGGTCCACTTCAGACTGGTTTCCAGATCTGTTTTTGATGCCGTACATGCATGAAAAGAGTCATGTAATATCTACTGTATAGAAGAAAGCACTCGCGTTCCCCAAAATTTGTTGGTTTCTCAGCGTCCTGTCAAAAATGGTCACATTATTTTTAGTTGCAGAGAACGAAGGTGGCCGATTGGCCCCCCCCAACGCCGAATGTATCCATACATATACATATACTCAACGGGTCACTAGAATGGTTCCAGAAGAAACTACACTGGGAAAAGAAACCTCCTAGTCTGTATACAAATGCTGGGAAACGGAGCGAAGCACGCGAGTCGCCTAAGGCTGCTCACTGCTCTGAACATTTGCCGAAACGTTGTTGCGATGATACGGCGAAGAAGCCACACCGAAGTTGGATATATCACGTACAACTCATAGCCCATAAAATCAAGATATTGGAAAATTATTTGAAGGGATTTGAGAATGTCAAATGCTGGGTATTGTTAGATAGTACTTAAAATTGGTACTCACAATCTCGTACGAAGAAAGCACAAGACTGGTAGTCGCATTCGTACCTTCCGTACCACCCATATCAGCCAATTTCATATGTTCATATGGCATACATTGCGTCTCGTTGCCGAACCTAAAAAAAGTTACCCGAGCATTCGGATATTTCGAAGTTAATCTCGAAACGCCTTCGAAATGTTCGATTACGATATCTTACATGAAAATTCTATGCTTAAGGTCATATCGATATGCCTGGAACAATTTTTTTTTGGTCACGTAATGAACTCTAAAAAATTTTTTCACCTTAACTATGGGGAACGATGAGCTTTATCACCGATGGGTGATGAGCCGATTATGTGGGGCCACAACGAGCGTGACATTCTTGAGTGACCCGGACCTACATGCAAACAAGAGCGAAAATTTTTCCGGGACCCAAACGATGCAAAACCTGGGGATGAATACTAATTGCGAAATCTCAAAACAGATGATGTAATATCCAGTTTCAAATGCCAATTACATAGATATCAATTAATGAGTTTTTTCTTTGAATTATACCATGTTCAATGCAACCTCAACTGTCTGGTTATATGGCGCGGCACGTAACACGTTGCTTTGAATCTTCTCCAGGTCAATTCTTGCTGGGCATAAGTGAGAGTAGTGTGTCCATGCCATTTCCCCTCTAAAACAAGACGGCAATGCGCCAATCCGAGATACAAAAGATCCTGCGTTTACTTTCGTTAAGTTTGCATAACACCGCATTGCATTGCATGGACCGTTTTGAGAATAGCGACATGGATGGCTTTCTTGATGCACGACTCCTCGAGAAAGGGATACCGTAAGCGCACGAACATCGATTATTGCTTGCGACTATGAATGTTCGATGATTGTCTAAGCATTTAGTGAAATACAGGAAAAAGTAGCTGAATCCGCGATGTTTCCGACAACACAACATACGTAGTTCACCCCCCCAATACTGAATTGCTTTTCATAAAATCTAATCCCCACATTGGTCCGGCACTTCGAAGACCTCTAATTTAACCTCTACGATGCCCGGATCTAGATTGCCTTTTCACCCCGGACTTTCCATGCTCCAAACGCCAAAAGCTCTGGCGGCAAAACAAACGAAATCTCAAATACCAGGAAACACCCGACAGACAAATGGCATTCTGTTTATTTTCTTTGCTGGTTTGAATGGCGCCCATAAATAGCCTTTTACCATCACGCAAGGTGTCGTAACCAACGAGGCTATCGATTCTTCGCTGACGTGAATGGCTGAGAAAAGTGTATCCGACGTTCCGAGACACACAGAAACATAAACAGTCAATGGACGAAATACTATTTTACCTTGAGCATACATACGTGTCTAAGACACATTCATCAATTTTGTGACAATGATTCCGGATATTATGAGAATTGCTGCACCAAAATTGACCCAACGACCCAAGCGAAGCAGCAAAAGACAGTAATCGCAGGGGGGTAAATTAAATAAGCTATCACAAAGGTTAACCAGTACAATAAGCTCAGGGGATGAAAAAGGCAAGCGCAGGACGTGGACCCACATCATATCGCAAGCCGAATCCGGATTCGGCTGACTTTTCAAAATGGCGGTAAATGGGTTAAGGGGAAATGTATACAATCTGATCGGAATCGAATTAATCTGCCGACAACCAAAAGCCTTGTCATGAGCTCAAGTTTCTTTCACCATTGGGGTTGTGTCCATGCCAAAGCAGCAGAAACTCTTTTTTGGTAACCTCTTCGCATTCAATTCACATGTAACGCATCATTACGCATGCTGTGCCATGCAATCCCAAAAAGACGCCCAGCTAATCACTGCATGAGCAAAAAAGGTAGACCTCAGCTTTTTTTTTCCTGCACAACAACAGAACCTGATACCTACATAAACACACATTACATGATCTGTTTTTACCTACCACACACTCATCCTTTGATGATGCATGCCTTGCTCCAAACGTCTGCCTCATTTTTTTTTCCTGTTTTTTCCATCACGTACCTGCAAAACTTTTCTTGCTTTAATCATTCTTTTCTTGGATTTTACACAGGTATTTATTCGAAGCGATTCTCGTTGCGATCGAGAAGGAGGCAGTCAAGAGGGATTCAATCAAAAGGAGGCAATCGAAAGGAATCACATTGGGAAGCATTATCCGCTATCGGTTATCCATCATCCAGTGTATCTTATACACCTACACTACACTATCTACTGATATATCAGAAAAAACCTATTGATTATCACCACCTCTGTTGACTCAGCAAATATTTTCCAAACCTATTTTCTTTCTCGTCTCGTTTTCAATTTGGTCCCCCCGTACGATTCTCGTTTTGTGGGTATCGGTGTTTAGTGTGTATTCATTTATCACCTTCTCCACCAGCTCCCTTTTCGTGTTTTTCCTTGCGGAATATTACCATTCCCGCGTTCCTACTATTGATCTGAATTCCTAGTGCATTTGTGCTGTTCGTTGGCATCGTGGGAACCCGCCTACCTTGCTAAACCTCAGGGTCCACAGACCAGCGATACTCATGACCAACCAATGGTCCTTCGAGAAGGTCACCTTGCCTCCAATATCGAGCATCACTAGCTTTGAAGAGTCTTGGAGTTCCCCAACACACAATTCTGACCCTATGAAACAGCTCCAGAGGACCAACAGCGCAGGCAGTGCGACCACCATCTCCACGGCGATTCCCACCACTCCTCAACACCTCCTCCCACAGAGTCAAGTGTACCATCCCCAGCCGCAATTGCACCGAATGGAGTCACAACCACGCATATCACCCCCTCTGATGAGCCTACAGGCCAGCACACAACAGTCCCCTCGGTTGCACTCACAACAAATCAACACGCAGCAGCACATGATGCCGCTGAACCCACAGATGCGCTCGCCGCTCGCATTCAACACTCACCAGATGGTTCCCGTTTCAAATCAAGCCAACAGCCCCAGAAATGATCCTTCTCAATTGCCCCCACAACAACAGCAACAGCAATTACAACTGATAGCCATTGACCCACGGTTCCCCGTCCAGTACCACCCCCACCAGGGCCATCCTCAGGGCCACCCCGTTGCCCTGAGCCATCCTCACCATCCCATGGAAATTCCACTTTACTATCCCCCACCTGACATGTACGTACCCTATGGGCAGCAGTACCTGCCGCGCGAGCTCGGGTTTCCCGAAAGACGCCCAGTTGTGAGGCGCAGGACCAGGACTGGCTGCCTGACCTGCCGCAAGAGAAGAGTCAAGTGCGACGAGCGCAAACCGTTTTGCTACAACTGTGAGCGTAGTAGAAAAGTGTGCTCAGGATATGAGAATCCGGCCTTTGTGAAATTTAAGTCTAAACGAGGCAAAAAAGACGACAGCAATTCGACTTCTTCAATTGATTCTATAGCCAATTCGAACGATGGCAGTGAAAACAACAGCTTCACGGCGAGTCCGGAGAACACAAATGTGGAGCCCAGAATAGATTCTGACAAAAAAGAACGTGAAAATGCTCAGGCAGGTTCCGGTTCGAGTTCAAATACAAAAGTCCAGGACGTCAAGGAAGCAGATACAGGTATCAGCGATCGCCAAGCCGATCCTGGACAACATTTACCCCCAAAAGTTGGATTTCTGGTCAATTGACCACAGGGCTTGGATTTTTATGAGCCACCGAGATCTGGGTGGTTTCCTAACCTCAACTCCAACCAACCGTCCAGCATGAGCTTTACATGTTTAGAGCTATTGAGATTTGAGATTTAGTTTTTGGACGTTATTTTTGGCCGAGTTTTACGGCTTTTTTTGGTCTAAAAAGACCTTGAACCCAAAATAGGGGTGCTTTTAATTCAATTCTCCCTTTCCACAAGAGCCTTTTTGGTTTTTAGATTTATTTTCGATACAGATTTAGCTTGCTTTTGCGGTTCAAAAGGGTCAAAAACGTAGAGAAGCCTTCTAGGGCTCGAAAACCCCTTTGAGAATCCTGGAAAAACCATCAAACTCGCTCAATTGCTCTCAGCAAACAATAATATGCTTACTTCTGACCCCTCACGCTTTTTGATGATCTAGGCCGACGATTGGAGCATCTTCCGCCTCATTCTCGGCACCGTTGCAAGACATTATCCCGGCCAGATTAGGGCGTCCACGCTTACCGGTGCCTAACTCAGGTACAAATTCCGAGATCCCGGACCACGCGCCTCAAAGAAGTTTAGAAATGGAAAACAAAGATTGCTCACAAGTGAATCATCTACATTTTTCATGTCAATTCCTAACCGAGACAAACGACACTCTTGGAAGAGAGAAAATACGGTTTTGATCATTAGCCGCTGGAAAGACGTTTGCCGAGTTTGCGAGCCATCGAAGCTATCCCAAAACGGAATTGGACGTGTAATTTAGCCGCTGTGCACGATAGGCAGTTGGCATTGCAATAAGGCGTTTAATTATACACGCAAAGCAGAGCCACCATTTTCAACTCTTCTACTCGTTGAGCTGACAAGCTATTAGTATTGTGTTTTTACGCTAAATCTCGGTTCACAATCCAATGTGTGTCTGCTGTTCACATTTTCGATGTCGCCATGGAAAATATCACACAAACTTCCCGGCTAGAGCAGCTTTTTCTTTTCCGCATTTCGTCAAAATGCCCACACCTTGTCGAGATCGGCTCACAATTCGGCTGGAAATGTAGGGGTCGCAAAGTGTAAATCCCACAGGCCATCGAATATCTGGCATCTAAACGAAAGCCTATGACTGCCTTGATCATGCACCCTTTACTGCGCGACACATTCAAGACGGGGTTTTGAGAATTTGCGAACTGTTGAACGCCTGGCCAGGTTAGGTATGTGCAACATGTTCCAGGCAATTTTAAGAGTAGAGAGTGCAGGACTTTGGGGCGTTTTGATATGCGGCAAATTCTCCGCCTTGAAATGTTTAGGGCCTGAGCCAAGTTATGTTATCTGCTCGGCCAAAACTATCTTGTATCTTTCTCCAAATGAGATTCCTCGCCAAGGTCACCACCGCATGAATCTTCTTTGCCTCTTCTTTCAATCAGCTTCAAAATTCCCCGTGCACATGCTACGGACCCTCCCACCCACTCTATTTTCGCGGTTTTCTATGGTAAAAAGAAACTTCTATTTTTGCCAGAAAAAGATAGTCTCCGAACCAATTCATATGCACATCGCCAAAATAGTGCTAAATAACAGGGCCATTAAACATACCGCTGAGGGAGATCTATTTTGCTTTATTTTTTATTCTTAGCACTAATTTCGAAGTACCCCTCGTAAGTTGACTGGAAGCATGCCTAGAGACGCCTTGGGCGTGAGGAGGTTGCAAAGCCATCTCAAGCCTGCTCTACAATAGCAAGAAACCAAAGGGATTCGGGAAGAGAAAGACCGTAAGGAAAAACTGTAAGCAAAAAGTGAGGGCAAAATCTGGTCATAACTGACGATTTGGGACCCTATTCTAGCACATGGTACCTCTTTTTGCATTCAACTATTCATGATTAAACTTTAGCCCCTCACTATTCGTTTAGTGTACGCATACGTAATATCCAACTCAACATAATACTCTCTTTATCTACAAATTTTGGTCCTCATTCCTATATTTGCGATATCTGCCACGCCGCTTGCTTCGTATCATCGTTTAGCAAATATGTGAAAACTCTACGTGCACCGTCCAGAATCAGAAATTAAACAGCACACTACTTTAGAGGTCTCAAATTTACACTGACCGTAGCGTAATATCCTGAACGTGAAGGAATTTTCCAAATCACCTCTCTAACAGAGCCAAAGGCACAGAGGTTGAACTACACTCACAGCAATCCATCCAGCATCTTCTAGCACTCCGGCGATTTTTTATTAAATGTCCACCCCAGTTCTCCACATAGTGAGGCCGAACCAGGCGGCTCCCGCAGGCTCCTCCGCCGCGGCACCGCTCAAGGTGTCCATTCAGGCCTCTGCGCTGTTGCAGTTGGTTGAGTCCTCCTACCACGAAGAGACAACAAGAACAACTGGTGCGCTTTTGGGAATCAGATCGGATGATGGGTCTGAAATTGAGGTTGTTGACAGTTACATCGTTCCTCACCAACAAGTGGGCGAAAACCTAACGATTGAAGGTGGCCACCACATTTCCCAGTACGTTCTTTCCAAGAGAACAAACCCAGATCTGGCTCTTTTGGGCTGGTTTTCCACCAGTCACGAGCTAGATGCATACACTGGATTGTTTCATGATTTCTACTCCAGAGGCTCCTCTATAAGCGTTCATCCACATCCTGCTATCCACCTGACGATACAGACCAGAGACTCTGAAAATAACATTATCGCACCCAAATTGATATCATATGTTGCTTCTCCAGTGGGAGCTTCTGGTGCTTTGGCCGCACATTTGAATATTGAAAAGGTGGGATCGTACGCGTTTACTCCGGTTCCCAACAAGGTGGTCTATTCCACTGCCGAGAAGACCGCGCTTTCCTGGATCAAGGAGCCTACCAAGCTAGCCCTGCCAACAGGCAATGCTGTTGAGCTGGTTACCCTTTCGCAGGAATTGGGATCGTTGAGCGGGCTCGTGGACAGAGTTTTGGCGTACACGGACAAGGTGATCTCTGGAGAGATCCAAGGTGACGAGAAGTTGGGCCGTGAATTGCTCAGCCAGTTGAGCGCAAAGCCAACCTCGGTCTCTGCAGATGCCCTGGAAAAGTTGTTCAACCATCATACTCAGGATTCGCTCTTGGTGGAGTATCTGGCCAGTTCTATAAGGACCCAGCTGGAACTGAGTGCCAAACTGACCTCTATTGTTCAGAGTGAGATATAGAAGGATATCAAATTGATGGTGCAATAGGTAATTTAAGTCAATTGAAACCTAACATTTTGGAAAAGGACCTGTACAACTACGTAGGGAAATGCAGGCAAACGTATAGCATAATACAGTGCCAGGACGGTCATCTGAAGATTATGCACCATGCAGAGTGAAATTCAACACTCCGGAAAGACTCTAACCTCAATTTCTAGGAGTGGCATATACACGATTTTCGGCTTATTTTAGCGAATATAAGCTATTCATTCCTTTCGTGCACACTATCTACTAATTGATCCATGTCTACGTCTCCCTTAAAAGATTGTACCTTTCTTGTTTCCCTAATTCCCAGCATATAAAAATCTCGTGATGAGCCCAGAACACTCCAAAATACAAGCTGCACACCGCTGAAAACTTGAATCGTCAGCATCATGCCCCAAAAAGAATGTTGAAATCATCATCATCTCCAAGATCAACCAGCAATGCCTCGACATCGGCAAGTGTGCTTTCGCTGAAAAGCCCACCTTTGGTGCTTCTAAGCCCGTTTTTATGTTTCTTAAGCTTCTTCGCATTCCTCTGGAACTTCTGGAATTTCATGGACTTCACGGGTGTGATGATGATCTCATCGGTAGGCATGGTGCCAAACTCCCTCGACTTTCTCGCAGACTTGGGGCTTTTCGACTTGGGTTTCTTCTCCTTTAGTCGTCTCCTATCGCTAGGAGTGAATGAGGCCGAATAACGACGGACCCCTTGAGAGTGGTCTCCATCGACCACCCCCTTGGACCTGAATGCGGACAGAGGGACCTTGCGCTCCCATTCATCGTTGTCATCGTTGTAAGCTTCACCTTCTTCAAACTCGTCTACATATAGCAGCTCATCCAGCTCCATGATTGGCTGGACGCCCAGAAACTTGGGTTTGGCAGTAGAGCTAGATACTAGTCTACCCTTACCGGAGTTGACCAAAGCGGGCTCCAGCGATCTTGTGGAAAACCCATCGATGATCCCGAACGGTTTCGCTTGATTGGCTGTGGTCCAGACACCGAGCACGGGAGCCCTAAAGTTGTTTTTAGAAGAAGATAAGATCTCCTTTGCGGATTTAGAGCCTATCTTCTTCGTAGAGGGAGGAGGAAGTGTGGTGTCTTCATCTGTAGAGTCCCCGCTCTCATCTTCCAGTACCTTGGACCCATTTGCCTTTTCATTGGCCGCGGTTCCATCTTCATCGCTAGAAGATTCCCCGGAGATGAAGTATGGCCACAGATACGAGTCATCATCGTCCGAATCAACATCTTGCTTCCCCGCAGCATGGTAAGCAGAGTTCTGGAACACGTCATACCAAGGCATTTCGAAATCGTCGCTCACATCGTCATAGTCGTATTCATCAGAGGAAGAAGAGTCGCTTTCTGCGGCCTTGGACTCTTCATTGGTGGCATCGCCAGTACTGTTGGTGTTGCTGACATTGGTAGAGGCGGATGTATGGCTGTTTTCTGAGGTTGCACCTATCACCTCTGGGTCGTGGTAGTCTTTCAATATGGCATCAGCCTCCTCTTGCAAAAGATAGTTCTCTTCTTCGATGTCCTGACCTCCCGAAAGGAAGAAGTCTAAATCGTCATCGCTCTTGCCAAAGATCTCAACCTCGTCGTTATCGTTCTGCAGGGTCCTGATCAACTGGTCTTTATCCAGTTCGTAGTCATCATCCGAGTTCAGCTCAGTTTCGTCAATCTTGGGGACATCCAGTAGCGACTGGTCTTCCAGAGTAGGTGCCATTGGTGGAAATTTGCTTGGCGAAAGAGCAATTTCCTCTCCGATATCTTCTTCGCTGTCTATGACCTCGGGCTTGGGTTTTTGGGTGGTGGAAACGATCTCAAGATCAGATTCCGAGTCAGAATCGTCATCCGAAGAACCCAACGGCTCTTCAGAGGTTCCTCTGCTCTGCCTGGCAATGTTGGCAAGCTTCTTGGTGGCAGTCATTTGGACGTAGTCCACTTCATCATCGTCGTCAGACGAATCTTGCTCATCATCATCCGAAGAGTCTTCGTCACTCACTTCCGATAACGATGAATCTGACGAATCAGAGACCAGACTCAACTTTCTCCGACCCCTTTTCGGTATCGGTATGTTCTGAAGCTTCTTGCCTCCCTTGGAGGAGGTCTTGAGGGATTTACCCTTTCCCGACCGGGCTGTGCTCTTCCCCATTGCGTGGTATGCGTTTGTCGTTTGGTTATATGGTCTTTAACTTGATTCCTGGTTGCGCCTGGGTAATAAACCTAGACGTCGTTTGCGAGTATTCTTCACTTTTCAAAGCCTGATTGCTCAGAAAGTGGGAATCATCTCCAATGAGCGACGGCTATACTTCAGATTGAGGGTTTCAGACAAGACTTCGGGGGTAACTCCCTATTGGTAATAATATAATAAAACTCTGGGGTATTTGCAAATAACTCAGGTGGTTTGCAAAATCACAAATATCAGGATAAGGTCCTTTTTCGTGGGTAAAAAACACACAAGTTGCTTGGTATCAATGGCTTTTACCAGCGACTCTTGTTCTCTGCGCTATATGGCTGTATCTCCTTGGATCACAAGAGAAATGTTCCTGGATAGTGTGTGCTAATAGACAGGAAGATTTCTGAGAATTCGCAACAAATGCCAATTGTTCAATTATCTTCAACAGGGTCAAAAGTAAGAGCACGGATTTCAGGCGAGTTTAGGGACCATTCAAATTACGCAATAATTCCACAGACTACTAAGCTGTAAAATTTTCAGAAGGAATAAACACTAGCTCATCTCTGGTACAGGCGCACGACCTTTTATATCGACACGACTGGAAAATGGCAGCGGAGATAAGCGAGCACTGGTTTACGCCTCATTGCGGGTGGTCGTTGATACCTTCTTTCCGATTGTTTTTCGCCACTTAAAGGTAGATTCCTGAATTTTTGCTGTACAATATTCTGACTATGATCAAAGGCGTACGGTTTGGCACGCTGGGCTTCAGTACTGAACGGGTAGCGTTCTGCGGTTCAAGAGGCTTCTCGAGACAGCAACCAGAAAGGCCTCGTGTTGAACGGGCCGGTTTTGGAACCAGATTTTTTTCTTATGCGTTTTTGGGGCTGACTGGTGTATATTTCGCGGATAACAAGTTTAACAACTCAGTGATAACGAGGGCGACCAGATCTGTTACTACATTACTGTTGATATCCGCAGACTACAAATGGAACTTCGAAGAGGGAAAAGATATCGAGGCTCTTCATCAGAGAAACTCCAAGCGACTGTACGACATGATAGCGAGCAACAAGGGACTTTATGTGAAAATTGGACAGATGATCGCTATTCAGGGAAGCATGTTCCCAATGGCCTACCAGGAGAAGTTCAAAAGGTTATTTGACAATGCTCCTGCAGACTCTTGGGCAACGGTGGATTCGGTGTTATCTGCAGAACTAGGGCGGGATTACCGAACCAAGCATTTTGAGTGGATAGACGAGGCTCCAGTAGCAAGTGCAAGCATTGCGCAAGTTCATAAGGCGGTATTAAAGAATGGAGAGAAGGTGGCAGTGAAGGTTCAACACAAGTCGTTGGAGCATCAGGTGCCCGTTGATTTGGCTATTTACCAGCAGGTGATGGACTTTTACAGTTGGTTCTTCGAGATGCAGATATCGTTTGTTACCCAGTATATCTGTGACACTATGAAGGAGGAGACTGACTTCAACATTGAGTACAGAAATGGGGCTCTGCTGAAGTCAAAGATTGACTCAGACCCAGAGTTCAGAAACAGGATGTATGTGCCGAAGGTGTATCCAGATTTGGTGACCAAAAAGGTTCTGGTAGCTGAGTGGATTGAAGGCGATAGTGTCTCTGAAATGAAGCGTTTGAAAGTGAAAGGCTACAACATTGCAGAGTTGTCTAAAGATATTGTCAAGCTTTATGCCAGACAGGCATTCGAGTGGGGAGACGTTCATTCAGACCCTCACCCTGGAAATTTCATTGTGAGAATGGTGAAGGACGGGAATAAGACTCGCCAGCAATTGGTTATTCTCGATCACGGACTGTATGTCCATCTCAGTGACAAATTTAGGCGTGAGTATTGCCAGTTGTTCAAGGCACTTTCTGAGGCGGATACGGCCACCATGAAGCAATTAACGACCGAATGGGGTATAAGGCAAGGAGATATGTTTACATCAATGGCCACCATGAGTACTGAGGGAATGAAAGATATGAAAAAGAGGTTTGAGGAGATGAGGACCAAGAGTGATTACGAGAAACAGGTGATGATGAAGGAACAGATGAAGAACTTTTTTGATAGCACCGACAAGTTTCCTTTGGCCATGGTGTTCTTGGGAAGAGGAATGAGAATAGTCCAAGGAATTAACCATCAGCTGGGTGCTCCAGTCAACAGATTAGCCATATTGAGTGATGAGGCTAGACGTTCGTTGCGTCTATCGCCCTTGGTGCCTACATTGGCAAAGTCCTCGATCCTATCCAGAACTTTCGCTCAGTCAGTGTACAGATATGCCATCTTCTGCACTTTCAGAGTTGTTCTTACATTGGCATATTGGACTTACAGGATCAGGAGTAATGTATATGCATTCTTTGCGCCGCATTCTAAGGGAGCAGGCGAAGACATAGAGGAGGTTATAGATAAGCAGATGGTTTATGCTGCACAAACCATGGGAATGCAAGTGAAGACTGGCGACTATGCCTATTTAGGGTGATGGACAACTCAAGGTTGTTAATTATATATCAGGCTCATGTACATAGTGATTCTTTGTTCTGCAGTGGGTTATATATGCTAGACGGATATGAGAGTGCATCAACCAAAAATTAATATGGAAAAATAAAAAAATTTCAAAAGATTAAGAGGCTACTAATGCACAATGTCTTGCAAAAATAACAAGAAACCATTGTCATTCTCTTTGCGCCATGTCCGAGAGAATAAAAAAGAGTTTTGTCAATACTGATATAGAACCCATATATATCGGCGGTTGCAATGCTACAATCTCGTACGATGGGACCATCATGGCCACCGCCGTGATGGAGGACATCATAGTGACTAACATCGAGACCCAGGAAATTGTTCATAGTCTTGAGGGTGATGGTGAACTGTTGACTGTGCTTCAGATTACACCTGATGGAAAATATCTGGCGATCGTGTCACGCTCTCAGCAACTCAAAATATTCAACCTGGAGACATCCAAGTTCGAGAGAAGTTTCAAGCTCAGCTCTCCAGTGTACATATCCTCTGCTGATCCCACCTCTTCGCTGTTTGCATTCGGCGGTTCTGACGGAAGCGTCACAGTTTGGGATATTTCAGGCGGTTACGTGACACATTCTTTCAAAGGTCACGGAACCACCGTATGTTCGCTAGCTTTCCACGGTGATTTGAACACCAAGAACTGGAAGCTGGCCAGTGGTGATATCATGGGTTCCGTCAGAATATGGGATCTCGTTAAAAGAAAGTGTCTAAAGACTTTGAATGAACACTCCGGTGCTGCCAGAGGAGTGGGATTCAACCAATCAGGCGAAGTCTTCGTCTCTGGTGGTCGTGACAACCTGTACATTCTATGGAACACCGAGAGCTGGAAGGAGATCAAGACGGTTTCAGCCGGCCACCAGATTGAAAAAGCCGGATTTACAACGGCCTTGGATGGCTCAGAGTTACTATACACTGCTGGAGGAGACAGTTCTTTCAAACTATGGGACATAAAGTCAGATGCCGTGTTGGCTCAACACGCACCACCTTTGAAGACCAACGAAGAGCTAATCATCACGGACGTGATATTGACGGAAACTGAAAAGGCTATGTTGGTGCTTTCAGATCAGACCATTTGCGATGTTTCGCTATATCTGGACGAAGATGATAGTTCTTATTTGCCTGTGAATAGGATAATCGCAGGTAACCACGGAACTATTGCAGATATGAGATTTGTTGGATCTGAGTTCAACATGCTGGCACTGGCCACAAACTCCCCATCTGTTCGTATTGTGGATCTGGAAAGACCATTGGAAATGAGTCTTCACGAAGGACATACTGATCTGCTGAATGCTGTTGATGCTTCTCGTGATGGTAAATGGTTTGCCACTGCTAGCAAAGACGACACTGCCAGACTATGGAGATGGAATGACGACTCTGAATCCTTCGAGTGCTATGCTGTTATGAGTGGTCATGCTGGCTCTGTGACTGCAGTTGCACTTCCAACACAGCTCAACAACGGATATCCTCATTTTGTTCTCACAGCCTCTGCAGATCTCACAGTCAAGAGTTGGAGCATACCGAGCCCGGAACGCAAGAATACCGATGGACCTGTTGAAATCAAGCTTGCAAAATACACCCGAAAAGCACACGAAAAAGATATCAACTCCATCACTGTCTCACCAGCGAACGAACTTTTCATAACTGCTAGTTATGACAAAACAGCAAAGGTATGGGACTTGGAGTCGGGTGAGACAATTGGAATACTTAAGGGCCATAAAAGAGGCCTATGGAATGCCAGAGTAAGTTTCTGGGACAAACTGGTAGCCACAGCTTCTGGTGATAAAACAATCAAGCTATGGTCTTTGGAGGACTTCACATGCAAAAAGACGTTTGAAGGACACACCAATGCTGTTCAAAGAGTGGAATTCATAGATAAGGGCAGGTTCCTCCTTTCTGCCGGAGCAGATGGCCTGGTCAAGATCTGGGATATCAGCTCTGGCGAATGTGTGAACACGCTGAATAACCACGACAATCGTCTCTGGGCCCTTTGTGTCAAAGACGATGGAAAACAGATCATCTCCGCAGATGCTGATGGTGCTATCACCATCTGGGACGATAACACAGAAGAGGCCCTTGCCGAACAGGAAGAGAAGGATAAGGTCAAAGTGGAGCAGGAGCAATCTCTCAGAAACTACATTAGTGACGAGGATTGGTCTAACGCATTTTTGTTAGCATTGACCCTGGATCATCCAATGAGATTGTACAACGTGGTCAAGGCCTCTATCAATGCTGGTGCTGATAAGGATTCCTCCCTGGGCTCTTTCAAGCTGGAGAAGTGCATTGCATCTTTGGAGAGCACCCAATTGCTCCAGCTGTTTAAGAGGATCAGGGACTGGAATACTAACGCAAAGTTCTTCGAGATCGCACAGAAACTGATCAATACCGTGTTCCGTATCTTTGATATCGAGAAGTTATCTCAGATCCAAGGAATGATGTCTCTGATTGACGCCATCACACCCTATAGCGAGCGCCATTTTGCGAGATTGGATGATCTGATTGAGCAGACATATATTCTGGACTATGCTTTGAAGGAAATGGATAAACTGACCGCCGCCTGAATAATAGTACATAATCAATCTAATGCTTGTAATGTCACGTGCCCAGATGGCAGATTATTGACACGGGATCAAATGGCAGTATCTTTCGGGGAAGAAATGATTGAACTTTCTCTCAAACCCTTATCGTTGACACATTCAGCACTCTGAAGTCTCAGTCTTCATCAAATTCCCTCATATGAGTTCGCCTGAGCGGAAAAGAATCAGATCAGATATAGACGCGTCCGAGTCGCGCAGTCCGAGACTGGCGTCGAACGATAGCTACAACTCGGCCTCCAGAGAGAGAAGGAGGTACAAGTTTTGGCGCGGGTTTTCAGCAAGGTCACTGGCCCTTCCGACTAATTCGTGGATCTTCTCCGAGGAAGAATTGTTTCAGGAAAGTCCGTCCAGGGCAAAGTTGGCATTCAAAGACGAGATTACGCGAAGAGCCAAAGGTGTTCAGTTCATTCACAACTTGGCCAAATCCTTGAACTTATCAAGACTGGTGGCGATAACAGCATCTGTATATTTACACAGATTCTATATGAGGAAGGATATCTTGGGACATCACTATTATGAAATCGCAGGTGCTTCTTTATTTCTGGCTTGCAAGGCTGAAGAATGCAGAAGAAAGCTCCATGACGTTGTCGTTTGGTGCGCAAGGTTGTCCAGCAAAGACCCGAAAATGATCGTTGACGAACAAACCAAGGTATTCTGGCAGTGGAGAGACAGACTGGTCAGACTGGAAGAAAAATTGCTGGAGGTTCTGTGTTTTGACATGACTCCTGACCAGCCATACAAGCTATGCTATGATATCACCAGGGCCAACGAAAGTATCTTCAACAAACTGAAGGATTACAAGGGCCGTGGATCTTTTAGTGAGTTCTATTTCCACAGATGTTGTACTTTCTTCGAATGTGCTGCTAGAACACCCTTATGTCTTTTGTTCAGGGCAGAGGTGATTGTGGCAGTGGGCATGGTATTGTGTGCGGTAGAAGACGATATCAAAATTCCAGACCAGATCATATCGAATGATCTAAATGTGTCTGCCGAGGACGTCTTTGCTTGTCTACAGCTCTATCACAGGATACTGGATAAAGTACCTGAAGTCAAACCATATGTGGCGGTGAAGTACCCTGAACTCACCAAGGAGGACATATATGCAAGGTCGAATGGGTTCCGCAAGGAGGATATGACACCAATATCACAGAAAGAAGACTCAAAAGAGCCTCAAGAACAAAAACAAGAGCAGCAACAAGACCATATCGAGGAAACCGAACTCGCTGCGAAAGAGATAGTGGTCTGAAGGTCGTGGACTACAGATTTTTATTCCGTGCGGCTCTTTGGGCGGCTCGTCCTCGTTGAAGATACCAATACATTGTTTCGTTTATCCCACCAAACAATCACCATCAAGGCTAAAAACATGTCCGGGTGTCCCAGTGCTAAGATTATTGCTGTAAGTTTAATCTCCCTCTGCCTCAGTAGCATCGTCTAACAGGTCCAGTTCTCGACGGAAGAGCTCCGTCGCCGTTGTTTTCTCAAGAAGGGACTGCGCATGACCATGATGGTTTGCGGTGAGACCGGAACCGGCAAGTCTACCTTCGTCAAGATGCTGTGTGGTGAGAACTGTTTTGGCGAAGATCCTTTGCCTGAGTTTAAGCCTGGTATGGACCCACAAGTATCCATCAGGACATTCAATGCTTTGGTAATGGAGGAGGAAACGCCCATCAATCTGGATGTAGTAATGGTACCGGGATTTGGAGATAAAGTGGACAACAGACGTTGTTCAGGAATTGTGTTGGATTACCTGAACAATCAGCTGAATTCCGTTTTGAACGAAGAATGCCGTATTCAGCGCAATTCAATGGTCAAAGACGGCAGAGTTCACGTCCTCCTTTACTTCATCAGACCAACAGGAAAGGGGCTTCGTCAGCTGGACATCAACTTCATGAAGTTAGTGGGACCAAGATGTAATCTGATCCCTGTTTTATCCAAGGCAGACGTCATGAGCTCAGCTGAGCTCATCACCAACAAGAAGAAGGTGATGGCAGACATCACTGCCAACAACATTGAGATCTACGACTTTGGTCCTTGGATTGAGGACGCTAATGAGGGAGAACTTCCTGAGTTCTTGAAGGTTCTTCCTTTTGCCGTCATGAGCTCAACGGAAAAACGGGAAGTCGATGGCAAAGAGCAATACGTTAGGGAATATCCTTGGGGTACTGCCATTCCCGAGGATGTAACCCATAGCGACTATCTGATGCTGAAGATTTTACTTTTGGGCACATGTCTTCAAGATCTCAAAGATACAACAGTAAATGTGATATACGAGAGATTCCGCACGGAGAGATTGTCCAGCAAAGTTAACATCCGCTCTGCTTCCAGTGCCAAGGTCATGAACGCTTTGATAGACAGGGTTACTTAGGCACCAATTCATAAATCAAATAGGATCAGAACGAAATACAGACATACATCAAACAATATCACGCAGACCGTAATGGTGCTCCAAGTACTCTTCAATTTTTGATGGAAGAGCTCCTTGGTGGTATCCAGTGTAATTTTCTTTCCATAGATCCACAAGATGGAAACTGAGTCGTAGGTTTTCCCTTTGCTTGATTTCTCCCGTCTCGTGCTTGAGAATTCCCCTTATCTTGTTTGTTATGGTGCGACTCATAACACCTGTATTACTGTCATGAATTTTGTACCATTTTGCACTCGCTGGCAAGCAGTCTTCGAAAACGACATTTTCTGGGTTGTTTCCAAGTAAACAGGGTGATATGAGCCACCAGTTCCATGGGTAATCCAAATTTGTGTCATCGCTTTTGATATGCAAGCTGGAATTCCTGAGATACCTTAAAGAAGCTATTATCTGCTCAATTTTTGTTGTCATGAACGATTCATCAATGCTTTGAATAAACTTTTCTCCAACAGGCTGACAAGCTTTGTTCAGGGAGAAGTAGAACCGTAGAAAATCGAAGAACAGAATTGTATCAACGTGAATATCCCCGCACATCAAAAGACTCCAAACAATTTTGTCGTAAAGTTTCGAATTATGCGGATCATCATTGTAGTTCGTGGCTGATAGCAGAATATAGTCCGTGGTGGCATCAAGAATATGATTTTTCTCAAGTCTGAACCATTTTTCACCCGTTGGCATGATTCTAACACGTCTTGACCGAAATGCCAAAACTTCCGAAAAAGTGGCCCTCGCCTTCAAAGTACTCTGCCGATGATAAAGCTTACTGGTATCACTAAGTTTCAGTACGAGAACCGGTTTTGTGATATCTCTGAGGTCTGTTCCTTGACTTTGCAAAAGTTCCAATTCTGTTTCCTTCCACTCTCTCAAATAGCATTGAATCAATAAAATGTAAATGCAGTTGGTATTTTCTGGCCTCATCAAAACATAGTCGAGCCTTATATCCTCTAAGACTGCATAATCCAATGCACACTTCAGCATGTCAACCAATGCAACAGCTATCGTAAGATGGCTCTTAGCAGACTCAAGGTCATTCTTGTCAAGACTGATTATTCCCATCATAGTATGAAACAGATGGTAATTCTTGACTTGATCTTTGGTTTCAGAAGAATTAGGCGTACTCATGATGACTTCTTTGACATACTCTTCTAAGCTTGACGTGAGAGCATATGGTGAAGCGTGCTCAAATGCCTTAATCAACCATTGCATCTCTGGAAGCGTAAAAGGATTTCTAGGTAGAATTGGCAATGGAGACGTCAATCTCATGCTGATACAGTATTCCATAAAGGAAATGACAGAATTATCTAGATATCTTCCCCGCATTTCTCTCAAGTCGTCAATTATGTTTTTCCAGTTTTTTATGCGATCCTGGAAGGACTCTAGGAATCTGAAATTTGCGGTAGTCTCTAGGAATTCAACACATTTCCAGAAAGTTATGAGAATGTCCTTTGAATCAACAAGACGGAAGTTGCTGAACAGAGTTAGCATTTTTTGGGGAAGACATTTAAACTCTGGTAGGCGTCACAGAGAGTGAGTAAAAACTTACCACAGGTTGGCACAACTAACAGTTATAGGTGTCTCTGAGAAACTTTGACATCTTTCGCAAGTATTTCTCTCCTCATGGCTAAGACAGTGATGCTTGTAATAATGCTGTGCTTTGGTACATTCGCCACCAAAGAACTCTGATAACTTGTTCATAGCCAATCGCTTACAGATAATGGATATGTTTTCCAGGAGCAGATGTTTTTGAGATATAGCGGTTTCACTCAAAGCTAATTGTATCTCACATAAGCCCTCTTGAAATCTGTTCAAAAGTATGAGAGAAACTCCAAAATATATCCTATGTTCAGGTTCCACCTCCATCAAGATCTCTTCAGCAGAGATCTTGGATATGGTAAGAATGGCTTCCACGAGATAAGCATCAAAGTCGAGGCTTTCAAATGAAGACCTCATTAGACACAAACAGGGCAAACTCTTAAAAGTTCGCGAACCACTCGATGATTATCAAGTATCAACTTGACTATGTCAAGAGCTAAGTGAACCAAAAGACACGTTACAACACAGACATTGTCATAAAACTTGGTCAATCCACTACTCCATCTCAGTCAAGAACGCCGCTCAGTCTTTTGGCCAATATCCAAATAAACACCTCTCTGCTCTCAAAAGCTACATGCAAGCCTCTCCAATATAAAATGGAATAGACAATGAGCTTACCTTCCTCATCAGACAAGTCCAATGACCGGATGGTGTTACCTTCATTGACAGCAGATGTAAGCAATTCCCCATGCATCTGGCCAAGATCAACGCGACTTGACTAGCTTCAACGTAACTTATGACTAACAAGCACAGACCCAAATAATTGCATCCGAGCTTCCTGATTCTTTAAATGATACCCCAATTGGTTCCGAAGAATCCGAACCAATCCATATTCAGAACATCCACGACGATACCCTTCAGGTGCGAAGAAGAGAGAGATATGTGCATGCCAACCACGAGAATACCCACAACGTCACCATCAACAGCCCAAATATTACAGGGACCCCGTTTGTGAGACAGGTACAAACTCCAAACTCAAATCTGGCCATTAAGATCAACAACGGCCAGGAATCTCAAACACCGCTGTTTGCGAAAATCAAGAATCCGTTCGAGGACACACCCACTTCGGAGATTCCCACTAAGAAGTCTATTCTGGAATTTGGTATTGCAAATGAGGATACTCCAAGTGTTTCTGCAGAATCAAGGAGCAAAAGAGCTTTGGAAACGTTCAAGAGACTTGGGGAAAACGATGGCGATATCGATATGGAGCTGGAATTGGAGGACGGCATCATGCTGGGTGCGAACGGAGGAGATGACACCTTCAACCAGATGAACAGCAACAAGGGAGATATCACAACTGCTACCATAGATGAAGGCGATTACGATGATGAGGTGAATAGAGCTCTGAGAAACGTGGATATCTCTACTAATGAACCTATCATGATCGATAATTCAGAGGCAACGATAATACACGATAGGCAGCCGGATGATCACAAGTTCTCAAGTGGTCTTCATCTTCAGTACGAAAACTCACAAGTGTCGAACGACGGGATCCAAGTTCCGGCATCAATTGAGAAAGTCGCCCGAAGCAGGTCTCAGGGCGTTTCTCAGAGCTCGATTGTGAGTTCTGATGGTGACTCGGACAATGAACCCAACCAGGAAACCCCTCTTCCAAAGAGGAGGTCACAGACGATTTTTTCTCTGAGCGTTGAGCACGACAAGTTTCAGGCTTTTTCAACACCCATCTCGAAGAATCGCAGTATCAATTTGTCCAAGCATTTTACCCAGGAGCTGAGCGAATTGGAAGAGAATGACGAAGCTCGGGAAAGCGGCAAGGTTGGCACGATATCAACATCTGCTGAAACTCAGGTAATACATGGCCAGGTGAGCCAAATGCTCTCCTTGTCCAATGACAAAGGAGGACTTGTCCAAAAGCCCCTGGACAAAGAATCAAACCCGTCTTTAGATACCGGGGACAAACAGGTATGGAACTCATCAGGCGAAGTGGTGAGAGATAACCTAGCAGAAGTTGATACCACAATCCTGTATGACAAGTATATTTGGGCAAGGATTGAAAGGCACAAAGTTCCTGCCAAAATTAGCCAACTGTTTCCCAACGATACTGTTGATGTGTTATATGGCGAAGACAGTGTTGCTCGGATAAAGAAGTCCCAAATACTGGCTCCTATGGAGATTCATATTGGTGATCAGGTCAGAATAAAGGATGAAGCTGGCTATTTCAAAGTGACTGGCTTACGATGCAAACGCCCGGATATGTCTGAGGAGATTGTCAGGTCAATCCGTGGTTTTGACACAGTTTACTTAGTAGGAAAGACTCGTCCAGAAGAATTTTCGAGGGACCTATCGTCGATATATTGCACCAGGTTTCCGAACAGATCCATATTCAAAAAGTTCAATGATGAGGAGGCTTTCGAGAAGTTTATACAGGGTTTAAAGTTTGAGACCGACGCAACCGAAATAACACCATCTGGGATATTTCAGGGCTATTGCTTCTGTTTTACACGCAGTGGTGTTGACAATGAAGAGGATTTCAAGCGGAGAACGCAATTCATTTTGGATTCTGGAGGTGTTATTCTAGAGAATGGATTCACCGAACTTTTAGAACCCTCCAGTGATTTATCTTTCACCAGACACGTTTCACTCAAAAGCTTCAGACTACCACTGACTCTATCCAACAAACCATGTCGAACAGAGAAATACTTGCAGGCATTAGCATTGGGTTGGCCCTTGCTGTCGGAAAAGTTCATTGACGACTGCATATCCAACAAAGAAAACGCAAAGTCGTGGTTCCGGTACCTTTTGGCAGCGGGTGAATCGCAGTGGCATCAATCCACAATGAGTTTAAACATCTTTGAGTTTTACGAAAAGTACCGTCTCGGAATGTCGCTTTGGGACCAGGTGAACAACAACTCCAACATTTTGGCCCATTATCAAGTTCTGATAATCAACAAGTCGATAAATGTCAAGAGGGAGACTTTGTTGTTCATACTAACTGCTCTAGGAGTGAAAACGATACACTTTGTCGCCAGCTACCAGAATGCGCTGAAGAAAGCTAAAGATTTTGAAATGGACGGCTCGATAACGGCTGTATACTCTGAAGACGCAATTGAAGAAGTTGTCAAGCAGCTCAGTTCCAAAGGAGCCAAAAACACGAGAAATACTGTGAAGTCGTCGCAGAAGAGCCAAGGAATCAAGAAGTTTTTTCCGAGTGCAACGCCTGCAAAGAGAAGAATCACTCCAGCAACAGATCTGAAAGGACTGAACATAAGGTATATCAACTGGGAATGGATCGTTCAATGTGTGATTTGCTCGCATTCGGGAGAGATCCCACTGATATGACAGTTTAGATTCTACTTTCTCGTGATGAGTTATTCGATCTAACGTGATACGAGTGCACAAAATACTGCCAGACTTCTTATTTATCAACTTTTCTGGGACTTGATACTTTTGGAAAGACTTTTCTAGTAATAATACAACATGGCTAGGCCCCAACAATTGTCTATCGTCTATCGAAAACAAACAAACAGCGGTGGACTTGGATAAAAAAAACGCAGGTGAATAAAGAACAACTGTGATGGGCCAATGCGTGAAAATGATGACTGTTGGCTTGGCTAGCCGTGCGTGATACATGGGAGCTGTTTTTTTGGCATGGTTGATGAAGAGATACTTTCACAATATCAACACCATATAAACAAATACCACACCGCACCCGATCTGCCATAGAGTGGAAGATGCAAGTCCACCAAACACATGGGTCTTTCCCAAGGCCAAAGATGAGCCGATGGCTTTGGAACTCTTCGAGTAAGACCCCGACACATCTGAGGCTGCTGAAGCAGATATGTTCGAGGAAGACTGGGACTTTCCACCACCAATAATGACCTCTCCGTTAGAGATGAGCGCAGTGGAAGCAGAAGCAGAGGAGGCAGTCATTCCTGAACTCGTGTAATCATTCGTGACAGTCAAGGTCAGAGATGAATATGAAGTGACGTTATTCGGCACAGCAAACGGAATGGATGATGCATCCGGGTCAATTGCTGATCTCGTGTGCGAACGAGCGGTGGAATTTCCAAACCCAACCAAAGATGTGGTGGTGAGTTCTTCAGAAGCAGCCTTGGAGATAAAAGCCGGATTGGCCTGGCCCATGGCGATTTTGCGAGAATCCACATCAACGGCCATGTAGATGGACCTCAGGAATGGAGTTCCCAATACTGTGTAGCCGGTGTAATAGTCAGGTAGTATCGCAAGCGAACAGGCAGTGTCTCCATTCTGGAATCTCAGCAGGGTGTTATTGTTGTCATAAGCTTCGTACAAAAGCTCGACAAGTGGAATCATGACTGTGAGGTTTCCAAAGTGGAAGTCCAAGAAACCTGTCCGACTAACGTTACAATTCACGAGCCACGTATCAAGATCCGACGAGTAGTATGCGTTAACCTGAACCGCGATCTCAATCAAGGTTGAGTACGGTAGGAAACTGTACAAGAGCCGTGAATCCAACAAAGCTGGTCTGGGGTATGACCCGGAGGTGAAGCCATCTGTGAACGACCGCGAGAACGTGAGCGACTTTCCAGAGGAAGAGGTTACTCCCAATCCAGTGAGTGGAATAACGGGGTAATCGTTGGACCAAGCGAATCCAAACGTTTCTCCAGTATCCAAGATGGGGATGTAATCGAATTCCACCAAAGGCCCGATGAACCGGTCTGAATCAAGACCTCCCAAGATGAGCTCTGCATATGAGGCGTTGATTCCATTCAACGAAAGCGAATAACTCGACGAGTTGATGTATCCTTCTTCAACCATTGCTTTCAGGAACGAGGTCGAAGATCCCGAAGGAGCACCGAGTCCCAGACCTCCACTATAAACGTTGGAGTCGTTAGCACTCACAAACACAAAGTCAGGCAGCTTATACGAGGCCCCAGAGTCGTCCTTGAAAGTCACTTCATCCTCGACATAGTTGCCGAATATCTCAATGTAGTTGAGATACGTCTGGTTCACTTGAATATCCGACTCGTTCCCGTTCACATAGGAAGCATTTATCGTGAGCTGCGAAGACTGGTTGAAGTAGTGACCCGACTTCGAAAGCTCAATATCGTACAGTCCGTTGGACGGGCATCCCGAGGCAGTTTCTGTTGAGGCAATAGTCCTTGTATGGGATTGCGAGACCACTTCTGTTGTGCAGTTTGGGAAGTCCGCGAGGTTTGGAATCCAGATGTCTCCAGAGCCGATATCCAGTCTCAGAGACACGTTCTGAGCCGGCTTTCCAATTTCAAATTTGTAGTCGTAAACCTCACCATAACTCGGGATTAGTTTAAGATAGGGCAAGTCGTCTGTCAGGACCAACGGTAGAACACTGGCTAATACCGCGAGCACGTTTACCGCCAACATGGTGCTATTGCGTGGACAGGGGACACAGACCTAAACAGCAGAAATAAAGTCAAAAACGAGAAACTTCCAACTAACCAACTGCAGGGCAGTAAACAGCGGCGAAGGCGAAAAAGAATACAAAGAATGTCCTCCTCACGTGGCCTAGCAGTCCTCGTGCCTGTGTTCAGCGATCCCTTGTTCCAGTCCTTGTTTCCGTATGGCTTCGTGAAGAAATTCGTTTTTTCTCCTTTCTACTTTGGGAGACTGCAGGAGTTTTATGGTTCGCGCACGTCAAATGAGACACTTTTCGCGTTTTACGGCTTTGGAATTGCTGGATATGAGCCGGAAGAAAAAGAATTAGATTTAGGATAATTTCAAATGGGGCTTTTATTGTTTAAATCTTGCCTGTTTCCATTTGTGCGTTCAATCTCCCGAGAGCAATATGAAGCCTTGGGGATGATATCATAGGTGTGCACCACCCAAACTGCTTAAAGCCGCGCGGGTTTCCGTCCTCGGCCTAACAATACTACATTGTAGGCCAAAAGAGAACCGAGAGAACGCCGAAATGGTCGCCAAGGTTCCGAAAGAGGATTGCGTTGTATTAGTTACGCTGAACTGTTGTTGTATAGCCTGCAAGATTGGTGCAATACCAAATCAGACAAGTATTGTGTCATCTTTTTATAGCACACAAAAGCAGCTAAGAATAGAAGGCATCACGACGTGATGATTGTTGTCATGCTATTGTAGTGGCTTAGGGTGCAGCACGTTGTTGAGTGGGAACGTTACACTACCTCCGGGTCATAAATGACGGTTTGGCTAGGTGATTTTGAGCAGTGCTGAATATTTGTACTAGTGACATATTTATCGTATTCAAGTTGATATCTCAGTTCCGGAAAAAGAAATGTTCTGATCTTGGATGGTGATGCCTACTAGCGTGTCTTTAGTTACTCTGAATAGTTGACTATTGGAAAGTTTCGCTAACTTTCTGTGAAAATTCTAAATTAAGGATAAACTGAATAAACCATTAATTGATTAGTTTCGGCGAATTTCATTTGTACTTGGCATAGCCCTCAAATGACGTTCTCAAAAAAGAAACGGCCGATATATTAGCAGAAAAATCTTCTATATTTTAGGGCTAATGTCAGATTCAGTCGTTTAGATACCTATGCAAACCATTGCAACCCAGACGAGTGAGATACCCCATAAATCAGGTAGCAGCAACCGGCGATATCCGATAGCCTCTTTTCCCCGCCACTTTGCTCAACCGATGTCCAAACAACTAAACACAGTTCCTTCCGCCAACATTACATTGAAGTCAATCCACACCGTCATCATTTAGCTGGTGACATCTTCAGATCATATCTGTTGAGATCGCAGAGGTTGCGTGCGGCGGCTAAATCCTTATTTTCAACCACCCGTATACTTGAAGGACTACCTTTACGAGTCTACGAGCAAAGATCACGAGACGCAATTCTGTTAACAGACAGATAATTGGTAAAAAGAGCCGCGGCCTGAACACCGCCGCTGTGAACAAAACGGAAAAGACACAAAAACACTAACACGTAAGAAAAGTACTCTTAAAACAACTTGAGACATAAAAAAGGGGCCAAAAAGCGGAAAACCGACCAGCGAGAAAAGGATGGAAAAAGCTAAAAAGGCATGACACGGGAAACGACGGTATTGTGGAAAAGTGATGACGTTGAAAATAGTGAAAACTAACAGCTGCATCAAATGTAGACAGTATTGGTAGGTGTCTTGGACATCTAGTAGATGCCATAGTCTTGATTCACCAGAGGTGCAAATTGAGGCATCTGCTGGAACGGAATCTGCTCGGCTGGAACCATGAAAGGACTGTTGGAAGTATAGTATCCAAATACGGGTAGCTGTGGTTGTTGTGGTTGTTGTGGTTGTTGTGATTGTTGTTGTTGTTGTTGTTGTTGTTGTTGTTGTTGTTGTTGTTGTTGTTGCTGCTGCTGCTGGTATTGGTACCGGTACTGTTGTTGTGATTGAGCATGGTCCTGATGGAAATCCTGAGACTGTTGTGGGGCAATTTGAAGATACAAGAATGGATTGTTCTCATTATCCAATGACTCGTAATCTTCTTCCTCTCCTCTCTGCAAAGGTGACTGCTGTTTCACGTGAACCTCTTGAATATGAGTTTGTGGTTCTTGGAGTTCTGGGAGAGGGTACCACTCGTGCTGGGCCTCTTCTTGCTTCACCTGGGTAAACTGCTTGACCTCCTCACTCTTCACCTTGGAAAACAACTGGACTTCCTCTTGCTTGGCCTCTTCTTGCTTGACCTCAGCAAGCTGTTCGATATCTTCGTGCTTTACTTTGGAAAACTCCTCAATTTCCTGCACCACTTCGTCCTCGTCCTTGCTACAAGCGTCCCTCTGCAAAACATCCAAAAGAGGTGAATGCTTGCCTGTCTTTCTCTTACCCTTCCTCAATTTCGATACAAAATCAACTGGCAACTTCGGACACGCACCCTCTTCGATGTGCATCTCCACCCAGATCTCATTGTTCTGGAAATGCTCGCCACACAGGCCACACCAGCCCATCTGACCAACACGGCCACTACTGCGAGTGCCTGGAGGATACTTGAAATGACGCGACTTGAGATGCGTCTTATACGTGTCTCTTCTCGAGAAACCACCAGTGGCATGACACTTGTGTGCGGCATCCGCATCGTAGAACGGACACCCAAACGCCTTATCCGTCCAGTGCTTCTTGATGTGACGCGTCAAATACCCGCGGATCTTGAACCGTGTCTCACAGTAGGGACACTGAAACTTCTTGTCAGAGGATGTCTGAAGCATTTTGAACGATGAGTACTCCGACTCGGAGTTGGAAGAAACCGGGCTGATGGAGTTGGAGTCTAGGTACGTCAGGACGGACTCATCTGCTGAACTTGCTTCGTAGCAATTGCTGTGTGGAACTCCATGACTATTATAAGCAACAATGCTGCTATTGCTGGCACCGTTAACACTGCTTGGAGAGTTCTCAGAGACAGGAGAAGGAAAGTACTGCTGGTATTTGGATTGATCCAGCAAAGTCCATTCAATTTCGCCCTTTCCGTTAGTAAACGGCACCAAGTGTGAGTTGTTGGAATCGAGAGCACATTGCTTGAGATCTGTTTTGGCAGTATCGTCGAGCTTTGGGTTCAGCTGACATAGTTTAGGGAACAAAAACGAGTTATTTCTCTTCTTGACAGGGTGCTCAACCGACAGGAAGGATTCAACGAATTGAATAACCCTGGAAAACCATACCTGAACGGTCAGCGTTATCCGGGTGAGAATATAGCTGATGATTTGCATTTGTATCACTTTCAAAGCAAAACACAACCGGCTCTGAAAGCAGTTTTGTATCACGGTTGGCGGTCACGCAACTATCAGACAAGAGTAGAGATGCAAAATTGTTTATAAGCTGATGGGAGAAGAGGTATTTGATGCTGATAGGTCTCTTCAGATTGGTGGCAAATTGCTATATGTTTCCCTGTATTGTTTGCACAAAGGAAATTTGTGGTTGTAACAATAAAAGGAAAAAGTGTCAAGGGGGAGGGGAACAGATTGGGCCAGGAGATTGACGCAAATTTGCGGCCGGGTAATAGGCGATGCGGGCGACACCGAGGTCACTGGCAGATCAAAAAATATTACGTAATAGATTTTTTTCACTTTAGCTTTTGATCTACATTATATTCTAACCTCAGCCCACAGGAAGGTGCTTTCGTATTAATCTGGCAAGAAGACTAGCTCCTTGTAAATGATATGTCTGTAATATTAGGCTCACTGGCCCATGCCTCAATCCAAGTCTCAATCTCTCTCCCTCTCCCTCTGGTGCTCGTCTACCCCCACCAATTGATACTCCTCGTAATGCTTAGGATCTTCTTCGTTTAATCTGAAGTAGTTGTACCACATAATATCACCCAGCGTTATAGCCAGTCCGAATATGTTAATCAGTGACAGTTTGTCACCAAAAATGAGAAATCCTAGCAGAATGGTTAGCAGTTCCTTGAAGATCCCAGCGATTGAAAGCGTCAAAAGGCTTGCATGAGACAACAAAATAAATTCGCTCAGTGTCATCGCAAAAGCAAGTAATCCCGGAATGATGAGCAACAAAATCGTGAAGGGTACACCCTTCTGCGCCCAGATCTCACTGGCTAAAAAGTTGCCGAGTCCCTCGACACCGCACCCGATCAAAAAGAGTAGCAGGAACATCGAAGGAGAGATGTAGAGTATAGTGAGAATTGGGTTTTTGGTGTATCTATTCTTCTTGAGAAGAATCTGCGTGAGCGCCCATCTGAGTCCTGACATACACGACGACATGAGCACCAAAAGGCATCCAATGAACAACTCTGACTGTATATCTAATCCACGGGCTCTGAGTGCCATTCTAGAGGTATCTGAATTCCCCGAGTCATCTGCTGCCCCACCAGGGACTATAGGCTGTTCCTGGTCCTTTTGGCCCCATACCATCATCACCACCCCAAACGTCATCACCAACACAATGCACACCAGTCGCAATGACAGATGCTCCAACTTGAACACGACTCCCCACAGAAGCACAAAGACCAAACTGGACGACTTGATCATTGTGTAGAGTGATAACGTGATGAACTTGAAGCTGGTGTTCCCCAGTCCAATGTCTCCTGCCGAAGATACAGAACAAGGCAAAATTTTGTAACAATAAGTCTTCAAGTCCATCCAATATGACTCCTTCGCACCCAAACGAAAGTGTGGGAAACAAAACACACATGCCAAACTCAATGTAAAAAGGATCAGCTGGTGACAGGATGTGATGAGGATCGGGTAATGGAAGTTCAGATTCGGCCCAAACATCCATTTGTTGTAAAGCGAAATAGATAGCGAAAAGCAGTACCACGACAAGATTGACGACAGAATGATCCACAGGTTTGGGTATGGGTCCGGGCGGCGAAGCCTATGCGAAGAATCCTGGTGGCCGTGCACAGAGTGCTGCCTTTGGTGCAGATGGTCCACTCGCGTCATGGCAGCGCGATATATATGATATGGCCACAAACAGCTATTGGGGGCACTGCCTTTGAAATAATGCAAAAAAGAGCGTGGTTGGACAGCTTGTTCCAGAGGGCGTTGGGGATTCGAGGTGTTGATCCTTTTTGGGCCAGAACCTGAAGACGTATCGAAAGTTGAGTTAATCGTGCAGCAAGCAAAATACTGTGCTTATGTCATCATTATTGTGTCACCAATTGACTGGACACGACAGTTCAGCGCACGATAAGTCATCGGTTGTTACACTCCTGCTTTCTGAGAAAAAGTCTGACCACTTTTCTAGCCGTGTTCTACCGGGCTTAATTGTAGAAACGTGGCCACCAGAGCTGCCTAACAATTGTCATAAGTAGAGTCACGTTTATGCTACGATCAACCACAAACCATGTCAACCATTCCTGGGCTGCCCTCTTCTGAAAATACCACACCAAGGATGCATTTATTTGGCATTTCGTCTTGGCTCAAATCATGGGCGTGTGTAAGCTAAACATGGAGCATCTCATGCGGCAAGGCACATACATGCAGACATGAAAATCACACCACTATTTGAGTCAGTTCCAGCACCAGTCTTGTAGCTTTGAAAGTCCTTGTCGATTCCTAATATTTCTTCTTTTGAAATGTAGTCCAACAATACACGAGTAGTTCTCACAAACACCATTGAAATGGAGTTTGATAACTACGATTCTATCCTGTCGTCCATACAGGACGAGACTCTCAAAGACCAAACCATTGCTCTCAGCGATATCGCAATAAAGACGGAGCCAAACGCGTTTCTGAGTCCCTATGGTTCGAGTTTGAGTCCTTCTTACTCCTCGGGCTCGAGTCCAGAGGAGTTTCTGTTTAACCCGGAATATATGAACAATGCCCTGTGGGACTTGCCTGAGCTCACCAAACAGCCCACTTCCGGGACGAGTGGATTTGACGCCTCCATGGCCAACACGGCCTCAAATGGTTCTAATGGTTCTCTAAGTGACAGTACCGGTGCTGTAGCTGCTGTTAAAAATGAGCCGACTCGTGGGAAGGGAAAGAAGATCAAATCGTCTCACAATCTGGTGGAGAAGAAGTACAGAACAAACATCAACTCCAAGATTGTGGAGTTGAGGAATTCCGTCCCAGCCTTGAGAATTATCATCTCCAAGAATATGAGAAACAATAGCGTGTCTTCGCAGGATCAGAACGAAGACGAAGACTACGACGATTATGAGGGATATGGCTACACTGACGATGAGTCCAAGCTGGACGGTTTGAAGCCTGCTAAAAAACTCAACAAGGCAACGATTTTGTCGAAAGCGACCGAATATATTCGCCACTTAGAGTGGAAGAACTCGTTGCTGCAAGATGAGGTCAAACGGTTGAAGAATGACCTGGAAAGTTCATCCAGAGACATTCTGCAGAGCATTGATCCTAGCCAGGGAACTCGTCCTCGTCATAACCAATCACAGGGACTGAACAATCCCGCTGCAAATGGAACAAGTCTGACCAATAAGCTTCTTCTTGGTGGAATGGCGTGCTACATCGGCTCTTCTGCCTTTGACGATTTTGACGGCTCCGAAAGCTCGTATTCCAGACACGGACTGTTTGCTCTGCCTATCCTTTCCATTGGCGATTCCGCTTCCACACAGACGAACTTGTTGAAACCTATGTTTGGAATACTTAAAATGCTTTTTGTGATGGGAGTGGTGTGGTTTTATGTGCTGCTTCCACTTATTTCAGAGCCTAGACCAAAAAATGGCAACGCCAGGTTTGTGCAGCTGTATCGTCTGGTGGCTTCCAGTGATCCTATAGTGAGGTTTATCAACTTGTCAAAAATTAAGAACCAGTACTGGGTTCAAATATTTGGTCCCTCCATCTGGAACGCCCTTCCCAGAGATCGCTTTTCCGAAAATGAGGCTTATCTCTTGGATAACTACCGGTTTGCAGATGTGGCTGGTCTTCTTCCTCTTGTCGCAGAGTCCGAGACCGGAACCGAGTTTTTCAAGAAATTGGCCCAGCTGAAGTCTCAGGAGGTTTTCAACAGTTCTATCAAGGATATGACCAATTCGTACCACTCTACGGTTCCGCGCGCGCAGGTTCTGTCTGAGTTGATCGACTCGATACAGCTGTTGGACCACAACAGCGACAATTACGTGAAACATCTAATCAAATGCTCCATTCTTTCAAGCATTGCTTCTCCATCAAAAGAGGGTCTTTTCAAATGTTTCAAGCTGGTTCAGGCGAACCCAGATCAAATAGACCAATCAATGGTGCTGTGTCTAATGTGTTCGATAGTCAATTTCCACTTCAGACTGACACACAACTCCGCACTTGCGATGAAATGGTTTGAGAAACTTAATATTCCTCATTATACTGAGAATTTCAAGATGGACCCTATGGGCTTCGTTTCGCTGTTATATATCGTTGATGATATCCCGATCGAGAGAGAGGGTGACTTGCGTCCAACAAATTCCGAAGAGGAAAGCGCTACAGAAGATACCAGCGATGAATATACGCTATCGAGAAATAACTTTAAAATGCTGAACATTCTGGGCAACATGCGGATATTCATCGGCAACAGATCCGACCAGGACTGCGACCTTAAAGTGAAAAATCAGATGGTGGAGAGCTTCGTTTCCAAGCTCGAGATGTTGAACGGATTTTGAGGCGCAACTAAATTGAAAAAAAAAAACACACAAAAACAACCATAATGTTTTCGCAAATACGCATTTTATTCTAGTAACATTTTTATATATTTTATATATATAAGAAGTCCGTACGAAGTGGGAGTCGTAGAATGTTAGCTAGTGCTGACATAATGCAAGAATGCTGATATAAGCCCGGAGCTTCTCGTTACGAGCCCTCACCCAAAGTCGATCCCGCACCGTTCCATGGACAACTCACTGCTTTCACCGTCAGCCAAGGGGGAACCATTTTGAGCCTCCCGATCCAATTCGCGTATAGAGCGATTCCATCGTATTTGAACGACGTGGGGTGTTTCAATTGACCGGTTCCTTGCTTTGTTCAACGACACCGAGACAGCATGTACAATCCCTACCAGGGTTTTAACCAGTACAATGGCTACCAGCAGCCTCAACAACAATCTGGCTATGGATACCAGCAGCCTGGATTTCAGCCACAGCAGACAGGCTTCCAGCCCCAACAGACAGGATTCCAACCCCAGCAGACAGGATTCCAACCCCAACCCCAGCAGACAGGATTTCAACCGCAACAAGCCGGATTCCAGTCTCAACAAGCCGGATTTCAATCAACCGGAATTCAGGCTGAGAACCGTGATCTGAAAATCCCTAGCATCAGACTCACTTTTATCTCTGCCCAGGATCAAGAAAATTTTGAACACTTGTTCCGAGCCAGTGTTCCCAAAGGAGAGAATTCCATTGACGGAAATGCGGCTAGAGATATTCTTCTAAAGTCCAACCTTTCTCCGCTTCAACTGGCAGAAATCTGGCAGTTGGCTGATACAACGAAATCTGGTAAGTTGCTGTTTCCAGAGTTTGCCCTGGCCTTACACCTTTGCAATGGCGCTATCAAGGGTGAGCCCATTCCCTATGATCTCCCACTTAAGATCAGGAATGAAGTAAGTTCATTCGTTGATGTGATCAGTTTCAACGTGGACGATAGTAAGGACTCGATTCCACAAAATACTCCTTTTACTGAGGCGATCAAGGCTCAGCAGACAGGATTTGGAAACGGGTTTCAACAGCCACAACAAACTGGATATGGGTTTAACCAAAATGGCGGTGGAGTTGTTCCTCAGCAAACCGGGTACCAACCACAGACCTCTTTCCAGAATGGCATTGGATCTCAACAGACCGGATACCAGCCACAGCAGACCGGGTATCAACCCCTGGGACAGCAAAAGACTGGAGGTCTTCCCATACAGGCTACTGGTTTCAACCAGGGCGCTGGTTTTGGCTCACAAGTCTCTGGTTTAGTTTCTCAACAGAATGGCTTCAATGCACCAGCTGCTGGAAACCAAACTGGTCTGGCACCACAACAGACCGGGTACCAGCCTTTGGCGCAACAGAAGACCGGAACATTTCAGCCTTTGACGCAACAGAAAACCGGAACATTCCAGCCTTTACTTCCACAACAGACTGCCGGTTTGGTTCCACTGGGAGCCCAAAGAACAGGTGGATTGGTTCCTCAGCAGACCGGATTGCTACCCCAACAAACTGGTTACCAGCCTTTACAGCCACAAGCAACTGGATTGATGCCTCAACCCACTGGGTTGACCGCGATGCCTACCGGAAGACCTGGCCAGTGGGGATTCGTCTCAATGCCAACTGGCGGATTGCCCGGCTTGGAAATGATGCAATCGCATTTCCTTCCAGGCTCGTCTTCTCAGACCTCGCAGCTTAACTCAGCGATGAATGGTGGTTTCCAGACCCAGGATGTCCCATGGGCCATCACCAAGAATGAAAAAATGATCTATGATAACATCTTCAAGCAATGGGATAAAGAACGCAAAGGGTTCATTGATGGTCCCTCTGCCATTTCCATATTTGGCAAATCTGGTCTCGCGAGACCAGACCTCGAAAAGATCTGGACTCTAGCTGATCTCAGTAACCGTGGAAAGCTGAATAAAGACGAATTTTCAGTGGCAATGCATTTGGTGTACAGGAGGTTGAACGGGTTGGATATTCCAAATTTCCTGCCTCCAGAATTGATTCCCCCTTCGTCTAAGATGCTGAAGGAAACGATGAACAACATCAAGGGTAAGCTGTTCAACGATTCTATCTCGAATAAACCCAGACAGTCAGCTTCTGGTCGTACAGATGGAACAAGGTTTAAGAATGATGATGAAGATATCGGTTACGTGAGCAGTTCTAGATACGGGCGTGGTAAAAAAGAGACGAAATCTGATTCTTCAAATGCAAAACTTTCGGTTGAGGAACTCAAGAAGCTCGTTCATGAAAGGCAGATTATTTTGGATGCTATAGACGCCAAAGACCAGGATTCTACTGCGGCTTTCACAGAGCAGAAGAGCCTAAATGAAATTGAGCTTTTGAAGACGAAGATCAAAACAGCACAATCATCAATCAACTCAGCTGGAGAGGCCACAAATTTGGAACAGCGCCAGGCGCTTGGAAAGAAACTGGATGAGATTTTGGACAAGGTTCCCCAGCTTGTTTCGTTGATTGAAAAGGTGGATTCGGAGATCAAAGATGCGAAAATACAGCTCTACAGAGTGCAAATATCCAAGGAAAATCCATCGGGTATCGAAATTACCGGAACTGGGCCAAATGGAACTGTCACTGATGGTGATCGAAGACTGGCCAAATCTCGGGCTACACTTCAGGCAAGAATGGCTGCCTTGACGGGTAAACCGGCACCCAATCTGGCTGCATGGGAAGACAACGAGACGAAACTGACCCAGGAGATTGAAAAGCTTACACTGGAAACAGTTAGAGAGCAGAAGGAAGTGAAGGAAATCGGCGCTTCCATTGGAGAACTTGCTAAGGGAGCATCATCCAGCCTTAGACTTACCAACTCATCTTCTGTAGGGTTTGAGAAGTGGGAAAAAGGCGATGGTGTCACCTCTAGTGAAGTGAAGGAGTTCATTCGTTTACTGAATGATTCCAAACCTGCCCCTCAGCCTAAGAAGGAGTCGGCGGTGATCCCACAACCAGCTGTTGCCGCTTCTTTTTCTCCTTCGGTTCCCGACTCAACGTCTCGTCAATCGCAATCGCCGGCTGTATCTTCCACTTCATCCACACCATCGCTCGCGTACAGTGCATTCAAATCAGCTGAGGACCGTGCCAAACACATCAAAGAACAGGCTGAGAAGAGGATGAACGAAAGGCTCGCAAAATTGGGTATTTCAAGAAGGGGCGCTCAAAAGGCTGAAGCAGCACCAGATTCACCGCCGCCTCCTGCTGTTGTTGCCCGGTCCGATGTAACATCGCCAAGGGCACCTCCTGTTCCACCAGTTTCTCGTCATTCTACAGCAACTCATAAACAACCAGTAAAGGAGGTGGAAAAAGAAAAAGAAGAGGAATCTTCAGGTGATGATGATGACGACGAGGAAGAAAGAGAGTTACAAAGGTTGGTGGAGGAGAAGAAAGCTTTGGAAAACAAAGAGAAAGAGAGGAAGCTAAAGAAGAAACAAGAGAGAGAAGCCAGATTGGCGAAGCTGAAGCAGGAGATGGAAGATTTGAAGAAAAAAGAAGAAGCTGATGACTCCAGTGACGACGAGTTTGAAGATGCCAAACAGTCTCAAACGCCCGTTGCTGCCACTCCAACCATTTTAGAGCCCAAGAAAGAGGTTATACAGGATCACAATCCGTTTGCAAAATTGGCCGCTCAACAGCAGACCGGAAAGTCGAACAATCCGTTCTTCAAACCACAAGTACCTACCGAGGAGAAGTTCGATGCTAAAGCAGCCGAAGCACAGAGAAATGCCCAGCGTGGTGTAACTGCGAACGGTGATGATGATGATTGGAGCAATTCAGATGTTGCTTCCGATGACGATGATGACCTTGGAGTTTCGCGTGGCTCTGGTCCAGCTCATTTAGCCAACTTGTTGTTCAAGGGGATGGGTGCTGGCTCGAATTCTGAGAGTTCGACGCCTCCACCAGTTCCAGTGACGGCTGCTGCGCCCGTTGCGCCAGTCGCTCCTGCTGTGCCTGCTGCACCACCAGTGCCTACCCAGGAGCCCGAAGTTGTGAAGGAAGCAGAAGTTTCGTCCGAAGAGCCCGAAGAACACAACGAGAGCGTTTCTATTCCACCAATTCCGACCGCTCCAGCCCTGCCAACAAACTCGGCTCCACCGCCACCTCCAATTCCAAACATGGGTGCACCTCCACCACCACCTCTTCCAAGCGTTGGAGCCCCACCACCTCCACCACCCCCATCGATGCCCTCGAATGGCTCAGCACCAGGGGGCGGAGCCCCCGATATCGGAGCTCTGTTAGGACAGATCAACATGGGAAAGTCGCTGCGCAAGGTCAATGATGAAGAAAAGCATATTGTTGAGAGCGGGGTCACTGGAAAAGTTCTCTAATTACATATGCCGAATCAAAAGCACGGACGCCTGATTTTTGTATCTTTACTCTATATTCTACAAAGCATGATTAAAAGTGAGAGGAGATTTTAGAAGAGAGATGATGTAAAATGTCTAGGAAGTGATCCAGAACAAAACGCAGCCAAAATATCTATTTATTTTCTTCAGACGATATATCAAACGATATACATGTCTATTATACGTCCCTTTCAGAAATGCACAAACTTTTGCGAAAGAGCTGCGGAATCGTTCAAATTAGTATACTCCGACTTCTCTGTCCTGCTGTTCTCCATCTTGGAGTTCACCTGCTTGTAAAGTTGGGTGAGATAGTCAGGGAAAGAGGGAGTCAGGTCAGTTGCTTGGTCCTCGTACAGGTACTCCACGAACTCGGCCTCGTTGGGGTCAATTCGGAACCTGCAAATATGGACCGGAACGAAGTCCGATCCGAGAAAGAATTTGGCATAGTACTTGCACAGATTGCGCAGTTGCAACGATATGTGAGTATCGATCTCTGGCAGGTCGCTTGAGTTTGGGTCTAGTTGCTGCAAGCTGGTGACATGATCGCCGAACAGATCTTGCAACAGCAGTGGGTTCACATCAGTGTGTAGCCACAGTAGAAGATGCGTCGGTCTCAACATTAGATATGCACCACCATATTCCAGAGAACTTCTGGAAAGAGGAACAGATTTGGGCAGGTTCAGTATGCCAGTCTCCTGGTCAAAAATGCACTCGTCTTCATCCAGGTTGTGGATGGCCATTAGCTGAGGATACAGAAACGAGGAAACTAATGCAGTTGGCGAATAAGCAAGGTTGAACACCGATTGGACTCTCATATCCGGGTTCGTCACCCTTTCCTTGAAGGCTCTAGACTTTTGCGACGAAAGCACAAACATTGGCAAAGTCTTCAAGCCAGTGGGGAAAACCAACTGGCCAGGCATAGACGTGTGCTGGGCCACCAGCTTTCTGTAATTGGCAAAGAGCTCGGCCACCTGTAGAGTCAGTCTATTTCGCAGTGTGATAAGGTTCATAGAAGGCAACTTGCTGATACTGGCCCTCAGCATCAAAGAGAGAACTGTATCTTGATCAGCAAAGGCGAAGACATCACTGATACGATCAGTAACTGAGATTATCGCGTTAATGACTCTCACCTTCCTAACACCGTCAGCAGAGGTATAAAGGAGAGCAGCTTGAAAGTGAGCGTCATACTTTGTATTAAGTTTCCCGTCATACTCAAATTCACATGCAACAGATGAGTCTTCGTGAAGAATCGGTAAAAGAGGGTCCGTGGATTCACCCGAGGTTGCGAATGCTCCATAGTACTTCGAAACTTGCAAGCCACTAGAACAACGCACCTTCAGTTGACCTTGGTAGCCCGTAGAGCGTGTGACAGAGTTCTTGAAGGAGTTAAAAAATTCTCTCTCGTCTCTCTCTATATTGAAGTCAGTCCATGACTTCACAACACCTCCTGTCGAGCGCGCAACGAGGCCGACGTTTGCCAGATCCACCGGGGACCTTGACACCACAAATACATCTAGACCACTTGTCTGTTTGGTGTAGTCTTTGAGGAGAGCCTCAAAATATGCGTTTGAAGCCGAAAGAACTTCTTTGTCGTATTCAGCAGCAGCCATGTTACCTTGAAGTTTCACCTTCAGGGCACCAGGGCCCCAAGAGGGAAGAGACGACAGACATGCCGTAACCTTGCCTCCACCTACAATCGACAATGCTTGCAAAGCAACAGTCAGAGCAGCGCCAAAGCATGGCTCGGGAATCTTGCTGGCCCCCATGGTCTCTATATAGAGCAAGGTAGTCTCAATGATGTGACGAGACTCCTGAGGGTCAGCAAAAAGACCCGCGTGGATTGGCAAAAACGGGTCATCAAGATCAGAAACGGTTCCCAGAGTAGTCTGGGTCAACCGCGGATCAAGATTGAAGAAATGCAGCTGCTTGTCGTAGGCGATGAAGCACACCTTGGCCCCATCTGGCAAACCAGAGTCGTCTCCAGACCCATACAAAACGTACCTAATGGCAGAGGCAGTGGCCATCTGCGCCTGGAGATCATATGCAGATGCACTGACATCAATGAGAAAGACGTGATTCAACGGAACTGGCTCTTTCTCTTCGAAGTAGTACTCGGGTGGAACGATGAAGTCCACCGTCCCCGAGTACAGCTCTGGTCTCTGGCCATAATCAACACGAATTCCCTTGGAATCGAGCGGGGCGGCATATTTCCCGTTCGTGGGACTCTCATAGTGACACATGTTGCAGATCATGGTGTATCCATTGGTATGTTGCATTGCCGGATTCACATACGCTCTGCACCGTCTGCAACGGGGAGGTCCACCAATCTCGCATAAATCAACCTGCGGGATTGCCGTATCGGTGAACTCTCTCGGCGCAAACGGTCTCACCATCAGACCCAGTGGAATTTTAGAGGCATTCTTCAGCTGCTTGGTAGTGGGAATATTGTACATGGACATTCTCATGAGCTTGGGCGAAGCATTGCCCTGGTCCACCACCAAGTACTGGCTTCCTGCTGGAGGAGGACACGCGTTTTGGAAAGTCAGGAATTGACGGTTTTTATATTCGGTTTCGGCCAAATGTCTTTGCACCGGGACAGAGAGCAGTTCTGATTCTGAGAGGGCTGGTGACGGATTTGCGTGGTTGGTGGGTTGAGGCTGCAGCTGACCGTTTGGAACAAAACCAGGTTGATTCTGAACTTGTTGAGCTTGTTGAGCCTGTAGCTGAGGTATCTGCGGGTACTGCTCAGCCTGCACTTGATCAGCCTGCATCTGTCCTCCGTTGGCAAAAGTGCCAGCGCCACGTTCCCCTGTTTCAGCCATGAGGTCAGTATGAAAAGCATGGTTCATCACCCTTTTTTTCCGCCCAGACCGAGTAGACTGCTGCTCTTGCGCGATGTTCACGTTCTGCATGCTATCCGTCAACTGTTGGAGGTTGGGATCGTGCCCAGGCTGCTCCGGAAAGTACGACATGCGGAGCGGTGTTGGTTTCAGCAATTTCAGATGATTTGAAACACCCTCTCTCAATATTATTGTCGCCAGTTCGAAACTGCTTCCTAGTTCTGTTTGCTGCTTGGATCGACAGAACACGCCCAGTGGACCGCCTGGTGTTTACGACGAGCTCGAGGTCGCGATGATCTGGGCACGTGACCCGTGAAAAGTTCCCAGGGCTTTTCTCTGTTTACCGTTGGACGCGCTCAGGTACGCGTTTTTCCTCTGTGAGAAACCGTACTCCTTGCTGGAAATTGAGAATTCGAAGCAAAATGGGTGTGACTGGCTTGCTCCCGCTTTTAAAGGCGGCTCAGGTTCCATGCAGCTTGGAGGATTACAGGGGAAAAACGCTGGCCGTGGACTCGTATGCCTGGTTACACAAGGCTGTTTTCTCGTGCGCAATGGAGCTGGTCAGAGACCAACCCACGCAGAAATATATATCGTATATGATGAGACGAATTGATATGTTGCGGCATTTTGGGATTGAGCCCTACATGGTGTTTGACGGCGACTATCTCCCCACTAAAGCGGGAACCGAGAAGGAGAGGGCCGAAAGGAGGAGAGAATACAAGGCGCTGGCCGAGACAGCGGTGCGGAAAAACGACAAAAAAACTGCCTTTGGATGTTTTCAGAAAGCATGTGATGTTACTCCTGAGATGGCAAAGTCTTTAATCGACGTTTTGAATGATAAGGGCATCAAGTATGTGGTGGCTCCGTACGAGGCAGACTCTCAAATGGTGCATTTAGAGAAGCTCGGAATAGTGGACGGAATCATCAGCGAGGACTCGGATTTGTTAGTATTTGGGTGTAAGCTTTTGATCACCAAACTGAATGACAAAGGCGAGTGTGTTGAGGTGAAGCGCGACAATTTCAGCAAGTGCAAGGCAACTCCCATCAACACCTTCACCGAGGAGCAGATGCGCACCATGGCGATCTTGAGTGGGTGCGACTACAGTAAGGGAATTTCCGGTATTGGAGTCTCCAAGGCATTTTGGCTCATCAAAAAATACCACACGATAGAGAGGATTTTATTATCGCTCAAAATGGAGGGCAAGTACACCATTCCAGAAAACTTTGTCAGCGAGTACAGACGGGCGTCATTGGCATTCCAGTACCAGCTGGTGTTCAATGTAAAAACCGGAAAGGTTCAGAGTCTGAATGAACTCCCAGCCGAAGGAATAGAGGAATCCACCGAAGAACTGGCATTGTGTGCTGGAAACATGGATTCGCATGATATACACAAGGCTGTTGCTATGGGGTTGCTCAATCCAATGACCAAACAACCTCTCCATTCCAGAGAGACAAGTTTAACCGGAAAGACCACAATGGCTACTCCTGCAGTCAGATCTGCCACCACAACTGAATCCGGTAGCGCTGTCAGGAATGTGTTCAGGACGTTCTCTACTCCAACGCCAAACAGAGGGTCTATTGATAGTTTCTTCACCAAGACACCCGATCTCACGACTGTGCAATCTGTGAGAAAACTGAGCCCCCAGAAGAGCATGAAACTGTCGCCTGTTTCCAAGAGAAAGAAGATCCTTTTTGGTACAAACGATGGAAAAGGAACACTAAGTTCGTTCTTTACACCAAATACAACCTCAAAGACCGGGGTTATGAACACGAACATGCAGGAGAGACAATTGCAAGAGACACCTTCCAGAAAGCCATTTGCTACTCCCAAATCGGACGACTACAATATCACGGATCTGGACGATGATGATGTGGCTGAAATATCCCCAGTTACTAGAATGTTGCCTATAGAGGTGAAGGAAACTGTTGTCGATCTGTCTCCTTCTGTCACCTCTCCCAAATCTGAAGATTTGTCTGAGCTGGAAGACAGCCCAGTTCGCTCAAGAAAGCAGTCTGAGGTTGCAGCTGTGACTGTGTCCTCATTGAAGGAAAAATTCGCACTAAAGCCAATCACCAACCTCAATCTTGACAATGTCAACCTGGAAACATCCACTAAGGCACAACCGGTATCGCGCACTATCTCGCTTACTACCCACGCCCGGGAACTTTCTCTGCAATCTTTTGCATATAGACCATAAGTGACACCGAATGTGACATTTATCGTTTCCAATGTTTTTCGTTCATAAAGCATATATTCTCAATGCATTAATGAGGTAATCGTGGTAGAGATATCCTGCGTGCGGCGCAAAGTTGACCAGGTGCATAAAGTATGGGGCAAACTCGGTTTCGGCACACGACCTCATCACCTAAATATTCGACCGCGTCTTGTTCCGGCTCTCATCTCTACATATAGATCACAGAATGGCCACCGAAACGAAATTGAAGTATCTGGAAGACATATTTTCGTCTGTTGGCAGGGATGTATTGCTGGAAATTCTCATATCCTGCGATGGCTCGGTGGAACAAACCGAATCTCTATTATCCGAGCAGTTTCCTGTAGACACGAAGCGGAAGGCGAAATCGGCCGCGGTTTCTGGGCACCAGAAAAAGTCCAAGTACCAGCGCTCGATTTCGCAGCTGATTGACTCAAATAGTCTGCCAACGAAGGTGGAGTCTACTTCCAAGAAAATGCGCCTTTTCACGAAAGAAGAGATCGAGGCTTCTGTGCCCTATGTCACGTTCAAGAGAGACTTTCTACCAGCAGAGGTTGCGAACAGTCTGCTAGAAGAGCTCCTATCTAAGCAAGATATTTTCACCCCTAACACATTTTTCATTGCAGGAAACAAGTGTGTGGCTAATCACAAGACAAAAGTTTTCACAGCTTCGGATGATGACGAACGACTGCAGTACGATGTTGAACTTAGTGGTGGAAAACTTGATATGGGTAGTTTTGGCGATAGCATGCGGATTGTACAATGCCTTGTTGAGGATGAGGTAGAGGCGTTGAGTCAATCCAGAGAGAAACACGATTTCCAGCCAAAAACGAAATGGACAGGGGATATTGTAGTGGCTAACCTGTTTTGTGAGAAATCCAGCAATTTGGACTGGCATTCTGATAGACTCACCAAGATAGGCCCTCTACCGGTGATTGCTTCTATTTCTGTGGGTGCAACGCGAGATTTTAGAATCCGAAAGATCCACCCATTCAACAAAAATCCAAACCCTATCATCTCCATACCTTTACCTCACAACACGCTACTGGTGATGCACGCGGGGTTTCAGGAAGAATATAAGCATTCTGTTGCACCTTCTTCTGGTCCCATAGAGGGCCATCCGATCTCTGGGCAGAAGCGTTTCAGTCTGACTTACAGGCAGTATCATCCGGGTCTGGTCGATTGTGCACCTACGTGCTCCAAATGCGGCAGTGCAATGCTCCTGAGAAGGATGTACAAAAAAGTGGAAAACAGGGGAAAATACTATTGGTCTTGTATGGGATCGTATGCCAATAAGGAGTGCAAAGGATTTTACTGGGCTAATTTTCGGAATCTGGATACTCCAAACTCGAAGGTATATACCACGGAGGAGTCTGAGTGCTCCGAATGGATAGCAGATGACGATACCGCGAAAGCTGCGTATTTAATGACGAGAAGTTAGTGATCTATGAAATGAGTTGCAGTCCTATTGTGGGGTAGGAAAGCCGAAAGTTTTCAAAAATTGATTTAGATATCTTCAGGAACGTCAAGTTCGGAAACAAGCCATTGACTACATTTTACCAAGTATCTCACCATTTATTTGCTCCAATTCATCTTCGTTTATTGCATAGTAGCTCAGTGTGATGGAAAGCTGGGTCACGTGCCACATGTCTTATCAGCCGCATATCTTTGATTGCTTCTACAAACTGGACTTGCTGCATCTTCTTCTTCCTCCGCAAAATATTGAGCACCTAAACGTGATACAATTAGTGAACAGAACAATATGTCAGTATGGGCCAGCGGAGTTGTAAATTCAGTGAGAGACAAAGCCATACGGCAAGTGGATGAAAAAGTGATGCCGTTCGGACTGAAATTGGGAGACTTCTCCAGCCTGTTGTCTGCGGGAATTGAAGAGGATTCTGGTGATGAAAGTGAGGTTACGATGTTGGAAGAGCCCAGTGTTGGCGAGATTGTGATTCAAAAACGTAGGGACATGGTGCTTGGTGAACGCAACAAAACCAGCAGCACAGAATACACGGTGGAGATCAGCCTCCCCAGCTGGTTGGACGAATCTGCAGTGGATGCACCTACAGTTGCAGTAGGAGTAGAGGAACTTGCTAGAAGTTTTGACAAGGCCTTGACGGACAATCCGGAAGCGTTTCAAAGACATTATGCAAGTGCTCTGGCACGTTTGATGGACGGGCCGGGAGACAAAGATACATTTTTGGATGAAGTTTACTTGGAACTGGATCCTGAGATCAAGTTCAGACTATTCAAGCAGTGTTTGGGTGATTCAAGGTTCGTGGGAGCGTTCAGAAACTGGGCCAAGAAAGATTCTGGTCAGAGTCCACCTCGACAGCAACCGGAATCTGATTACCACAAATTTCTGAAAGACGGTTATGGGTTAAACACAGGGTCACATGGCAATCTTCAGAGCGGGTATACGTTTGAGGAGTTTCTATTGCGAGTTATCGACTCTGTCTTGACCATAGCGTTGAGTCTGTGGAGTCGGTTGTTTCTGGCAGTGTATCCTCTGATTGCTGTATTTTGGCTAGAAGCCAGGAAACTCAACCAGAGGTACGAGGCTACCAACAGACTTGCCAGGTTTTCCATGAGACTGGTGTTGTTAGTTCTCGACAAGCTAGTTGCTCTAGTTGGAGTGGGACCGATAGGTAAAGACCAAAACCCAAAAAGGACCAAGAACAACAAGAGAACCGCCCAGGGCAATAAGATCGCCTGGGACTATGCCAAGCCGGCACTGGACTCTATTTTCGATTATGCCCTTTCTACTTATCGAGAGGGGTGAAACAGTACTAAAAATATACCGAAATTTACCGAGATTCCATTTTAGTATTCCGCACTCCCAAGAGCGTGTACCCTCCACTTCTTTCCTCGACCACCAACATTCTTGGATAAACATCAATATATCTGAATTTTGCAAATCTTCCGATTTATTCTCTGGAATCAGGTTGATATCTATAATATTCTTTTTTTGTCGTCTTTTCCCTTTGTGTAGACTCATTGCCGTTGTCGTTTCAGCCACTATGTGCCAGTCAAAACCCCTAATCCAAAAAATCAGGCGCGCTCCTACCAAAAACACGCCAAAAATTGATAGGAGACCGAGTAGGGTTTGGCAGACAAACATGAGATGGCAGAGAGAGAGAGATAGAGAGAGTAAATGTGATAGATCACGACACCCAAATGGCAAATTTAAGACTTTGAAAGCAACTGCAACAAGAATATCACTATGCATATTCTGCTCAGGCAAAAATCCATTATCTTAACTGTAAATTTGGCGAGAATACGCGCACAAACCTTTTCACAACATGTTGGTTCATGCACGATAAAGGTAAACAACAGGCACGTCTCTCCTCCCGTCGATTTGTTGCAGATGTTGTGGTTCTTCTTCTGTGTTGTATGCCGTTTCCTTTCTATACTTCTTGAAATCACTGGTTTAACAGGTCTTTGACTATTTCCTGGACTATTGCACTTAGTTTTGCACTAGCTCTTTGCGCTTGCTTTCGCGCCTGCTTTTGCTTGTTGATCTGATCTCACAAACAAGACTACAAAGGCCTCGCTTTTCACCAGCAACTTTCTCCGTTGTTGACCCCTTTTTCCCTTTTTTTTAGTTTATTTGCTATCGGCAACTTATTGGCAATCAGTTGCCATTATACAGGCCATTCAGTTGCCTGTATCTGTTTGAACTTTCACACACAATGAGCGCGGACACTCCGAACATCGACCAAGACTTCACTTTGTCTGAAGAACAACTATCAAGCCTCATGTACGGTACTGTCACCGACGACAACAAGATGTCGAGCTCAGCTGAAAGTACTTTGGTTGAGGAATTTGGCAAAAATACAGACAAAATCTTCGACGACATGATATTGGATCAGGATTGGATAGACGATATGCTCACTCCTTCGATTGACAACCCGCCCACTTGCGGGTCTAATACGGATATCAATGAGTCAGAGACATATACACCACCAGATGATTCACATATGTGGTATCGGGACCAAAATCTCGTGGATTTGGCCACAGAAGCTCTGCAGTTTTTCATTGGCGAACGCCGTTCTAAAGGCATTAGGCTCGACGAGAGCGTGAGACAATACCTGTCGGGTTACATGATGGCCAAAGGTGAAGCCATCGCTCCTCATCATCTTGAGCAAATGCTGACATTTTTCGAGCAGGATCAACAGCTCAAAAAGGCACACACAAGCCTTAGGCTCGGCAGGCTCAACGAATCGCTGCGAGAGTTCCACCTTTCACGCAATGCTGCGATACGAGAGTCCAGAGATCTCATAAGTGACATTTCAACTCCCTTGTCCGACACGAGTACGGCAACAATTCCCGATCTTGACGACACTGCTAGGAGGAAGCAGTATCGTGCGCGCGCCATGAGCACCAACAGCAATATCTCAACACCAACAGATGACACCACAGACTCTGAAAGACCCGCTTGTCTTTCTAGAGTCGTAATGAAATTCCAGCCCTTTGACAAAAGCGTGAATGGGTTTTCTCTATCGCAGTTTGGTGCACTCAATGGTTCATTTTACTCGGACCGGGGTGCGTTTTCCGAATCGCTTAAACCAAAGAAACCTCATGCTGAAAAAAACACCTTAATCACGATGCTAAAATCTCTCTACAAGGCCAATTCAGTCTCCACAGTGCTCCACGTGAATGTCCCAATTGACATCTCTTCTCAGTCGATCGGAATTGACCTCGAGGTGGGCAAGTTCGTTTCCTACGCAGATGTGGTTCTGGATATCGGACATTTTCTCGGCTCTGCGACCACATTTTCAAGCAACTACTCGCGTATGTTGAACCTGAGGTCGGTGATAACCATATACGAAGGCGATATGGTTCTCATGCGCAGAACAGAACCGATATCTGCAATCATTGAGGGCGAAGAGGCCGAAACAAGCAGCCAGATAAGGCTGACTTTGCCTCTTACTGCCAAATACTGGTCTGCCTTCATAACCGGATTTCAAAATGGATCGGTTGAGTCTTCCAAGATTGACAGCGTGTTGATCACGCACTCTGTCTATCTCGACGATGATCTTTGTGGCCGTGTCAGCTCTTCCAAAAAGCACATCCCGATCCTCAAGGCTTTCTGGGAGTTTTCTGTCATGGACAGAGCGAAAAATCAGCTGAAATACGATGTTCTCAAGCCTGGGGTTTTTAGGCAGGTCGACTTTGCTGTCCCAAAGATGGCCTCCCGCTCGGGGTCTACAAGCACGCCGCTGTGGCCTCTGACTGAGGAACGCTTCGAGTCGTTTTCAAGGGGCCATAAGCGAGTTAGATCTCGGTCACTGGGAAATCTTGAAGATGCGGATCTCCGGCAGGCTACAGCTGCTGCGAAGAGTAACAGCCTTAGAGAAGTTCCAAGTCCCGGGGCCAACCCGCCAGCAGATGACTCAGCAGCCAATACACCAATATTGTTTCAAAACCAACCTTCATTCCCGGGCTCGTTTTCAGACCGGGGCTCTCCTATGCTTATGACTTCACCTTCTCCTAACGCCGCAAATATGTCTCTCTCCATGGATGTTCAGTCAAAGCAGCAGCTTCTGGTGCAGCAGTACCAAATGCAGGTGAAAGAAGCACAATTGCGTTTCTTCCAGGCACAGGCTAATGTTTTGCAACAGGAGCAGACAAACATGTCACCAACTCTGAATCAAGCGCCTTTGAGCATGCCCAGACCGGGTATCTTTAGGTCAACATCACACTCAGGATTCTCTGCATCGGTAGGTCTTGGAATTGGATTTGGAAGTAGCACAGATCACGCTCATTCACCGCTGGCCATGGATACTCCATCGAAAATCCAAAGGCCTCAGGATGTAACTGCAGCCCAGCGCAGTATGAGCAACAGTTCCAGCGTTCCATCCAAGGCACCAATCGCACGTCTCAACTCTTTCTCGAGTACAATTTCTTCGAGCACTCACCACGTTGCTAAACAGCCAAGCAACTACAGGAAGGCCAACCCAGGGGAGTTGACTATCCAATTTTATAATCCAGTTGAGTATAGTTGAGAAGCAAAGAGACTAACATTGTTGTTAAATGGCTTCATTGATTGAAGTTGATTTACCAATTTGTCATAGCGTATTCAGGGACGGTGTACGGAGTCATAACTTATTGCAGGACAATTTTAAGGACCGAAGACAATGAAACAATTGCCAATGACCAACCGCCTCGGTAACTGGCGCTCGTTTTGATCTAATACTAGTTTATCACTTTTTGTTTTCATCATTTTACACAGACACTCATATTCATCTCATGGCCACCAGATCATTCTATGCTTGATCTTTTTTATCAAGAAACTTGTCGATTCTATTGTAATATAGATGCAAAAACATCATAATATTTTGAGAGGTAGCTCATCCAAGTAGCAATGCCTTAGGTCATGTCTGGTGTTTCCAAAAAAGGAACAATGCGCGCATGGCCATTGCGCGGCTCAAGTAGAAGTTGTGAGCGGTTGACCCGAAATACTAATGCTCGGTTGATCTTTTTGAAAGCAAAAGGGGAGGCTTGGACATTGAGCCCTCACCAGGAACGTATTGAACCTTGGCAGGAGTTTTCTGCATTAAGAAAATAACAGGCAATGCATGAAATGTTGGTGCACACAACAAACGAGATCGCTTAGATATGACAATGAACACCGTAGTAACTTCCTTCCGAAAAGAAAACACTCGTGCCGCGAGATATTGACAGGTTCGGCTGTTTGCATTCAGAATATCCACAATATTTTAGGGAGTGGCGGCGAAACATGCAAGCCTTCGCTGGTACGGCATTAGGCAATTAAGAATGCCCTACGTTCCATGGAAGAGTCACCCCCTTCATAAACTTGGTAAATGTCACGAGAGCCTGGCCAAGAATGCTAGCCAGCACCTTACTATTCAACATTCACAGCCACACTGACATCTTTAATTATCATCTTGCGGCATTCCGGGTATAAGGTCATAATTACACTGAAATCGCTCAGTAAAGCCTTTGATGAAGGGTGCATGAAGACCTGCACGGTGTTCTGCACCTCTGTCTAAAGCGATTTATGGGTTGAGGTCTACGTATCCACCTTGGCTCATGTATATATATATGATTGTGAATTGTTCTACTGTCAGCTAGGTTATTCAACTCGTTTAGTGCAGAGTTAGTTTACGTTCTTCCCTGAAGTAAATTTTGAGGAGTCATTGGGTTACTGTGGTGATTCACACAAATCTACGGCACCAAATCAAGCTTATCAGGGACAGGCAATTTGACCCTGTTGTCGAAAACAAGGAAGAGAAGGCGGAGAATTGAAAGCAGTCAGAAGACTCAAAGAAAAAGAAGAATCTATAATAGAAACATCAAAGCTTCTAATCAATTAAAAACTGAGGTCGAAAGCAATCTTGAAATCAAACGCAGTCGCCTCGCATTGTTCCCACGATTCATCCAAAGCATATGCAAAATGCTCTCCCTGTTCAAGGAGAGGTCAGGAATTAGCTTCATGAGGAAACTGAGACAGAAGATCCCTGAAGAATGTCCCAAAGTGGTCTCTCAGATGTCACCAAGACATCGTGATTCAAATGATTTTGATCTGTCTGCTAGTGTTAACGAGGAGAGTGACAGCTGTTGCGCATACCACGAGATACGGCATCAACGAATGGCAAACCCAGACACAAATAAAAACACAGAAACAGAAATGGAACAACCAAACAATCTGTCAAACCAACCAAATAGCAATCCACTGGTTCCTGAGCTGTTTCCTGCCATCGATGATTCTCAATTCGCTACTCGCTGCCCCAACTACATTTCGATAACGCCCTCTCGCAGCTACTGAACCGGTGAAAGGTCAATTTTTTATATACTCAGATTACTGGATCACCCCATGAATCTGAATCGCGCTGCTCTCGCTAATTTTATAAATATTTATCTAGGTTATTTAACCAAGCTAAGAAAACTATATAGACTTTGCCCGAGTAAAGTTTGTCATCCCTGGGTACACCTCATACCGGAAATCGGTGATGAAAAACTGGGCCTTGAAGGTGAAGGCCGGCATGGGAACCCACTGTTAACGTTGTATTCTCCAGATATATACAAAATGTCGCTGGCTAAAGGTGTGTGGTCTCAGTTTTCAAGGAGGTCTCCTTCTTTGGGGGTCAGTAGTAAGGCGCTGAAGACTGCGTTGCTTAGTCCAGACTTGCCTAATGGACCGGTCAGCTTCAAGAAGAGAAGCAGTAAAATCCAATATCAGTCTCCCATCGGAATGGAACAGGTTTATCCATTGGCCTACGAAATGATGGAGAAAAGAAGCGAACAGGTTTATGCCAAAATCGACCAGATAACAGAGGAAATAAACAGCGCCGAGGACGGTTCAGATCTCAAGATCAAGCTGCTGGCGAAAAAAGACAAGCTCTTGGCTGACGCTGAAAAGTTCAACCCAGAGGTGCTATATAAGGTACAATTTGCTACCAACTCATTGGATGTGACCCAACCAGTCTACAGAAGAGCTTTGAAAGAGAAGTGGGAATCGTACGCGAAGATGTTGACGATGCAGAGATTGGAGACTCTTAATGTCATCCCAGATACTCTGCCTACTTTGGAACCCGAAGTTGATGTCAAGATCAGATTCGCTCACAATGCCATCGAGACGTACGTTGAGCCTGGAAAGATTCTTTCTTCTAACGTTACATCAAAACCTCCAGTTATCGAAATCACCGAGTTTGAGGAAGTGCAGCATGAGCTGTACACCGTGTTGATTGTGAACCCGGACATCCCAGACATTGAAAATGATACCTTTTCTACAACCCTCCACTGGGGTCTTAAGGATATCCCTCTCTCAAATGTTGACAATGTTATAGATCCCAAGAAGCTGTTGGAAGATGAGACCAGAGAGTTAATCAGCTATCTCCCTCCGACCCCAGAAAAGAACGCCCCAACCAATAGATTGGCTGTGTGGGTTTTCCGCCAAAACGGAGTTCCTTTGGAGAAAGTTGAAGTAACCAGAGAATTCTTCAACATCAGAGAGTTTGTTGAACAGAACAACTTGCAAGCTGTTGGTGCCCATGTATTTAGAAGCACCTGGGACAGAAACGTGAACCGGGTTAGAGAGCTCTACGGCTTGCCAAAGGGCAGGATATTCCACAGAGTCCGTCGCTAAGTCCAGAACTGTACATAACTGGAACTGTATATAAGTTATCCAACGTGGGAATAAACGAGAAAACGTGTAGTTCTGAGATTTATTTTTCTATTGTTTGGGCGTCTAATTAAGCGCCCAAAGCTTTGGGCGCTTGTGCTCATCTCATCCGAAGAGGGCATGGGTGAACAGAAACTGGAGTTGGTAATCCAGTACTTCAGCGTCAAAAACTCGGTTAAAACTGGGTGTAAGAGCCTACCTGACTATAATATTCAAAGAAAACAAGACCAGCCATGTCTGAGGTATGTTTTGAATAAATTTGTGATTTTCTGTGCGTCTCACCCGTGAGTCTAACCTCAGTACAGGAATTCGATCTACGAAGAGAGAAGCTATTGGAGTTGAATGTGGCGGCATGGGATGGAGACCTTTACGAACCTGAAGGTCCAATTGATGCAAGTTTGAAAAAGAATTCAGGATTTCTCAAAAAAGTCAGAACAAATCTGAACAAAGAAGGTGAAGCGTCACTGATACAGGACATCAAATCTTTGTCTTTGACCAGATACCTCCCGGAGTTGACATCAGTCGTTGCAGAAGCTCTCACAAAATGCTCGAGGAATGCAGACGTTTATGCCGCTGTGGAAGTAGTTTCGCTATTGCACCGCAGGTTCGGGGCCCAGTTCACCAACAATCTAACGCTTTACCTCTTGCACGGTATTGCTAACCCTTCTGAAAGGGACGCGGTGCTCTCCGAAACTGATGAAGAGGCAAGACTCGCTAGACAGCGCATTTTAGGGAGACTTTTGATGGAGTTCTATACCTGTGGAGTGATACGAGACGATATGGATATATCAAAGTCAGACCTGCCGGACTTCGTCACCAAGAGAAAGGATAGCGATGGACTGATTATGGTGGTTGTTCTGAAGGAGGTGCTCTCCTATAGTCTGAAGTCAGGAGTGACCATACCTTTCGCAACTGGATTCCTGAAAAAGTTTGTTGGTTACTTGGAAGCAGATGATAACAGGTTTTTACAAAATAAGGTCAAACTGCAGATACTAAAGGCGTTTAGAATCTATACCAACGCCATATGGGTTCGGGCGGAATACCATAATATATCGGTACAGAGACTCAAGAAAAAAATTGCTAAAATCTCGATAAGAATTGGCAAAGTTCCTGAGGAGGAAACAATTGAATTGAAAGAGAACACCGACAAGTTCGAGACGTTCAAGACCGGTGCTGATACCCTCATGAAACTGCTGGAGATGCCAGTACCGGAGTACAGCGTCGTGGTTGAAGAAGAGGAAGTTCCGGAGGTGGATGAAGAAACTCAAAAGAAGATATGGGATAACGATGTTGACCGGAAGTTTTACACTGTTCTTCCAGATATGAGGGACACCTTCTCTGACGAAGTTCTCGCGACAACCACCAGTGATGCCTCTGAGATCACTGATGGAAAGGGCAAGGCTATGGACAAAATATTGATGAAATTCGACTCATGCAAGTCTGGAGAAGATGTGGATAGGATCAGTGTCCAATTCTGGAAAGCAGGACTCAACAATAACCGTTCAAAAATGAGGCTATCGCACCATTTCCTGAGTGTGACGTCTTTCTCCCAAGTTCCGTACTTCGTGAGATTTGCAGCGATCAACAGAGAGTTTTTGCCCAATCTCATAGAGGATATTGTTGCTGTGGTAGACAAGAATTTGCGAGGCCAATTGACACATGCTGGACTGAATCTTTTGATTGTGAACTTCTTTTGCGAAATGGTGCTGTTCAAACTTGTGCCTATCCACATTCTGTTCCACAAGATCCGTTTTCTCATCAAACATCTATACATTCCATCGAACCTGGATTTCCTTTTCACTGTGTTTGACAGATGTGGTCAGATTCTTCTTTATGACCCGCTTTACAAGTCCAAGACCGAGGAAATGGTTGAGATGATGACCACGAGTTGTCAATCGGACTCAATAACCCCAAACGACAGATTGGCACTTTCGTCTCTTCTCCTTGGGCTGAGGCCTCCAACCCTTAACAACCCTGAAACCAAAAAACGAGCGAGATCCACCGAGGAGCAATTCATTCGTCACCTGGTGAGGACGGAATATAACGGGGATAATATCTCAGAGGTTTATTCGCAACTAGCATCGCTCGATTGGAATGACGCCAAAAAAGCCAAAATGTTCGTGGAAACGTTACGTTTGATGTTCACGAAACCCCACAAGATCAATTATAATAATATCCAGAACCTGGCGAACCTTCTGCACTTGATCCCATCCAAACCCTTGAGAGTGTATGTGGTTGACAGCGTGGTGGAGTCGATTGTGAGATCTCTGGAGGTGAACGATGTCCGTGAGAACAGAGTGAGATTGGCGTATATCAAGTACTTTGCAGCTTTGTTCAACACCGGAGAAGTGACGAGTGCAACTTTCAACTCCATTCTATACAAGCTAGTCTACCTGGGTCATCCTGATAACTCTCCCTCTGTTAACCACCCAACCGAGATTGATTCCCCAGACGACTATTTCAGAATTCACTTGGTTTCTCTGTTGCTGACAGCAACTGACCTGACACGGCTGAAAGGAACCAAGTATGAAAAAAGCCTCACGACGTTCTATAGCTTCTTCGATTACTATACTTTCACCAAGGAGCAACCCATACCGTTGGAAACGTCCTTCAAGCTGGCGGAAATGCGTGACGACCCAAATGTCAAGTTTTCAAGATCTGCGAATCTCGAAAAAAGTATCCAGAGACTTCAAGCGGCGATGTCTCACAATGGTCTTGGTTCTTCTGAGCTGGATGAGGAGGACGCCAGAGAAGCTGTGGACGCCGAAAGCGCGGACATGGAGGATGAGGCCCTGAAAGCCCAAGAACAAGCGCATAAGGCAGCATTGGACCTTTATGAAAGAGACAAGCTCGCCAAGGAACAGATTGAGAAAGCGAAGAATTCGCTAGAGGCCAGGAACCAACGGGCTGAAGAGGAAATGGAACGTGAGTTCGAAAACATGATGCTGGAGGAGAGTTCGAGGTCACAAAGTGCAAAAGTACGCGTAGAGCTGCCAACAGTAGCGACTAGCCAAAGAAATGTTGAAGGTATGAACAGGACGGGTGTCAAGTTCACACTGGTGAGCAGAAACAACAAGAAACAGGCCACCACCAGGGACATTGTTCTACCTGAAGATAGCAAGTTTGCTTCTGCGATGGTTGAGAAAACTTTGATGAAACAGAAAGAACAGGAAGTTCTCAGAAGAGTGGCCTTGAATTCGTTAGATTATACGTGACATCGTTATAAGTATGCTTGAAAAAGTTTGCTGTCTTTAATCCACGTAGACGATGACTGACGTGATATCATCTGGCTTACCTCCGATGTAAGGCTGGCCGGTAACCTCAGATAGCCGTTGGGAGAACACACTGGGGTACTTAATGTCGTTGCTTAGGGTTTTGACAGCTTTGACGAATTTTGAGTTGATATGCTCCAACTGGGCTTTATCATACAAAATTCGTGAGTCCTTGGAGCTATCCTGAAATGGTGCAAACGAGTCTGTCAAATACAACTCGATGTCAGCCACAGATACATTATCACCAACTCCATCGGTGCCAAACACAACAACGTCCCCCCTTTGCAACTGCTGCTCATACACATCGGACTCTGCTGGCTCGTTCCTTAGGTAATTGGCCTGTCTCTTCTTGCCAGCATCCAGGATCCTCTCCGGTATTATCGATAGCTGGTAAGGTGCATTGAAGTAGTAGGTTTGCTCCGTCGATTCAGAAACGCACTTAAAACGAGAACCAGCAACTCCTGCCTCATCCTGCCTGAACACACCAAACCAAGAGTCACCGAGATTGGCAACTTTCAAGGCGCCATACTCATCAATGGTCCCGTAACAAACAGTGGTGCTACCCACCTCAACTTCTCCACTATCCTTCACCTTTTCAAAAGCCAGAGACAGAAGTTTTCGAGGCTCCGGAATCGGCTCACGTTTAGCCCGTAAGGCCAAAAACACCTCCTCGAGACATCTGCACAGTTTCCTGCTGATGGCTGAAGAGTCGTAACCCTGTTCGCTCCAACCACCAACACCATCTGCAACACCCACTATGGCTGTTCCATCTTCAGCCACTGCCATCACAAAGTTGTCTTCACCAGTGGGAGAGTCGATTGCATTTGAACCCGCAACCGTGATGTGCTTTTTGGACTTGCGAATCAACTCGCCCTCTTCAGCCTCGTCCTTGAGTCTGTTCTTGGGCTCAAAAGCCGCCGAAATAGTATATCTGAATAGAGTGTCTGTTGCAGAGGAAGCAGTGGAAGTAGAATTTCCGTTGAAACCTGTGCTTCCGCGGGTGAAGTGGCGTCTAGAGTCCTTGAAGAAAGATACGTGCTGGACAAAGGCATTTGCGGAGTAAACTGAAGACACACTGGAAACAGGTGACACACTGTGAAATCGGAAAAAAAACCCTCCTGAGACATTCTGGATTCCAATTCTTGAGGTCCTACTAAAGAATCTCCTGCTAATTAGATTGGCACCGGGGAAACCTTGGTGCGTAAGTGCTGACTGGTTTTAGTACGCTGCCATACAACTTTGACAAGAGCATTTACTCACTTCTTTGCATTTCAATGCACAATTGTTCCTCAAATAGCAAATTAAAGCCAAAATATCACTTTCAGGCCACTTTATATCGCCTAATTCTCAAAAAGTGCCTGGAAACAAGGTGCTAAGTGTGGTCTTTCGAGTCTTGGTCTTGTTCTCTTGAAGGTAATCGGCTCGGGTCTTCCCCATCGCCGCTTAACCTCTTTGCTACAGCTGGGTAAGGGCTCGAAGAGGACGTGTGAATGGGGCCGAACTTCTGAAAAGTTGTAGCAAAATTTATTACTAATGGCAATTGGAAACTACAAATGCTTTATTTCAATCCTCAATTTTGATTGGAAAAAATCCTCTTCTTTGAGAGACTGTCTAATGGAATGAACTGTATTGAAGCGTGACTGAGCCAAGAGATTGAGTTGAATATCATCTCGATGGCGATCACCCCAAGCGATTTATAAACCTTGCGGGAAACGTGACTGTGTGACATTCAGGATCAACCATCAAATAAAATGTCCAAGCCCTCAATAGCGCTACAGTCATAGCTTTTCTTTGTCTTCACCTCGCTTTTTCACTCTATTTCGCCAACTTGGCAAACTCGGCCTTAGCCTCTTGAATCAGCTTGGCTTTCTCCTCAAACTCCTTTTTCTCAGTCTTGAGGAGACCGGCAGACTTGAGTTGCTGGGTGTGGTAAACACCGTACACCACACCTAGACCTAGAGCAGACCATCTGAAAACCTATGGGCGATTGCGTTAGTAACATATTCAACTATCCATAGCCCAACAATGGGCAGGCAACAAGAAAATCCACATACGTTAAGGGCAGACATTTTGCTTAGTGTATATGTATGAAGACACTATATGTATATTCGAAAAATGTGAAGTTGATTCTTCGTCAACATCCGATCCCATCAAATTCCATTGGTTGTTATGTGGTTACGAAGCACTGCCCAATCACGTGAACGACTCATCGCCAAGCTTATCATCAATATCTTGTATGGCCTTATCAAGATCAGCCAGACTATCCTCGAGCGATTTCAAGTCCTCGAACCGGCGTTTTTTCTTGGAGTTTTCAACCATGTCTGCCACCAAAAACCGTTGTTCTTTTAGAACCATCATTTGATCCCTTAGTTCTCGCACTTCGCGCTTGGTCATTTTAGGCTGCGCAGGCTCAGGCGATTGAGTCGATGAGGAGATTGATGCATCATTGGATTGGCCCTTCAGAATCTTGGGAACGCTTTGCAAAGAAAGCATGTTCTCTTGGAGGAACAAAAGTGATGTCTGGTAAATTGATTTCTGAATCTTGAGCTCGTCAATGCTGATTGGATGCCCTTTGGCTTGGAGCTCTTCTGAAACACGAATCTGGGAGCCAATCCGTTTGGTTATACCATCGAACCTGGTGAACAGTCTCATGAGCTTGAGTCTTTGTTGAGTGGCAAGCTGAAGCATCTCGTGTTCTTGTGAGAAAGCGGCGATAGTGGCGTTGTGGTCATGAACACCACTGGAAAGTTCAGTAGCCGGATCTGCCCTTTTCATGAGCTCCAAGGTGATTTTGAGCTCGGGCAACAACTTCACGATCTTGGTCTTATATATCACCATGCTCGAATAAAGGCTTAAAATTTCCGGCGGAGAAGATTGCATGTCTCTGATGAACAGCCTCTTGCTAAGCAATTGGTTCTTGCAGACCAAACACATTCTGAGAGAAGCATCGGGTGTACTCTCCAGCTTCTCATATTTTTTGGAGGCTGTAGCCACCGAGAACGACGAAGGAATGCTCAGCAGATCAGAGAGTATGTTAAGAGGAACGTCCATTGAACAACCAGTAGCGACATCGCCACATGTAATAAGACCACACAACCGACAGTGGTGCTTTCGTAGCACGCCAAACGAGAACCTCTGCTGGCATATGCGACAGCTCTTTACTTCGCTATCTGATTGCCAGTTTACAACACTCCTCTCGAATTGTTTGATGGGTAAAGACGCCCGAATACCTTGATCCAGGTTTCGGTAATACTCGTAGAACCGCAACCATCTTCTCTCCAACATGAGCACATCCAAGTCTCTTTTTCCACTGAATTCCGTCCGTAGTCTCTTGAAAGACGTACTCAAGTCAGAAACGCGACCATTTGTATCGTTGTGTCCAGGTTTACCGAGGTAACACGCCTGACAGCACCGTGACCAAATTCCGTTCTTCGGATCATACTCTAGCTCTGCGTTGATCTTGACCCTATAGTATGTGTGGGTGTTACAGAACAGTTTGCCACACTTCCTGCAGTTAACCTGGCCATTTTTCACACTCAAGTACTTGGAGCACCCGGGAGTGTTGCATATTTCATTCGGCGACGGTCTTTTCCAGTGGTTTCTCGGTATCGTAATGGGTACTATCTCTGCAGTCTCGGCTGCCTCTTGCAAATTGACCGAAGAACTCGATTCGGTAAAACTGAAATTGTTGTCAAAAAGATCCAATTTCAAAAACTTTTTGTTCGGGTTGATGTTACTATTGATCACTTCATTGGCTTTGCCTATAACCTTCTTCCTGAACCAAGACTTCAGATCATCTTCATTGGCAACTGGCTCAACGTCGCTATGTTCATCATCCAAATGGCGGTTCAGTTGCATTAGAGTAACCATCTTCTCTCCGCAGATCGGGCACATCATGTCTAGAGATGTTTCACCATTGGGGGAAACAACCGACTCAATAGACGAAGCTGGCTCGTTGCTCAGAGATGATACCGATGATGATGAATTTGTGGACTCTGCCAGAGTCATCTCATTTAAAGAGGGAATAAGCCTATTCAAATCTGAACCTTCCACTTGAGGGTCATCAATGATATTTCGCCTGGGGTTTGGTGTTGAGGAGGAAGACGAAGAGCCTAGCACGCGCCGTTTGGTCGGCGTTTTTTTGCTATCTCTGATCATTGCAAACAAATCTTTCTAGTGATAATGTACCAGAATCATTCGTAAATTTCACAGAACCATGAAAAGTATATTTTTTGCTTTCAAGGAAAAAGGACAATGAGAGGACAAAGAAGAGGAGACTTTATTCCAAACCAAATCTTTACAATACGTTATCTTTACTGCCATCAGAACTACGTGTCACCAATGGTTATCAGAGGGTCCTGCAGAATGATGCAGGAAAAGAATCCAATTATGAAAAAATAATAAGCTGCTATTAGGCCGATCTCAAAGGTTCATGATCATAACATTTGTCATAGTTTTCCAGAAGTATAAAATCAACCCCTAGACCATCGGCGAGACTGGCGAATCCCAGAGCTTGTAGTAGTCCACCAATTGGCCGTCTAAGTTGGCCTCTCCTGCAACGGGCAGTCTAGCCAGATTACGCACCGAATAAGGCTCATCATCATTCTTTAAGAGCCAAAAATCAAGACAATTCATTTTGACACCGAAGTCAAAGGCTGTGTGAAACTTTTTAAAGGTTAACAAGTCTCTGGTGGTCATGAGAAACTGGTCAATACCAAGCACTCTGAACAACCGGGAGCCAACGAGGAATGCAGGGACACACAATACCGCGGTACTTGAAAGTGTCAGTTCAGACTGACGTGGAGCAGCAGATGTGGGCGACTTGGCATCATCAAGTTCATCTGGTACCGAGGAGAAGAACATGTTGGAAGATTGCGAGCCAAATTTATGGAGGCTTTCTGCCTCGTTCGAGGTAAAGCCCTTTGCTATCTGAAAACTCTGAACAACGCACAGGAACGAAAGCCATAGGAACTGGAACGCACACCAGACGATCAAATTAAACACAAAAGGCATGCCATTGTAGCCCTTGCACATGTTTTCTGAGAGCATGAAACAGGAGTCGTCTTGTTCGAGATCATCGAAGAGTTCATCCACCAGATTGAAAAATATCACGAGACACAACCAGAGGGCAAATACAAAAGCCAAAAATACCTTGTGGTTTCTCACTCCAACGTCATTGTATATCCAAGGGCAGTAATGATCGAATCTGGCCACAACTCGTTTTCTGACGCGAGAGAACTTGGAGCGTAGAGGTAAGCGAACAGAGGTGTAAATGCAAAAATGTTTAGCATCGAACTTTCTCAATACAATGAGGTCTCGTATTGTTCGTTGGATTTGATCCCTCGACAACGAAGGCGGAAGCGCGCCCGGGTCCATGAGTGCACTTTTGGTGAAGCAAAAGACGACTGCAAAGGCCAACACCAAAAACAGCAGATTCGACACCGAAGAATCCGAGAAAGTCCGGGGTAGCACCGTGAAAAACCACGTGATTATCACCCAAAAAGCCGAGGCCGAAAACAACCCTGCGAGGTAGGGCGATTTCATGAAAGCGTTGGACTCGGTTATGCATGCTGGCAGCAGGACTTTTACCAAAAGCACTTGCTGTCCCGTAAGAATAGTTAGGCCAAGTATCAGGTTCACGACTGGAAAGTCTCCAGAGAACTTCAAGATGGAGAGCATGACCGGTAATGTGAAATAGGAAATCAAAAACACGGAGTAAAGAGCAATCTTTTTGGGTAGCCATCTGTGGATTGTGTTCCCTTGCAAGTCCTTATTGTTCTCTTTCAGAGCTTGCTTCAGCTTAACGGTACAATTCATATCCACAGATATCGCATAAGCATCCTTTCCCTCGTTGGTCTTCTTCTTGACATCACTGCCTTTTTCTATCAGTTTGAAGAGTATAGGTTTCACTCCACGGATGAGAGCCCAATGGAGAGGGGTGAAAGCAGTTTCATCTAAAGCATGAACACTGGCACCTGAAGCCAACAAGACCTCGACTGTGAGTGAGTCACCTTGGTAAGCAGCCCAATGAAGTGCGGTTCTTCCCTTAGGATCAGGTGTATCAACAGAGATATTGGAAAATTTGAGAAGGTATACTACCATCATCACGTTAGATGAATGAACAGCAAGATGTAAACAGTTGAAGCCCTGTAAATCTTGTAGAAACGGATCTGCTTTGCACTCCACGAGCAAGTAGTCCGCAATATAAACAAGACCGTAGCGGCACGCCCACTGTAACGGCGTAGCATTAAGTTCTCCACCTATGTAGTCAACAGTGGCACCTTGCGAAACCAGGTACTTCACAACAGAGAGCCTATTGTTAATGGAAGCCCAATGCAAAGCAGTAACATTATCGTCAATGTGATCATCAACGTGAACTCTTTCCGATTCCAAAAGTTCCTTAATAGTGCTGAGGTCCCCTACCTGGGCAGCCTTCAAAAAAGTATCCACATCAGACACTGACAGATTAGTTCGAGTTCAAACAGACCAAATTTCAAAACATAAAGACTTACCTTGAATATCGCCACTGTGCTCGTTCAAAGAGACATCTTTCATGGCCATGGCACTACTTGCAGAGTTGACGTCTTCAGATAAAGCATCGCTGAGTAGGTCTGACTGCGAGTGCCTTTCCACGCTCTTAAGCGTATTCAATTCCGCATCTTCGGATGAATTTTCCCTCGACATGAATCAGATTGGTGTATAACACAAGCTGGAAAATGCTGTCAGAAAAAGATAGGCGTCAAAACGGCCGATATATAGACTGCAACAAGTAGAATAGGTCATTAGTACGGCGCATTGAGGCTGTGGAGATTAAGTGTCAGGCAGTGTTACGTAACCATAGAACCAAGAAGACACAATGCTGCGTAACCACATCAACAAAAAGTGAAGGCACTAAATGCTGAAGTTCAATATCGTTCCAGAAAGATTCATAATTTCGTCAATGCTATATAACAGGGTAGGTTCATTCTTCCACAATCACAGTGACTGGGTAAAATATGGCCATCTCTCTCTGCCTGATGAACTGCCCAAACCTCACGTTTTGTACCAAATCCACCGCATCCCAGGCCGTCTCAAGCTGAGAATCCGTATCCAGCGTGCCATCACTGACGTGAAGTCGAGCCCCTTCTAAAAATTCGTTCAGAACAGAACCAGCACTTCTTCCAACTTCGCTGCCCTGATTGAGCAGCTCCTCTACTCCAGTCTCAGTATCTTCTTTCGATTCCAGAAGTTGTTTCCAAGGATTTGGACTGAGGCCCTGAGCAATTGCCCAATGCTCAAAAGTCTTGCTATGCCTGCTCTGTTTTCTCCAGTACTCCTGTGATTCCCAAGCTGCAACCATCATCGCTGCATCCCTCTTGAAGCTTTCTGATAATGGAGAAGGCATGAAATCCGTAGGCCCCGTCCAGTAAGGCACAAAAGTACCTTCCTCCTCAGCGAGGCGTCTCGCTATGGAAGCTTCGATGTAACTGTGAGCAAGTTGGCGTCTCAATGAATAGCTGTATTCATAGAAGGAGTTGTAGCACAGTATTCCACCAGCAGCAATATTGATCAGCATTGGGACCACACGTTTTGGGCCTCTAACAGATTTGAGCCGCCATAACTTGAACGCATTTTTGAAAAAGATAAGACCAAAACCGGTCTGTAAAACAGTCAGAAACTTCCTGGCAGATGTAGCATCATGAGCTGGTGCCAAAGGACCCCATAACCACAGTCCAACATCGCCTCTTCTTTTCCACCGAGTAACAGTGGTGAGCCAGTCTTCAGAATCAGAGCTGGTTTCCTTTGTGACTTCCTGAGCCATTGTCCCTGCACTATTGGGTGTTTGGTGTGAGTTTACATTTAGAATAAGATTTCCAGTACATTCAGTGGGAACCTCGACTTGAACCGAATATGGCATCTTGATAACTGCACGACGAATCCTCAAAACTGTCGAATGGAAATTGCTTTGATACTAAGTTAGCCAACTGTTTGAACAAAATCAAATCCACTCCAATGTCATATTCGAGGTATATACGGGGCTGCCTTAGATTGGTTAGGCCCCAGATACCCATATTATCACGGAGATATCCCGCGAATGCTGTCAGATTTTTGCATATTTCACGAGTCAATTTGCATGTTCAAGACTCACAGGAACAATACGAAGCTAGGTATCTTCAGCTTCAGAACCTCCTAGATGCAGAGATTTTCAATGTAAACTCGGAAATTGCGCCTCAGAAAGTGCTGGATGCTTTGAGGACCTGTACTCTTTTTCAACAATCGCTGATCGAAGGCAACAAACTACAGAAGACCAAGCTCATGGAGGAAGTTACTAACCTTATGCTGGATGTGCTTGCCTCTTCCAATGTTGAGTTTACAGAAGAGATCCTCAAAAGATTTTTCCTACTCAAGCCGGAGACAGATGACGCTATCAAAGTTATTGAGCTGTTTTACATGAAGAACCCGGAGAAACATATCTCTCACGAAGTTGCGATGGTGCCGTTTAGAAATGCCATTTATGACGGCAAAATGCAAAATGCAGCTGACATAATGAAGGCTACCTCAGGATCAGAACGGTATATTGCCTTCAAGAGAAAGGGAATGCGCAAATTGATTGGCTACTATGCCGGTTTCATTGGAAGTGTACTGGCCTCGGTTCAGGCAGCAATCAGAATAGGTCACCCTGAATTAGCTGAGATGAGTACGACTGGTTTGCATGTGATGATATTGGCCTACTTCCTTCAGAATACTGTGCTGGGAGTTATGGCATTTGCCTCTAAGGGTATTGATAACGGTCCAATCAGCTGGCAGAAGGGTATCTTCCCCAGTCACTGGTTCTTGCACTCCGATGAGCTTAAGATGGCATCAAAGCTTGTTCAGGCGGATGCTGAAGTGTACGGTGCCGAGGGATTTGCGACCAGATCGATTGTAAAGCAGACCGCCGAACGAGACATGGTTGTGAACGAGCCGGAGCAGGAGATCATGTTAAAGCAGTTTTGGCTAAGTGGAGGTGATGGGTTTGTCTGGGTTGAACCCGACATGGATCCAGCTGAGATCCAGTGGGCACAGCATTTAAAAGATCGTGGAATCAAGAAGATCTGGCAGAAGGACAATAAAGATAGACTGCTCGACTCTGAGACGAGCGAGAGAGGGGAAGACTTCAGAGCGGAGACTGAGAATGCCTCAAAGGCAATGTGAATATTTGGTCATTCAAGATAACCCCTGTACATTTTTGAAAATTGAAAAATAAATGATATATACCTTTTTGGCACGTGACTACCAAAAGCGGATTCGCGTACCGCGTGGAACATTCTCGTGCGATGACCATCTTGCATACTAAAATATATTTAAGGTGCGGATGTGCCACCGCATGTGGGACATCACTTGTTCACATCTGTATCCTTTTTGACATTTTAAATTGGCAAATGTTAGTTCAACGAAACTTAAAACGCTATGGACCCAGAGCTCTTCAGGAAGTTGCTAGCGTGCGGGCCGTTGCTACGCCCATAGCTAGACCCCTATCCTATGCCAGAACTCCCGACAGAATGAGTTCAACAAACGGATTTGTCGGAATGTCTCTGTTGAAGACGAATGTTCCGCAGCTATTACAACTCAGATTCGCATCAAATCAGGGACCTCAGAATTTCCGCATGAATATGAACGGTGAACAAGAAGATGCTGAACCTGCTTTGAAGAAGTATGCCACTAACCTGACGGAAATGGCACGTGAAGGCAAACTAGATCCTGTCATTGGCCGTGACGATGAGATTCGTCGTACTATTCAGATTCTTTCTCGTCGTACCAAGAATAACCCAGCTCTGATTGGTAATGCTGGTACGGGTAAGACTGCTATTATGGAAGGTTTGGCTCAGAGAATCGTGAGGAATGAGGTTCCCGAGAGTATGAAGGGAAAGGAAGTGATATCCTTGGATCTGGGATCACTTATTAGTGGTGCCAAATTCCGTGGTGATTTTGAAGAACGTCTCAAGGCTGTTTTGAAGGAGCTGGATGAGGCTAAGGGAAACGCAATTTTGTTCGTAGATGAACTCCACATCCTTCTTGGACTGGGAAAAGCCGATGGAGCTATTGATGCATCCAATCTGCTGAAGCCGGCGTTGGCTAGAGGCCAGTTGCAATGCTGTGGTGCCACTACGATCGAAGAGTACAGAAAATACATCGAGAAAGATGCTGCGCTTGCCAGAAGATTCCAGCCGGTTCTGGTAAACGAGCCTTCTGTGGAAGACACCATAAGCATTCTAAGAGGTCTGAAGGAGAAATATGAGGTTCATCATGGTGTGAGAATTGCGGATGCGTCGTTGGTATCGGCTGCTGTTTACAGTAACAGATATATCACAGACAGATTTTTGCCCGATAAGGCCATTGACCTGGTGGATGAAGCTTGTTCTGCTCTCAGATTGCAGCATGAATCCAGACCCGACGCTATTCAAGAGCTGGATAGAGCTATAATGACTATTCAGATTGAACTGGAGTCGTTGCGCAAGGAAACAGACCCCTTGAGTGTTCAAAGGAGGGAGAAACTTGAGGATCAACTTTCCTTGAAGACTGCAGAGCTGAAGGAGCTCACTGATGTTTGGGAGAATGAAAAGAAGGAACTCGAGAAGATTAAAAATGCCAAACAAGAGCTTGAAAAGGCCAGACAGGATCTTGAGGTTGCGAGAAGAGACGGCAGTTTTGCCCGTGCTTCCGAATTGCAATATGCTATAATACCAGAGCTGGAAAAACGACTACCTAAGGATGGGGCCGAAAACACCAACGACCAAGGCTCAACCCTTCTGCATGAATCGGTCACATCTGATGATATTGCGAGGGTTGTTTCCAAGATGACTGGTATACCAGTACAATCGATGCTGAAGGGTGAGAAGGATAAGCTTTTGTATATGGAGACTGCTCTCAAGGCCAGAGTTGTTGGTCAGGACGATGCTATCCACTCTATTGCAGATGCTGTTAGATTGCAGAGGGCGGGCTTGACAACCGATAAGAGGCCTATTGCGAGTTTTATGTTCCTCGGTCCAACCGGTACCGGTAAGACTGAACTCACCAAAGCAGTTGCCGACTTTTTGTTCGACGATGAGAACGCTGTTGTGAGATTTGACATGTCTGAATTTCAGGAAAAGCATGCTTTGATGAGACTAATAGGTGCACCACCATCCTATGTTGGTTATGAGGAAGGTGGTGAGCTCACCGAAGCTGTCAGGAGGAAGCCATATGCGGTAGTTTTGTTTGATGAGTTCGAGAAGGCTCATTCGGATATCTCGAAGCTATTGCTTCAAGTGCTGGATGAGGGTAAATTGACGGACTCGCAGGGTCACAAGGTGGACTTCAGAAACACGATCATCATTATGACCTCCAATATAGGACAGGATCTGTTACTTGCCGATGCCAATGACAAACCCAACGATTCTGGCTCCGTCACTCCGGAAGTGAAGCAGAATGTGATTGAGCTGATGAAGAGGCATTACGCACCCGAGTTCATTAATCGTGTGGATGATGTTCTTGTGTTCAACAGACTCTCAAAGGATGCTTTAAGAAAGATAGTGGATATCAGACTGGACGAGGTTCAGGACAGATTGGTGGAGAGAAGAATCGAGTTGAGGCTTACGGAAGCTGCCAAGGTCTGGCTGACGGACAATGGATATGAACCAATGTATGGAGCCAGACCTCTCAACAGACTTATCAAGAGAGTGATATTGAACTCAATGTCGGTCCAAATGATCAAGGGCGATATCAAAGACAACGACGTTGTGAACGTTGATGTTGGATCTGATGGTCTGTTGAAGATTGAGGCGATTCATGATGCTGCTCTTTCAGGACCTGAAACCGATCCAGCACAAGCATAGTTTATGGTTCTTGCGTTCTATTGATGATTTTTATGTACATAGTTTATGAAGGGAATAAGTATGATGAAGATAACCGATGGAGTATGAAGTAGTTTAGATTGTTGTGCGGCTCCTATTTGGCCCATACACTTCCTTTAAATGCCTCCGTGATCTCGTCGAGAACTTGCGACAAGCACTTTACAAAGTCTAAAGAGCCAGTCCCTATACAACCGATTCAGGGAAGTTTTGCTTGAAATTCGCCAGAATATGACCAAGCTCTTCTCTTTAATAGCTACCGTGCTATTGCTGGTGAACCCGGTTTGGTGTGTGTTTGACTATGAGATATTCAATGTTGACTGGCAGTACACCGTGTTGGGACGCATAATACCTGAAACCACCGTTTTTCTTCAGTCTCAGTCCCAGACAGTCCAATTTCTGACGGAAGAAGGTATATTTGCGAAATTGAACTTGACCAATGGAGAACCGTTGTGGAGATATCAATCAGAGAAGCCATACAGTTCTGCCCATTTGACGGTAGTTGGACAGTTGACGTACACTGCAGTTAACTATGTCGATGGCAAGGGATCCAGAATTGCTTCATGGCAGTTTGACAACTCCTTACTGCGTGAGATTGACCTTGATGCTAGTACGGTTGGAATACTGAATATACGAAACCAGGAGCTGCTGGCAGTAACATCCGAAGGTGACGTTCTTTTCGTGCCAAAGACTGGTGATGTAATTGAGCTTTCAACAGGAATATCAGGGGTCAAAAATGCCCTTGTTTCACTTCTTCCATCTGGTGATGTTATACTTGCTCTGGATGTGGTCGGCTCCAAGACAACGGTTGTGGTTTTGACTAAGACGAACGGAGAGTATCTCTTGGGTTCTAAGTTCTTTTTCCCAAAGTCATTCGATACCTTAAAATCACTGGAAGAGGGAGCTTTGATTACTACTGAGGGAGTTTACACATTTGATGAAGCAAAGGCTAGTTTTGGTCCTGTGACCAAAGTGAAGCAGGTTTTGAGTGTCTATGCCTCCTCCGGTTTGGTCACAGCATCTGGAAAGACTATATCTACTTCAACAGACTCGCACACACTGGAACATGAAGTTGTGGAGTTAAAGCTGGTGAACTCACAGTTTTTAGTAGCTTTCTGCAAACAGAAGACATATCTGTTTGATCTGGATGGAGGACTGGAGCCCTTCTTGGAATTTCCAGCCGTTGATCTAAAGGGATATGACCAGATATCTGCCACTTTGAATGATTCAAACGACTTGCACGTGCTAGTCCAGTATGAGGACTCTGTTATTACGCTCTGGTCAAATGGTGTAGAGTCTTGGTCAAGAGACGAGTCTTTGGCGAAAGTGGTTGATTGGGTTATCATGGATGAGGAAATCGACAATTCAGAGATAACCCATAATCTGGAATTTGAGGAAAGTGCTACTTTGCTTCATGCATACATCTTTAGGGCAAAAAAGAACTTTGAAAAGTTCAGAAACTTCAAGTTTTCGTGGTCGAAATCAGATGATTCCATGGACCATTACTTTGGTTTTGTGAAAACCTTGGTCGTTGCTACTGCCAATGGAAAACTATTTGGATTCAGTACCACCAGCAAGAATGACGGCGTAAAAAAGTGGGATTGGTCCTTCGATACTCATCTGGGCAGCGGTATTTCCAAGTTGATAGTGATTGATGATAACCTGCTATTCATCTCCACCGAAGCCAACGGTTTGTATTTTGTTCAGGACCATACCTCTTTTTCGATTGACTTTGCGATGTCCTCAGATGAACCAGTTTTGTCTCCTTCTTTCAAGGAAAGGATAACGTCACTGAAGACTTCAGCTGGTGATATCCAGCTGATTTTGGATGAGGCTGATTTGCCTTTGAATTTCGTTGAGAAGACATCAGATAACTCCATTTTGGGGTCTGAACTTTCGAAGCTGAAAGAACAATCTTCAACTTGGAAATTCAACTTCAACGATGACGAAAAAATTCTTTCGATCGTTCCGAGGCCCAAAACGAACGAGGATATCGCTTCAACCGGTGTAGTTCTGGGGAACAGAAAGGTGCTTTACAAGTATCTGGAGCCAAATCTGGTTGTGGTGACGACATATGATCAGTCCCATCAAGTGCTGTACCTTTACCTGATCAACTCTGTCTCTGGCCAGGTCTTGTACACCACGAAGCAGACTGAACCTCTGGATGTTGACTCAGTTCAGGTTATCTACGATGAAAACTTTGTGGTATACTCGTATTACTCTTTGGAGTATGGCACCAAAATTGTGGTGATTGATTTGTTCGAGTCATTGACACCAGATGTCAGATACTCCAACGGAAATGCATCCTTGGAGTTTACTCCGGAGGTGAGTTCTTTGGGTTTTGTCATAAACGGCAAGATCAGAGCTCTGATTCCAACAAGCACTAAATACAGTATCACCTCGAAGTCCATAATCATATCCCTTGAAAATGGCCAGATAGCGTCAGTTCCAAAGTTTGTGTTGAACAGCAGAAGAGTCACAGACAGAGAACTCACCAAGGATGAGAAGGAGGAGTTTCAGATGATGCCTTACGGCCCTGTCATTGGCATCGCCGATCACTTCTATCTTTCTCATTACAGGACACTTTTGCACTCTTTTGAGAAACCAGCAAAGGTTCTTTCTTCAGTACCTACGAATCTGGAATCCACGTCCATTATCTGCTCTGTTGATCTGGATATCTTCTGTACTAGGGTTGCACCATCCAACACATTTGACATGTTGTCTCCAAGTTTTGACAGGAGCTTTTTGCTTTTGACCATTTTTGCCTTGGTAATAGCGGTCCTGGTAGTAAAACCAATGGTCAACGCAAAGAGGCTGAAAGCCGCATGGGTCTTTTGAGATGATGCCCTAAAGTAGTAATCGTGGCTGTGCTGGGCCCCGCCTATCTGAAACAGCAACCTTGGCGTTGAATGGAATTACCACAAAAAATAGCGAATCACGATAATGAATTTCTCTTCTCATAGTCAGATAATCATACTGTAAATTGTACCATAATGTCGTCTTGGATGGTCAAATTGGTGACTCAAAGGGTAAGCATTATCATCTGCATGTTGGAGAAGTTTCACTAACGCCACTTCTAGATTTTCAGAGAGTCGCACCTTAACAAATTTGGAACTGAAGATCCTTATTACGAGGAAACAATTGTTTCTTCAGGTGATCCTACAAAGCCTGACAAGGTCAAGAAGATACGCAAGAGAACAGCACCAAAAGGGCTTTCTGAGAACGATGAAAAGATCTTTATAAAGATCAGAAGACGAGCTTACCATCTGGATATGCTATTCAATGTTTGTGGGATCCGAGTGGGATGGAATGGGATCATCAGTCTGTTACCTGTGGTAGGTGATGCTCTCTCGGTTACTTCATCATTGATGATCTACAAGATGTTGTTTGATCTTGACGAAAAGGTTCCGTTGACCATCCATGCTACTTTCCTCTTCAACATACTGATTGACTTTCTGATTGGTCTGATTCCTATTGTTGGTAGCATAGTGGAAATTGGATACAAGGCCAATAGCAGAAACTCGTTATCCCTTGAAAAGTATTTGGAGAAAGTTGGAGCAAAAAACCTCAGCCAATTGCAAATGTTAACGGATCCTAGTAATAGAACCAACGTGAACGATTCTGCTTTCAAGAAGAAGTCCGGATTTGGATCTATTTACAACAAGTTCCGCAACCAGATTGCTCCAAATGAGGCCCCAGCCCAATCCGGTGTTTCTGACAACAGAAGCGTCAAGTCAATTTCGTCTGCGATCCCACACAATCGTAAAAAGAGCTTTGATGAACTTGATCCCCAAGAGGTCATTCAGAGACACAGCTTGACTGCGCACGAGCCAATCACGAATGAGAAGGCAAAATTCAACAGGTAGGCTGATGGAGGTGAAATATTTCAGCTTTTTTTAACAATTTTCCATTTTTATATGAATTTATAATGACAATGAAGGTCTTTCCATAGTTGAAGGGATTGCCCCCAAAGCGAACGCCGCACAGTCACCGAATGGCTAAAGTTCTGTTGTAACACGACTTTCCTCATCATGAATCGGCCTACGACGAGACATGTTTAACGATTTTCATTGACAGCACCTTATACTACCTTGCCTGAATACATCCTCTTTTCGGACATGGATGCTGCCACTGTATTGGAGCAGTATACGCAGGACTGTGAGTATAGACACCACGATAAATTATTTCAAAAGAGCGATTACTAATGCCATGTCTAGTATCCAACTTGCCTGCTGAACTCGCGCACCTTTTGGAAGAACTCCGCGAAAAAGATCTCAAATATTATGATATAAGAAAACGGATACAGCAAAGGGACAGCCAGTTGCACAAGTTCATAAAACAGAATGGATCTTTGACGCCACATCCTAAAGAGCAACAGATATATGCCAAAATCAACGAGGATTTCGAAAAGGCTGAGAAATTACAAGAGGAAAAAGTGGTTCTAGCCAACACATCGTTGTTCTTGATCACCAAACATCTGACCAGACTTGAGAATGATATCGAGAGGCTTGAGAAGGATGGATTGATTGCTCCTGCTGAAGTTGTAGAACAAGAAGCGAGTCTTACAGCAGCTCTTTCGTCTTTGGATAGTATGGCTTCAGGGGGCTACAACTCTAGCGGGTACGAGAGAGGTGACTCACCAAGTGTGGGGCCACGGTCCTCAAGAAAGCAGGCTGGTATTTCGAGTAGGGCGAGATCTAACACCGCGTTGGTTTCATCGCGAGGAAGTACCCCAGGATCCACTCCAAGTGCATATGGTATTCCGGGTTTGAGAAACAAGAGGATGAAGGCAGAGGACATCTCAGACGACGACTTCGGAATAGAAAGCGAACCGGACATAATGGCAACCGTCAGAGTCAGTACCAATGTTCTGCGGAGACCAGACCCCACGAATTTCGGACCCATGGGCCGGACGGCACACCCACCGGAAGGAGTCAACGGGAACGAAGAGGACGAGTTGTATTGCTTTTGCCAGCAAATCTCCTACGGAAACATGGTTGCATGTGATAATCCAGACTGCAAGTACGAGTGGTTCCACTATGGTTGCGTTGGCTTGAAGGAGCCTCCTTCTGGTATTTGGTACTGTTCTGACTGCAAGGGTCGCATGGACCATGCTGCCACGAAAAAAAAGGAAAGGAAAAGACGGTAAGAAGGATGATGTAGATTAAGTACGCGATGAATTAATGAAATGTTATAATTGAAAAAATGTCAGTTTCGAGTTCAATCCGGAAGAATAAAATGAGAAGGTATCCCACGACCCTACTGTTTATTTCACCTAAAATGGCCGGCTTCGCTAGCAGAGCTGTGCTGAGCTCCAGATTGTCAATTGTTCTTCCACCAATTGGTAAAAAAGAACAAGACAAATTTGGTACACAACGGACATGGCAAGCACAGATCCACTCCAGGATATCAGGACTAAGATATATCTAGCAGATGAGGACTTTTTGCGCAGGTTTAGCACGAATAAGGCTAGTTCTACAGAGGTTGATGAGGCGGTGGACATAGTGTATGTTGACTTGAAGGCCAACCAGACTTTGAATGTTATGGCAGACAAGGATTTGAATTATAGGATCGAGTTGATTGGGCATTTGGTAACGTGCAGCTCTAAATTTGATCAGGTCGGAAAACTACTGCCTTCAACACTAGCACACCTATCACCTACCCACACCTCCAAGATCCAGACCTTAGTCATAGTGGACTGCATCAAGTTCCAGCAGAAATACCCAAATGATACAATCGCAGGTGTTCTCTCTTTTCTTGAGGACTTGATGCTAACTGATGGGTTCCAAACGAGGAAACATTTGTTCTATATTATTAGGAAGCTGTATCCGGTCATGACCTCAGCCATGTCGCAATTGTTCGTTTCGTCTGGTGATTTGTCAAACATACTATCAGACGAGCTGAAAACAATACTCAGTCATTTTAATGAAGGCTCTGGTTTGACAGCCAATCAGGCCATATCGCTGCTGGAGCTGTTTTCATCTGCATGTGTGGATGAGCGTAGTCGATCAGTGATAGCAGAGAACTACACCTCCATTTTGAGCAGGGCGTTACAAATAAAGGGTGGATCTGATCCCGAGCAGACTCGCAGGATTCGGTTGTTGAGTGGAGTAGTAATTTGCAAGATCTTAAATGTGGTCAAATCAGAACAGTTGAAGGAGAACCCTGAACTGATGGACTTTCCAAGCTTGTGTGGGGTCTTGGTGGATGCTGTTAAGCACTCAGATATTAACTATATCAAAGACGGACTGGAAGGCTTGGCATATCTTTCTTTGAAGAGTGAGGTCAAGAGATACCTTAGGAGAGAAACCGACCTCAGCAACGTTATATTTGCTTTACTGAAGAAGAAAGAGCTCGAGCCGGGTATGAGATACGGTGCATTGGTGATACTTTCCAATCTCACATCATATAGGTCAGTGCTGTCGAAAGAACAGGAGTCTTTCAAAACCTTGAAGGATTATGCTGGTGCCGTAGGCAAGGACCAGGCAAAACCAGAGGACGATGAGAGCGACAATGCTGAGATTGCAGTCATAGTCAACGATTGGCTAGAAGAGAAGAAAGGATTTGGGTTGGCTATCTCATTCGCACAGCAGGGCTCCAAAGGCTACCAGATGGAGCTGGTCAGGCTGTGTGCAAACTTCTCGCATGCTATAATCTTCAGATCTCGGGTTGTTCAACAAGGCGGCTTGAATTATCTCATCAATTATCTTGCGAACAACTCTGAGGAAGTTGAGTACAAGGATGGTAGCATTGTTGCCAAATCTGAGGTTGCCAACCCAGAGGTAAGGCTGGTTGCAATTAGGACGATTGCCAAGCTTTTGATCACAAATAACCCCAACAATGCATTCAATAAGTTTGAGCCAACAATTGTGATCCCGTTCCTCAGCGAGGTTCTACAAAAATACGATATGGAAACTAACGGGACGGATTACGACGTCCAAATTCCTCTTCTTGCCGTGGAGGTCCGCTCAATAGACCTATTTGAAACACTGTTAGCTCTAACAAATCTGGCATCTATGGACAAATCACCGATTTGGAAAGTTGGAACTCGGTTCACGTGGAGGTATCTACAAAACCTGATGCTGGATTCGGACCCACGGATCCAGTGTGCTGCACTGGAGCTTATTTCCAACCTGGTGGTGGAACCTGAATGTAGCCAGCACTTTTTCGACTGGAGCATCGAGACCAATAAGCGCAACTTCGATATTTTGGTTGAATTGATAGACCTACAGGATGTGAAGTCACAGTTAGCTGTTATGGGCATATTTGCAAATGTTTCTGACTTCGAGATGATAGCCCAGATTCTAGCGCGGACAACCAAGTTCATCGACCACTTGATAAAAGTTTTGGAAGAGCAAAAGACTCAGGAGGATCTCATGCTGAGGTGTGTATATACGCTCATAAACTGCTGTTATGTGGAGACTGCGCAGTTGAAGGCGTATACGAAGTTGAATGAGACCATTGGTAACGTGATCAGGACGCATTCGGGCAATAAGGATCTCGTTCAGATGTGCCTTCAATTGGTTAAGCTAGTGAAGAATTGAGCGAACATTGAATGTACAAAGGTATAAATCAACAAATATTATGCGATAACCACTCAAATGGTTTGAATTACGAATCTATGCATCGCCAACTTTTGTCCACGATCTTAGGCGATAAGGCTGAAACGGACGTCATCCAGATAGCACATGAAATTTGGCACCCCCACAGATCCAGGCCTATCCGTTGCCCCTATTCAACCCAAGACAGCCCGGATCATGCACAGCTGCTGGTTCCGAGCATGTACCGAACAAGCCACTGAAAAGCGATCAAACCCTATTGGGAGGTTTCGGTATTCTGGGTGCTTTGGGTGCTTGGAACTTGACGCTCCTTGCCTCGGAGATGGGCCCCGTCATGGACCCCCCCCCCTTCAAAGAGTTGGGGCAAGGGAGGAAAGATCTACAGACCGTACTAGGAAAAATGTACAAAACAAATAGGAAAAAGCATACCGGCTCATTCATCACTGTAAATCTAATACTGGTAGCTATTTACAACCCAAACCCACTTTATTCTGGATTCACGGATCGCAAAGAGAAGCACTGCGTGCATTCTGGCTGTCCGCATGATATTGGGCTCAACACGCCTAATCTTATTCCGGTCGTGTTCAACCCACGTAATCAAAAGAAATAAAAAAAAGTAAAAAAATTTCAGCAGATGGCAAAAAATTGGCGGGTGAATGCCGAATATGGCTGCAGACCAATATTTTCCAGTGTTTTTTCGCAACTTCCATATTTAAACCTTTGGCCACCCTCCAAAGCGTCCAGTTGTTCAGCAAGATTTATTCGTTTGCCAGGTTTTCATTGTTTGGTATTTGGTATCTGGTATTGAATCTCTCAATCTCTATCCTTTTCCAGCACCTATTATCACTCCAGTCACCGCGAAATTTCAATTGGCTCCGTTGAAGTTGCTCCATTCCCCCTCACTGTTTTCCCACAATGTCCACCGAACTACGTAAGTCCTCTCGTTGTCGTCACATGTCCGAAAGGGCTAAAGAATCAATCTCTTTGACCACTGCGGATAAGAGACATTCTAGAACTGAAATTAATCATGCTCCTCGTCCAGTCCAATCAAAGATGAGAACCAGATCCGACCAGAAGATCATTACAGACCATTCTGCTAAGACAAGAACCAGATCTCGTGGCCTGAAGCGTTCTGCTGGTGAGACTAGCGATAACAGCAAGGCTAAGACCAATGCTGCTAAGACCCGCAAGGTTGAGCAAGCCGCCGTTGAACCGGTTGCTGTTGAGCCAGTTGTCGCTGAAACTCCCGCCCAAAGTCCTCAAATCCTCCAACCAAAAGCCTTGGTCATCCAGACAGGTGAGATTGAGTTCGATGACAACGATGACGAGCTCTTTCAGAGACCTTTCATGCTGCGCAGATCCCACATGAAGGAGGAAAGGAGGAGAAGACTGTTGGCACTGCGCGAGATGCAGATGCTCAATAGTGTTGAAAGCTCCATGTCCTCGTCAGAATCTGAGGTTGAATTGGAAGACAACAATGTTTTCGACTATCGCTCCAACGCTGTATTTTCCGATGATGAGGAGGAGTCGGCGGTGGAGCCATTGGACTCGCTGCTGAAGCAATTTTCCACTGCCAACGAGGAAGACGGAAACATTATGGCCATGCCAGTTGCCAGCCCTCTCTCTGACTATCCTGAAGACTTCAATTCTGTCCAATACGGATACGAAATGTCAGATAAAATTACCAGATTGCTCAAGGAGAACGACAGATGGCCATTGGCACAATCGGCCAACTCTTCTTCGTTTGACATCCTCTCTGGAAAGAAAATTTCTCCTCCATCGTTTCCAAGCAGGGTCAATGCCCCGGTGCCTGTCTCGTCAATTGCTGACCAGCAACAACAATCCTCAATGATTGAGGATTATTTTGTCGAGAATGACCAGGACGAGGTTGATGAAGACGATACTCCTTCTTTGGTCTCCGACAAATCGAGGTCGTCGTCTCCTACTCTGGAGGCCACCTCTGACCTGCTGTTTTCCAGATACCCTCATCAATTGGAGTACAGATATCATGGCCAGGCTAACCTGGCACTTGTTGATCCCGAACAAATTGATTTTGTAAACAACAACCAGCCAATGCTTCGCAAGGCACTCAACAAGAGGTCTCTCATCTCCGGCTCTGCCTATACCCAGCTGGTCGGGTCGAGTGTCATTGAAATCAGCGATTTCCTGCTGTAAATAGACCGTTGCGCTTTTCCACATCTTCTGCGGATGAAGAGGGAATTTTATCGCTGTTAGTCATTTCGAGTTTTTGTTTGGACCCTTTTTTCTGCTTTTACCGTTTTTTTGCAAGGTGCGCTTTTTTATTTCTTTGGCTGGACGGAAGCTATATATTTCGCAATAGAAGATATCCTAAGTACGAAAGATGTAGACTGAGAGTGTAATTGGCGATACCATAACGTTCTGGTGGTTCTTAAAACTCAATCCTTTAGAAGGCACACAGTTCAAGTACCGCGATCTCAGTTCTTCACTTCACAACTCTGCGGTTGGTTCTATTCTCCCTTTTTTCTTTCTTCCTTCCCTCTACCCTTCTTTAGTTCTTCTTCAATGCTTCAAACCTCTTGCGTAGCGCATCAAGGTCGTCATCTACCTTCTTTTTTGCATATCCACCCGCTGGAGCAGCTTGAGGATTCAGACCCACGTCGCTAGCTCTCTTCTTCCTAGTGACAGCTATTCCCTTAGGTATGCTCACTGAAGGTTGGGGATTATCAGTAGACATTCCTGGAGGCAAAACACTGATTGGCTCCGTTTTTTCAGCTTCCTTAGGTTCAATATCATCTTCAATAAACGAAGGTGGATCCAGAACTGCTATTCCTGTCCCACCTTCTCCATCATAATCTTCCTCGTCAGACTCAACCTCGAGCTCGGAGAACGGCACGTTATAAACTTTTGCTATCTCAGAGAGATATAGCCTCACAAGTTCCGGACTGGGTGGCTCGACAGAACATCTGGACAGAATCTTATGAGGGACTCTCGCCTCCGTGCTCGTTTCTTCGTCGTTCAAAGCTCTCAGATAGAATTCTTTTCCAAATTTGTGTGCCAAAAGATCCTTCACAGACATCAATTCCTTGATTTCAGTGTATTGAGCTGCGAAAATGATTGACTTCACAGCCTCTTCTAATCCAGGCGGACACACCTGGACGTGTAACTCCCCGGGTGCAGAATTAGCAGCCAACGGTGAAGAACTAAGCAATCCAATACGAGCCAACAACAACTCACAATACAATTCCAGATATTCTAACAGTTCGATCAACATGTCATCGCGAATGATGTTTTCAACCCTTATCTTAGCACTCTCCTCCTTGCCCTGTTGGAGAAGTTCGGCCATCTGTCGTCTCTGTTGTTTCGTTATAGCCGTTTTCTTGGTCTGAGCAAGTCTCAACCTCGAGATCGCCATTTTCAAAGACGATTTGAGACGGATCTGGTAAACATGGGGTTAGTTCTTATCGCAGGTGACAGGGTCTCAGCCACAACAGTCAAAACAGCTGATTGACCGATGTGTTCATCAAAATACATACCTGAGGACTTATTAGAGGTGGCATTTTGATTGTGACTTTTTTAAGTTTTCAATTCTCGCAATTCTGAGTCTGGTGTGGTGTCCTTAACCGAGTAAAGGGGCAAGACTTCCATCACCCTATTAGACAGCCATATATGTGTCACGTGACTTTCGTTATCGCTGGCTATTCCTATATACTTGAAAATCAAACTGTCTTCATACCGTCAAATACTTGTTCATAATCTGATTTGCCAGAACCGGGTTTCCGTTATAGTTGTATATCAGAAACAGATTGTATGCCGTATCCATTTTCAGATCATACTTGGGGTCAACATCTGACATCGCCAGCACCTGTTCGTAGAAAGGAACAGCTATGGACAATAACCCCAGTTGATGAAAACTTCTTCCAAAATTGTAGGCGCACTCCATGTCTTCATAAACCGTGCCTCCTTGTTCAATTCTGAGCCGTCTATATTCCATGAGATACGTTATTCCCTGGACGATCTGGAAATGCCGGTTCATGGTGAGTCTTTGCATTGATCTGTGGATGTGGGCCAGTGCTATAGTCAGCATCACAGTCGGGTCCTTTTTATAATCTGTGACTGTTCTGAGTTCATATGCTAATGAGGACTGGTAGCTTCTGTTCACAAATAAGAACGTCGAATAGACGTGTGCCAGAATCGGATGAGCCTTCGAGGTGTCGACCTGCTTGTTAGTGATCGTAGCCATACCGGTGATCTTTTTGTGCTCCTTCAAGGAGTCATAGGCTTTCAGTTGACGAAGAATGTACTTTTGGTTGGATGTGTCTGCAAACAACAGCGCGGAATCCTGGCCGGTCGAATACGACGCCACAAACGTTTTTAGCACCTTTGGGGAGAACTGGAAGAGATTCTGCAGGATTCTGAGCTGGGAAGATATAATGTCGTAGTCTGCTAGCATCAAGCCAATGGATAGACCAACCAATGTGATAACTGACTCTGTCTCCTTGTTTGTGTTGAATACGTTTATGTGCTTTGCCATCTCCTGCACAAGCATCGCATCATCTCCCGCATTCTCCCATTTGGCCAGCATCAGAGAGTAACGCAGAAACAGGTTGTACCATTCAGCAAATGGAACACCACGAAACTCGCGTTCCGGGGGTTTAATCTGCGTCAGTTCTTTGTTCAACAACATCTCCTCCTCTAGATACGTCATTCTCAAAAGACGCTGGTCAATATCTAGATTGCTCTGGCGTTTTCTCAAGCCGGCTGCAAACTTCTTGGCCCTATCTGACGAATAAAATACCCTGCATGCTGCAAATATCTCAACCAGTTCACCAGCAAGATCCAACCACGCATTTACGGCAAAAGGATCGTTTTCCGCCACTCCTGGAAGTAAACGATTTGCACGTGTGAACTTCTCGTGGACTCTTGACTTGGAACGTTGTTCCATCTCTTCCCATTCAACAGCGGTAAAAGCCTCTTTTTTCTTCTTTGTCTTCTTAGGTTTCCCCTTTGACTGTAATCCGCGAATAAGTGCCTGGCCTTCCATGGGCAAGGTCCCGTCGTTGTCATCTTCATTCTGCGTGTCTTTCTCTTCATCATCTTCGACTTCGACGTCACCATTTGCAATTGCTTGAGCTCTCTGTTTCTTGCTCTCCAGAAACAGCTTTGTGGCGGTTTCAGAATCACCAGTCAAGAATAAGATCTCTGCCAAGGACGTTTTCGCTTCCAGGTTATCGGGTTCTTCTTCGAGCACCTTCCAGTACATCTCTGCGGCATCCTCATAGTTCTCTATCTCCCTATAACATTTTGCCATGGCATGAAACAGATCCGGCGAGTGGTTCGATCTCAACTCGTATAATCTAGTGAAAAAAGAGAGAGCATCTGAGTGAAGATGATGAACCTCCAGAGCAGATCCAATATCCCAGAGTAAATCCGAATATCTTTCAGGATCGCCTCGTAGAATATAGCGGAAATGTCTCAAGGCCTCGTCATAATTCTTCAAATTCAATCGGAATATACCAATCCTAACCCTCATGTCAACTGGTAGCTCTTCGTAATCCTTCACCTTCTCCTGTTGAGATAATTGCTGGAACTTGGGGTTTTCGAATCTGCGGACATCAAACTCTGAGTCGTCGGGAACCTCCGACCAGAATGTTTGATCTTCTCTATGCTGAATCCATCTGGAAACATTTCTCACAGTTTTCAAGCCAGTGGACCATGATCCAATATTCACATACAACTCTGCCAGGATATTCAGCGCGGACCAATCAAAATTTGGCTCCCATTTTAGTTTTGTCAATGAAGCGCCTTTAGTACGTTTTTTGTTCAAACGATACGCCACGGCATCATCCAATTGCTTGGTGTAAAGCGAGATGGCTTCATTAACTCTCTTCTGTTTCATCAACACTTCTGCAAGCTCTCTCAAAACATTCTCATCGAATTCTTGTGCCAACAGCCCCTGGAGGTTCTCTGCAGCTTTGCGGTATTTGCCTGTCATATTATAGAGAATTGCTCGTTGGAAAATATAGTGATTCAGAGTCTTTCTTAACTTCTTGTTTCCCTTCTGGTTGTTCCATTGGCTGGTAGCAGCTGTTATAGCCTTACCATAGCAGTATATCGCTTGCAGCAAGTGCCCTAATTCTGTCGAAAGCTCACCATTGGTACTCCAAAATTCGTGATCCCAGGGGTGAAAATGAGCTGCCAGCACCCATAAATTCGAGCATGTGTTCAGACGATTCTGCATTCTGCATATTTCTCCCAAGGTTTTGTACGCAGAGAAGTTCTTGCTGTCTTTGCGAATAACCTCTGTATAAAGATTTGTGGCGACTTTAAAATCACTCCTCACAAATGCTTCGTTGGCATCCGACAAAAGCTTCTTGATTTCCGGATCCATGTCACCCTCTTTTCTTAGCTTGCGCATCAAGGCCCCAAAACCTCCTTTTCTCTTCCTCTTCCTTGCCTTTGATTTGAAGTTACTAGCTTCTCTCATAAGTTCTCTCAACGGAATATCTTCTTCATCCTCAAATTCCGAGTCGAAAGGATCGTTCTCTTCGTCTGAAGACTCTGCTGCATCTTCATATTGAAATGCAAAACTTGGTGGGGCAGAACTGTCACCATCAATGTCCTCTCCAGGGCCAATATCATCGCCATTCAATTCCTCTTCATCATCACCTTCATCCATTCCTATGATCTCGTCGTCATCTGAAAATGCAATCTCCGAGACATTCTCGTCCGAAGAGATCATTCCCTTGAGAGTCTCCACGTCAGGAATCATATCATCGAACTCTGAGTAGTCCCTGCTCTGTTGCAGCAATTCAGGTGCTATGACATCCTCATAGTTACCAGAGCTATGGTTCTTTCGCCTGGACATGGCGGAACAATTATAGCAAGCTTCAACCTTGAGTACTTATCGATTGGTGCTGCAACTCAACCTGTCACAATCAAATGTTGTAGCGGCATGATTGTTTATCTAGGGGCGTGTCCCACCCGCTATCCGTTTCGGGAAATCGTCTTTGAAAGCTCTAAACCACATCCATCATCAAGTGGCAAGTTGAGCATCTGTATTGATCTGTTAGACTTGTTGACTTTGATCGGTATTTTTGTTGAATAATGGTAAGTGTCGTTATGATACATATCGTGTTTGTCCAATTTTCAATTGCTAACTTGCATGCTTATAGTTTTCGTCATTTGGTGGGTTTGGCGCTGGCTCAGGCTTTGGGTTCCCCATGGCATCACACTTCGAAGACTATTTCAGAGCATATCCGGTAGTAATGATGCCGGATCTTTCAAGAAAGGATGCTGCTAATTACGGTGGCAAAATATTCCTGCCTCCATCGGCATTGAACAAATTGACCATGCTAAACATCAGATACCCTATGTTGTTTGAACTGACAAGCGAGGAATCAGGCAAATCAACCCATAGTGGAGTGCTAGAGTTCACAGCGGAAGAGGGAAGATGTTATCTTCCACAATGGATGATGAGCACGTTGTCTATCGAACCAGGATCACTTTTGAAGATCAGCAACTGCGACTTACCGCTTGGCACCTACACCAAGATCGAGCCCCAGTCGCAAGATTTTCTCGAGATATCCGACCCCAAGGCGGTCTTAGAAAGCGTTCTGCGGAATTTTACTACGCTCACGGTGAATGACATTATAGAAATAAGCTACAACGATCACATTTATGCTATCAAGGTTCTGGAATTGAAGCCCGACCAGCCTTCTACCCACAGTGTTTGTGTCATTGAAACCGATCTTGTTACTGAGTTTGCTCCGCCAGTCGGATATGTGGAGCCAGACTACAAGGCAATGGCCCAGGAAAGACAGAAGGTGAATAAGAAAAATGCTTTGGAAACCACTCCGGCCTTGCAGGGCCAAGGTTCCATGGCCCGTCAGATAAACTATGGTGATATACTACGAGAAGCGGCTCAACAGGCCACCAACTTTGGCGGAAAGGGTGCGAAATTGTCAGGAAAAGAAGTTCCCGTGGCCGTTGTTGAAGAGACCGCAAAAATCGATCTATCGGGCCCTCCTGTTCCGCTGAGACTACCTGAGGGCCAGTTGTTTTTTGGATTTCCAGTTGTGCCAGTGGCCGCTGAGGATGAAGACGAAGAGACTAACTCGACAACAAAGAAGGTGTTTGAAGGCCAGGGCCAGACGTTGAGGGCGAGCAGGAAGAGGAAAGACAAGAACATGAACCACCCTGCATTGAAAGATAAAGCCAGGAGTCCAGAGTTTATAGAGATTGATTAGGTGGGTAATGGTATAATTTTTGTTCTGAATGAATGAGGAGATATGATTGGCTAATGTAATCTATGAGAAGTTAAAGGCGATAAGACGGGAATTTTTGAAATTTTTGATAATCTTGAGAAAGGACTGAAAAATCGAAAGTTTTCGAGATGGCCTCAATATCTGAAAAACTTCATGATTTTTCACTACAAATCTTCAAATGCTTCAAACGCCTCAAATTAATCATTCATTTACTTTCATTACTGTAACTGTTTACTAGCCTTAATAAAGTCAGGCCCAGATATCCATCAAACCCCAATTCTCTGCTATCAACGAGACTCTTGACATCCTCCAATTCAGATATCTCAACACTCCCACCCTCTTCTGTCCACAATTTGCATGATCTCAGTAGGCTACCAAGCTTTCGCAATCCCAAAGAGTCCCAGATATTCGATGTGTGCGAAAAATCATGCAAAGAACAATAAACACACGATCTGAACGAAGCGAATGTGACAATAGCATAGTGATAGTTATCCTTTGTCCTATTGGTACTTCTCAAGATTGAAACGCGACGAACGTCTCCAAACACACTCATGAGCTTTTCGATCACATCTTCAGTGATCATGTCGATCAATTGAAGCTTATTCTTCCATTTCAGCTTGACGCTTTTGGGCAGCACCATCGAAGTGCGGTGGTCTTGGTGAGGTTGAGCTCTTGTGCTTGTTTTCGAACGCAATTCATTTTCTTTGATTTGACGAAGACGGAGAGCCTCATCTCGTAATCGCTCGATTTTTTGTGATCGCAATGATGCTTTTTTACCAGCTGAAACGACCTCTTTCTCACGTCTTAAGAGACTACTTCGGAAGTCTCTGTACTTACCATCCAGTTTCCGTTCTTCTTGCTCCTTTTGCCTCTTAGACTCTAATGATTGGTCATATTTGATTCTCAGCTCAGATTTAGTCAAAATCGATTGCACAATTCCAATTTCTCTGAATAATTCACGTGCTTCTGGTGAGGGGTTCTTGTCTGGATGTAACACAAGGGCCTTTCGCCTGTATGCTCTTCTTATCTCGTTATCCTTAGCATCGGGTGAAATATCAAGGAGCTTGTAAATATCCACTCCTTTGGCTATGAAAGCCTCCAATTCCTTTTCTTCGTCGTTCATGCCCAAGGTCTACCCATGAAGACTGAACCTCTCTTCCCAATAAAGACTGAAATCCAAGGCGCCGCAAGTCCTCAAGATTGGTCGTGCAAGTCTCGTTTTCTCAAGGTTTTGCATTGAGGATAATTTTCAGTTTTCTTCTTGGTCTTTTTTTCTTTCTTCTCTTCTTCAGATAATTCGCAACTTCTTTTGAAAAAGATCTGGTCACAGGGTTCTCCTGGGGACTGGGTCCTCATTATTAACTTGGTAAGTTACTATATCTACTGACTCCTTACCTCGTCGACCGGCTCCATGAATTGTTATGATGAAACACTTACTCAGCTCACTCAGAATATATTTAATGCTGATAAAACCTCCTATCCAACACTTATCAAGATTTCTGATCTATTTTTCATGGAGCCATTGACACAGCCATAGGAGCTATGAATTTTTGAAGTTGAAATTTCAAGTCATATTAACACAATCCTCAGTAATCGTTGGCCAACACGAGTCAAGACTACAGGTTGATGGCATGCTTTGCTAGCTCAGTGTTCCAGCTTTTTTCATAGAACTTTAGAATTGTATACAACAGTGTACAATAATAACGAATTGTCGAACTAAAACTTTTTTTCAGTAGTTTTAACCATTAATTTTAAGTAAAATCAACACTTAAACTTGTTCTCAAGATTGGCATATGTCGTGCACCTTTTGGGGTTCATCATATAAGCTCAGGCTGTGTACTTCCTCTCTTCTTTCTCCTCCAAAGACCCATCGACCCGCGTGAATTCGACAGAACGTCATAGTTCTCAATGACAGAGTCATTTCAGAACAACAGAAGTGATGTCGTACACATGTTGAAGCAACTGGACTCTAATCTCCAGTCATACGTTGCTCTCTATGATGCTGATGGACTTGCCGACGAGATCAAACGCGCTTCGCTGTCCACAACACAGGACTACAAGGAAGGCTACTCCCAGATAGCAGATCTAAGTCGAAAAGAGAACGAATACGTGCTTCAGTTGGATATAGCTAACAAATTATGGTTTATCAACGGGCTTCTCAATGAACTGGCCATCATCGACACTGTGGATGACGCCCAGCATGACGATTGGCATTTCGTTGACTTGGTTTCTTCAGTATCGAATTTGGAGAAGTTGAGACAAAAAGTGTTAGAATTCGAGACCCATGTTTCAAAAAATTTGGCAAAAAATCACGAAGGGGACGTTGGTAGCATCACCATCATCAAGGACATACAGAAAAGACAAGAGTCGTTCGACTTGAAAATTAAAAAATTGGTTTCAATGACTGGAAAAGCGCATCTGGAGACTAAGGAAGATTCAATTATATTGCATAATGAGTTCAATGGGCAGGAGTTTGGCCAGTTCTTGGATTCTGTGGCTACTGCTTCGGCTACCATGAGGCTTGCTAGCTCTGACGTTCTATTCAATTGGACCAATACGGTATACCAATGGACTGAAAATATATTAAAACAACTTGAAAATGATGCAGGCCTTCTGAGATTCAGTAAGGACCCGGAAATCAGCCATTTGGTCTTCCTACCTAAAGGCACCTACAGTCTCTCTGATCTCATTGATACCACAAACATCGCAGAAGGCTCGCAGAGTATACAAAAGTTTGTGTTTTCAATCACCAATCTAGTGGAATTTGTGGATGAGCTTGTGCATTTGTCAAATATTGGATCAGGTATACGAAAGCCATCATCCAAACTGAAACAGCAGCTGGTGAAGCCCATCTTAGCATCTCTGAAACTTCAGGTTTTCAACCCCAGAAACAAAAGTTTGATTTTTTCGCTGGTTTCTGAAAAATTAGGATTGAAAACTGATCAGTCAGCTAACTCTGGTGACCTGTTATCGTCTCTTCTGGAAAGTCTATCAGGTGATGGGTGGTACAGCTCAAGTTCCGGTGCTATTGAGACATGGCTTGAGGACCCTCTTGGATATTGGTCTGAAAACGAACTGGAGACCACGATTGAGAACCTCCGGGCTTTTTGCATTGAGCTGAAGAAGATAACACAATCGTCTGTCCCCAATAGCATGTTCACGAAGCTTTCCGTGAACGAGACACATGGTGGGTTCGAAAACACAGAAATGAAACCGGAATCTCCACAGGTACCACCAGCCACCAAACCAGACAATGATGAATGGAATTCCCAGTGGGATGAAGACAATGATGTCGATGATGCCTGGAACAAAGAAATTGATCTTGACGTTGATGATGTTTCAGAGAAGAAAGATGACGAACTTGATGCTAATGCCGATGATAATGGCTGGGATGACTGGAAAGATGACGATGATGACTTGGGATGGACTGAGAAACCCAAGCCTAAAACCCAACTCAACTCGCCTTCTGAGTTGTCAAAATTGCCAAAAGCCCAAAAAGCATTCACCTACAAATCGTCCCAGGTTCCAGCAAAGCTTCTTGCTCTTTTTGAAGACTTCTTCAACAGGTCGGAAGAGCTCACGAACCACTCACAACTATCTTTTCCGCAGTCGAAGAGGATACGACAGAGTTTCATCGAAAAGTTCAAGCCTTTTGCTCTGTCGTTTTTTGCCATGGTTTCGAGGGACTGGAAACAGTACTACCCCTCTCCAACTCTGTTATACAACGATTTCGGTAAGCTGCTGGAGTTAGCACACACTCAACACAAAGACTTTGAAAATACACTAGTTCCCGAACTGCTCATTCTCCAAGACCTTAATACGAGATTCATTCAATCAATGATACTCAGTATCCGTACCTCATTGGACGAGGCCGTCAACAAAGCCGAGAGAATACTTTTTGTGGATGACAATGACATGTTCAGCGCGGATGACATGTCGATAACGGCTTCCAAATTAGGACACAAAGCTAGAGAGGTCTTTGACGAGGTATTCCAGGCATTCTACCAAAACACAGAGACGTTCGAGTATAACGAGACTCTCAACATGTCGATCATCTCCACAACTATTAACCATTTCTACTCTAACATCATCACGAAACTGATTTCAAGAAAGTCAATTGGTGAGGCAGAGTCTGATGTATTAGCTCAATTGATTGACTATATCCTCATGGCAACGGTTCCGGCCCCAATCAGTTCAAGCAATTCCACCGTTGCCGCACTTCCAGCCGAGCTGAAGAAGTCGCCCAGTTTTCACAAATTGGCAAATATCAAGACAATCTTAACATCGCGACTTAACGATATCTTGAACCAATTTTACGAGGGTGTTTTCTTTGACATGGAGACAGAAGAGATGATTTCGCTTTTGCATGCGCTCTTCACCGACTCACCCACGAGGAGGTCGGTGATAGACGAGATCAAGGAGATCCGGTCCAGTTGAAGTATATTTAGGTCGAACATGTATGTTGAATCATTAATAAGGCTTCAATTACGTTGTACTATTGTTCCCTCGACAATGTAGACTTTCTATCATCTTCCAGTATCAACACATAATCTCAATGCTCTCAATTTTCACCCACAAATCGCAACTTTTTCACCTTTCCCTCTTTTCTATCAGAGTGGCGATGATGTTTACGCCGTTTCTGCTTCTCCTTAACGATCTCCGGCTCAGTCTTCTCATTAGCATTGGGTATTAACTCTCCACATCGATCTATCCATATCGCTGACACCGGCACGTCACTCTTGTCCACCTTAATTTGCGACATCCAATCAACGAACTGATCTAGATCACTCGCAAGCCGACCGATCACAAGATACTTGCTCAATTTTTCCTCGTATTGAGAGAGACTCTGCAAAGTTATGAAAAATTCAGGCGATGAAACAGAAACAATCTCTTCGTCATATTCAGAGTCCTCCGGCATTTCAGCCACACACAGCAGTCCAGAACTAACGAAATTCTTATTTCTCCCAGATAATATCACATCATTGTACTCCTGTATATCCAAAAGCCGTTTCTCAGACGGCTGTGTACCACTTGGAGAAGGCCTTTCAATCTTGCCTGCCTGTACTATGAATTCTGGGGCCACCACCCTGGTAATTGGAGCTAGCTTGTACGATACCTTTGAAGAGTTTCGTCCAGTGCAAAGGGAAACAAATCTGGAAAGCTCGCGTTAATACAACCATTTCAGGTTTCAAAATGAAGAATCATGCACTTACCGTTCTACCGTTTTCGGCACCAGGTTCTCGAACAAATCAAACACCAGAGTCAATTGCTCGGGAAAATTATGAGACCTGATGGATATGACCACTTTTCTCATACTAGAAATGTAAAAGCCGCTTTTATTCCACAGACCCCTTGTAGTTTTCAAACTTGCAACTTACACATCTGCGTTATCTCTTTATCTCAGACTCAACTAATTGAGATCACGTGATTACACGTAGTGAGCAAATAACGCTCCAGAAGCCGATAAGTTCCCAAAGTTGGCCCCTCTGTTTCTTTCAAACCAGCCGATATTGCTCGTATTACACGAAGAGTTTTCAAGTAAATAATCTATCAGCCAAATTGACCATGTCCGACCACGAGTACCATTTCGACGTCACCATGACCTGTTCAGGTAAGTTAACCCCATGTCATACCAACCGGGGTACCTTTACTAATCATTTGCAGGATGCTCCAACGCCGTCAACAGAGTGCTTACCAAGCTCGAGGGAGTCAAGAATATCGATATTTCGCTTGAAAAGCAGACCGTTGATGTGAAAACAACTGCTTCTTTGGACTACGATAGCGTGTTGAAGACAATCACCAAAACTGGTAAGAAGGTGAATGGCGGCAAGGTGGTGGTCTAGATGGTAGGCATTTGAAGAAACGAGTTAACATGGAGAGTGTTAACACGGTAATTTCTCAGGAGTTCAATTGTCGAAATGCTTCAGGACTATACAATCGTGTATCTATATTTGTATACGAAGAAATTGATGGTCTGCCTGCTACTGCCCTTTTCAAATCGCGAGATGCTTATATTTCTAGGAAATTTACCAATTTAAAGCATTCAAGATTTTGCCGTAGTCCTTTGGATCCCAGAGAAGTCAGAGTAGTGAATAGCAAAATCCTTCACTTCGGTGTCTCCTTCCATGTCGTTGCCCGACATTTCTTGGTCCTCACAACTTCCCTTCCCGTAGGCACCAGCTCTTGATGCTGACACAATTTATTGGGTCACGTGATATGATATTAAAAGTCGTGCTCCAAACATAAATTCATCCTCACGTTCTGTTGAACATAAGTTTGTCAGCCTCTCGTCTCCTTTTACGTCTTTCTCTTCTTTTCAGCCGACCCCTGATCTTTTCCTTGAAGTATTGGGTATCTTGTTTTGAGCTCTTCTCTGTGTATTTGTTTCTATTGATAGACTGATGACGGCTGATGTGGCTTCCGATGCGGATGACAGGAGGCGGTTCAACGGTGTGAACCTCAACATCACGCTGGTTTGTCCGGAATGCAAGGTTTATCCTCCGGAGCTGATAGAGCGGTTCAGCGAAGGTGATGTTGTGTGCGCATTATGTGGACTTGTTTTAAGCAACAGAATAGTCGATACAAGGTCTGAATGGAGAACGTTCAGCAACGATGACCAGAACGGAGACGACCCTTCGCGTGTTGGTGAGGCTTCTAGTTCCCTTCTGGACAGCGATCAACTCTCTACCGTTATTTCGAGCTCTCAGGAGGCTGGTCGTACTGGAAGAGAACTGAACAGGGCTCAGAGTAAGAGTCTCGTGGACAAGAAGGACAATGCTTTGCAGGATGCCTACTCCAAGATCACGCACATGTGTGATGGATACCAGCTTCCAAAAGTGGTCCAGGACGGAGCCAAGGAGGTTTACAAGCTTGTTTATGATGAGCGGGCTTTGAAGGGTAAATCTCAGCTCAGTATTATTGCAGCATCGATTGTTCTTGGGTGTAGAAACGCCAAGGTGGCTCGGTCTTTCAAGGAAATTTGGGCTTTGACCAATGTTCCTCGCAAGGAGATTGGTAAGGTATTCAAGATGATCACCAAGATTGTACAGGAGAAGAGCGCTCAGAGTGGGGCCAGTTTGTCGTTCCAAAGTGATTCTCTGGCTGCGAGACAGATGAACGCTGAGGACTTGGTGGGCAGATTCTGTTCTCATCTTGGTCTGTCTCCTCAGGTTTCGAGTGCTGCTGAGTTTATCGCGAGAAGGACTCGTGAGGTGGGTGTCTTGGCGGGTAGATCGCCAACGACAATTGCTGCTGCCGTGGTTTATATGGCAGCTCAGATATTCGGCCAGTCGCTTCTGCCTTCACGGATCTCCGAGAAGACGGGTGTCAGCGACGGTACTATCAAAACGTCGTATAAGCTACTTTATGCGAAGAAGGAGGATCTGGTAGACCCATATTGGATTGAGTCTGGGAGGGTCAATTTTGACAAGATTCCAAAGGCTTAAACGGTGCTTTCGGATGGTTTGAAAATGATATATGAAGGCTCGAATGAGCCGCATGGAGATGTTTTATTTCAAGTTTGGACAGATTAGCGTATACCAGTTTAATGAAAATTCGATAGTTCAGCACTAGCAAAAGGCACGTACTCGTTACAAGCTTTTCAGAGACCTTACTCTATCAAAAATATAACGCCATTGGATATATACTATACATTAAATTTTTTCAATTGTCACCGTTGCAAAATTTCACCAAAAGCCGTCCAAACTCAATGTCTTCTCACAACTTTTCAACTCATATTGTAAAATGCCTCCCACAGATTTGTCACTCACGCCTATCGTCAAAACCTGGCCATAACCGTTATCTGAAGGAGTGAAAACCAGTCCTGTCACCTTCCCAAACATCGATATCGACTGGTAATCCACCGTTTGCTCTGGGTCCTTGGCAAACCCACCCGTTCGGAAACTGCTGGAACCAAAACCATCGCCAGAGAGCCTTGGCCTGCGACTGTATTTCGGTGCTTGATATGAGGATTCTGGCATCCCCCATTTCTTCATGTTATCAGTGTCAACAACATACACGTTGTCTATGGATTCCGCAAAGGCTAGGTACTTGCCCGTGGGATCGAACCTGATGTTCCTCACTGCTCCTTGGAGTCCACCACAAAGCACCGTCAAGGGCTTTGAGAACCACGGATCAGAGCTGATCTTCCGCTTGTCGTATATTCTTATCGTTCCGTCCTGGTTACCCGTGGCAAAGACGTTCTCGGAGCTCCAGTCGCACGCAAACGAGAAATCGCGATGGCCGTGCATCTCCACGGCTGGGGGACGTCTTCGGTCTCGCCTGTCCACTATAATTGTCTCAGGAGTATCACCAACTATCAACACTTCGTTTGAGTTGGAGGGGTTTTCAGCGATGCAGTTGACTGCAAAATCCAGAACTTCCTTTCGCACAATCTGGCCCCTTGCGTGGTTGAAATACCACAACCGTCTGTCATTAGAGGCCACAATTATCTCCTCTTTGTGGTTGGATTCATTGGCCGGAACAAATATATAGTTGATGATTCCGTTGGGGTCTGTCGTAAGAGTGTATTGCTCATACGTACTGGTTTGATGCGAGTAATTAATGATGCTTCCAGTGAAGGACCCGGCAGCCAGAAGAGACGAGTTCGTGGAAATAGTGGAGATTTTGAAGTCAAAAGGGTCATCAGTCTTCAGAAAAATGCTAAGTCAGTAAACGGAACAAAGGAGAACGAAATATGGCTTCAACTTACCATCGGACCGATCAGGGGTGATTCGGTACCCGTCAGGGTGTCGAATTTGGAGATTCCAAAACTAGGAGAACTCGAATTAGAGTAGAACACCGTGTTCTTATCATAGGCAGCAATCAGGTTTCTAAGCTGAAAATGTAACAGTTTCGGAGTGCATTGAGAGGCAAACCGTTTGAAAGTGAATAGGTTGGACCGTCTGCCTGATCTTCTCCCTCTGAAGGCAGGATATTCCGGATCCAGCGTGAAATCAATGCTTTCTCTTGCTGCATCGATCGATAATCGCAGACTCGCATAGCTTTCAAAGCTGTTCGCACGATTTTTTAATGCCAGTTGTCGTTGGTCAGGGTTCTTCCACATTAACCCTTGGGGGTCAATGTATGCTGTGTTATCGGTTTTCGGTGCGAAGGGATGACTGGCCAGGAAATCTACCTGATGTGATCGATTATGAGATGGATATATCTCGGAGCGTATGTCTTCGCCAAAAATGGGTTTCAACCTCCTGGGACAACATTGGATCCCAACGTCGTCAAAGGTGTGGTTGGAGCTGGTATCCAGTACATGATTCAGCTTATCGAGAAACAACGATCTGGGATATTTGTGAGAGTGAACCCACTCAGAGTCAACGGTGAGTCCATCTGGGCTCTGGGATTCAAACTCAAAAGATTCATAGAAGTCATTCTCGATCTCTGGCTCTGACGGGAGGTGCAGCGGGGAGTAGCTGTGAATATAGGGATAAGTCCTGGTGGAAGAGCGAAATCTGTTCAGCAGCGATTCCGTGGAATCAGGTGTACGTGGGATCGACTCGGGATCTTCCATTTCAATGGGATTTTCTTGGAATTTGTAGTGGATCGTGGAGATAGATAAGCGTTGGATCGATTAGACGGATTCTCGTTACAAAGACAAAAAGTTCCCTGTAGCAAAAAGGAGTCGTGTGCTTACAGAAGTTGATATCGTGCGGGACCAAACATGTCCCGATTCGGTGAAGATTAAGCACTCTCACTTAAAGCTGATAAGACTGATATCTACAAACTGGCCGTTATCTCCTACCTTTCTGGCAATAACATTCTGGTCAACAAAGTAGGACTCAGACCAGTATGCCATTTCCTCTGTTGTGAACGGACCGTACACTTCCTCGTTATCTTGCCATTTGTACTCCCAAATTCGAGGATGTGCCTCATCTGGGTGATCATCCTCCTCTTCGTCTTGATCAAATGACTCGTCATATCCTCTCTTCTTCCCATTTTCGTACGGCTTTCCTGCAGCTCGCGAGTACATACGCATAAGTTCTTCTCTGGTGAGACCGTGCACGTTTCTGTAGGCTTTTTTCGTGAGAAACTCGGAATTATCAGTGATCGTCTGAATCTTGATCTTGATTAACTGCTCTTCCTGGTTACTTTTGACCTTCTGCTTCTTATTCTTCTTCTGAAGTACCTTTCTGCTTCCTTGTAGCCGTTGAAGAGCTTCCATAATACTTTCGGCGGGCTGTAGAAGTTCAATGAGACCCGCGAAGACGTCCTTGAGGTCCATCGACAGCATGGCATCTCTTTCAGATTTGAGTTTTTTTTCCCTTTCTTCTTTTCTATGAGTTTCAGCTTCACGCGCCTTGGCAATGCTAGCCTTATCGAGACCTTGGAGCCACGAGTCCTTGGAATTCTTCAGAGCTTCTTCTTCGTCATCGTCGTCATCATCGTCATCATCATCGTCATTGCCTTCTTTGTCTGAGTTTCTCTTGTTTCGTATGAAATTACCCGATTCATCAAAAACGCCTTCTTTGGCTTCCTTTTGCAGATTAAATTTCTCGATCTTGGGCCCTCTGGATCGCTTGATCTTCGCCCGATCGACATCTCGCACCTCTTCTTCAGGATTGTTGAAATAGGCATACATAGCTGACTTGTCTATGGTATCATCTTCAGACTCAGAAGTGTTTGCTGCATCGCCTAGGCCCCCTTTAAGGTTTGCCAGCTCAACCTCAACGTCCTCGCCAAGGTTCTTTTCAAACTCGTCCAAATCCAGCGTGTTGGGTTTCCGCGTCTGTTTCGTCTCAGTATCTGAAGCAAACATATCGTCATTATCGTCGGCCTTTTCACCCGTTCTCTCGGTTTTTTCGTCACCGGAGTTGGCTTCTTCGTCTGATGAATCCTCAACTAACGAGTCTGAGTCGTAGCCCTGCATCCTGACTCTGCTGTTTCTGGTGTTAATATCCTGAAGAAGCAGCTGATCCTCTGTAAGAATCCTTTCCTTGCTAGTCATAATGGGAAAATATCAAAAAAAAAACACCAATTTCAGTCTGTTTTGGAGTGTATTCATGGAGTGTTTATAATGGCAAGAGAGACTTTATATGGCAAGTACACTAACAAGCTCATCTCATCGCGGGTTGAAAATTGAAAAATCAAAAATTGCGGCTTTATGGATTTTAGCCGACTCTTCTTAATAGCCAGATTAGAGACAACAGAGAGAGGAAAAATAATCGTGATTGGAGGCTGTTCAAATTTTCAAGTTCATACCCTCATGTTTGATAACGATTTCGACGATCTGCTAAACTTGGAAGAAAAGTTCTACCGGGAAGGATTTGAAGAAGGAGTGCAAGCAGGCAAGCAGAACAACTTCAGAGAGGGAAAGGAACTTGGAATCCAGACCGGATACCAGACATTTTTGTACGTGGGTCAGATACGAGGATTGACACATAGTTGGAAACTGTATGTGGACAAGATCAATTCTGGCGAGATATCACCTCCTTCGGAGAGGGTTGGAGGAAAGGAAAGGGACTGGGTCAAGGTTAGTAATCAGATAAGCGAGCTGAAAAGTCTGGTTGACAGTTTATATGAGAATGGGAAATTGAATCTCACGAATAGTGATGACGATGTGAGCAAGATCAGCAGCACAATTAAGGCTTTGAGAACAAAGGCGAGGATAATAGCGGGAATACTGGCTCAAAGGGAGCTGTTCCTAGAGATGGAGAGGACGGCGTTGCAAGTTGCAGGTAAAATCCAGACGAACCAGACATTGGCGCCCGAGGAGGATATGTGGTAATGTTGTATGAATGATCAGGCGAATTTTCGGATATTTGGGCCATGCTATTATATGCTATAATATGGTATGATTGGGGAGCACCAGACTAATACCCATTGAGATAGGGCTTAATTTCACTAGATGTTCATTATTAGTGCGCTTTTTGACGAAATATAATGAGATTAGGAGCAGTAGTTCAAGCCTGTATTATCCAATCAAATAGCTGTGTAAATCTTCCAATCAAATAGTTCTGCACTATTTCTCTTCATTTCTCAGCCCTTTACTTTCAGTGTCAATCCAGATTCCTGTAAACCATTCCAGAAAAGTCAAGATTCTCCTACTCAATGAAATAGTTTTGGATCTCAAATCCAACATCATCTGCAAACTTCTTAGCAACGGTCCAGTTCACATTGCACTTCCACCTCAGCGAAGTCGTCAACGAATCACCAGTGGTTGCTCTCAAAATCAACTTCAAAGACGCTAATGTATTCAATTGGGTCAATAACAACACGTCCGAGTTCACATCGTCTTCTGGAACATCCTCATGATAAATTGCATGGAGGATGGCCAGCAATCGCTCTAATGGGAAAGGCTGTGGCTGGAGCATTTTAGAGTTGACACTGAACTTGTTGGATCTGATTTTCCGGTGCAGTTTTGAATTTGCTCTGACCTCATTTGTTTTGGAGAACAACATTAGATCGTATCTTGAGTCTGTGAAAGAGGCCAAGTATGCAGCGATGATTATGTACTTAGCCTTGAGAGTGATGTCATAGGACTCCACAGAGCGATTTTCATTGGTATCTTCGTTCTCCAGATTGATGCCTTCGTCAACAAAAGTATCTCTGATAGCCCATTCTGACTGAAGGAGCTTTCTATTCGCATTGTATACAGCCGTTGGATCGTTCACTCCATTCACAATGGAACCGACCCTCGCTATGGGTTCCACGAAATGTGGGAACAACCTATCAAAAGCATGTATGGCAAGATCCACATCAGAACCAATATAGAACGAAAAACTCTCCAGCAGCAATGAACTTAGTGTCTTGAAGAAAATTCCCGTATCTTTAGCCAAATCTTGAGATTTCCATAGACTTTCCTCAACCTTGGTTCGCCAGCCACTGGCCATCAGTCTCAAGTAAAGAACCTTGTTCAGTTGATCATAAGTATATGCTGGAAAGAAAACGTGTGGCAGAGAGAGAGAAGTCAAGTCCAGCGAGTTTGGTGAGGAGGCCACAAAAACAAAACAAAAGTTGTCACACTTCGGCACTTGTTCGTGAAGTCTAGCCAAAGCAGTTGCTAGTACCACGGGCGAATCGTTACCAAGCATCTGGTCAATATGATCCAGAACAAAGATGTGTGAATAACAGTCAAAGTATTTTGACCCAACCTCCAGGAGAACTTCCAGAGTCCATATAAACGACGATATTCCGTCACATAGCTCGATTCGGTCTTTAATCTGTTGCGCGAGAGCCGGATCGTATTCGTTCAATATGGCTTGTAATTCAGCATTCAGAATTCGCACCAAAAAACGCTGTAATATACCACGAATACCGTAAACTCTTCGACAATCGAGGTCTATCCATTTGCTTTGTGCCGAGACTATTTTTCGCAACTCATTGAGGGTGAATGTCTTACCTGATGATCTCACTCCCTCTACTATGAGTACCGGAGAAAGAAGTCCTTTGGAAGGCTGTATATGGCATGTCAGATGGAACAACTCTTGGCTGCGCAGCATAAGAGCATCTGCCTTATTAGATCCAGTACAAGACTTGGACGGCATGTTTTGATAACAGGATAATCACCGTTGTTCTAAATCATTTCGAGAATACGACATGTCAGAACGCGTTTTTGATTACGGTCGTGTGTGAGCAAAATGGTCGTTTGAGGTAAAGATCTTGATTTATGATTAGACGATTAGATTGAGCGTTATTTGAATAAATATTTTTTTCTTTGAATGCGCTATGCTGCTTCTTCGATCGCTGCTCTCAACAGACTCAAGTCATAAGCCTTTGAAACGCTCGTGTACACCTTGATTCTCTTCTGCAATTCGCTAAGACTCTTGGTCTCCTGCCATCTTCCTGAGCATGCACAATTAGCAGCCAGTTCGTTCTGCTTGATCCTTCCACACTTGTCACATTTCAAATCCTGGTAGAAATAGGTGGTGAAAAGTTTCAACAGCTCCTGGATCAATTTCTCTTCAATCGACACTTTGTTGAAGGGTTTACCACAGCTTTCACAACTCCAGATGATCTCCTCATCGTCTCTGCACATATCGATATCTCTGATATGGTTGCAGTATTCACAACAAACTTGGGGAATGTAGAGAGAGGAAGCTGGATATCTGAAGTTGGCCTCTTCACTGAACTCCTTAACATCGAAATACTTGAGAAGATCTCTTCTCAGCATCCTAGTTTCCATGATTTTATCCTTATCAAGCGATAATATGTGACACAGAGACTTCACTAGCTCCAAAGCAGCATTTGAAAATTTCAGATGTGAACCAGGCAAATTGGGGAATTCATAGTCAATACTAGCAGATGCATCCAGTAAAGAGGTGGTTTGCAATTTGATCAAGGTTTGAATACGTTTTTCAAGAGGTTTTCTGAATAGTTCACAGACACCTCCTAAGATCTCGTCCTTATCTAGATCGCCAGTCACAGGCTTGCCATTGAGTTTCAGAACTTTGCTGATCTGAGAAACTCTTTGGGTTCCATTCTGTGAATCCTTCATGGTCTGTGCTCTGTGTTTTATGAGCGAGTCCAAGAAGATAATCGCCCAGTCTTCAAATTCGGGTTGGAACACTGGAGGCAGAAACGACTTTATTTGCCAGTGCGATACCGATTCCAGTGGAGGCTCTGAGTCTCCTTCGAAGGTGACACAATAACGACCAGAGTAATTGTACTCGTCCATCCACATCAAAATGTCCCAATACCTCACCACATTGAGCTCCAAAAAGTTGAACAACGGCTTTGACCTTGCTGTGTTCACCAGATAATTTCCATACGCATAAGAATTCTCGACAGACAGCTTGGAGGTCTTGAGGATGATCTTGTTGCGACTTGCTGATACAATGGAAGCCCCCATCCGCTTGAACTCTGCAAGTAATTGCAATAGAGATTTCTTGGTCAAGTTGTGAATATGGTAATTTAAAGCCGGATCGTAGAGAAACGACATTGGCTTCAATATCCACGATACAAGACTGTGGATCATTGATTCTGCATCAGAACTGTTTTTCATCGCATCATCCCACCATGATTTCACCATTGACCTCAGCACTATAAGAGCTGGTCCGAAGAATGAGTCTTCCGCAAAAGTGCTTCCTTCAGACAATTGTCCCAAACTGCCACCCTGAGTCGTTCCTTCAGAATCCACAACAGTAGTACCTTCGGCTTCGTTGATCAACGAAGAGGTCAAAATTGTGTTAATAGTCAAGTTTTTGAGCTCCAGCTCCAGAGAAACAGACTCATAAACATCAGGCCTGTTGATAGAAGGAAGTTGGAAAGACTCTTCAAGCTCTGGAGAACTGGATTGTTTTTCTATACCCCCATGGTCTGGAAGAGGAGTAGGCGACCACCACAAGATTATTCCAGATTTGCTGAGACGACGAGCGTACTCGATATCGATGAGATAACCAATATTATCAACCTTCAGATTGCATAGAGGAATGTTTCCGTATTTCGAGAGTGAAACCAGTCTCTTAATCCATTGAGATAAAGACAGAAAGTGATTCAAAATCCTCTTGGTGATCAAGTTTTGCCAGTTCAGAGAAGAAACTTGAATCTCGCCGATGGTGATGTGAACCTTGGGCAATACCGATAATCCTCTCACAGTTTTCAATATTTTGCTCGAATTTGGCGACTGGATAGCAAGCAGTGGCTTGGATGTTCTAGAATCGTGGATCTTGTTGCACTGAATCGAAAGCTTACGATAAAGCTTCGTGATATCTCCAAAATAGTGGGTCTCAAAGTTGATCTCACTTGGATATTCCAATATTCCTCGTAATGAGTCAATGGTTTTGAATTTGGATTCATAGAGCTCCTTATAGAGTTTGGATATGTTCGCAGGCAGTTCCTGAGCACTAGATGATGGCTTCAGAACAAAAAACTCAGCAGTGGCATCCCAAGAGTTGAACAGTGCAAAGATCTCATACTGATTCGACACAATGTGCAACAGATACAAAATATCCATGGAAAAGTTCGAGAGATAGTGCTCTGAAGGCTTCATGACCAATGATTTTTTTTCGAAGCCGCGATGCATACCTTTTCCCAAGGCACCAAGGGCATTGTCACTAAATTCAACGCATGCTCCGAGGTCCATGATAGCACGTTCAACGGATTGGATCTGAGATTCATAGATGGAGTCAATATCAGGAGATTGAAGAGCCCCGTCACATTTCTCCATCTCCTGCTTATAAGTATCCTCAGGCATAGAAAGCTTGTAGATGTTACCTGACTTCGTCCCACTGGGTGCTACTGCCGTAGACTTTTCAAATTCGCAGTTAGCAATATCGATCTCCGGAACTTTGTCAGACTTGTAGCCCAGATAAACTTTTTTGGGGATCTTGAAGGTCAAAGTTTGCACCTTGTCGTCAATAAGGACACTAGCAATCAGATTGCCTAAATGATCTGGATCGACTCTGTATTCTAGGATCTGCCATGTGGAGCCAGCAATGTTGGCGACTCGGTCTCTCATCATGGAGTTTAGAGAAGACCTACCACCAGTGGACTCGGTGTTTCCAAATAGCTCTCTTCTTCTTGCTTTGTTTGTTTCTTGAACCTTCCATTTGAGTTTCTGGTACATTAAGAAACCAACATAATCTTCATCTGGAGAAGGACACTTGGTGGTACTGATTAGTCCTTTGGCAGCTTCAGCTTCTGACTTGGCTTCGGCCTCTCTCAACTGTGCTCTTCTCTTTTTGGAAGTAACCTTACCAAACCTTGGTTTAGCATCTCCGTTGGTTCCATAATCTTCCAGATCCTTAATGGTGTTGGTGACATCCGCCATAGCTTCTCCCTTTCCTGTTTTGGCGAAGAAGTTCGAGATGCTCTTCTGCTTCAAAGTGTTCTCTTTATCTGCAATACGCCTTTGCAACCAGTCTGGATGAGGGACCCTTGGGACTGGGTTGCTTATATCTTGCAAGGCAGCTGGAATGGTGATGATCTTTTGAACCACAGAAGCCAGTCTTTCTTTGTAGTATCCCCAGTCAATGATGGATCTAGGGTCAAAATCTTCGAGGGTAGGATCAACTAGCCATCTTCTCAGAAACATTCTCTTGTGAGAAAGCTCAGCAGAGAAAATAGCAACTGGAATGGCTCTTTCAGTGATAGGAGCATCCAAAGGTGTACGGGCAATGATGTACTTACACGCGAGACCCTTATCTTTGACCATTTCCTCACCCAGGAATTCACCTAGTCTTTTGGCAGTGGTGATAGACGTGGACTTCTGATTTCCATATTCCGCTAGCGTTTTGCTCATGCTTCGGTTTTCACAAATGAGTTCAATTAAATCCTCATCCTCAAGCATGCTACCTTTGGTATCAAGAACATCCAGCCAACGGTTAGCTACATTTGCAACAGCTCCGTAACACCCTTCCAAAGTTGTTCCATCCAAGAACAACTTGAAGATGTCTGACTGGAAGTTCTTCACCAATTGTAATTCACCACGACGTTTCAGCTCAAAACCTTTGAGCTCAGCCAGAGAACCGTCGAAGTTGAACACAGCGTATCTTTTCTTCAAACCCTTACCTTCCTCCTTTGAGGTGGGCAGTATCATGGCTCTGTAAGGACCATCCACCTCAAAGAAAATCGAGTTGTCAGATTTGGTTTCGTACTTGCGTCTGACTGGATCTATCAGCTCTTGATATTGGTGGTTCGTAAACTTCTGGTGGACAATGTAGTTCATCATGGATCCTGGATAGGACATGAAAATCTTCTTGCCGTTCTTGAGCTCGAAGTTGAAGTTTTCAGGAAAACTGGAAGGAAGAATACACCAGATACCATCGGTGTCCAGTTCCAGAGGTCTGCCCAATCTCTCTACCAACGCTCTTGCCATTTGGATAATCGTGGCTCCAGTTAAACATGTAATACCAGCCATTTCCATGGAGTACCAACGAGACCCTTTTCTCATGACGTATCCGTAGAATGAGTTCAAAATGACCTTATGGGCGAGCTGCAACGAATCATACAGAACCACCATTTTCTTCGCCTCATCAATGGCATTCTTATCGTCTTTTGGTATCTGCGCAGTCTTTCCTTTCCAGACTTTTGCAAGCGTCTTGAACTCGTATCTTCTGTCTCTAAAATCACGAACTGTATTCACGTAGAACGGATTCTCACGTTGGCAGATGATTGCTTCTCTTTCAATAGTCTCTGTTTGTTTCACTCTGTGGTACACTTTTCGTGAATAATCGGACAATCTTTTCTTGATATGCCCAACCTGATCCGTGTAACTCAGCTGTTCGAAGTTTCGTCTTGGACCATTTGGAAACTTTGGAGGGAAGTCTTCGTGCTGAAGTGCTCTTTTGATCATGCCATACTCGTTCATTTGAGCAGGGTAGAATTCTCCTCTCCATGACCAAGGCAGTCTTCTGTCACACGTTTTACCTGGTCTGTTGAAGTCACAAGAAGCACAGTCACTCTCTGCTTTCATGGAATCCGGCTGGAGACGGTTGGTGGTCATGATGTTTGGATACATAGACGCAACGTCAATGTGATAAATCAGAGGATTCTCCTTTCTCTTCGGGGTGTCTCTTATTGCTATCAGCTGTTCTTTGACTTTGTCGCGGACTTCATCAAAGTTTGTGACATCTTTCAGTTTCTTTCCACCTTCGACTTCAATGCAAAATTTCAAGGCTTCATCCAAGTCACCCAGCAATTCATCAATAGCTGTGGGATCAACCTCAAACTCGTTTTCGAGATCGGATCTGAAAACACCTGCTTCCAGTGATTCAACATGCCCTCCGACATATGTCTCAGACTCGACCAAATGACCATCATAGAACCTTTCGAGAGGATCAGTATGCTTGTTAGGCAGTAGGATACCACCCTGGTATGCCTGGACCATCAACAACATCTCACAAAGAGTACCCGTACCTTTTCTTAACACTTCGTCTGGGTTGAGCGGAATAATTGTACACAGAGAAAAGATGAAGGGGTGCACATACTTGTAATACAAGTAATAAGTAGCCACTGCATCCGAGACCGAATATTCGGAAAGAACCTGAGGCTTTTCGATTGCATATGGAGTCATGAGTTCAGGATCCAATTCTGTCGGGTTATATCCCAGTTTGACGGTAGTCACAGCTTTCAAACCCTGGGAACCTTGAGGTAGGTAAGAATCACGTTTAACCCACCTGTAACAATCCATGTGAGCACAGTAAGTCGATTTGTATTCCCCTTCGCTGTCCTTCGCAAAGCCAATCTCCTCAAACATGTCTATATCGTGATAGGCTGCTCTTGCTTCCACAAAAGGCCAATCAAAGAAATCACCGTTGAAAGTAGCAATTACAGTGGGCTTTGCATCTCTAATGTGTTCAAAAAACCTTTCTATCAGCGCTTTCTCATCTTTTTCGTTGAAAATGGCAAACAGACCTGGGTACTCAGGCTTTGGGGTATACTCAAAATCCTCAATGTCCTGACTGATGATTTCTCTGTTCGTGATCAGAAACCCTTCGCCGTCAATCATATAAGATATCATCATGATCTGATCGACCGAAGAATCAGGAAATTTCAATGGTGCCTTGGTTGTTTCTATGTCAAAAGCAAGCACCACCGGGTCAGCAAATGCTATTCGTTTGTCATCAGGTATCAAGTTGACTTCACCATCAGTGGCCTCGACAATATACCATTTACCCACCCTAATGTCCTTATCTATGGATACTCTCACGTGGTATGGAACATCATACTCGCGTATATCTTCGAGGGCTTCCGAGGCATCCATGAGTCGTCCCTTTTGGTCTTCGTAGTCGTCATCACCATTGCTCTTCAGAATATTGTTGTAAGATAGCTCACTCAGACTGTATACACTTTTAGTTTCAGTGGCCTTTTTGTTTGCATCCAGAATAGGATTCATGATTCTCCGTGCCTCCAAAAGATCAGATACACTGTGAAAACTCAGTTTCAAAAGCGTTCTGTTCAATCCAATCAGATGATTCGGCAAAGACAGGTCTTCCTTCTCAACTCTGGAGATCTTCTTGAGACAGGTATCCAGTTTCTTTCTCAAGAACTCTTCGGCCTCTGCAAACATGGTCTCTTTGCATATCAGCAAGAAGTATGGGTCATACTTCACAGTCGCCTTAAAATTGCCTCCTTCTTCATCAAGGAAGTAATAATCAACACCAGACACACCACTGACACTTTCAGAGCTCTTGACGGTGGTAGCATGCATGTTCACCAACCAGCCTATCTTCTTGGGACCGGACTCATACCTGTTGAACTCGAAAACAGAGTCGATTCTGTCAATGTTCTCCACCGCCTGGAATTTGGCCTGCAAACTCGACGCCTTGGATAAGCCATCCTGTCTTTTTCCGCTGAAGTCATTGTAATTCCTTTCTTCCCTCCTGTTCTTAGCGTATCTGCCGGTATTGGAACCTTTGAAGTTAGGTCGCGTGGCCATCTTGAGTTTTGGGATACGAAAAAACTAAACGAAAGTTGGAAGACTAAATCTTCCTCGCAGCAGGGTATATATATGAAATGATAAATGAAAACCTCCCTCGAAAGTGAGAGAAACGCTTGGAGTTAGACTGACTTCCTTGTCTTGTTCTAAGGAAGTTTCAATTAAGACTGACGCGACGCGCGTCAGTTTGGACTGGGCACGTCCATACTGTGAGTACACGACTGCTAGTGGATAATTTGATAATGACAATTTCGGGAGTTTGTCCGCGAGTAGTTCAGGTTAAAAATATTCAATTGTCCTCATTGAAATTGATTATTGCTAAAATTAAGTAACCAGAATCCTGCTCTAAATTTGGTAATCCACAAAGTTCAACACTTTCAAGCCGAACAAGACCCCTTCATAATCCAATTAGTCTCTGGTTACAACGCCCTGTCCCACGGTCCTCAAATCTCGAGCTCTTTCGTTTCTAGATCTTAACACGAGTATCAAATACGAAAACCATAGTGCCGTACTGTTGCCACTTTTTGCTGGATTTTGGAGAAAGGAGGTGAATTCTGACATCAAACTTACATCAGGGCCCCCGTTTTAATACAATCATGTATAATCCATACTCCAATGCAGGGGATGCACACCAAGTGAACGGCCACCACGCACAGCAGCAGCAACAACAACAACAATCACAGCAACAGCCTTTCCAGCAAGTTCCAACTCATAACCCACAATTCCAGGCTGGTGGAAATCCACAGTTGAATGTTCCTTTTAACAATGTGTTCAGCGACCCCCGGGCGACCATGGGACTACAGTTCTCGCAGTCGGCGATCAATGCTGGCCAGCAATACATGCAAAACAACTTCAGCACCATAATGCACGGGCAGAATATCAAAACATATTTCAAAGTATCGAACTCATATGTTTGGCACAAGCTTTACCTTATTTTGCTGCCTTATCGGAACAAGACGTGGGCTCGCGTTTACAGAACCTCCACCGACCAGAACAACAACTCCATTGACGTGTTTGCCCCACCATTGGAGGATGTTAATGCTCCCGACTTGTACATCCCGGTAATGGGTTACGTGACTTATATTTTGCTGTGGGCGATTTTCTCTGGTATAAAGGGCTCGTTCCACCCGGAGTTACTGGGATACACGGCTACCAGAATCCTTGCTCTGGGAGTATTGGACGTATTGTTTTTGAAGATAGCCCTGTACACTCTTTCCGTTGAGTCAAAGTTTTGGGATGTGGTGGCATATAGTGGTTACAAGTTCGTGTCTGTGTTAGTGATCATGTTGTTCAAAAACATCTTCCAGGGCTCCAAGGTTGTATACTACTTGTTCTCCGTCGGTGTTCTGTTTTCTCTGGGGTTCTTTCTCATGAGATCTCTCAGATATGTTTTGTTGCCCAGTGGCGGCAATTCGGTGGTTTCGCATGGGCAGAAGAAGATGAGGACGAACTTTTTGTTCCTCTACTCGTTTCCGATCCAGTTGTTTCTGGCCTGGTTGATGATATGAGCACGGGCAAGGATATTTTAGGAGAAACAAGGCCAATTGAAGATGTAGCTACACGTTTTTCATGGTGATCTTCAACTGAACTGGCTCTTGGCATGACGTACTATTGGGGACAAGGTAGTGTGCCAGGTCAAAACAATTTTGCCATTCCCGATTTCCAGCAGACGAAATTTTTTGCTTCTTCAAAGTTGATCTTGTTGTAAACCCTTTCTTCTAAAGAACCTCGCAATTGAACTGATTATGGTATGTTCAACTTTATATTAGCCAGATTTTGGCTTTCATTTTTTCATCTAGGCGATTGGCAAGAGAAGGCCCGGAAGTCACATCTGTAAACCATACAGCATTCTATCTACATGATGACAATGAGTTCTAGCAACTCTAATATTTATTATAAACCCAGCTCTTCGACTTAATCTGTTTCATGAGAAGAAAAGGTGACAAACGCTCTGAAAGATTTGGAAATGTGATTCTAGGGGATATCTCAACCGTCCAGGGGCTTCAAGAGCCAAAGGCCACCAGAAACAACGTTTACTAACAAAACATTAAGGCATCGGTGGTAATATCGTGTTTCGCATTGTTATATAAGGCTGTTTCTGACAAAATAAACCATGAATCTGACGCAGAAATATCATTGTAAGTAGTAATCGTCCACCCTTAATGTAAGTCATGGGCTGGAAATCCTGCCAAATTTCACGCGGTTGATTAACGGCCCGACGAAACTGAGACTCTATTAATTTCGAAGTTGATCTTGAGCTTTTGGAACACGGTATCTTGACCTCTAACAAGACGTTTTTTTTGTTCCTTGCTAAAAAATGTTGAGACTAAGAGGCATTCCGACCAGGAATGTTACCAGAACGCTGGTTTCTCAATTAAGAGCATTTTCCATTGCTCCACCAAGACTCAACAGCATCATTGCAGACTCTGTGGAGTTGGAACAACCCAAGGTGGTACAAAAGCCCCAGAGGTACCAAAAGAAGAGCTTCGTTAATAATTACGAGCAAACTCCGATCCAGCTACTTGCTTCTATCGAGAAATTTCAGGAAGTTCTAGACTCTGAGAAATCCAGCGGAGACGCTGATTCGACTCCCGATGAAAGGTTTGCCAGAAGGGCCTGTTCCGTAGCCTATCCCTTGATAATGGGATTGCAAGTTCACAAAGAGGTTGGTGGATACTCACCAGAGGATCTCTGCTACAGAGTTGCTTCCATGGCTATTGAAGCTAAGGTTGCCAGGATATACATTCTGAACCCAGTGGTATTCCTGTTCTTAAAGACAGATAGACCAAAGGATGCTCTTAGTTTCTGGCTAGAGGCTTTTGAGTATGTGAAAAGATCAGGATTACCGATTTCGGGTAAGCTTAGCGAAAAGGAGCAGATGGACTTTGATTTTTTCCGCATGGCTGGTTATCTGTCTTACTTGAGAACATGTCAGAAGACAGGAACCAAGGTTGATTTGGAGACAGTTGTTTCGATTCTGGGTGAGGCTGCTCCAAGTGTCGAGAGACTTGCTGGAATCATCAAGAGATGGGGTTTGTCCGAGGAACTGGCTGGTTACGTAAGAAAGGTTCATCCAGGAGTGTTCAAGAGTTTGAAATCTCGCACTGCCAACCCCAACGACGCTAAGTACTGGGATTCATTGAAGTCTCTAGTTTTGGAAGGAAAGTTTCAACTCATGGAAAAACAAGTCCAATATATCAGGACTCTCTCTAAGGAAACTAACGTTCCACTTACTGAAAATCGTCTGTGCCAGTTGATGAACATCTATTCCACTGCCAAAAGAACACAGGCTGCGGTTTCTGTATTTGGCGAGATTACGAAGGCCTTCAAAAAACCTTCTATTGCGTCCTGGAACGAGCTGTTGTACTTGCAAAGCAAATACACAGACTCTCCACTGGATAGAGTCAACAGTGTGTGGTCTCTGATGAAGGAGAACCAAATCGAGTTCGATGCAGATTCATATGCCAACTTGGTGAAGGCTTACACGGAGCTGGACCAGATTGACGAGGTTATCCGGGTGATATCCGAACTGAGAAACTCAAAGACCGTTCCATTGACCAATAAGGTGATGGAGTCCGCGGTTCTGGCTCTTTTGAAAACGAACACAATCTCACAAGCTGAAAAGATCATGGCCTCTTTTGCTGCTAACGATGGCTATGTTCCCACAGCCAAGGTTTTTGGGCTCTTGATCCAGAAGTTCGGTGACGCTGGTGACTTTGCAAAGGCCTCAGAGGTCTTGGACAGAATGGCTGCCTTTGAGGTCAAGCCTGACGTTTCCATTTACACCATCGTCATCAACATGCTGTTCAAACAATCGAGGAAAACGGGCCGTCCTCTTGATACTGCCAGCTTGAAGAGTCTGTTCGATAACATGGAGGCCGAGAACATCTCCAGAAACAATTACATCTACTCCACGGTATTGCACGATCTCATGCTGCAAGAGGGCTCAATTGCTGCTGGTGAAACTTTACTTGAATATATGAAGGCCAACAAAATCAGGATCACTGCCACCACGTACACATCCGTTATATCTGGTTTTTCCAAGAATGGTCGTTTGGACGATGCTAAGAGGTACTTTGACGAGGCTGTTTCCAAGGGAGTTAACCCCAACACTCCACTGTTCAATATCTTGATTGAGGGCTTTGCTAAGGCTAAGAGATTGGAAGATGCCCTTTCTGAGCTGGAATTGATGAAGCAAAAGTCAGTTAGACCCAACTTCTTTAGTTTCTACTTCATGCTGAAGGAGGCCAGTGGTGCTAAGGACTGGGACATGTGCAGAAAGATTGTTGATCAAATTGGAGAGTCTGGGATTTCTGAGTACGGCAAATCGCTTCCAAGATTGTTGAGGAGCTGTGAAAGAAACGGAGTTGAGCTTCCTCAGACGGTTGTGGATAGACTTGGGAAGCCTGCTGTGTAGCATAGCTGGGGTCTGACCCAGCTAAACTTGTATATATTTTCAACTGGTTAAATATCCTAGATCCTAGATCCTTAATATAGTTGATTCTGCTCATTAGATTGTTGGCTGCTTGTGGGCAGTTCCATCTTCAAAAAAGACCTACTGTAGCTCCATTTTTCATGCAAGACTTGATTCATTATCCTTATTAACATGCCCTATTGGTATTTTCAAGTCAAGTCCACTACTGTCTCTCTCAGTCCTTTGTCCGCCCCAGGGCCTTCTCCCACAACGGCTTCAGGTCCTTTGACCAATGCTCAAATCTGTCTAGAGCATTACTCACGTTGTCCAAAGCAGGTCTCACATCCAAATAGAATGACGGCATACCATCTTCATCATCTGGACCTCCATAGTAATCAATCACATACCTCACCTGTTTCCAACCGCTTTGGCCATCCGAACGTAGCACCGTCCAATCGTGTCTGTCAAACGGTGGTTCCGTTCCGAACTGACTGGGGAACACCTTTCCCAGATACGAGTAAGTTCTCGCGCGTGGCGATAGATCGTCGGGCCTTCCCGTGAACTTCAACAGCCGCGGATCGACTTTGGTCTCTGCAGTGTGTCTTTGCTCCCAGTTCAGGATCTCTTGCCATGCTCCTTCATTCAAGAAGTTGTGCACATCCACCATGGACTCGACCGCATCTTCAGGAACATCGCCTTTGCCCTTTTTGATCATGGCATTGAACATTTGCTGAGGCGACGGATATTCCCAGTTTCCGCTGTCTGTTGATTCGCCCTTTGGGATCGTGGACATAGTCCTTTGCTTAGGCAGCTCTATTTTCTGACCCGGGGCCTTGTTGGAGGAAATCGAATATGGCATCTGGTTCAGCGGGTTCAGTTTGTCGGAAAGTCCTTTGTGGTTAACCGGACATACTTGAGGCTGGTCTTGTTTGGAGTGTTGAACGGGACAACTTCCTATGTTTGAATGTGGCACCGGACAAGAGGGTGAGGCCGTGGTAGTATTATCAGCCCAAAACCAGCCCATGATTAAAACTTGAAGCGCAAATTTGGAGTGTAGTAGCTTTAGCAACAAAAAACAGCCTTTAAAACTTTTTTGAAAAAGCCCAAATCATCCAGAAATGATCCCAGAATCATCAAGGCATCTACGGCTATTCTCTTTTTGCTTACTTTCGGCAAATGTGATTGGTGATGGGCCCGCCACGACCTTTTGAGAGGCCGATAGCGAAAACGGACAGATGTACAAATCGTTTGTTACGAACGAACTGAGATATCATTCGGTTTCCAGGAAGAAAAGTTCCAATATCACGGGTCATACCTTTTTGCATCATGAGCTCTGATAACCTGGAAACAAAGGATCAGCTCCTAGCTAGGCATAAGAAGGAAAATAGAGACCTCATAGCTACTGTCACTGGGCTCAAGAAACAAGCCACGAAATCGAAGAAGAAAGAGGTAATGAAGAAATGCCAACAACTGGAGGATGATTTGAAAGCGAGACACGCGAGGGAGATTAGTGTGGGTACACCTTTTTTTTGAGCTTTTTGGTATATTGTTAAAGATTTGAGTCACTAACTATCATAGGTGTTTGAGAATGGTGAGGAAGAACAAGAAGAGGTTACGCCAGAACAATTATTAGCAGAATTAGAGCTTGATTCGAAACCCGAGTCGAACAATGAGACTTCAGCAATCACAAATTCCAACTCTTCTGGGCCACAGAAAAAGCGCAACAGGCAGAAGGAACGACTCGCCAAACGGGACGCTGCCATGGCAGAGATCAGAAACAAGGCCATTGAGGAGGCAGAAGGTGAGACTGATTACCGTGCAATTGAGCTTGACAATATAGAACTTTTGTGCAAGAAGAACAAACTCTCGCAGTTTGACATCCAGCCAGACGGACACTGTCTATTCGCATCTATCGCTGATCAACTCAAAACCCGTCAGGGAATCGACACTTCGGTGAAAGAACTTCGTTCGAAAGCGGCTCAGCACATTAGAAATGACCCAGACACGTACGCGCCATTTTTGTTTGATGAGGCCACTATGACGATCAAAGACGTGAAGTCCTATACCGATGAGATCGAGAACACGGCGTTGTGGGGTGGTGATATGGAGATCATGGCGCTAGCCAAGGAGTACAATTGTCCTATCAGTGTGATGATGAGTGGAAGGGCCACACATAGGGTGAATGAGGAAGGACCAAATGCAGAATTGAAATTGGTTTACTACAAGCATTCGTTTGGACTTGGAGAGCATTATAACTCTTTGAGGGATGAGGCGTAAGAGAAGTGGCCTCCATGACCAAAATCCAACGTTGTTCGAATGTTCTCCCCGCAATGATGAAATAATGACGACCAAAAGTTTTCACGGAGACCAAGAAGTCTGCGTTCATAGAGAACTGTCCTAATTTTGAAAACCTGTCTGATGTTGAAGACCTGTCGAAGTTGTGAAAAGATCTGTTTGACAGTGAAGGATTCTATGAGAGTTATTTACAGTTATCATCTCTCAATAATGAAGGCTAGCCAACGACTAGCAGATGTTTCTAACCTCTCTCCAGGTTCTCTATATACAACTCTAACGACACAACTATATGTTCCTCCTCTCTATATACACATCTATCTCAAGGAAATTCAGCCTGCCTGCTCTCATTTCCTGTTCTTCCCGGCAGCAGCTTTGAAGTGGACTATATCACCATCCTCAACCACATACGCCTTTCCTACCCTTTGAACCCTTCCCTTGGACTTGAGGGTCTTTTCGTCAAAAGGAGGCTGCAAATCAGCTACTTCCGCATACTTTATCACCTCAGCATTTATGAATGTATCGCGCAAATCCGTGTGGATTACGCTTGCCGCTTCAGGCGCAAGCGTGTTCTCTCTCACTGTCCATTGTCTTGCTTCCAGAGGTCCACAGGTATAATAGCTGATCAGTCCCAAAGCATTTCTCATAGCTGTGATAATCGTTGGAAGAGCACTTTTCGATTCAGTATCGGAAATTTCGCTGAGATCCCATTCATTCTGGGCAGAAAAAAGAATGGTCTCCGAGCCTGGGGAGTTTAAACTCACCCATTCTTCGACTGACTCCAGGAAGTCATTACTTTGAGACTCAAAGTCATGCAAGTCAGTGTTCAAAAGAAAAACACATGGTTTGGCCGTGAGAAAGTTATTCCGATTGAGTATTTCGATCTGGGAATCGCTCCATTGCTTATTGCTAGCAATCCTCCGACCATCCATAAGATAGTCTAAAGCCACAGTCAAGGTATCAACTTCTTCCTTTATATCCTTCAACTCCTGGGGAGACTTTCCGGATCGATTTTTCAGTTGTCTCTGCAATCTCTCAATCGAGTTCTCTGCAAACTCCATATCCTTCAACAACAGCTCGTCTTGGACTATTGTCAAATCTCTCACGGGATCAACACTTCCTTCAATGTGCGTGATCTCGTCGCTTTGGAATCCTCTTACCACCTGGAAAATCCCATCAACGGCCCGGATATCGCTGAGAAACTGGTTGCCTAGGCCCTCGCCAGTAGCAGCTCCACGAACAAGTCCTGCAATGTCGAAGATCTTCAGGGTTGCCGGGACTTTCTTTTGGGAAGAATAGAGGTGTTGAAGATGTGAAAGTCGGTCACAGGGGACAATCACTCTTGCTTCTTCTGGCTCAATAGTAGCAAAAGGATAGTTAGCGGGCTTGGTATCGGTTAGTATGATGCAGTATGGTAGTTGGGCCCAATATGATCAATTTTTTATCATTTGAGAATATCTAAATTTGTCATGGGAAGCCCGAAATAGTAGAAGACGTACATTTCCCAGCTTTGATCTCGTGATAGCCTGGAAAAAGGTAGACTTTCCAACATTGGCAAGTCCGACTATACCACTCTACATGTCAGAGTTAGTAAACTTATTTAAGCCTCCAATTAAGCAACTCATTAAGAGCCTGCAGTGTATTTGCGATTTAACCAAGCAATTGGACATACCGTTAGGTTGTTTGAACATCTTCCGAGTTGAGGTCTTCTGATGGGATTTTTTCCCGATTTTTTGGAGCTTGCAGACGCCAACCGCACAAAAACAAACCGGCTCCTCGGAATGGGTCTCAGTGCAAACATTCTGCAACCAAAGCAGAAAATTACCGTACTTTAAGTCTTGCGATTGGATGACATATTATAGACTTATGGGTGCTCGACATGCAGAGAAATATTGACGCCGTTTTCTAGATCACGTGAGAACCACCATCTCAGGCCCCTCATTATGGGAGAATGTTCGTGAATTGGTGGGAGCACCTGTCTCATCAGGATGCACATGTTCGCTGTCCAATGAAAACTACTCTCCATGCTTATACTTAAAACGGAAAGGGTGAAAGGGGAAGGTTATGGTGCATGCACCAGAACAATCTGCAAAGCCAATCAGGCGCTTGTTCACTGATATATCGCCTAGGAGACGGTTGATCTGCATGCATTTTGGTAGAAATGGGAGAGAGGGCTCAGGACATTGTTATTCGTTGGTGGACGAAGAGGACCGTATAAGGGGCAAAAGGGATATTGAAAGTTCAGGAGTGGCGCCACTGACGCTTGAGAAAATCTTGGTTTTTAATCAAATTTGAAGGATTCCATCGTAGGTCTTTCTTGGTTATCCTAAGTGAACCCATCAAATTGATAGCCACCATTTTATCTCCACCAATATTGATTGCACACTGTGTTTGCTTGAGGCATTTCGTCGACCTGATTAGTTCTGTGCAGCATCCCGAAGAGGAGATGCCATGTCTGTTGCGTGCACGACTAATGTTCACTTGCATAGAAGAAGGCATGAGGTGCATGGAATGTATCACACTGCATGTATGCAAGCGCCATTTCCCCAATTGGGAGAAAGACGAAAGACTCCCGGAACATTTTTATGCTTATGATGGTTAAAACTTTCGATAGGTCGGGTTCTCAACCTCCAGATCATATAGAGTGTGCTCCCAGGAAGGAATGTAGTGTTTGAAAAGATCAAAAGATCAACTGCCTGCACTTAAAGGTGGAGGCCTGCAAGTCAAAGAAATCGTTAGCACCGATCTGACACCGTTGTTTTTTTTTCTTTCCATTGAAATGATTTTCTTGCGCAATATTTACCTGGATAACCCAAAAGTTTAATCTCCATTTTACCTCGTAACGGTAAGTCTATTTCTTACATCCTCAGTTAAGCAGGAGAAGATGACCCGATCCTGATTTTAAATATGACTTTGTATGCATCACCGGCATGAGAAACGGCCTGAGAAAATGGCACGAGAAAGCCGAGCGGCTAGTTTTAAACCAGCACATCTGCCAAAAAGGGTTGAACTTGAAGACTCGGATTATGAGGGGTACGTGAGTGACATGCCGTTGTGCTTACTAGACTCACATGTGAAGATGTATGTATAAGCCCCCAATGTAAATCCTGATTTACCCAACGCATGGTTAATGTGAGGTCATGAGACCGCTGGAATGTACAGAACCTCAGAAATAGCATTGATTCGAACATCTCCAAAAAGTACTGCATACAGGGCACTTTGGTAGGTACAAATTCTCTCCTTGTTGCATTAAAGAGGCACAACGCCCTCCAGAAATAGATTTTCGAAGATCTGTTCATGCATTGAACCGTATTAGAAGAACTGGTTTATATGAAGAAGTGCACTGAACTCAGTAGAAAAATTACGTTCGAAGTCGAATTCATGTGTTACTCAATGGGGCCTCTGGTTTTTTGTAGCTTACGTTTGATGTATATCTTGAATTGGCCTCTTGTCGCAATACTTACGCAGCATTTTTATCATCTATCGCCATAAAAATGACAGCGCATTTTTCACATGTCTGTACATAAATCTCCAGTGTTCAGTGCCGTGCATCGTCATCGTAAGAATTGGTACGATATGCATCAGCAAGCGTCCACTTTGTGAATTGGATAGGCCGAAAAGAGTTGGACAAATTTGTCCGATTCGAGCGCTGTTGCGATACAAAGTCAAAATAGGAGACTTCATGATGAAAAAAAAGCATTTAGCATTTTTATCTTTCTACTAAATATACGATAAATGCAACGGCAATTATGATTGCTATAGCCGCTCTCTAGTCGTCTCCTCCAATTTTGGGATTCAGGGCTAGGGTCGTGTACAGCATTATGACATACGATGCGTCGTGTCTTAATATATTTAACCCCTACTACCCGGATCCTTTACCGCATTAGGCAAATTAATAGATTGTTCACGAAATCCTGCAAATTAGCCCAAGTTCAAAAAACCTGTCAGGTTCCCGAACAAAACGTGGACTGTGTAGTATATCGGAACGTGGATTTAAGGTCTGCGACGGAGATTGGAAGATTATGCCTATTTTAGAGGGCTAGTCGGGAAATCGGAATTTTGTACGTTTCGAATCATATAGTTGATCGTGCAATGTGGGACTGATACCTCGGGATACATAGCGGCACGATCTAATTTCGGATGGGGGGAAGCAGGTTTTGTCCAGCGGCCCCTTCATAACAGCAACGAGGCTTATAATACTGATAAACCTGTAGAGTGGAGAATACTCAGTGTGACTGGGTGATTGATTTCTTCAGGAGTTGATCGAAAAAGTAACCTGAGGATTGAGTAGGGTTGGATAGCACTAAAATGCGTTCCCTGCCGGACGCAAGTGCGGTCAATCCAAACGAATCGGCTATTGTTAACTCTTCTCTTTCGAATGAGGAAGGCTGGATAGAATAAGTGTGGTTCCGTCGATCACCTTTGTTCTTGCAATCCCCAACGTTCTTTCACAATCTCGTCGTCATTGAATCCTCGTACAGCAGCAACAAGAGGAGCCAAAATCCTGACACCAGGGAGCTAGGAGCCTGATATGAGGCCAAAGAATATCATCCCACTGCCACAGGGTTTGTGATAGATATCTGTTTGGACTGTACGTCGTTTGTGGAATCGCGTGCTAGCGGTATTGGGCACGTTAAAAATGGGAGCAGTTCGCGGATTTGACTGAAGTAAAAAATATATATTGGCTAAGCCTGGAAGCAAAGTGGGATGCATTGCTCTGTGTCCCATCGCAGCAGCGAAGACAAACGTCCTCAGCTACCAACATCGATATGGACATTCAAGCTTTAGTAGAAAAAATAGGACTAATTAGGCATAAATCCGGGTTGCTATCACGTATTCTGAGTCCACCATATTTATTTTAGTTTAGGTCTTACCATATTTCTGTTGCAGTGGTCCAAACTAATGTTTCGGTCACATTTGGGGCGACGTCAAAAGTGGACCGGTAATGGCGTTCGGCTCCACAAGTCGAGAATCAAAGTGAAGGAAAAAGCTGAAAAAGCTGAAAAAGCATCGCACGGGCCCGTTCCTGGAGTTCACGTGTCAGCTTTTATCCTTTTGATTCTAATTCACGTTTGCTTTTTTAAGTTTTTGATTTCCATTGTCAAGCATGTAACATGACTGATAGACAAATCAAGGATAGAGTTTTACAAAAGATCAAGCTAAGCAATATGTTGTTTTTTAGCTGTAATCCTGATATGCTCAATTCGATTTTCAATATCACATCCCGTTTCGTTATCCCGTATGGCACACTACAACGTCGGGTTTCCGGATCTAACTATATTTCAGCTGGGAAGGGTATCCGGTCGAGGCGATTTCGCAAGTTGTAGGCGGATTGTGGCAGAGATACAGATCATGATCGACATTGAGCTTGAGCAACCAACTCATTGAGTACACAAGACAGTAGGAGGTATAGATATTTGACAAACTGAAGTGAACTCAACTTTTTAAGTCTCGTGTCCGTCTGCACCACAGACTTTTGTAGAGCAAGAGATATCACTTAAGAGCAAATTTTGATGGCGCGAGCAAGACTGGACTGTCGTTTATCGGTTTGAGCGATTCTTCCGAGGAAGTTTCGATGGGAGCGCCCTACGCTTCTGGAGTAAAGCTTGGGGGTCTAAACCCATTTACAGAAGTTTAAATTCACATTGTAGACATTGAGTGAAAGTTTAACAATTCGGCAGAATGATTTCTCTTGCTGGGAAAAGGATCGAAAGTTTAAAAGTCAGACCAAATGCTGTATGTGGTCCAGTTACGAAGAACGGGCCGTACGAGGTCGGATGCTCCCTAGAATTTTTGCTGTGCTGCTATATCCGATAAAGTATCACCGAAACAAGAATCCAGGCTCGAGAAAGCCATGGAATGGCAGCATTTTTGGCGTGCCTATTTTAGGGCGCTTTATCTCTTTCAAGCGCTGGATTTCTTTTCGAAAAAACCTTAAGTTGAGTAATGCACGATCCATATTTGAAGCGAGATGTCCCGATTTCTCAAAGGATGATGATTCACGAATGGGGTGGAAAAAAATGGATTTCGTTGGCCATTTGCTCATTTGCGCTTTGCTTTTGTGACGAGGGAGTCGTATTAGTTGGCTGCTCATGTGGTTGGCTTTAATTGACGATTCTTAGCCGTATTCACCCAGAGTTCGCCATCGGCTGGAGTCCGGATCGGATTGACTTCTATAGTAGAAAGTCTAAATCAAGATCACTGCAACACAAACTACTGTAACATGAAACGGCTAGGGATTAACTGTTCATATTAGCGACTATGGGGAAGAATCTCCAAGGTGATGAGTCTGGGACGACAATGTTTGATCCGGCGGATTAGGCGGGGGAAGCGTTCACAGGGGTCTTGTAATCACCCCAAATAGTGACCAATTTGAGGAATTTCTGACGCTATTTTCTGATATGAATTTTGGCTTGAAAATACATATGGTCCCTAACTCTTTAAGGTGACAGCTTTGTTTTCAAGATTGATCTAGTCTGCAAAACCTGATATGAATAGCACAACTTGAATTTAATACGCTCTATTTCGCACGTCACGACCGTTCACTTCTGGCACCAAATAAGGTGCAATCACGAGCTAAACTAGAGTGGTATGTATAACACTTGGTACCGAGGGTGTCCTTAGGCGTAGAAGATCGAGCGATATTTATCCAATGAAAGATAGAACGGTTTCGTAAAGACTGAATCCGTTTGATGCACTACTAGTGCCATTTTTGCTGTGTGGCCTGGCGGTTTGGCGGTTTGCGGAACATCGTAGTCGGTGGATCTGGACGTGGAGATTTCGTGATTTAGTACGGTCTGAACGGCCCCAGTTGATAATCTGATCTAACAACTTCCTGATTTAAAATATACATGTCGATGTCGTCCTCTCCACTTCTTTGACACGTGACCACACCAATGTCCAGGCACACCTCACCCTGGGTTTTAGGGGGCAAAGGAAACGCAGCGAACTTTGACCCAGTCGTCCAGGGGTCAAAGCCGATAAAACAGTACCCTCTTAGAGCTGGAAGAAGAAGTATCCTATTTTCTGTCCAGTTTGTAGTCCTGATACCAGGGATCTAGCGCACTTCGTGCGCTTCGTGCGCCCCCTCCCGTTGGCAAAAAGCAGGGAGGGCATCAGCTGTGTAGCACCACGCACTCCCAACACGAGCTACCCTTGCCATCTGGACAAAAAAGCAATCTGCCACTAAATCTGCACAGTCATGCAGAACACATATTTCGGTCCCTTGTCTATCGGGAGAAACCGATGCAAATTATTTCGACCCCAATAAAGCGTGGGAATCAAAGCTTCATTCCCTCTCAAAAAACCGAAGGGCTCTTATAAGACTCTTGCAACATCCATCCTCTCCCCCCTCCTCTTTTTCATTTTGGCTTTACCAATTGAACGGGTCTTTTTTATCTATTGTTTTCTGTTCAAATTCGGAGGAGCTAATAACAACAAGAAATATTCAGCTGAAAACTTTCACTGGTTTGAATTTCTGAAAATTGGCGCTCTCATAGAACCTCCAGCATTACACCCAGTTTTTCACAACTTCAAAAAGGACTGGTGTTTTTTCATTTTATTGCTTGGGACATCTTTTTTTTTTGCCTGGAATCACCATATTCGCTTAGATATCCTGCTTTTTGCGCTTTTTGTCTGAATTGACTTGTATGGCTGCTGGTACAGGGTCGCACCGAAAATTCCAAACTTCACCATCATAGTTGCAAGACCAAATTGCCGTTCTCCAGTTATCGGATTCAGTATAATACTGCCCACTATTTATTCAGATTCCTCCGCTTGCCCATCTTGAGTTGATCTTGACCAGTTGCGCTCACATATCAAAAATTTTCAACTTCTTTTGAAGACTCACTTGCAAGAGCTGTGCTCTATCTCACAAAATGCAATCGCCGGACGAATTCCATCTCATAAGGAGGGCTAACACCCTCCGCAAATCGCTGAACCCACGTTTAAAACGTGCGCAACTGTCAGCCCACTTTGCATTTCTCAAAGACAATATGCGTGCTGTTAAGCGCATTGTCCACGAGTCCAACCGCTCCAAACTTCCCAAAGCCAATTACCTGGTTTTCCAACCAGAGATTAGCGAAAGAGAGAGATTTGCTGTGGTTGATTTCATCCATAAGCTGGTGATTGATCTCGGGTTGGATCACCGGGTTTTTTTCACAGCCATCAACTTGATTGACCGGTACTGCCACACCATTCCGGTTATGCTCAAGCATCTTGAGGTACTTGCGTTGAGCTGCATTTGGATCGCCTCTAAGTTCCACTCGCGCAAGTCTCGAATCCCAGAGGTTTCAAAGCTTTGTGGTTTGACCAATGGCTTTCATAACAAGGAGAAAATCATCAAGATGGAGTCCACTGTCTTGAATGCCTTGAACTGGGACGTTAATGACTGCACCTACGACTTGTTCATCGACACCATCTTGCAGGGTCAGGTGGAGCTGTCGGTGGATTTGATTAAGTATGGTGCGCTTTATCTTTGCGAGTTGGCCGAATATAATCCTGGTGTCTGCATGGAATTCAACACTCGTGATGTCGCCATGGAATCTGTGTTCCTGCTCGTGTGTGTTTCCCGCCAATGGATGCCCAGCAAGTTGAGCGAGCTTGGAAAGATGCTGCTTAAGATGGCCTCCAACCCACCCACCACTCTCAGGAAGATTTATGACCCAAGTCTCAAGATACCGGAGTATGAGGGAGTTTACTTGTTACACCGTTTCTGCTGTACCTACGAGATGCACAAAGAGCAGGAAAAAGAACAGGCCAAACAGCAAAAGGATTATGAAAGCCAACAGCACCCGGCTGACGAAGAGACAGATTCTGACTTTGCTAGCGACGACGAGCTGGAGAATCAAGAGAATCTTCACGCTCTCACCGCGCAGACCCCTCCACAAGAGCCCAAACTAGTCCGCATGTCGCTGAGATTGAAGCTCAGGGCTCATCCATATCATCCATCCATGGTGTCACCAGTGTCCAGTTCCAATCCTATGCGGGCTCCTGTTACTGGCCAAATTCTGCACACCAACATGACGCTCTTGCCCACTCCAAGGCCGTCGCCGGTCGATGAGCTGAATAAAAACATGCTCCTGAACCCGGAAACGCCAATTGAGATTTCCGATCCAGTTCCCTCACCTAAGTCGCGGTCCGACAGTTTGCTTTCGAAGACGACCTCAGTATCGTCAGTTTCGTCTGCATCATCTGGGTCTTCGGGATCGTTTGCCGCTCCGGGTTTTAGGGGCCATGCCAAGCGCAATTCCTCGTACATGGATGTGGATATGGAGATGTCAAATGATCTGTTAGGAGCTGCGAAGCCTTCTGCAGTATTGAGGGAGTATAAGAGATATAGACGGAACGAGTGAGCTAAGAGAAGGCCGACTTCATGGACTCTTAAGCTCATATAATCCGACGGGTTAAACTCTTGATTTGAACTCAGCCTGAAATCAGGAGCTACTACCCACCTCAACGACATTCAGTGTCACACAATTCCTTCTGACTCCCAACTTCAATTCTCAATTGGCAGTCTCAGTCACTGCATTCGTTACGATTCGATGCCTCATTCTACACAGACAATTACTTCACAATCCTACACAAAGGTCCCAGAGATGGTTGCTTGATGTTGAGATAGGTTTGCCTTGCAAATACAACTCCCCAGCAACCAAAACATAACCATATAGAGCAATGGAGATAAATCAGCGTGTTCACTATCCCGTAGTCCCCCCAGGCAAATGGTAATTCCTCTACAGGCACGGCTATCCCCCATGTGAGGACATATTTATTGGTTGCAATCCAAAGTTGCCGAAGTGCATAACCCTTTAGTCGGGAAAAAACACTACCAAACCACAACGAAGTAGAGTACTCCTTGTGCATTAACATTAGCGCGTGATGCATACCGAAATAGGTGTGACACTGCTAAAATTAGTGATTTCGAGGGAGCACTACCTTTAAACCAGGATTTTTGTGTGCAGAATCTTGGTGGGGTTAGTGTATATGGTGACTTATTAGATGAATTGTTGCACTTTTTGCCAAATAAAGCAACTACGATTTTGTCCACCACTCTCTGTTTTCGTTTTGTCGGGTTTTTATATCAAGCAAGGTGATCCTACTACGTGTTTTTTCAGGAACCTCAAAGGAGCCTTGGTTTTCAACCCACATTCGTATATATGCCAAAAGGGTAAAGACTTGAAAATGTCAGTCAAGATTATCAGGCCATGAACTACCAAAACAGATGGAAAACCCGTTTGGATCAGTGGTTTCGTGCATTGTGATTTATGTGCGGTGTGTAAAAGTTCCGAGACAGACCACCAACGGTGACTGCGCTTCTTACGCCTTTACTGTGGAGGAGACCAGAATCTTGAACAACGCTTTAAGCAGAACGACAAATTCGTCCAGGTCAGACGATTAATGAATAAAACGGGAATTTCTTAGGTCTTGCTGTCCGAGAAAACCCAATCCGTTTTTGAATCTGTTTTGCGCGATTGTTCCGTTTCCCCCACACGCAATCAAAATTTCGTCGACCATCATCTCCCCTTGGTCTCGAACATTTCGACACGTCTGAAGGATCTTCTAACGTTATTTTCTCATTTTAGCTGTTTTTAAAGACTCTCGCGTCTTTGGAGTGAACATTTACGCTTAAATATAAGAATAGCACGAGATACCTCGAGGGAATTAGGGGTGCCCCAACAAGGTATGAGAAGCTCTGCCAGTTACCGGTATAGAATCATTGCGAAAAACCCCTTTTAGTGAGCGTAAAATAGGGTATTGAATCAAAAAAAGAAAGCTCAACTAGACTTCAAATAAGCATCAATGTCGACGTCAACATCCTCGGTAGAACACTTATATCCAATCCGAATCACGAGTACGATCTATACGAAGGTGTCCTCCAAATTAGACTGCAGATTTCTCGGAAAAAATTGTTACGTCACTATAACCACCAGAAATCACGAAATCTGAGCGTCCTGGCTCCACACAGATTGGAGTTAAAAAAATGGCTGTTGGGGCGTCTGTTATACTAATGATGCATTCTAGGTTATTACCGCATCGGGCAATCAGTGATGAAATTGCAAGATCCAGATGTCCCCTTTTGGAAGGTATGACGGTGAGGTCTGCTAGCGATATTTGTGGAGCAAAACAGATCAAAAAGCGTAGGCACTCCTGCAATATCGAATCCATATCGATGTGAAATCAAAGCCATAAAGGTTTATGCATTTTTTATAAAGGGGTAAAGTAAACCTTTCAGATGTGGAATACCGCACCAACCCTGGACTGCAGGGGATTCTATCGAAATCCAGAAATTAGGGACCTCTGGAGACTCTCGCTTTCTTGGCGGGCAATAGGGCTTTGGACGGCACCTCAAAACTCGAGATGTCAGGCAGATACGTGAAATATTACAGTCAAAACCTGGGAGTTTTGATATTTAGTTTGATGAAGGTCACTATTCCCCGTGGAAATCTGCAAAGGTTGAATCCGCAGATCGAAAATCGTACAAAAACTATAAATTGGGACCCTTGAACGTGGACACCCAAATCGGACAACACTTGACATCAAACCCGGACTCCTTTTTGGAGGGTTGCAGCCCCATTCTTTTTGCACGGCTGCCAGATCGCTCGTGGTACTATGGTAATTGCACGACAAGCCGTATCCGTTATCGGCTCGGATCCTGATTCGAGAGGGTTAAATTGCTCCTTCAGTAAGAGGTTTTGATGCTGGAAATTGTACGATTGGTTGGCCGATAGAATATCATCGGTCCAAGGCAGAACTAATCCGATTCACTGTATCTCCAGGTCTCAGGCTTTGTTCTTTCCGCGGAACCTGGGCCGAATTGAGCGAGGCTCTCTCAATGATTGACCAGAGGTGTGAGAGAGACATTTGAGAATTGGTAGGTCCGTATCAGTTATCATTGTGATGATTCTGCCATGGTTTTACCGTAACTTACACATTTCTGCTATTTCACTCTCTTTCGCAAGATTTCTCATTCATATCTGTTTTTTGTAGATATCTCCGAATTTTGATGATATGTCAAACCATTGATCGATTTCTCAAACCAATCCTCCTAAACGCAAAGCACAACTGGGGGGGTTTTTTTAATACTTCTAGGCCTCAGTAATTTTGGAACATCTTGTAGTGATTCCTTACTTGTCTATGCAATTCTCAAGAACTCTGCTTGAATGATGGAATACCAGTCTCTCCCTATTGCTTCCACAGACCCCCTTTACACCAGCCACTCTTTTCCATTTTCCGACAGCGCAAACGCATGATTAATTACAGCTACCGGAGAATTTTCATTTCAACAAAACATTGGCAATGGAACCTCAACTCGGCAGGAATCGTACGTAGCCTTCCGAGAGCATCATTACAATGTGTCAAACGAGAAGATAACGAAGCAGGCAATTTCCGAAATGAGGCGATGGTCTCGCTTTGCTGCTCTGCTGCACTTTTGACGGCGATCAACTACCGAAATTTCAGAGTTGTGGATGGGAACCCCGGTGAACTCGCGCTTGAGCCGATTGGTATTCAGACCTAGCAAATCCGATCAGCAGATAGGTCTGTCCTTCCCCTCCCCTTATACTTGGAGGCCCAACCTCCTAATGAGATTTCAAGCACTTTCTTCGATATGCCCTAGGCAAAAAAATTGAACCTAATATTTCATTTATTATTTAGGTATCTCAATTGAGGTCCAGGTACACTTTCACTATATACTTTTTTCTCTTTGTTTTCAACAGAACTACACTTTCACAACCATTGCTTTTTCTTCGGGAATAATTTTCTGTCCCCTTAGAGAGGGCTTCCTCCTTTCTGTTCGGAACCCAATGTTCACCTTCTTCGCAGTGAAACGCATCTCTATGGCAATTGCTATTGCAGTGTCCATGGTTTTGGCTTCCGGCGTCCGAAGCAGCACCCTGGGTGGGGCAACGCTCAGTTGCAATCGAAAGGCTGCGAGTTGGTTCTTGAAATTTACTCTGACCCCATCACCAACGTCATCGCGAATTATCATGCAGAGATAATACAGACAACAAACGCAATCTTTCGTTTCCTACGTCATATATTTGTAGAGTAGCCATCAAGGGTGACTTCAACGGAGTTACGGACACTCGGATGGCTGTATCAGTGATGGGATCCCAAGCGCTGGTTATTCATGGCATCTTGATGCTCAGTTGCCCATGCGATCGTACAGATATCATGAGAAATACTGATTTCGCAGTAGGATACGCCCATGCGATCGTGCAGATATCATAAGCAATTCTGATTTCTCAGAAGGATACGCCCATCCGCATCCAAAATCAGTTACGAGTTTGCAGGACATTTTGAGGCGATTTCTTGCTTCCTGATTAGAGAATTTATTCTGCTTTGCGACAGTCTTGCTTACCGAGATGGTAACGCCTTAAATGCACAGGGTTTCGATCACTGAAGCGGGGACTCAAATCGGAAACCGGAAATTAAACATGAGGCATATACACACAACTTGCTCGTTGAGTTCCCTCCCTGTTCTATTTCCTCACTGATTTCATTTACTATCAATCCCCATACGAGATCTGATCTCGTTGACCTTTAACTTTCTCCGCAAATCTGCAGAGTGCCCGAAGGGGCAATGTAAGTGCGGAATAAGAGACGTATCTTGTGTACTGCACGCTTATTCGTGTCTGATCCAATATATTTTTCAAAATTTAAATCTGAACTCCACATTACAGGTGTGGTCTTGAAGCATATGTTAAAGGCTATCATACCACAATGACCACGCAGAAGCGACTCAAATCCCACAAGTCAGATCAGCAGGCATATTTGGGGTATTGTGTTTCCCCGGGGGATGTAATTGACACCGTGGATCTGGCACAGATCTCGCAGCGTGAATTTGCTTCCAACTATATCTTCAGCCGCAAACCTTGTATTCTGCGAAGCTCTGCTGGCCTCGTTCCGCTACTGGGCCAAACGTTTTCCCTGGACAATTTCAAATCAGGCACTTTGTTGAAGACACTCGATTGTGAAGATGGCAAGCAAACTGTCCAGATAGAGCTGAAATCAGACGGCGGGTTTGGTTCCGGGAAGAAAAGGATAAAGATGTCATTGAAGGGCGTTTTGGAAGCATTCAAGAATAATGACAGCTCTATTTATCTAACTACCCAATATGGAAATGAAGAAGATGAAGAAGATGAGGACGACAAAAATGACAAAAAATATGAGCAAGATCAAGAACAATATGAGGATGACGATGACGATGATGAACCTGAACATGAGAACGAACAGGAAGAAGATCAATTTTTTGGCCCAGACGATAATGTTTCAGATTCAGGATCATCCATAGATTTTAACGAAGTTGAAGACGATTACGATGACAGGCTATCCGTTTCCGGTCAAGAGCCAATGACTCTTCAGGAAGCTGAATCCAGATGTTCAGACTTATTCCAACCACCATTGACGTGTCTGCTTACAAATCCCGACATTCTCCCTCTCAATGTAAAACTGTTTGAAGCACTTGTTCCGCAACAAGTCAATCTCTGGATGGGTTTAACAGCAGAAGAGACTTCCTCATCCGCATTCCAGGCCGATTTGACCAAGCCGGATCTCGGTCTTGGAAAGCGTGTTCCATTTGGAACATCTTCGGGGCTTCATCACGACCATTCAGACAACCTCTACATTCCTGTGACTGGATGCAAACGGTTCACAGTGTACTCTCCGAGTGAATATAAACAAATGTACACTGTTGGACGTGTGAATCAGTTGTACAATTCCGGGGTGATTGACTACCACCCTGACGAGAGAGCACCAAATTGGCGCACTACAAATGCCGATGGCTCTATGACAGATTGTAATACGTACGAGGAAAACTTGCACGAATCTGGAGCTGAGTCTGCCCTGAAATGTGACCAGGACCCTCCGTCGTTCTCACGCGTTCCACCTCTTCTGGCGAATATTGACCAGGTTTCCGATCCTGAGGTGAAAAAACAACTTACAGACGTTGCAAATGTCCGGTTCCCGGGTTTCCTCGACGCTAATAGTCTCAAGATAGAATTGAACCCAGGAGACGCACTGTATCTCCCAGCAGGTTGGTTCCACGAGGTTACATCTACCGGCGATTTCCAGGATGAAATCCCTGGAATTCACACGGCAATCAATTACTGGTTTGCCCCACCCGATGGGACCGCTGAAAAGCCCTATACAACGCCGTTCTGGCGCAATGATTTTGCGAGAACGGCTAGAGCTATTGACGAACGCCGCACTAAGTAGTTCCTGGGCTAATATGCGGGGATGTTATCACGTGATTAGATCGAGGGGTACTTGATCCTCAGCCCTGTGACTGCCAAGCCATCCCCGGCTTGTTGGTGCGGCGTGCGGCTCAACGACGCAAGGTAGTGCACCGCCTATCACCTGACAGTTCCAGAGATAGCAATGAGGGCCTAAGTTTAGAGTCTAAGTTAGGGATCTGAACCGTGATGAAAATAATGCAAAAGGTTGTAGTTGTAGATGCAAATTTGCTGGAATATAGCTCAGGTCTAGAGTGAACTCGCAATTTTCAATGGATCGCAAAATTCTAAAGCAAACCCCAATCCACCCAATCAAGACTCTATCTCTGGCGTGATAAGACACTATCGGGCCTTTAGCACCAAGATCGCCTCAGTAGGGTCTTTGCACTAGAACACTCAGTTTCCGCGCTAAACTCGCCAAATTCGACTGTTTCAGTAGGAAATCAGAAATATAAAGCTTTTATAATAAATCTCAGCCACAAAAAAACGAGAAATAATTTAAATTTTCACCAAAATTCACCCCTCACATCAGATCGAATGAGCCAGAACATTGCCAGATCCGGCCCGTTTTCGCAATGAGGTGAAAAATACAATTGACTTTCCTCTTTTCCCTCTTTTTTTTCACTCCTTTTTCCAGACCCTTTGAAGTCTATCCTAACCCGTTTTTTTTCTTGTTTTTCAAAACAGATTGTCTGAACTCGAATAGGTTGGAGGGAATGTAAGCATTTTTTTAATATATCGGAAAAGGGTGTTGGGGTGATAAAGAGCGAGCAAACAACAACATGCTACAACAAGGGGAGTTGTCATACTCAGGGGTGGTCCCACAACAAGAAAAAAACCTCCACATGGAGCTTTTCAAACGTTGCCACCCTGTAGAAAGTTTTGCAAGGCCCTAAGCGCTAGCTTGTTGTGTTTTTATTCGTTCGCGCGACCGTGTTCCATCTTGTTTTCCATTGCGTACAAGTCTAACAATAACATCACCAGTTTATCAGAGATTTCTCCACTTGTTCGACCAAACCAAATCTAGAAAGCCCCTTCAGCTTTGTTTTGCCTTGAAAGAGAGTTCAATCAAAGAGGTATTTATTAGCTTAAATATCTCGTTGTTTGACTGGTCCTAGTGTTCGAAAGAGTGAAAAGATACAGCATTTGAAGACGCTCTCTCTGCATTCACTCTCCATCTAACACTATCACCGTTGTGTTGCCTATTCACCGAATCATGGCTTCCACCTCTGCTTCTTCAGTTCGTCTCGACATTATGTCGGACGCCGGAAATGATCATGTCCCCTCTACACCCGCTCCTGAGTCTCCGGTCGAGTCGTCGTCGCACTCCTCACCAAGCGAGACCAGTGAAAGAAGTGTTACCCCATCGTCATCACTGACATCTGTGTCTGACACGGATTCAGTGAACAACTTGGAAAAACCTTCACTTTCAATTGCCCATGATGCTATGTCCAAGGGGCCGAACTCGATCTTGAAGAAGGTCAAGCCGGCTCCAAGAACTAGTTCTGCTACCGGCATTTCTACCACGGTCCCCGTCACTGGCGAAAGACCAAAGCCCGGTGCGCATCCTACCCTGGATGATGATGTTCTCTTTGCCATCTTTATGATCTTGTATTCACATGATCCTAAGGCGAAGGGAATGACCGTCAAACAGATCTGCGACATTCTGATTGAAAAACACCCCAAAATGGCTACCCTTTCCTCCAAGACTTCCAACCTTGTCAGTGCTAAGCTTAACGCTTATGTCAAGAGAGTTGAGAAGGGAGAAAGGTCCATCATCTATGCTCTTTCACGTGATTGGGCTGATGCTTCGCCGAAGAGAATGGTGTACGTCTACCGTGGTCTTTTGACCGATGACTACTATCTTCATGTCAAGTCCATGCTTGAGAGCCAAAAAGCTATGGAGGCCTCTAACGGGCCTCTCTCTGGAAACAGCTCCATGATGGACGATGACTCTGTCAGTGCAGATGCTCAGGGAAAGTATAAGAAGAAGAATGGAATCCCAACTTTTGATATGGGTTCTCGTTCCCCTTTCCTTGAAAGTCCTTTGGATTTACGTTTGCCTCAATTATCCATTCCTTATTCGGTTGCTCCTGTAACTGCTTCTCTCAACGACGAGAATAGGTCTCCGTTCAAGCCTGGCCGCAAAGGTGACAGTAACGCCTCTGATTATGAGTACGATGAGTTCGACACTTTCAGAGACGATGACGATGACGAAGATGATGAGCTCGAGACCGAAATCATGTACAGACGCTCGAGCTTGGTTCAAAGAGGAGGTGCGATCCCACCAACAACCCTCTCTACCAAGCGGTCTAAGTCTCTCTCCTCACTGAGCAAGAGACCTCGTCATATAACTGCCGCTGCTGCTGCCCCCAGAATCCCAAGGGTTTCCGTTTCGACTCCCGGTGCTGCTGCAGCTGTTGCTGCTCTGAGAGCAGCCACTCTGCAGGCAATGTCTCCATCCGAGTCCTTTGGTGAAAGTACCTTCTTGACAGACCCATCTGTTGAGCCTTCTGCCAGTGTCAAATGGCTTGAGACTTTGAGATCCGGGTTCTTGACCCAAGAATTCACCGCTCCAGAGGACTTGTCTTTGGCAGAACTGGACGCCTTGTTTGCTTGAATATCTCTCCAAAACGGCGGAATTGTTGGAAAGAGGCAATGCAAAGTGCTGGAATCCAATCTAAGGATATCCGTCTTTCCTCACGTTCCTTTTCACTCAAAAGCCTATGCTGCTGCCGTTTTGTCCTGTGCTTTGCCAGCTTTTGTCAGCTACCTGAACACCTGCTTTTATCCATGATTGAACTGGGTTGAAAAATTTATGTCTAATGACTTGTTATCGTTTTGATCTCCTTTTGTTACACTTTTTTCTTTTTTTTCTTTGATCTTTTATTTATAAAGTCCCTCCTTTTGCCCTGTCTTTTGCAATTTCGTTGGTTCGGCTGTCGAACCTTGCTGATAGTGTTTACTCTGTGTTTCCTTTTATGAATGCTGTTGATGTTGTTTTTTGGGCTTTCTTTCACCTTTATTCCTGTTTACAAAAGCTTCACACTTGCCACGTTGCCGTGCTGGTTGTTATAATGGCCTACATATGACCTGGCTGTCTATGGCCCTATTGGCCCCATTCATTGTTGCCTTTGCATCCTCTCGTGGATTAGGATCCATGACTGATACATATAGTTCAACAGGATCACTACTAGCGTATGATCAAACCTTTTTTACAGACTAACAGATATATACACAGGCTTTACCTACATGTGAATAAAAGTGAAACCAATCAATAGTTAGACCTGCTGTGTCTATGTCATCTGGTACTTTGGCCCGTCGCCGCCTTCAGGAACTGCCCAGTCGATGTCTTGGGTTGGCACTTTGATGTCGCATGTCTTGCAATGAATGCAGTTCTGCGAGTTGATCTGAAATTTGACTCCGAGAGGGGAAGTTTCGTCCTCGAGGTACTCGTAGACTCCAGCTGGACAGAACCGCTGCTCGACACCTTGCCATTTTGGATATGCCTTTTCTGCATGTTTTTCAAGGTCCTGATCAGGAACACGAAGATGGCAGCGCTCGTCTTCTCCGTGGGATGTTCCTGTTCGCGAGACCGAGGTTAGAATGTCAAACGAGAGTTTCCCGTCGGGCTTTGGATACTCGATCTTGGGGTACTCGTCCGCGGATTTGGTGAGATATGCATCTGATTGGTGATGATTCAAGGTGATTGGCTCACGGCCCTTGGTCAACAGAGTCACGATTCCAGAGGTCGCCATTCCTCCCCACAGTTTCAATGGAGTGCTGAAAGAAGGACGAACGTTGCGGACTTCAAACAGCTCGTCACGCACCCAACTGTTCTCATAGGCAGTTTGGAACGAAGCCAGGTCAATCGGCTGATCTGACTCCGTTTCCAAAGCTTTGTGGATCTCCTCTGCTGCCATCATACCGGACTTCATCGCAGTGTGTGTTCCCTTGATCTTAGGCACGTTCATGAATCCTGCGGAAGCACCCACCAGCACACCACCGGGAAAGTGCAGCTTTGGCACTGATTGATATCCACCTTCATTCAAAGCCCTGGCAGCATATGAAATACACTTTCCGCCCTCCAGAACATTAGAGTAGAAAGGATGGTGTTTCATTTTCTGGAATTCCTGGTACGGAGATATCCATGGGTTTTCATAGTCAAGACCAACAACGAGTCCAACACTGACCAAGCCGTCTCCGAAATGATATTGGAAACCACCACCGTATGTGCCAGGCGTCAATGGATATCCCATAGAGTGGCCGACATAGCCCTTCTGAAACTTTTCAGGAGCCACTTCCCAGATCTCTTTGATTCCAAGACCATACGTCTGGCTATTTCTGCCTTTTCTGAGGTCGTATTTGCTGATAGCCTTTTTACTCAGTGAGCCGTGGCACCCTTCTGCCAGAACAGTTACTCTGGCCTGGAACTCCATGCCTCTTTCGAACTCGTCTCTGGGGGCTCCGCTCTTGGAGATACCCATGTCCTTGGTGGCTACTCCTTTGACTGCTCCTGAAGCATCATATACAAGATCTGAAACCGAGATTGAAGGATACACCTCGACCCCCAGCTCCTCAGCCTTTTCGGCCAAATATTTCACCACCTCCGATAGCGAAACGATGCAGTTTTTGCCTGCATTGGTGATTTGAGGTGGTTCAGGCAACGGCACCGATGAGCCATTGGAAAACAAAAATTTCAGATGGTCTTCGGTCACCATTGTGTATAAATCATTAGGTAATGGTATACCGTCGCCGTTAGAGTCATAGAACTCGCTATCAGGAAACAACTCCCGTAGAGCTCTTGGCTCCAGAACCGCCCCTGAAACAATATGAGATCCCATATCTGGAGCTTTTTCCAAAACCACCACTCGTAATTCGTCAGACTCGTCTAGTTGTTTGAGTTTAATAGCAGCTGCTAACCCTGCAGGTCCACCTCCCACGATACAAACATCTACCGAGTCCGTTGCTCTTTCCTCCGTAAGTAATTGTTGTTCTTCCTCAGAGAGCTCAATGAATGGCGTTTCCACTGACTTGGAAACCGTATGTGACTGGTTGAAAGAGCGTCTCTGTAGATGCGCTCTGGCGTGGTCCGGTATGAAAGCCTTTGATGACGCAAACGGGCGTGAACAGCACCTCGCAGTCTGTTTACACAATCGCGCCCGCGCAACCGGTCCGAAGCTCGGAGCCAGGCATCGTTTTGCGACTTTCAGCATCCAAATGTGTGTTTTTCCACGGAAATCGGCTCTTTCCAGCTAGTGTAATGCTTCTCAACGGTCGAAGATGACCAGTTGACTCTGCGGCCGAATTTGAAAAATTATACTAGTCGTGTGCTAATCCATTAGTCGCCGCAGATGTGCTGGCCAATTAGACTGCTGCTAACTGTCATGAGAAATCGTTTATTGGGATCGTGATATATATGGTTTTGTATATACTGTTCTCCACTTCGTAGTGTGTGCGTGGATTTCGCTGTAGCTGGTTGTACTGGTGGTAATGGTGGTACCAGCACGAGGGGCTATCTGAGCCACACACTGAATGAATATTGCTAGGACATTCACCTTTACTTCTTGCCGTTGCTCCAATTGGAGTCACACAGTCACCACAATGTTCAAAATCCGAGACTCTTCATCGGCAATTTGGTTCAGCATGTCCCTCGCAACAGTCCAGTCATCGTCGCTGCGGAACTGAATCAAATCATCGTCTTCATCACGATACTTGAGCTTGAGAGTATCGTCAGCTTTAAGGTCATCGCCAATTGTAAGCCTCAACTTGTTCAAAAATGTCGTCAAGAGGTCCGCAAAAACAACATGTGGTTGCACAGACAAGTGCACATTCTCGTTCTTATACGTCAACTTGATGTTTACCTGTTCGCGGAGCTCCACTGAGGCAACGTGATGTGCCAAAGATCCCACTAGTGTGGCTGGCGATGAAACGGAACGATTCTTCTTCTCGTCGCTATATGGTCCTGGAGCACCGTAAGAAAGTAGACTCACCTCCGATTTCTGGCGTACATGTGGCATTTTGAAGCTATCCTGTATCGACGAAGCTGATGAACGCGCACTTCCCATTGGCGAGTCGACAACCGGTGGAAACTTGGGCAAATACTCGCCTTCCGAGCTGCCCGAATTGTCACGGTTGCGCACCTTCGGCATATCCAGCTCCTGATCTTTTGTCAGGCGTTTGAGAGCTGCTTCCCACCTGACAAGCTGTTCTTCTGACCGGAACTTTATCACACATCCACCACGTTCTTTAGTGCCCTTCCATCTAATCGTGAGGTAACGGCCAGGTCCGCCGAAAGAACCAGCATCGTTTGAAGTGATCACATTGATATTTGAAATAAAAACGCGACCATTCAGGTAGAGGTTTGACTGAGATCCATTTAACGAGCCAGATGAACTGGTCAGAGAGGCAGAAGACTTCTTTCTTGCAGAAAGAATCTTGTTTTTCGGCGCCATTTCCTTGAAAAAGTATATGATTTTCTCAAACATATAGCAGTGCACCTCCTTCTCGCTGGAAGGACCATCACTAAGCAAATCCTTGACTACCACTGTATTCGAAAACAGTAGCTCACCAACGTTTAGCAATCCGTGGCCGCGCCAGTCGACCACACGCTCTTGTAAGTCTTTAACCAATTGGACGTTCTCAGATTTGCGTTGGGCCTCGTTCACGTTATGAGCCACTTCCTTTGAGGATTCCAAAGAAGCTTCTAATTCGTTGTAGTTGGGCCAGGATGAGTCTGTGAGCTTCAAGAGCTGCTGAAGCAGCAACGGGTATTTGCACAGTCGTTGAACTGGCTTTATGAGGAAACTCTGGAGTTCATAACTGGCATCTATCAGAGACGAACTACGCTTCAAATTGCCGGCTTCCCGTGCAATCACATCAATGGCCTGTGTCTGAAGCAATGACCAAGGGTCGTAAATCTTGAATCCTTGAACGCCTGCGTGCAAGAAGACAGACCCAATCCGCTGGTACTTCTCTGGGACCGACGCATTACATTCCAGTCCAACGAGAAAACGACGTTGGAAATCCACGATTTCTGGCAGGTTTGGAAACAAAATTCCGAGGTCTTCGGAACTGATAAGCTCGCGTTTCATGACATCGTCGCGGTATCGCAGTAACGTCTCGAGATCTTGGACGAATTTACGCTCACTTTCCACTAATTCCTTCACCACCTTTGAGCGAGCATCCGTGACTTTGTAGGTCTCCTCTATCTCCGGAGCGGTGAACCGCGGATCCAAGTCAAGCACCGAATTCACCACCTTAATTACCTTCAGCAGGTTGTTGGTATCGTCTGCAAAAACACTCGTGATCGGAAACAGGTCTTCGTCACGAATATCGAGGTACTGTTTGCAACAGCTAAGAAAGCGATAAACGTTCATTTTGCACACCTTGAGATCATCTGACGAAACCAGCGGTATCGAGTGTTCTGGCTTTAGCGAGTTGAAGATCAAACACAGCGGAACCCCTTGCTGAAACAGTCGCCACACTGGTGTAACCGGATCGTAGTTGATTTGTGCAGGGAGCATTCCTGCACTAAATGTGAGCATTGTTCTATCCCATTTGGATCGCACTGAAATCTCCGAGTCCAAACTCGAGGTACTGTTGTGATGTGAGGAAGATGATGCTGGCCTTTGGGATAGTAGCATTGCCTGTTGCTCGGAACATTCTTCGGCCGAAGAGAAGGCCAGGTTCAGATAGGCCTTCATACCGGGCACCTTCTCGAGTTTGGCTATCAATCGTTGGCATATGTAGTAAAGCGACTCGTTGACATCTGCTCTCTTGTTCATGATGAGGCCAGCTGCCACCATCGGACCACTTGGAGTTCTGGCCAACGAGCTCGAGGAAGAGAACGACGTGGCGGACTTCAATCCTGGCATATGAGACATTTTGGAAAAGAGTCTGGTTAGATAAGTTGTGGATTCAAGTAAGAACAAGAGAAAGAAATAACAAGAACAAGACCCGTTATGCCAAAGAAGTCCAGCCGGACGCGATACAACAAAATGGGGTGGGCACGTAAAAAATGGCCAGACTCGGCTAAATGCAGATAGATGTCCGACACCTGCTAAAAACGACGCGAATTTTTCGGAAATAAATGGCTTTTTTGGCGTCATGGAACAGGTAATATGTAAATAATATATGTAAAACAAATTTTACATTTGAATAGGCCATATTGGAAGGATTGGCCATGGTCACATTGTCCAAGGGCTACCAGGCTCGCTGCAGATAGAAAGATGCGCTCATGCACGAAAATGGCACGCAGTGTATACTTGACTGAGATCTCCAGTCCTTCATGGTATAGTCTAGAAATTCTTATTATGAAGGTGAAATAGAGTTTCTCCTGGCTACAAATCAGTAAATTCCCTCGGGCTAAGTTTTGCAACAAATTCTGTGCTAACTGGAAAGGGTACGGGTATTTTTACACTCGCACTATCTCTGCAGCATCAGCCAGACAGCGAAACATCTCAAACGACTTGTTCCTAAGATGAACACCTATATCCTCGTATAAATTGGACATAGTTGGCATGTCTCTGAGATTGCATCAAAGCATTCAGTCCACAAACAGCTCGCTTATTTTCGCATTAACTCTCCATTCTGGAATTCTAACCCACATTGGTAAGTTTTTCAAACTTAAAACTTTTGAGATTTATCAATTTCAACTTTTTATTCTAATTTGCAGCTTTTCAACACGCTCCGCTCTTGTTCCTTTCTTTTGCTTCTCCTCCTGATGTTTTCTTTACAAGTCCTTCTTGCTTCTGATGATGCGATCGGCAGTCCAGATCGTCCTATCGAGAACGGCTCCAATTGTCAAAACACCTCCGGCAGCAGAACACGCTCCCAGCAAAAAGGAACTCCATGTCTTAGCATATTGCTCACGATTGATGATCTTCAAAGGAGAAATATCAAAGTGGAAAAACAGACCCGGGATCCCGCCGCGGGCATGAATGGTGTTTGGATGATCGTCATCACGGCCTCCCTTCAATGGACGATCGTGGTATGTGGACGAATACTGGTTAGACTCAACAACACGGCCATCTAGCGATTCAGAGCGTGTTCCAATCACTTTGACGAAGTACGAGAACAAATGGTATTTGTTTCCGACATGAGTAGTCTTGCCGTCCAAAGGAGCCTGCGAAACCAGGTCTCCGCCAAACGAAAAGTGGTTGATGATATGGTCAAAGTTGAACAGGTCACGGTGTTTATCATACAATGATAGATCGTGCACATGCTTATCTGGTTGGGTCAGTGAAGCTCCAGGCGAAAAGTGAAGGTTTCCAGCAATGCGGTTGATTTCCGCGTTGCCTATAACCCTGCAACCCTCGTTGAGTCTCTCGTTGATACGCGCAACATAGCCTTCATTTTCACACTGTTCAATATTTGCTCCGTCATAAAACGCCCATGCTGTGTGCGCATATGCCTGTCTGACAGCCTCGCAGGTGTTGCAGCAAACACGCTCTTCTACTGGCTTATTGTCATTGTCCTCCTGCGATAGAGCACCGTAGCATGAACCACACACATTGGGGTCTTGGGTCCGGCTAAGCTCGTCCAGGTCCAGGTTCATGGTTAATTGTTCTTTTCCCAAGACCTCACCTTCTTTGTCCAATCTCATTTGAACAAACCCCGACTTCATGATATCCGTCTGGAGATCCCCGGAGATGTCCATGATGTCAAGAGTGATCAGATCGCACGGCAAGTTGGGGAACGAAATGTCGAAGTGCAGCTCCATAGTGGAAGAGCTGTCACGATCAATCACCAGTTCTGGTAATGTCACCACTTTGGAGTATTCGCGGAACTCGTTCAACAATAGCAGCAAAACCGACACGATGCACGAGATGGTGATCAGACCCCCCGAGGTGGTCTTGATCTTTGAGTCCTCCACAGTCTTGGAGAACAAGTCGAACCTCAACAATTGCTTCGACGACATGCTATGTTTCGAATTCCCACAAAACGTAGGATGTGTACAGATGTGATGGACGTTATCAGGCCTGCCGCTATTGAGGACACAAGCCCAGCGAAAAAGAAGGTTATGAGCCTCGTGAGATACGTGCGGGCTCTCAGGAATAGGGACAGGTTGCGATTGCAGAGGGAGGCCATGCTCCGTTCTTTACACTACGTACAACTTCATTCTTCCTACAACAACGCTACAAACAAACAAATTTTTTGCAAAAATTAGCTGGATTTTGGTACATCAACTTCATCACATCCCATTTTGCTGCTGACGCATCATACTGGCAATATTTTGCAGCATGTTGGCCATATCTGGAGTAGGCTGGCCCTGGCCTTGAGGAGGAGCCTGTCCTTGTGGCTGTTGCATTTGTTGCATAGCAGCCATCATCTGGGCAAATTGGTTCATCTGAGCAGGCTGGATGGGTGCCCCTGGAGCCCCAAAGTTCATCTGTGGAAATTGCTGTGGCTGCGCCATCTGGGGCTGTTGCTGGTTGAACAGCTGGGCCAGAGGGTTGTTGGTATTGGCGTTAACCATTGGGTTCTGAGGCAGATTGTGATTGGCACTCTCGAACTCGCCTGGTCTGTTTGACCTAGGTCCGTTACGAGCGCTGTTAGTGGGCATCTTCTTGGAAATCGCCTTGGAAGAAACTCCCTGGCCAATCTCGATATCAGGCTCTTCCACAACCAGTCCGGGAACTAGTGGTTGTCCACCAGTTCCGCCCCATTCAGCAGCTACAGCCCACCGTTTGTCGGCATCTGTGAGTCTTGACAGAGGGATCGTGCTGACACCAAGCTGGTAATCGCAACAGTCTCTGGGACCAAAACCAACTCCCCACCTGGCCCTGAGCGAAGATGGGTTGTTCTGTTGGGTGAACGAGGAGATGACCGATTCTGCCTCAGCACGCGAGTAAACCTTCACAAAAGCATGCTTTCTGTCACTGTTCAGAATTACACTCTGCACTTCTGCATACGGACGGAGTTCAGTCATCAGATCCTGCTCTGACATGTACTGGGGAACTCCACCGATGAAAATCGTCCTGCTGAGAACCTTGATGGAACCAGCCGGAATCGAATTATCGGTCGTTACAAACTTCTGTCTGTAATGTGGAGTTCCGGGAATGTTTTTCTCGCCCTCCACACTTCCAGAAGGAGGCAATGGGTGACGGTTATCACGACGAGGAGAACGTGATCTTTCTCTGCCCCGTCTGTTACCCTGTCTGTCGTCTCTATCACGGTAGCTCAGATTGGGTTGCTGGCCCTGGTTCTGGTACATCTGCTGCTGCGGTGGTAACGGGTTAGCGTTTCCCTTAAGGTTTTGCAGCATCTGGAATATCGCGTTGGGATCGTTAGCAGGTGGTGGAGGAGCCACTTGGGCTGGTGGTTGTGGAAGTCCCGGACTAAGTACCCGATTGGGTGCCTGGTTAAGCCCATTGACAGCAGGAGCTTTGTTGGCCAAAGAGGCCAGTGCCTGCAAAATGCTCGACGGGTCCTTATCAGCCGTGCTAGCGCTGCTTGCGCTGTTAGCCTCGACCCTTGGATCCGCAGTGGTATTAGCAACAGCCTTCTTAGGTGGTGATCCTGGTGGAGTAGTCGAAGTAAAGTGTTTGGCCTTGATGGATTTGATCACCGCATCGCTGAACGTCTTATGGGTCTCCCAAATGCTTACAAGTTTTAGGATTTTATCGGCATGGTCGTCACTTGCCGCAAGCGCGTCGTCGATCAGGTTTTCAATCAATGATTGGATGTTGAATGCGCCTCTGGCAAACGTCCCGTCCTTGGCTAACTCGTCTATTGTCTGACCGGAGCTCCTTGCCTGGTCGACGTAGGAACGCACTATCGAATCAACCACGTATAGTGCCCCTAATTTATGAGAGGGTTGGATACCTTTACAGTGAATATACAGTTTCTGGACGATCTGGGACTCGCTCTGTAGTCTGGGGTTAGTAGGCGATGGATTAGAAACTCCACGGAATCCTAAAGTACACACTTCAACGTTGTCAATGGCAATCTTGGTGAGCTTCTTGATACGCGACCCGGATACTCCGGGCGGTCTGAGGCCGATAAACTCCTTTAGAGTGGAGTCAAAAACTTCCAAGTCGCTGGACATGATACGATTGGCCTAATATCTCGATGTCTTGGAAAGAGCGGTTGCAGAAGAGAAAAGAATATGCAACAAGGGGCGAGGCCAAGTTTTTGTCGAAACAAAGAGGTTGTGAGCCCTTGTGCGATGAGAATGGCACAGAGACCGCGTACACTGCGTGGCATCTGGTGCTGATATTTTTCATTCTTCGGCATGCTTGAGATGGGTCAGAGTGAGATCGAGCATTCCATTACTGGCTATTCACCACCATTTGTTGAAGTTTTCACCATGTCTGTGAGAAATTTTGCGTCGGTAGCTGCAGGCTCTGAGCTGGCCGGAATCTCATCTGCGCTGCTTTTGTCGAGGATACCCCTGGTGACGCCAGACCTCCATCCGTTCGAAGCCGCCTACTACAACTACCAGAATGAGCTGAAACGCCGTTTGATGTGGACGTTTCCTAAGTACTACTATTTCAGAAAGGGAACAGTGGCCGAGAGGGAATTTGTGCAGGCGCAGAAGTACCCTCTTTTCAAGAGACCTGGCGTGTGGTTTCCACGCGGTGTCCCCGATCTGAAGCACGGAAGAGACCGCCGTTTTAAGGAGGAAGTCACCCTGCCCAAACAGCAGGAAAGAGCCGATGAAGACGATGAGCTGAGTAAGCCAGTGGTGTTCAATTCGCGCGTCACCGCTGCTGATGAAGCTGGTGATCTGACCAGCCTCGAAAGGAGGCTTTCCAGGACTCTTTATTTGCTGATCAAGACCAAGGGGGCTTGGAAGTTCCCAAGTTTCCCGCTCGTAGAGCCAAAGCCACTTCATGAGGCTGCTGAACAGGGTCTCAGGGAGATTGGAAGTGTGAACATGAACACATGGACGGTGTCCAATACACCCACCGCAGTGCTCAAGTACTCCAACGGCAAGCTGTTGGATGCTGAGACGCAGGAGAAAGAGGTGGAGAGGGAATACTTCATAAAGTCGCACATCATTGGCGGCGACTTCCAGATCTCGTCCAGCGACGTGGAGGAGTTCAGGTGGTTGACGAAGGAGGAGGTCGAACAGACAGTGGAACCACAGTACTACGGTCAGTTGGGTCATCTGCTTTCAACTGTTTGAGAACTTGTATATATTCTGCATAATAAATGTGATTGACATTGACCTTTTGAGACAGAAATAGAGTACCAGACTGGGTTGTGTGAGCGCCAAATTTTGCCAGGGCTCGCAATACGAAATAGACCCTTAGACCCATAGGTCCAGTGGACAGCCCACGAGCGCTCCAACTGGAATGATTATAAAGGAAAACAAGGAATATATGGTTTTGTTTAAGATATTTGGAGAGCGCAGGAGGTCTCCATTTTGTTCTGGAAGGAATTTGGAGAGGAGAATGTACGGTTCTTCCAATGTAGAGTTCCCGCAGCAGGTTTACCTCCACCACGGCCAGAAGAAAGCCAAACTTCAGGCTGATTTTCCACGAACCTCCAAATGTACCTATATGTACTATATTCCTCGGTCAATGCACCACTGCCATCATTGTACACTCCCAAAATTACCAAAATCACCAAAACCCAGAACATCGAGCTGTAGTGTCTTTACCGATCTGTTTGACGGCTCCAGATAAGCAGGTCTCACGAAGCTCCTTCTATACAAACCCAAACAACCCAACCGATTGGCCATTTTGCACATTCAAAAAAGCCGGAATGAGCGATTCGATTCCCTCATCATCCACTGAACGGCAGGTTAAGCTGATAGCCGCTGGGCTTAAGGAGTTGTCGCTGGACTCTCCCACGTTCCGGGCCTCCATGGAACACATGCACTTCCAGGTCAGGCTGGTTGAAAACTGGTTCAATTCGATCTTGGTTTACTACAAAGACTTTGCCAAAGTTCACAATGAGCTGAGATCGATCTCAGAGAACATTTCGGGCATTCTTTGTCCCACTTTCATCAACCAGGGTATCCTGGACTTGGATTACACTCTGCCGAGTCTGGAGAACTCGGCTGCAATCATGAAAAAGGCATTTACAGAGCTGACGGAGATGTACTCGCTGGAGGAAGGGACTCTGCGGAAGCTTGAGTCTTTCATTAAGGTGGATATCCGTGAGTATTACCTCATTCGAAAGGACTTTGAAGAGATCCAGTTCAAGTTCGATCAGTACCTGATACGCTACACTTCCCAGCCTAAGACCACGGATCCCCGTGCAATTCAGCAGGATGCCTACCAGTTGTATGAGCTGAGAAAGCAGTATTTGACTGTTTCTTTGGATTTGTATTTTTCGTTGACTTCGCTGCAGTCCAACATCTCGTCGCATCTCATTGAGTTCGCATGGTCTGTTCTTGATGATACTCCTACCACAGAAAAGGTAATGAGCGTTTTTCAGGTTGGCCATTTTTATCGCAATCTCCAGAATATTTCACACTGGAATCGGGAGTTTCAGTCTCACAGAGAAGCTCTATTGAGAGACCTCCATGAAGCCAGGCTCCAGACAGAAGAGAACGCGTTGCTGCCATTCAGACCGCCCAAAGAACTATCTGCCTACTCTGTTTCCTCACTGACGAATTCTAATCTGATTGGCGAGTCGGACGATACCTCTGAGAAGCATGGGTGGTTGTTCATGAAGACCACTGTCAACCAGAAGGAGGTGTGGGTCAGGCGATGGGCGTTCCTCAAAAACGGAATCTTCGGTCTCATGAACCTCAGTCCTTCGCGAAGAGCCGTCCAAGAGACGAACAAGTTTGGCATCTTGCTCTGCAATATCCGGTACTCGCCCGAGGAGGACAGACGACTGTGCTTCGAGATCAAGATGATCGACACCAAGCTGACTTTCCAGTGCGAGACCAGAGCAGAGCTAAAGAGCTGGATGACGGTCTTCACCAAAGAAAAACGGCGTGCGCTTGAGATCGGCGGTTTAGATGGGAAATATGCCGTCCTTTTTGACCATTTTGCTGACTCAATCAACACCAGCGTGGACAACCAGCTCACCACCGTTGATCCCAAAAACTACGAGAACATGCTGAGAAAGTTCCAGGCCGTTCAGAGGGTTGAGTACGACGGTTTTTCGCAGAGTTTCCGTGTCCAGGTTAATACTCCATTGAGGACAGAAAGAACTAATTTCGCCTGCATTTCCCACGCTTTTGTGAATGGAACGCTCATTCCCACGGCTGCCACTGCCAACATCTGGGGAATCGTCAATTGGGGAACGTATTATCTTGGAGAAGGCTCCAAGGCCAAAAATGGGCTGACCAGGTGGGGGATTTCGCAGGATTCGCTATTCCCCAGCTTCTATCCTAGCTACTTGAAACAGTTGGATGTCGAGATGAAGTCTGTGTTTGAGACCCTGGTTGATCCTGACGAATTCTGTCTTCTCTCTGTGAGACAGGTATGGGCTCCTTCGCATAAGGAGGAGCTCTGTGGAAGATGCTATTTTTCTCAGAACCACTTCTATGCTTACACCAACAACTCCGGGTTCATCTCACTTAGCAAACAGCCAATCACGAACCTGGTCTCGGTCCAGGTTGTCGAGGAACAGCACTGCGATGTTCTTAAGATCTTCATGGTGAGCGGTGTTTCCATCAAGACGAAGCTGTTCATGGACCCAGGCAAGGTGGTGAGCGACCAGATCAACCTGTTGATTGAAAACCACACCGTTCGAAACCCATTGTCTATGGAGCAGTTGATCTCCAAGTTCCATGAGATCAGAGAGATCTTCAAGAAGGAGCGACTGACTGCATTGAACACCGCAGCTCCAAGAAAAGTGGAGTCTGTGGTGACATCTGCTGACACAGGCCATCGTGAAATGCGCATGAACTACTCTGGCGAGATGGACTTGGTCTGGGATAAGGTATATCCGCTGCCTGCGAGAGCGCTGTTGCATATTCTGGTTGGTGACCAGTCCTCCATCATCCACACGATTCTCCCATTCACAGATCCTCGTCATGAGCAGATTAAGGCCGAGATGTGGTGTTGTGATCAGAAGCAAAGGCTGACCAGAAGGGCATGGCCCATGATTCTCTGGGATACGCCCTCGGGAAGGGAGGCATGTATTGAACAGTGCATTGAGACCATGGTCCATGGTCAATACTATAATATCACCGAGACCACTCAATTGCTCAAACTTCCCATTGGGACGCCTTTGCGAGTCAAATGTCGCTTCATCATCTGTGGACTGAACAACTCGAGCTGCAAACTGTCTATCTACTCCAAGGTATATTTCGATGACAAGTCCATGCTGAACTCGCTTTCCGACGGATTTTTGACGAGGGTTGTTCAGCTCAAGGTGGAAAAACTGGACCATAAGATTGACACGGTTCGTCAGAAGCTGGACGACGATAAGGTGGTTCTCAAGGCCCTTAGGATATGCGGACAGATCACCAAAAGAGATGCCGAATACACGAATCCGATTGTTGAGGACAGAACCACCATCCAGATCATCAAGAAAAGCATCATTGTCCATTACTATTGGCAGAGAGGTTTCGTTCTTAGTGCCCTCGGTCTCCAGTGGTTACTCAAGTGGATTTGGGATATCCTCACCAGCTTGAGAACCCATTGGGTTCTGGTACTTGCTCTGGTGGTCTCCGCGTTCTTCAACCTCAGCTTGATGGGAAAAACCACTGTCTCCTACTGGACAGCCACCAAGAACGAGTCGCTCATCAAGTCGCTCGTGGACGTTCCAAATGTGATGCAAAGAGCAGTCAATCTCAAGGACCTGGATGCTATGGTGACGGTTGAGCTGCCCGACCGCCAATCAGCGTGTTTCTCTCGATTCAAGGTGAACTCCATGGTATTGAACCGTGGTGAAGACTATGACAATTTTGAGCTCAAGAGAGAACTGCTTGAGTTGGGTGTGCGCAGAAACGAGCTGCTGACCCAACTAAAGGCGTTGAACCGGATAGAGGCCAATCTTGCCGTCACAGAATGGAGAAACTGGGTGATTTCTGAGGGTCAAAGATGTGATTTTGTGCAGAAACAACTTGGTCTTAACGATACTGATGCCCGTTGGGACGACTTGGTTGAGTATTGTCGAAGTTGTTCGTATGATTTGAACGAGATGCTGGGACGCTTATAGTCAGTTATGGGAAGGCATAATGGGCTAGAATGTGCTATAACGAGCTTTAATGAGCTATAACGAATTATAGATGTCCAAAAGTCTTTTTGAGCACCTCCCATTGAATATCCTCCTCGTGTAATGTGAAATTGTATAATGTCCCTAATGTCCGATCTAAACCACATCTGGTGTCTATAGCCTTGCTTCATAGTCCCTTCTTATTTAACGTATCCATGATCTCCAGATACAGCGCCATAGCATTGAAGTCCTCCTTCACCTTCCAGTTCAACAGCTCCAAATGGTCCACATTTTCTATAGTTCCCATGTATTGGCCCCATCTGGCCGACTGGCAACTCACCATCCCGTCGTTGGGGCCTTCCTTTTGCTTGAGCAGCTTCCACGGGTAGTAGAAAGGATTCGTCCAGCTCGGCTTGCATCGCGATCCATAACTAAAATAAAGCACTCTAGGATCATCAGGAGTCTCTGGGTTGAATTCAGTGTCACAATACTCTTGGCTCAGCTGATAAATGGTGTTTCCTGGCACCTTCGGAAGCGGCACATTCTGAACAATGATGTCTGCGATGGACGAGCCGTGGTGCGGCGTAGAAACTGTTGTTAGACTTGCAACTTCGAACTTTTTGTCTTCTACCCTCGATATCAGATATCGGCAATCCAAACCCCCCATAGAGTGGGCTATCAGGTTGACTTTGGTACCCTCTCCAAGATTGGCTGTGATGAAGCCGTTCAACACCTGAGCACGTTCTTCTACTGTTCCAAATGGTGGAACCCGGGCTATCAGTACGGTCAGTCCTCTTGCTCGTAACTCTTTTCCGACACCTTTAAAATACTCCCAAAGCTTGTAGTCTTCAGCTGCATATTGTACATCCGATTTGCCTTGCGGCTGCTCGTATCCGAACCAGGAAAGCAGCTTTCTTTTGACGGTGCTTGGGTTGGGGAGAATCAGAAGCTGGTCAAAACCAAAAAATCCATGACACAGGACAATTGGCTAGAACTGTTAGTAAAATTGAAGCATTCGTACTTCCAGTGTGGTAATTTACTCACGTATTGCGGCATCCGATAATCGTTCCTCAACGCATTAAACTTGTCCAACACAATGTCCTCCGAGAGTTGTTTGCTCTTCAAGACAACTTGGCTATGGAATGGCGATAACTGAACTAGATTCCTGAATCTGAGACTCGGTTTCAGTGCTAATTTCAGTTTCAAAACGGCACCGTAGGAGAGGATGGAATGGCCTTCAAAGAGGTGAGAACTCAGCACATCGTGGGTCAACTGCATTCCGCCTTTTCCTATCACAAAGGTTGGATTTCAAAAGTGGAACAGGTTTGAAATGTTCTTAAATTCTCTTGGCAACAGACGTGGTGATCGGATAGAAAACTGCCGAGTTATGAACAAGTTATCAACAAGCGTGTTTTCGGCAAACAAATGAAACGACTCTTGACACAGGGGCTTTCAAACACGTTATAAGCAACTCTTCTCAAACCGAATAGCAAATAGCTTGTGATATCCTCGATGGGATCCCAAAGTCTAGAATTCTGAGGCCTGGTAAACGAACAATTCACTGTCTGATAAACGCTGCGAATCCGTCCTGTTGTTGTTGCTTTGCGGCGTAACTTTGGTTATAGCACTAACACTTTAAGTGCATGCCGATAAGCATAAAGCTTTAACAAGACCTTGTTACTTCGACGCTCGGAAACAAAGGGACATGGCAGCATGAGTGTATTATTGGAGACGTCAGCTGGTGAGTTTAGTTTTGCTGATTTTTTGTGACATTTTTGCTTATTTACTAACTTCGAGAACAGGTAATATGGTGGTGGACCTCTATGAAGATGCTGAGGGCTGTTCCATGAACTTCATCAAGTTGTGCAAGGCAAAATACTACAACTTCTCGCCATTCTACGACGTTCAGCGTGATTTCGCTGTAGAATGTGGTGATCCACATTTTCCTCTGTCAGACGGTGGACATGCGGTGACTCAGTTGACTTCCCAGAGACGTCTGATGCCGGTACGTCGTAGTCACCGCCAACACGACGACATTGGGCTTGTTTCTTTCTTGAACTTTGGTACAACTGACAGCCCGTTAATTGGCTCGCGATTTCTGATTACTTTGACAGATGATAAGACGCTTTTGAAAGATTTGGACACTAGTGGTGTCGTCTTCGGAAAGGTGGTGGAGGGCTTCCAGACTCTACAGAGTGTCAATGAAGCTATAATTGATTCTAGCAGAAGACCCATCAAAGATATAAGGATTTTTCACACCTATGTGCTGGATGACCCGTATCCGGATCCGGTTGGATTTTCTGCCCCTTCTGTGAGCCCTAGGCCCGATAAGGCTCAGCTCTCAACCTTCCAGTTAGTGTACGAAGAGGATCAAGAAAAGGAGGAAGAACTAAACCATGAAACAACAAGAGAAGAGCAGATGCGGGAAACACAGGCTCAATCGCAGGCATTAACGCTGGAGTTGTTGGGAGATCTGCCGAGCGCTGATTTCAAACCTATGGAGAACGTCCTATTTGTGTGCAAGCTCAATCCACTAACTCAGGAGGAAGACCTAAAAACCATTTTCTCGAGGTTTGGAAAGATTCTGTCCTGCGAAGTGATCAAGGACAAGGTCACCGGTTCGAGTCTTCAATATGCGTTCATTGAGTTTGACTCGAAAGAGGCTTGTGAGAGGGCCTACTTCAAGATGGACAATGTTCTCATAGATGATCGCCGCATCCATGTCGACTTCAGTCAGAGTGTGCGGAAACTGAGCGATTCTTGGAGAAGGGATAGTGAGCGGAAAATCAAGGGAAACTTTCAGAGTCGAGGTAATCGTGGTGGATATAATAAACCGCGTGGATATAGACCCATTGGACAATGATAGTGAAAATAATGAGCTTTGATATGTCACTGTAATAATATTAGACCCCTTTTTAAAGAATTTAGTTGAGATTTGAAATATTGTAGTTATCAAGTAGTATCTTTTTTGGTTTTCAGATATCTTTAGAATTTTTCACTTTTCAGAACTACTAAGAAATTTAGATATCTTCAGATATTTTCAAATATTTTAAAATATTTTCAAAAGTCACACTTTTCCAAATGAATCCTCCTATATACACTACCCATCAGATTTCATTCATTTACTGCTCATCCGATCCACAAGAAAGTCCTTAACAAACGGAACCGTATTGAGAACGTCAAGACCAAAAGACCTCGCCATCACCACCGGCGTAAAGTCAGTGGAGAACAGTTTATGGAGCTTGTCCACTACACCCAACATGGCGTTGTTGATGGGCCATCTCTCACTGAAATAAGGCTCCAAAGCCAATGTGCTGCCTATATCCAGACCACGTTCCGTAGCCGTCTCGATGCAATTGACGAGCGATTGAACATCGGCTTGGCCCATGTTGAGACCCTGGCCAGCAAGTGGGTGTGTGGTGTGAGCGGCATCACCTACTAGCGCTATACGCGGACCAACATAGGTATCTGCATGTGACATCTTCAGCGGAAACTTAGCTCTGGATCCTGGTACTAACGACTCAATTTCAAGGGGATACAGCTCGTGTTGCTCGGGCTGGAGCTTATTGTTGAAAAGAGACAGTCTCCAACTGATCGAGTCAACAAGTGAGTTGTCGTCTTCCTCTGCCAGTTTGTAAAGATATTTCATCTCCTCTGGGTCCAGTTTCATGGCAGCATTGATCATCGCGGCGAATTTCTCTTCCGAAAGCTTTAAGAGAACGTTTGCCAGTTCAGGCGTGGTCGACCACACCAAAGAAGCCATGTCGTTTGGGAGTGGCAGAAGCGCGATTGGACCCGAGGGCAAAAACCTCTGCCATCCCGTTATTTGTCTGAAAGAATCCACTTTGAAATTCAGCGTAGCAACTATTCCCCACCGATTATAGGACCAGCCCCTACTCTCTATACCGGCAAATTTTCTTACAGGGGAGTTGAAGCCGTCAGCACCAACTAGAAGACGCGTCTGGATGCGTTCACCATTATCAAGCTCCACCACTGGCCATCCGTTACCGGCTGAATCTATACCGACAACTTTCGTTGAGTCATGAATATCCAGCGGGCATCCACTCTCGCCCAAATCTTCAATCTTAGCCAGCAACGCCGATTGAAGATTCAAATTCTCACACATTGTGGCAATTCCTACATGCTCAAACTCAATTCTCGAGTTGGTGACGCCGTCATATGCCAGAATGTTGTCGTATTCTTCAATTCTCTCGTAGCGAATGAAATCCCAAACGCCTATCTTCTCCAAATAATTGACAGTTGCGGGCGTCAGACTCACCACTCTGTTTGTAATATCCTCCGGTGGCGAATTGCCAAACTCACGTAAACCCTCCAACAGTTTCCCACCCTCAATCAGTTCAACTTTGAGTTGACTGGTTGATCGCGAAGCCTTGAGAGCAGAGGCTAGCGTCAGACCCGCAGGACCCCCACCAATAATCACCACATCAGCCAGCCGCATAGCGGATACCGTCGAGAGGTGTCTAATAGCTCTGAACATAAAAAACAGACCAGGTGGGAGGAGAATGCAGAGAGTAGAAGAAGAAGTCTTGTTCCCTTGTCTGGCGTTGGCGGATTCAGTGGACTGATGAGGTTGGGAGCCCAGAGGCAAAGACGTGCGGCCCTTAACAAGAACCCGGGGAAGACAACAAGAATTGAATCGTGGCAAGAACACATTGTCATGTATTACAAAATGCAATTACCGGATGTAAGAATTGGAATAATGAACTTTGAAACGAAATAACCAGCTTGAATACAGACCAAAACATCCGTGAAACCAGATTTGGTATGGCACTGGTGGTAAGTTGAGTGAGTGTTGTATGGCCGACCAGAGAGAGTGTCGGACAAAGGGTGACCCAGTTTGAAGCACTTATCAACCTTAGCTGAAGGTAATCTCACAAATATCTGTTTTAATCAGTTTTCAGCCTATCCAATTGAGTGTTTCTTTTTTCCACTCCTATCTACCTCTATCCACCTTTCAATCCCCATGATCCGTTGATGCGGCGAATAGTTGGAATCAACACTACCTCAGACTTTTTCAGAGCGCATAATAGGATCTCCACCCTCCCTCCATTGCTTCATATATTTCCCAATACCCCAGCAGCCCTGGCATCTGGCCAATATTTATGGCATCAGGAGCATTTCGGGGATTTTTCCCGCTGAGTGCCACGTTGAAGCCAACCGAGCGATTGAGTACCGTGTATCTCTCTCCCACAATTCCGATTCACGCCCTACGGTCTGCAATGGGATCAACGAGAAATTTGGGGGTTTTGGCAGCAAAGAAGGATACCGTATTTGTGGATGGTCTCAAGATTGATGCTATAACTGGCAGAGACTTCTGGAACCGGCCTGTTCCACAACCGCTAGCTGTTTCCTTAACTCTAGGCGCGGATCTAAAAGAAGCTGCTGCCACAGACGATCTCCGTTATTCTCTGAATTACGCTGTCGTGTCCAGCAAGGTTCTGGATCACTTCCGCTCGCATTCAAATGTAAATTTTGGTTCAATTGAGCGAATTGCTGAAGAAGCAGTGAGACTGGCACTCGATGCCTGTGGTACGGATGTGGCCCGAGTTGGTGTCGAGTCTGAGAAATCTGAGATTAGGTGCAGGGCCATGGAGGTTGAGCTCGAAAGAAGCCTTTCTGATGGCAAATTGACGTCTGTGTCTCCAGATGTAGTGTCAGTTCATGATCTACAGTTGTTGACGGTGATCGGTGTCTTTACGTTTGAACGCTACCAACGGCAAATCGTGCGGATCAGCCTCAAAATGGAGTATGGAGCTCCTCTCACTTCTATTAAGGCACGCTATTTTGATGCCGTCAAGCAGGTTGTGGACTATGTGGAAAATTCCAATTTCAAGACCGTCGAGGCATTAGTATCCAACGTCGCAAGTCTCGTGATGACAGTGGACCCTAACGTGGACGCTTGCACTGCAGAAGTGACCAAACCCAACGCAATCCTGGCCTCAGACGGGGTTGGTGTTTCAGTCACGCGTTTGAGGTCTGAAATTGCACCCGTTAGGGAAATTGATACAGCGAACAAAACCAGTGAAACTGGTGCTCACGCTTTTTCAATCCCCAATCTCAACAAGTCAACGACTTTCGATGAATCCTCAGATGCAATCCACATCGCATATTTGGCTTTTGGATCGAATCAGGGCAACCAGGTGAAGAATATTCAGCAGGCCTTACAAGCTCTGGAAAAACGTGGGGTTGAAGTGCTCAACAGCTCCACTCTATATGTTTCAAAACCAATGTACTATCTTGATCAACCAGATTTTGTCAATGGAGCAGTCAAGGTCAAAACCACGCTGTCGCCACATGAACTGCTCCGGACAGTGAAGGCAATTGAGTATGAAGATATGGGAAGAGTCAAAAAGATCGAGAATGGTCCCCGGGCCATTGATCTCGACATTCTTCTTTATGACGGTACAATAGTGGACGATCCAGATCTCAAGATCCCCCATATTGGAATTGTTGATCGGTCTTTTGTACTTGCGCCTCTTTGCGAGCTGGTTGGTCCAGATGAAATCCACCCAGTGACGGCTGAGCCCTTTCATGATCACTTAGCTCAAATTTTGAAGAAGGAAGTGGATCGTTCTGTTCAAACCTCTTCGGACCTTTTGAACGTTGTTCCTATTCCCCGTCTAGTTGAGAAATATGACGGCTCTGGTAAGGGCTCTCTTCAAGGTCTCAGATTTGACACTTTTGGAAACAGCGGCAAAACGAAGGTGATGGGCATTCTCAATGTTACCCCGGACTCGTTCTCAGATGGTGGCAGCAACGATTCTGCAGAAAAGGTTCTAGCGAAAGTTCAAGAAATGTTTTTAGCTGGGGTGGAGATCATTGATATTGGAGGATGTTCCACTCGTCCTGGTTCAGATCAACCAAGTGAGAAAGAAGAACTGGACCGGGTGATTCCAGCCGTGAAGCTCATACGTTCAGAAGCCAAATACGATGGGATCCTAATCAGCGTGGATACGTATCGTTCCCAGGTAGCAAAGCAGAGTCTTGCTGAGGGAGCAGATATAATCAACGATGTGAGTGGAGGGCTTTTTGACGAGCAAATGTACTCGGTCGTTGCTGCGGCTGGCGCCCCGTACATCGTTGGTCATTTACGCGGTGATATTGCGACAATGGCGAAGCTAAACCAATATGGTGATCTCGTTCAGGAGACTTGTGATGAGTTGGCAATACTCGTTGACAGAGCTATTACGGCTGGAATCAGAAGATGGCAGTTGATGATCGACCCTGGACTTGGATTTTCCAAGGCATCTACTCAGAACCTGGAGATAATTCGCCGGACGCCTGAGATGAAGAAGTATGGTTCTACAATTGAGGATCGGTTCGTGTCTTTTGCCAGGCTGCCTTTTCTACTTGGACCTAGTCGGAAGAAGTTCATTGGCGAACTAACAGATGTGAGTGTGGCTAAAGATCGCGTTGTCGGATCTGTTGCAGCTGTCATGGCGTGTATCAGCTATGGCTCCGACATGGTGAGGGTTCATGATTTCAAGGAGACGAAGGAGGCATGTGCAGTAGGAGATGCTATTTATCGGGGTTGAATATAGCGGATGATGAAAAGACGATTAGGCTGTGACTATGTGAGTCAATGCAAATTATACCCTACAGCTTTACCGAATGCCAAGAATCTGCGCAGGAGAAATGCCGCAACGATTATGGAGCCAAAGTTTCATTTGTACTAAGTTTCATAGCGAATGACATATCAATGACATGTTCAACAATGAGACCCATAGCGTACTCAGCGACAGTTAATTGAATCGCAAATTGTATGGCTAATTTCATACAAAATTCCATATCCTCGGAATTGCACCATTTACATCTACACCACACTTTAGAGCGAAAAAAGACACAAAATCATATTCAAAACTTTCACTTTCACTTCAAACTTTCGAAAAACACACTCGTCTCAGCTCGCTCCTAGCAACTCGTCTTAGCTCACTTCCGATTCAATTCCAGCTTGCTTACTCGTCTCTTTTGTCACAGTCACGGGAAATGTGACCTGGCTCGCCGCAGGTGTAGCACGCCTTCGAACTAACGCTGGCAGAAGAGCAGTCCTTAGAGATGTGACCGGTCTTTCCACAGGCGTAGCACTTGACAACACCGCTCTGGCAGTCACGAGCAAAGTGGTTGGCACCACCGCACTTGTGGCAGGTGATTCCGGCCTTGTAACCAGCTCCACCTGGGGCAACGTTGGTAGCACCGGGAACGGCTGGGGAAGCCTCAGCTGGAGAGCGTTGCTTGGTGCAGGCTCTGGCGATGTGTCCAAAGCGACCACAGTTGTAGCACTTAGCACCGCTGCCAGACTCCTTGATTGGCTCTGGGCACTCGCTTTGCAAATGGCCCAATTGGTTGCAGTTGTAGCACTGCTTCTGGGTGGTCTGCTTTGGCTCCGTGCATTCGGAAGACTTGTGGCCGGGCAGACGACAGTTGTAGCACAATCTCTCCACCTCCTGGCAGTTTTCGGCAAAATGGCCAATCTGACCACACTTGTAGCACGTTCTTGGGTAAACCGCAGCCATTTTTGATGGGTAGAACTCGTTGAACGATGGTGTAAAAGTTGGAGCAGGGGCTGAGGGGGAAAATTCTTTAAAAGACGTCGAAAATTTAGTTGGGTGACGCACGACAAAATAGGATGGTGGCCGATGGGATCGAGGAGAGATAACGGACTTTGAAGGTGAAAAATTGGCAGAAATAGGGGAAAAAGGCAGAGTTTTGGAGGAGGTTTGGCCATTGGTGGACTATGGAACAATGCCTTACTTTTGGGGCTTTTTGGGGGCTTTTTTTGAATGGTTTGTGGCTATTATGGGTGATGATGAACTTGCAGCTGCCAACTATAGCAGTTTATAGCGGCCTAAAGGTAGGGATCGGTGGTCGGACTAAATAGACATTGTAGGCCATTGTTAGTTTATTTGTGAAGCAAAACTGTACTATCAAGTTGTCAGAGTCTCAGAGTCAATAGTTTATCAGCATGTGTTTTTGGGAGTGGCTTTGGTGGGATTTTCGACATAATTAGTTAAAGATGGGGTAAATAGAGGGTGGAGAGATGATTGGTATGCAGTTGAGATACAACTGAAATACAACTGAAATACTATTGGAACGCAATCAAAATACAGCTCAGATTCTGGCTCAATTATTTTTCCCTTCTCCTTCTATTTTCTGTGGATTGCTCGCTTTCTGACGGTGTGCTCATATCCCGCATTGCCCGCATACTCAATTAGGGGTCCATTGGCAGTCTATTGGCAGTATATTGGCACACTGTTCATAAACAATAATGATAAGTCATGATAGCAAACGATGTTTAGCGTCATCACCCCGATTGTAAAACGAGAGTGAAAAGATCATGAAAACGTCACATATAGAGTTCATTGTTAGGCACATAGCGGGTGCAGGTAGGCTCGCCATAAACGACTCACAAAATAATGATAAATGACTCAGATACTGCTGCCTATTTGCTGGAATATTCCTTTTCATTTAATACCCACTTTGCTATCCATATTGTAGGATATAGGCACACGTAGAGATCATTGATTCACGGTTCGGCAGATTGGTCACACCGTATGAAGATCTCTCTCCTTTCCCTCCTCTATTCCAGCTCACAATAGTCCATAATATACCACCCGTAGTCACACGTTAGTTCTAATAGATTATACGCATCCTCCAGAGACGGCAGCGAGAACTCTTTGCGAGCCCCCCGCGCAAGCACCTCACATGTCAAAACCATCGATGCAAACCGTTCCACTGACAAAAACTTGACCACCTTATCGCCCCGTTCCTCTAGATCGCGGATTTCTTGCGAATACTCCTCTAGTATGTGCTGTGTGATGGCGGAGCCGCGTTTAGTGCCGAAGTAGCCCATTGGGAAACTCTGCGTTTTCAGGTCCATCAGCTCTTGCTGAGTGATCAGCTCTCGCGGTGAAGTCTCTGCAAGTTCACGTGCTAGTCGATAGTAGTAAGACTTTGCTGAACCACCCACGATCTTACGAACCGTTTTGGCACATACTGGAGCTAGAGCTTTCACCAAGGCGGATTTTGCGGTATAAGTCTTGGGTAAAAAGCTTTTCCGAGCATATTTTTCCACAGCAAGATCATGAGCTGCTTTGTCATCTAGTGGGTTTGATCCAGGCTCGTCTGTTTGTCTCAATCGCGCGATCTGATCTAGATCTTCTTCTTCGTCGATACGATCGCTGGCTAGTAAAAGGTCCAGCTCAACGTCTTCAACAGGCTCCAAAGCAGTATCATCTAAACCGTCATCTCTCAATTCGTAGTCTACCTCCAGATCTAAATCGAGGTCGATTTCTTCGTCCTCGCTTTGTTCTTGCTCTGTCAGCTTTGGTCTTTTGGGCTCTGGCTCTCGACTGGACTCTTTATTCGGCTGTTTTGGACTCGACAAAGGTGAGGCCAGATTTACACGCTTAGACTTGCGATACTGGTCCAGTCTTGACGGCATTGTACGCGGTGGGCTGTTAGCAGAAGGGGAGTTTTTGGAACAACGCGTTAAAGTTAAGAAGCCGCGTAGGAGATTGGTCGTGCTATACACATAATATTCCCATGGAAGAGCCGCACTCTGCCAGAGTCTAAATGGAATGAAGAAGATTATAAAGGTTCTAATGGTGTTGGAACAATTGTGGTAAATTTAAATGACAGGTGCATATTGATAAGCTAGTTAACTGAGGGGGAATTCAGTATGTTGGTGCTACCTCATTAAAACCATTATACAGCTGCAATCCTGTCATCATTGCTATCTTACGGACTGAAAAGTTACTGTCTTTGTGTCAGTATATTGTGACACACCTCTAATTCTACTGCATCGCCTAGTTGAATCAGGAAAGAATTTTGGGTGGTATCACAATCTCAACTAAATGCCACAGAACGGCATTGGAGGAGTATAAATGCCGATATATGTAGTTCAGTCATTACCCTTCCATTGGCTCGCCAACAATCCGGGTGCAATCAATGCACTGCAAACGTGACCGAGTATTGATAAGGGTTTTCACTAAGGATTGCCACAGCTTCAATCGCGGTAAACGAGATATCACCAAAGACGATAGACTCAGTTGCTTAGATGAAGTGGTTAGAAAGAAAGAGCCCGCATTCTTCTTGGGTCAACTCCACAGCAAGCTTCACGTTTTTCTTAATCTACATTCGGCATCGAGTCGCGGTAGGGAACTCTTTGTTAACTGTATATAGCGGGAATAAATAGTAGGCATAATGGAAACGTCCATATGTTGAAAGAAAGAAAATGGAGTCTAGGGCGGGAATTGACCTTTTCTGCCTGCGATATAGACAGAGCAGGAACGGTAGAACAACTGGCGGGAGGAAATCCAACAAAAAAACATAAACAAAGAAACAAAACAAAGTCATCAAAAAGTGTCATGTTTCACAAAATATCATTCCTCAGCATCTCCAGCTCAGCACGGAGATGCTCGTTCAAAAACTTCAGATCTTCCCTCTCGCGCTCCAGGGAGAGAATGTACTCAGAAGCTCTATCCAATACTGCGGACTTGTTTAGTTTGGGTGTCTCAGAATTTGGATCGGGTTGAACTTCATAAGGCAGCAGCTTCTGGAGATTGACGATCTTTGCGTTAATGTTAACCCTATACCTCTTTTCAATGGCATTGTGCGCTAGTTTCTGGGACTCGGTCAATCTCTTCCGAGGCTTCCGTTTCTTGGGCGTTGATGATCGACGCCTTGGTGATGGAGGAGAGTATTCAATCCCTGGGGAAACCGGGGAGGGAGGAGCATAGTCCTCGAGGTCGACATAGGACAACCAGTCGCTATTCATGGAGATGTATTCGGGATGTTATCAGGTTTGCAACTGTTCAAGAAACAACCCGCTTTTCAAAAACCACCCAAAAATCTGGCATCTGCTCGAATATATACTTGCGCGCGCGTTCTCGATGGTGCCATGCCCGCATTTATCTGAATACATTGTACCAAACATGGTTCAGCGTCTAGTCGAACAAGCCCACTGCTGCTTCTGGAAGGTCATTTACAGTTCGAAGCAACTTTAAGCGGTCCGCATAATGCTGCATGTAACTTGTAGTCATGCTGCATGAGCGTATATTTAGGCCGAAAACAAAGGGATGAGTGTGACTTTGGCCAGGTTTTGCAGGACAATTGAAGGTTACATGCAACAAATATCGTCCTAGGGAAAATGTTGTGAAATTACAGATATTTTAACTCTAGTTACTATTATTTTGGACAGAAAATCACAGTTTGCTGTCGGGCCAGCCAATGCATACCTCTTCGTCGCAGTCGGCCCATTGACCTCAGACAATGCATGTCTTCGCATCTGTACAACCCCATTCTGACGTACCTCAGCCCCATTCCCGGAGCAGCGGCCTGTTGCGGCTTTAGTCCCGTTCAAAAAGTAGCACCACTATTACTTTTGTTCCTGTTAAATCCTGTCACACATTGCTCTCAGCCTAATGGATCTCATTAGAAAATGTGCTCGCCAAAATCCACAACAAATTGGCTCTTGCTGTCGAGGCCTGAACCCCGAAAACGACGGATTCGGCTAAAGTTGCCGGCAGTCACACCACCGGGGAGCAGTAGCTTAACGGGCAACTTGAGACGGGCAACTTGAGAGGGGCAACTTGAGACGGGCAACTTGAGACGGGCAACCTGAGCCGATCAACCTTATCTTGCCCAACAACCGGGGCTACCAAATAGCAAACGGGTTCGGAAATAGCTGTATTTGAGTTCTTTTCACCGGTGCTTGTGTTTGAATCCCGGTTGGTTCAAAGGCGTTCTGCCGAAATAGTGGAGGTGGGCGGTTATTGCTGCAGATGAACAGTAACAGGCAGCATTTGGCAAGCGATTAAAATTGCAGAGCCTTGCAACGTGAAGGTTGTTCTAGCAATAATGTGGTTATAATTTTAGATTTGGCGAAGAACCTACGTGATTAAGGTTTAGATCCGGAGAATATGCTTTAGGCGTATCAATGCTAGTATAGGGTATAAGAATGGAGAGAATGTTGATCTTTATTCAATCCTCATCGATGAGACTCCTCAAATATTTTTATATTATTTTCACGGCGCTGTGAAGCTAAACAATCTGCAGATAATATGCAGGAGTAAATAATATGCTCGTAACACGAGTGTATACGATAGAAGAGTTATGCTTGAAGGGCTCCCAATTCGAGCTCCAGTGGTGAAGAGATAAACGATTGGTGACAAACTACAATGTGTTATTATTTTGGAGCTTCAGAGAATGTTCTAGCCAAATGACAGTATGGTATGTAATGGTATGAAATGGTGGCGCAATTATGTTTTTATCATTTTGAATAATGAACACCACTTTCGCATTTTTCTCTATTACTTCCACATATTTGCTAGGTGGCTTGTCATTGAAGCCTACATACGTAACCTTAGCAGGCCGGAACTCGCCATAATCGGCCCCACTCTGTTAAGGCCGAATGCTCTAATAATAATGTTGAGGCAATATCCTTGACACTATGCAGACAATGGATGTGCTTCCCACGTAATCTGCATTTATGTGGATAATATTTCCGAGGTACGTCAGTCGCATGCTTTACCGAGGTTACTTATGAAAATCCCACTCAAAATTTTCATTGAAATATCCATATAGGGGTTTTCGCGGCTACAATGTATCTGAACTACACCCGTACAATGTCCAAAAAGGCTCTGCATTCATTTGGCGTTAAGTGTCTATTTCTCTGTTTTCTTATCTGCTCCCCCTCTTTATGCAAGAAACCATAATATCAATGCAGATAAGACATCCCCAGGATTTTCAAAGCCAGATGTCCAATCATAATTGTTGGAAAACAAGCTAAAACACCCGAAATAGCCACACGGAAACATCTGCCGAATACATGCAAAGAGTCAAGGCATTATGTTATTAGTCCTTGCAGCATCAATTGAGAGTTTTAGACGGATATTTAACACTTGAAGGCGATCTGGACCATCTTTTGATGATCCAATGACGAATTACCTCGATTGTGACCTTCTTGGGGACTCTTGCGAGATAGTATATAGCACATGTTGCTGTGGCATTGATGACAATATACGCAATGAAAATTCCCAGATTGCGCCATGATTCCGAGTACGGAGCGTTAATCGAGTCCAAATAAACATTGGTCTTGGCTAAAGAGCAATACTCACATGTGGTCGTACTTTCGGGGTCCACCAGATAGCCTCCAGCGACAGCCATGTAAGGAGCCATATACTCACCACAAGCCGTGGAATTGAAGGTGGGGAACGAGAGTATCTCCTTGGAGCTACAGGTGACCTTTGCATTTGCCAATCCTGTACTGAGAACTCCACTAATCCAGTAGGTGAATGGCGAACACCGATACATGAATATCCAGAAACCTGGAAGGTCAGCCTTAGTCACAAGAACACCACAGAAAGACAATGAAATGGCAAATAAAAACGTCGCAATATGGCCTGCCGTTGTCTGAACTTCAAGACCACAAATACACAATTGTCCCATGGTAGAGGTGTACATTGTGAAGAGAACAACGAAGAGCCACATCTGCACACCACGAACATGAGTAGCTCCAGTTAATGCAGCATTGTTCTGAAATCCTATGGGATAGTACCAGCAAAAGAATCCCATTGTTCCCACAAGAACCATCCAAGGAAGTTCGACTGAAATTTGGGCCAAGATAAAGGCAACCCAACTGAAAGTTTTGCTTGGACGTTCACGAGCTTCATACAACTCTCTTTGAGCAACGAAATGAGGAAGCATTTGCTGAACCAAAGTTGCAAACATTGTAGTGTACATGAAAACTGCAAACATCTGATTCTGCATGCCCTGGATTGATCTATTTGCTTGGAAGAACGTGAAACCATTGAACAAAGCTGTCAGAACCACCTTTATGATCTTAGCCCAGATGTACGAAGGAGTGCGCCAATATTGCTCGAAGACACGTTTGGTAACATACCGATATTGCATCCATAATGGCACCGCAAACGAGCTATTTGAGTCTACCATTTCCATGGGACGTTTCACTAGTTCTCGGTCCATTCTGTCGAGTTCTGCTTGAACACCAGCACGTTCTGGAGACTGCATCCAAACGGTATGCCAATCGGTATTACCGTGAGAAATGGCCTTCAGCATCCACTCCGCTGGATTATCATCTTTTGGACATGGAATAGAGCCGTTCTTTTCAAAATATTGGATAAGAGTGGTGGCCTTTTCACCGATGTCACCGTAGTAAACCGTCTCACCACCAGGTTGAAGTAGTAAAAGTCGATCAAATTGCTGGAAAAGCATAGCAGAAGGCTGGTGAATTGTGCACAGAATAGCCTGGCCCTCATTGGACAATTTTTTCATCAATTGGCAAATAGACCAAGCCGTCTGAGAATCCAGACCAGACGTAGGTTCATCCAGGAAAAGCAACAGTTGCGGCTTTGCAGCCAGCTCAACACCAATAGTCAATCTTTTACGTTGCTCAACATTAAGACCTTCTCCAGGAACACCAACAACGGCATCTGCATATTTTTCCATATCCAAAATCCTGATGACTTCGCGAACATAGGCAACCTTCTCTTCCTCAGGGACACTGCTTGGCTGTCTCAAATGAGCACTGAACATTAATGCTTCACGGACAGTCGAGGTCTCAAGATGAAGATCAAGTTGTTGAACATAACCGGTAGATCTTTGAAACGATGAAGTACGGGGATGACCATTCACCAGCATGTCGCCCGTGACCACACCCATCGTCACACGGTCAGCCAGAACATCCAGTAAAGTAGTTTTTCCTGCACCAGAAGCTCCCATTAAAGCAGTGAGTGTTCCGGGCTTGACCCAACCATCAACTTGAGACAGCAGTGTCCGTGTAGAACCCTTCCATGGAATTTGGTAACTGACATTGCGCCAATGGAAAATGTCGTCACCACCCATATGATGCTCCGGGGCAGATTGGGGTGTTGATTCGCGTGAGTCAAGATCGTCCTCAGTAGTAAGCTTTTCATCACTATTCTCCACATCTTTGTGTCGGCGCTGGAGCTTGCGTAGCTTACGCAATGTCTTGAGCTGAAACACAATCTTCTCACCTTTCTGACGAGCACTAGGATTGAATTCCGTGAACAGAGTGTAAAAGAAGAAGAAAAATACAACGTATCCCATTTGGATACCCCAATTGCGCCAGCGATGGTCCCATTTGTAGCCAAATGACTCCAGTAAATACTGGTCACCCGAAACATACTCTTTTCCTACTTCTGATCCCACTGTCGAACACACTCTGTAGGCCATTGGCAATTCGTCATAGGAACCGCCTTGAGGGACAAACGAACCGCATGAGACATTTCTCCCGTGAAACTCGTTCACCATCATGGCTTCAAAAGTGTAGGCGACTGGATCAATGTAATTAATCCAACGGGACCATCCAAGCATCTCGTCCGTTGGAACAATGAAACCAACATAGGTGCTGAGACCAAGAAGAATCAGCGACGCAGGTGTCATGGCCTGGGCAAGATTCTTTGTCATTGAGCCAATCATCCGAAAAATGTGAGACATAACGAAAGTTGAAGTGAAAGCATTCAGGAAAAAAAACCAAAATGCACCGGCTTCACGTTTCAGATTCACCATGAAATAGAGCGTGATATTGAAGCTGAGAGATGTCGCCAGCTTATTTGGAAATTCAGAGATAATAGAAGCAACAGCTTCAGCACTAGGGTGGTACATTCCGTATTGCTTGTGCTTTTCGACTATGCCACGAGCTTCGTAGAGAGCAACTACCTCCAGAAGAGAGTTGAAGGAGTTGAACAGACATGCGAAGAATAAGCACGCTCCACGATGGTAAAACTCACTGGTGGAGTCTTTCAAATTGTAGAATATAGAACCAAGAATTAGGGCAATGGCAAAGTTTGAAACAATCAAACTAACTGGCTCTGACCAGTTGTTTCTGATCCTCAACATAGCCCTTCCAGTCAGGTAGCGCACTTGCATAAAGTAAGAGACTGTGTATGGTGACAATGGTGGGACATGCTTAGCTTGTTCGGCACGGTGACCAGCATGTATTGTATTAGTTAATTCGTCGTGTGAGCTGTTTATGCTGTTGAATTTGTCGTCTAGCTCTGCGGCCAATTCTGCGTATTCTGGAGACTTCTTCCAGGCTGTCTCAAACTCCTCGGCAGTACGAGGAACACGATGCTCAAAACCCTTCTCTGGAATCCGCTCCGAAGCCGAAGTTATCGATGTCAGAAAGTCTGGAACGGTTTGGCGTTCAGGACAATGGAATCCCATTCTGATGAAATAGCCCTTTGCACGATGGATGTCGCCAAAAAAAATTTGGCGGCCTTCATATAGCAAAATCACCTTGTCAAACAAATTATAAGCATCCTGAGAGCACTGATAAATGGAAACCAGTGAAGCTATTTCTAATGTGGAACACGATATTCTCAATGCTTTCACAAACTCAAGAGCACTAGCGGCATCCAGACCTCTGGTGGCATTGTCCCAGCACTGTAGCTTTGAGCCGCATACACTTGCTTCGGTGATTGAAACACGCTTGCGTTCACCCCCGCTAACTCCACGCACATATGCACCACCAACCTTGGTGTCTTTGCGGTGGGAAAGTCCAAACATTGCGAGATACACATTTGCAAAATGACTTGCGTAATCTTGACGAGAAACGCCCGGAACACGATTTTCGGGCACCTTCATCAAAGCAGCAAAGTAAAGAGTCTGCCAAACGGTTAGGTGAGGGAAGTGTATCTCCGTTTCTGCGTTATAGATAACCTCTCCACGATAACGCCCACGAATATCACTTTGTGTCAATCCATTGTAAGTCATTTCTGAGTTTTTGGCCACATGAAAACCGTAAGTTTGAGCTGCGATTGTTTTCAGCAGAGAGGTACACCCAGCACCTGGTCTGCCGAACACTACCACAAGCTCACCAGGCTCAATATTTGCATCCTGAGCCTTGATTATGTCGAAAGTGTCTTTAGATGGCACCACCAATTCTTTAAAGAATCTCAATGCTTTACCCAGTACGTTAGGAACTGTTCCCTGGTAATCCGCATCTACATTTCCACCATAGCATTGTAGGTTTCTGTAAGCAACTCCTAGTCGATAAGGCTTATAATGATCGGGATCTTTGTCTTGCAATAATCTCAGGTTTTTGATCCAGTGTTTGGCATTGAATTCAGTTGAATTTGGGTCTAGTTTTGGATCTTCATCTCCAAAGGGATTTTCACCAGTTGCAGAAATCTGTGATAATCTAGTTGACACCCGCGAGAGTTCGGTACCGGTTCTTTCCAATTCGGTAGACTGTTGAGTAAATTGTCGCGCCAGCTCTTGAACCTCGGCATCTGCGAGGAAGTCATCGAGTGAGCTTTCAGCTGTTTGTGGATGTGTATCCTCCATTGAAAGTGTATGAAAATTTGTTGGAATCTGGGAAAATCTATGAATGTTCTATCACTCGTCTACGAAACTCTTTTAGATGATTTCATGGACTGCGGAAGTACTCAATTCCGCATTATAAATGCACTTTAACAAACCACCTGGTATCGGGTTTCGCACCATCGAACTCACACCACCCACCTGCAGGATTGCAAACGTGCATCATGCATTCTCAATTCAATGCACCCCGTTCCACCCCACGGGCATTTGGGCCCGCGGTTCCAATCTACGATAGAAGCATCTTCTCGGCAAGATAATCTCTATTTGTGATTGCATGACACATGCGGTCAAATAATATCAGCCGATAACTTATAAGCTTAGAGCCGAACCAATCACTAGACTTCGGCGCAAGAGCAAGACGGAAGCCAGGTGATTATTAGAAGCCGAACAACCGAGGCACATACTGAGTGCAGATGTATGGGCCCATTTCTCAGGAGTTAGAATGGTTGGTATTTCGGAACTGGTCTGGGGAAGTTGTTAAGGGGAGGATTCTTGGCAACGTCGAGCATGTGATTTTGGTAGGAACGACTCTATGAGGATGATGGTGCTATTTCGGAGAGGATCAAGTTGGGCGAATTCACACACTCAACATCCTAGAATGAAAGTCTGAAATCTTGAAATTGGGTGCTAAAATTGTGAACGCGAAAGGAATCCCCCCACGATTTCTGTTTCGTACAGTGAGATGACTACAAGCAACATGTATCTTGCAACTACAGCTTTCGACAACTAACAGCCAAGTATATGTCTTCAGAGCCTTTTGGTCCGAGTGTGTGTGGCTCACCTTTGTTTGCAGCCCATCGTCCTAAATCCCCACAACATCCTAGCCGCACTCCCGTGTACCCGTGCCTCAAGATAGTCACGTGATCAAAACGCGCCAACTCTTCTCTCATACACGACCACGCGAAACTTTACAACGCGTCCTTCAGAGTAAGAACCATTCTTTGGCCTCTATCTCCAGCACCATGAGTGATCTCGAAATAGAGGAAATACTCATAGATGATATTCCGCTTGATGGAGAAGAAACGGCCGAGCAGCAGCGGAGTCTGGATTCCCGCCCTCAGATTGGTGCCGAAGATGTGGTCCGCTCGCATATTACCATCTTGTGTTCAGCACTAGGAGGTACAGACAAGACTACGAAACGCTACGTGCTGGGAATTGAGGCGCTTGCTTGCCTGCGAGATCTCAAGAGGTGGATTCGGACAGTGGACGATTTTTCGGACTCATGGATTGTTTCTTCGGCCTGCGCGGACTCCGGCCTGGTGCAAAACGATCTAATCCCCATCGTTTGCCAATGGGAAAAGGAACATTCGACCGGTAAGAACCGACCTCAGATGAACAGCATTCTCCTATTGTGCTTGGAGCTGCTTGTGGCGCTTACCAGACCGTTGGTTCTGGAGGAGAAGTCGCCTTTGCCCCGTGTGAACATGTATTCCAAGCTCAAGAAAATCCAGGTTGCCTATAAAAGTCGGATTTTGCACACCCAAGGTGGAAATACCTTAAAGGGAATTATTAGACTTGCATTGCCGATTTTGCGGACCCCCAAACAGTCCCGGACCTCCAGAGATACTGTCACACTGAACCTGTGTCTACATTTGGTGCGAAACGTGCTTCGAATTGAGCCCGAAACTCCAACAGCTTCGCGGAAGACCACCTCCAAGATAACCCAGTTAGCCGATAACATGCCATCTGGTGTTTCCAGAGACGATATTGCCATTTCTGCTGTTCTAGAAGTTTTTGAAAGCAACAAGGTGCTGTCTTTTATTCAAACAATCGTCTCCGGGATGGATTCCGAGTTTGACGGCGAGACCCTAGCGCCTGTATGTCTTGACTGCATTTACTATCTTACAGTGGGGGTTGAACCAGAGCGGTTGTTAGCCAGTAGCGACTCTGGTGTGGCATTGCCGTTGGAAAAAGTGGAAAACAACTCGTTGGCGGGGCTAATGAGACGCGAAAAGATTCTTAAACAGCGAGTCCTCGGACCTGGAATGACTCGACACTCAAACTTTGGAACACTGATTTCACTGCATACTGGCGACCACGAAAAAGTCACTCTTTCGGGCAACCAACACTTGAAGGTCAATCAGGACCCTCTTCGTCGTCTTGACGATGGAAAGACGTGGAGTGCCAGTAACCGTCTTAAGAACAACAAGAACGAGAGTCTGAAGTCAGACTTTGATTCCCGTACCAGTGCTCCTCGGAACCGAGTGGTTAGCCCGAGTTCTGCAGTTATATTGAAGCGTTTTGTCGACAGTTTCGTTTCCACCGGTTTCAATCCTCTGTTCCAAACTCTTCGCAGAATTGTTCAGGGAGAGAAAAATACCCTAGGTGCATTTGCAATGTACCGCTACTACCGCTCCCTGCTCTGGTATCTGCGTTTTTGCCGGGTCTATCGTGAGAATGCTCAGGACTCTGCACAAAGTGCTTCCACTCTAGGCCATCTTAGCGGAACAGTAGAGGCTCTCAACCCAGAAACCTACTACACCATTCTCAAGGGAATGAACGAGTACTCGGATACACGAGAATGGAACCTGCTTCATGCGACGATGGTGTGCATGAACGAAGTTCTTCAGTTTGCGTTTTCGCTGTTCTCTCTTGCTCCAGACCAGTTTCCGGGCCATGAAGAGGATATAGAGGTCTTCAAAGAGGCGGGCGGTGAGCTAATCAGAAGAGTATTACTCACCAATCAGGCAGGATCAGATGTTTTGACTACAGTCCCGCGTGATTCTCAGAAGGTGTCGTCTGAATTCGCCAGCGATGCAACTGAATATGTATACACACTTCTGAAGATTGTTTCAAAGTTGAAAGCTCAAGAGTTGTCACAGCTTACAGCAACTGAAGATAAGTATCAGCTCACCAAGACTCGAAACGAGCTGATAAACATTGAAAAACGACTTTACGACCATCGAATTATCAACACGGTGGTCTCTGTGTTTGGCCGCTACGAGGACATCGCAGAGAGCGAGTTTCGCAGATGTCTTTCGTACTTCTTCAAGGTTTTGAAACAACCAGAAAGCTTTCCAGATCTTGGTCGTTTGGACTTGATGCTTCTTCTCCACGACATTGTGGTTTCCGATATCTTCCCGGCCCACTCAAAGACAATGAAGGAGCTGGAAGTTTTGACCTCAGCTTTTATGAAACAGCTGGAGAAAAAGGCGACTGCTGTGAAGTCTTGGTGGATAGAACTGGCGTTTTCGCCAAAAGTGGCTTCTAACCACTTCTTGGAAACAGGAGACCCAACCAGAAGCTTCGCTACGAAGCCTCCTCAGTTTAAGACGAAGGAGTTTATCGATACAGAGCTTTCTCAGAGTATGAAGATTCAGGTTTTGGTGGCTTATTTCACCGAAAGAGACGAGCGGGATGTGGTAGTTTGGCTTCGGGACCAGATGAAGCAGGTTTTGGAGGCAGAGAAGCAGGCCACAGATTTGCAGTTGGATTTTGCAGCTTATCGATCGTCTGTTCGCACTGGGGTCATGTCACTATTCCTGGAAGTGATGGAATTCAAAATCAACTTCATGAGGGGAATGGTTTGGAACGTGAGGTGCTCCGAGAAGCTGGAGAATGTCCTTGAGCTTTTGAATCTAGCTCTTGCAGCAGACTTCGATAGTGACACGGCTGCTGGTGATTATCTTAGGATCTCGGATGAAGATGAGAGAGAATACCATCGTCAAGGAGCCGAAGAGCGTACGTATACATTTCTTTCGGATGAAAGTGAGGACGATGAGGTCGTCCCGCAGGCGTGGAGGGAGGCTGATGATTTGGACAAAATGGAGGCTGCTTTGGAAGCAAGAGACAGAGTGCTTCCTGTTGGACGTGCCATTAAGAAAGGTGGAAAATCAGCCAAGCCCACGAAGAATGCCTCAAAGAAGTCGAATCACCGCTCTACCACTCGTCGTCACAAGATGGCCAACAACCTGGCACTTCACGATATTTCAGACGACGAATCAGGACCCAAACCTCCTGGAGACGCTCACGATGTGGTCTCGACTGAACGTGTTTTTGACTCTGATGATGAATCTGATGATGAGCGCGATGCCGAGCTTTTCGCCCGTGACAGGAGGCTACACGAAATCATCATGGACAATCAGGATAAGGCCTTGAGTCCAGACCAACTCAGGGAGTTGTTGAAGCTGGCAAAGGATGTGAGTCGTTCGATAGATCATGTCGTTGAGATTCAGCCGTCACAGGCGTTGTCTCAGCTTGTTTCTCAGGGTATTCCTGATGTATTTGCTACACAAACTACGGAAATAGAAGAGCAAGAGAGATCGTCGAGTCCAGGACTAGGTCAAGATCTCAGTCAAAATTTGAGCCAAAGTCTCAGTCAATCTAGCTTCACGGCCTCGCAGCATGAGGAGGATGACAGGGAGGAAAGAGAAGGAGACGCTCACGCTGAAGAAAACGAGGAATCCGAAGAGGAAATCGTTGAAAAGGTGAAGCGTAGAAGGCTGATGGTTGAGAGTGACGACGAGTAGGTGGTGTCACTGCTTGCGAGAGGCAAATGGCTTGGAATCCCGCATATTTATACTCTACTTACACTAATGACGTAACTCAATAACAAGTTAACAGGTTAAGAGAGATTTGAAATCACTTACAATATTTGAGGTAACACAGCCTCTGTATCAGGACGCATTGCATACATGGCTCTGATCTCTAGAACTTTAGACAGGTCCATGGATTTCTATCGGTTGTGAATCCAAACAGTATCATAACTGACACAAATTGAGACTGAAGTGTTTTTTGTTTTATTTTCACTCATCGAATAAATAAAAGCTTCTCCTCTGCTGAAAAAGCCAAAAAAAAAAAAAACTTTTCAGCCGAAGCAGTAGTCTTTGATGCATGCCAAGAAACAGCAGCTGCAATAAACACATGTCCATTACCAGCTTAATCTTCACGTCCATTCCGTGATATTGCTTCAATCCACATTACAATGCTCGCCGCCTTTCGTGTGAATCGCCCCGTAGATCGTCTGCGCAGACGAAAGAAACATCACCACATACCCAAACACAATACACGCACGAGCAGGCAACTTTTGCAAAAAGCTCTTATTAGTTGTCATCTTCAGTAAACACATGGGTGGCAGAATGTACGCCATTATGGAGGCAGAAGTAGCTCCTACAAGTTCCAGAATGGCCCCAAGATTGCAGGTAAAAAGCGAGACGGATATGGCCGAAAAACATAGTACTGTGGTCAGCCAGAAATGCTCTTTGTCAGAAAGTTCCGTTTGATCATCTTCTGACTGACTAGTCAAAGAAGCATAACCAGACTCGCGAGATTTTTTCCACATCACCAAGAAATCCCTCGCTATCTCACGAACCACGAACACCTCCAGCGGAAACGTGGTCAGCATGTTGAGGCCAAAACATAGTCTCGCAATGTTGGCAACCCAATCAGAGCTCGGGAAATTATTCAGGATATTGCCCTTGGTCTTATCCTTGAAAGTGAGATATCCAACCATTCCCATCAGCCCACACGCTATCATAGAAATGAAGCAAGATATGTGAGTCAGTTTGGCAAATCTGTCCAAAGTGGGTTTCTTCATGGACTCGTAGATGAAAGTCGTGTTATGGTGACAAACCAAGGCAAACGAAATCACGCTGATTCCCTGGAAGACATTCTTATTGATAAACCATTGGGAGGTCGATATTGAACCCTTCAGATCAGCAGGCATCTGTGGTCCGTGTACCACCACCACTGTCACTATTATGAGCATTCCAACCAGAGCAACACCACTGGCCTTGGCCAGTTTCGAAATATCACGATTGAGCGATAATGGGTACGAAATGCACCCGGATAACGCCAATATCAGCACGTTTCTGCTCAACAGAAAGTTCAAAACGGCCGATTTTTCCACCCAATCCCCGGCCAAAGTCCTCAGAACATGTGGAATGGTATCCCCAATAATCACACAAAATGCCATGGAGCCTCCGTATGCAAACAGGCCCTGGGCCAGTAATATCGTGATCTTTCCAGGTAGTCCAAAGCAGAAAAACACCGTATCGTGGTACGTCTTCTGCCCCGAAAGTTTAGCATTCACGATTATTAATCTCAAGGTCCAATCAACGAGAACTGTCAGAAACACCATCAACACCAAACCGGCCAAGACGCCGGAGTTTTTGAATGCCAGAGGCTGGCCTATGATTCCGGCTCCCAGAATGCTGTTGGCCATGTTCATGAAAGCCATTCTCATATTTGATTTGTTCTCGCTCTGCTCGAACATTGCCAGCGCCTCAGCCTCATAAATTTCGTCAAATCGCCGCTGTGTTGAAGGCAACTCCGAGCTGCTAGGTGTCTCCGGGCTGTGACGATCTTCTGTGCTCACCGAGTCCAGCTCGAAGAGCAGCGACGCGTTTTCGGGATCATTTGGGTGAGGATCACGAAACGGGCTACCTATAGAATCGCTCTGAGAGGATGGAGCCGTCTCCGCAGGCGGCTGTAAATTGTGGCTCATTTCGGTTGGTTCTGGTGCAGTTGAGCTAGTCAATGCGACCGTTGGCGCTTTCAGTCTCCAGTGGTTATGAGCTCCCACCCAAAATGTTACCAGGCTGGTTACGTAATTTTTCACTCACATTCTCAACATCATTACATGCTATATCTTTACATACTATTCAATCAAAATGCTCATTTGCATCGTTAAACTCAGACTCCCCTGTGCTCTCTTCCTCGGTATCACCGGGCTTGGAGGCATTCGGAGACTTGAGTTCAACGCTTTTGTCAGGCTCCACAGAAGAGTCCCTGTAGTCATCCAAGAGATCATCCATGTCTGCGGAAGCATCTGCAGCTGGTTCTTCTCTTGGTGGATGCGCTGTCTCCACAACTTCAGACTCTCCGTTAGCCTTTGCAAAAACTGCCGCGTCATTGCTCGTCTGTGGCACAATCTCAGCATCCCCCGCCTTAATCGTGGCGGCCGTATCGAGCGCTTGTAGACTCGCAACAGCTTCAGACTTATCGGTAGGTTGACGAGACAGGTCGGGCGATGCCACCCAGGGTTGTTTTGTAAACGCTGGGGTCCCAGGCATAGAGATAGACTCAAACATAGTCTCGGACTTGTCGTCCTCCCAGATGCCAACACGGGCCCAAAACATGCGCGCGCGGATCTTGGAGAGAGCAAACCAAGCCTTCGTGTACCCCACACTGGTGGAGAAGTCGTAGATCTTGGTGCGGTATGCATTGTTGATGTTTCTGAGCAAAGCGAATAATTCACACGTCCTTCTCACTCTCATGAGGCAGCAACCACACAAAGAATACGTATGAGTGAACTCTGTGATAGCCTCCTGCTTCACAGGTCTTTTTGAGTATATTTTGAGATTGTACATGCGTGCGTGGTCCAACTTCTCGTTCCTATCTTCACCACAGAGGGCACAGTTCGACAGAGTGGCCACCGGAGGGGAGTCTTTAGGATATGAAAAAAGATTATCTTTAAGCTCAGAAGTGGCCGTCAGAACCTCAGAATCTGGCTCCGACGTCGCGGGTGCCTCAGGAGCCGATTCAGGTGCATCGGTGACATTTTCTGCTGGTTTCCGATGACCAGGCCTCCAAAGCTCATTCACACCACTGATTGGCTCAATGACAACCCGGCCTTCCACTAAGGCACCAATGACAGTCTTCTTGTGGAAATACCGAACACCAGGCGCAGTATCGAGCCTAAGAGTGTTTTCCACATCCTCCAGCATGACCCTTTTAAAGAAGACTAGGTCCTTCATAACAGCATACTCATAAGTTTTCACAATGCGTTCGTTCAAAAACCGCACCATATCACAAAAGTCCTTGTACTCCGTCAGATCGAAACGAAGAAGGTTGTATGTGGGCGAGTACACCAATGCGTTATTGTAGCTTTCTAAAGGACCCGCTGACAATGGCAGACCACTTGAACTTTCACCATTATCTTTACCCGATGCACCCACCAGCACTGAACCAGTTCCCAGATCAGTAGTAGAGGCAAATGGGCTATCTAGGAAAGTGCTTCTCCGTTTGTTAGTCTGAGCATCTTCGGACTCGCGTAACACCTCCTTCAAACTCGCCAGTTCTGTCCTCAAAACAACTATAAGTTCGTCTTTTTCGGTGAGAGTAGCCAACAGCTTTTCATTCCTGGTCTTAAAATCGTGCTTCTCGCGGTTTGCATTGCTCACCATGTTATTGGCCTCATCAAACACCGATGCAGATAGTTCTTCCACCTCAGCGCCCAGCTTTCGCGCCTCGGATTCGGCCTCTTCGCGCCTTTTAGTCTCCTCAAGTAGTTTCGCCGCCAGAGCCACACTCTCAGTCTCAGCAGCCTCAACACGTTGCGCCACAGGCCGTAATGTCTCGAGTTCCAGCCTCGAGGATTCTACCGCTTTGCGCAATCCACGGATCTCCGTTTCCATGTTCATCTGCGTCTCCATCGACTGCATCAGCCTGGTGGATAGAGATGAAACCTCTTGTGACACACGGTCATTGTCTAAAGCTAAGTCTGCCATTGTAAAAATGCGACTTTCCCTGCTGTTCTAGGGTGGATATTGATTGAGTAAACGAGATCAACAGAACTGGAATAGTGCATTACCAAGGGCACATAACCATTAATATGATTACATAAGCTTTGTCAAACGGGGAAGCGATTAGAAAGCTCAGCTATATCGACAAATTGTCAATATGGCATGATACGACTGAACTTATGAGATAATGAGCTGAAGTCTGTCCAAGATCCACTTTACATGATATTGGGGTGCTTTTTCTCCGGAGTTTGGAGGTCATTCGCTTGCAGAAAGCAGTGACAAAATGGATACACAGCGATCTTGGTTTCAACGCAAAAAACCCTCAAATTTCTTATAAAAACGCGACACTGCCGCCAAACATTTCTCCCCACCATTTTTGACCCGTAATGAATCCTACAGTATTCTGATACGTCTCAAATCAAACCAAAAAGCAACATCGTTAACCAAGATCTCAGATCGTGCATCACCATAGTTAACAGCCACACGACCTTTACCCAACTCCAAACGGACGCCTGAGAACAAGGAGAAGAAGCCATGTTCTATTGACTCAAGCAGAACGAGGCTGCCTCAAGCCATTTCAAATCATTTGGAAGCCTTTTTTGAAAAGCGATATTTTTGTCGCTACCGAAACTTCATTTAGCACGTCTATACGCAAGAAACGCCATTGTCGCCAATTCTAGCCCGCTCCCAAAGTGAGACCCGCCCAGACGCGTCGGCATAACTCCAACCCCACAAATACAGCATCCATGAAGTCGAGGGCGGCAAGCCAGGCTGATGATGGCTCTGGACCGTCACGGGCGTCAACTTTTTTCGGTTTCAAAAACAAATTGTCCCGTTCGTCCACCAAATCATCAATCTCGATAGATCCCAATTCTTCCCCAGGAAGCCACCACAACAGAAATGCTAGCGTATCATCTTCGATATATACGGCCGCTACAGGCCCAGGATATTCACCGAACAAAGATAGTCATTACCGCTATTCGCCGTCGAGATCGAGCTCCCATCAGTACGACGGCCAGGACTTGACCAGAATGGCAACCAATACGAGCATTCTTTCGGCCACTCCATCAGTATTCACGTTAGCATCAGGACAGAAGGTCCGAACCAACATTCCTGCGGGATACACAAAAAGTCATAAGCACTCAATATCTGCTGATTTTAAGCTGGAAAGACCATCAGACGATACTGTGGTGGAGAGCATGTTCGAAGATCTGATGCGCAAGATTGACTACGAGAAGTTTCCAGTACACGTGAGACAACAGATGTACGACTTTCCGCTCGACAAAAAGTGGGCCATGGTGTATCAGGAGCGTTTGAGTGAGTTCAAGAAGGATGAGAGGCTCAGGTTGCAGAGTTTGAACCAGCGAAACATACCTACTGAGAAGGTGATCAGTACCGGCACTGTGCAAGCTCCGAAACAAAGCTCGGGAACAGTGCACACGCAAGAATACTTTGTTAGACAGCTTATTGGAAACACGATTATCCTGGAAGACCTGAACAACCTCTGGACCACGCTGAGAACTGAACCAATTACATGGCTTCGCGAGTTTCTGGATTCCCAAGGTGGTGTTGCTCTCTGTAACGTTCTTTCCAGACTTCACAAAACTTCTCCGTTGCCTGGAGATGATCAATCTGGAAAGAAACAGACTATGTTCACAAATCCTGCAGAGCACTATGACTCGATTATCCGAAAAGAATCGCTTCTCTTGAAGTGTATTAAAACGCTGGTGAATGTCAGACTAGGTGGAACTGCTTTAGTGCGCACTTCAATCCTTTTCACGTCTGTGGGAGGAGCCCTATTCTCTGGTAGTTTGGATAATCGCAAGATAGCCGCTCAAATTCTCACATTTATGGCTCATTTCAATCTTTTTGACTCTGAAAGGACCTATGAGGGCTACGATGCTGTACTCAGAATGCTCACCCAATCGACAGGTGAGAACTGTCATGTTTCTTTTGTCAGACGGGTTCATGGAGAGAATAAGATGTCACCAATGCGGTCGGCCTTGGAATCCGAAGAGGAGGTTTTCAAGAACTGGAGTGAGAGCACAACACGTTACGAGTCATGGACGCGCTCCATGTTGTTTGTGATGCAAGGCAGAGGCAAGATGGGCTCTGTCGTTGGAGCTTCTGAGGAATACAAGATCATCGGTGCCATTTCGGAGCAAAATATTGGTGATTATGCTGTTCAATGTCTCATGTTTTTGAACGCTGTTGTCTCCGAGAACATAGATGTGAAGCAGAGGATTGAGCTCCGGAGACGGTTCAAAGTGTCAGGAATGGATCATGTGTTCCAGTTCTTTTCTGAACTGAACCACAGTCTTGTTCACGAGCATATCGTGAGATACGAGGAGCTGGAAGCCATAGATTACGCAGAACTGACCAAAGCAGAATCTTTGGGTGGTGAGCAGATTGATCTTTCCGACCCAGTCTCACTGATTCGCGCTATGTGGGCAAAACTCAAAGGAACTCCTTCTGAAAATGTCATGCTTTCACTGATGCAAAACTTGTTCTTGAGTCAAAGCGACAGTATTCGGAACGGAGACGAGTCACAGGTGGGTCGGAACATGAAGCTTATTGATAGCATGGTGACAAGTATATCAAAGACTTCGGCTGTTTCGCAGGATGACAATACAGCCATCAACATTGCTGTGAATAGACTGTTTGCTGGGTTTCAGAACGAAGATACAGTTAAACGGGCTTTACAGGAGGCCAAGGATTCGAAGAAGAAGGTTGAGGAAGCCATCGCAGAAAGAGACGAGGCAATCTTTGAGCTTAACAAGTCGTCAGGCGGTGTCGTGAACGATTTGAAGAAGACTTTGCACGAATACGAGCTCGTTGTTGCGAAGCAGAAGAGAACAACCGACCGACTTATGGCTGAGGTTGATGAACAAAAGCGCAAGAGGATCTTAGAAAAACACAACCACGAATTAGAGACGCGCGAACTTTTGATATATCTACAATCAAACGCTCCTCCAACCGAATCTGGCTCTGCATCTGTTGAAAGGAAAGTGGGAACTCTAGATGGCAATTCAGATATTGTCAAGAAGCTCCAGAACCAGCTTGTCAAGAACAAAGTTGAGTACCGAACAATTGGATCTACTGGGGTGGAGCCAAGCTCAAAGCTCCGTCGGTTGCGTGACCAAATGGAAGATATAGGCAAGCAGGCTAGAGATCTCGAAATGGCCGAGTTTGCGGATAGGCCAATTTCTCCACCAGTTGATCTCAGACCGGCTAGGCTCTCAGACATTCAAGCTCTTGAAGACCTCCGCAAAAAGTTGGAAGGCCTGCAGCGCGATTCAAACGATATCATCAAAGTTCAGGGCGATTTAGCCGACAAAGAGTATACCGAAAGGCGCAAATACGAGGCAGCTCAACGACTTCACGAACTTCAGTACAAACTCAAGGGTTTGAATATCGATCTGAATGAAAGAATCGAGAACGATGATGGCCATAAGGTGCTCGATCCAAGGTTCCAAGAAAGACTTGAGTTCGAGCTTGGTGAGGTCGAGAAATTGAACACTGCGTTGAAGTCAAAATTGACATTGAAGGCAAATAACGAGAATCTCGGTAGCGATATGGTTGATAACTCCCTGTTGGAGTCTCTTGAGGCTAGATATGCCAATGGAAAGGTCAGACAGGCTGTTCCAGAGACAGCGTCGTACGTTCCAGTGGAGCCACAAAGAGCTCCAGCATTTTTGTCCGAACTGACTTCCAAGGTGGACAAAACTGCACCAATTGGACAGAGTTCCGAGAGTAATGAAGATGATCTTCCCTCAAAGGCTCCTCCAGCACCAAGTGCTCCTCCCGTCGCACCCCCTCCACCAGCTTTCCTGGCGAAGTCTTCAGATGCCTCATTGCCTCCTCCTCCTCCTCCTCCTCCACCACCACCACCGCCAATGCCTCCATCTTTTGGAGGAAATTCGGCTTCTGGACCACCGCCTCCACCTCCTCCACCACCAGGAATTTTTTCTGCTCCTCCTCCTCCTCCGCCTCCTCCATTTCCAGCGTCCGCCAGATCAAAATCCGCATCGCCAGACGTCTCCATCAGCAACGGTTTGGACAGCTTGCCACGTCCAAAAAAGAAGCTCAAGCAGATACACTGGGAGAAGATTGAAAACATCGAGTCGGGAGATTCATTTTGGAAAGGACTGGGTGGTGAATCGACCTCTTCACTCCTGGCCCAGGCTGGTGTTTTTGACGAAATTGAAGACCTTTTTGCTGCTAAAGAGGCAAAGAAATTGGCACAGAAGAAGAAGGGAGCGGCCGATAAAGTATCGTTTCTTTCGCGTGATCTTAGTCAGCAGTTCAGCATCAACCTGCACGCATTCTCCAACATGTCTGATGAAGACACAGTGCTGCTGATTTTGAACTGTGGAAGGCAAGTCATGGAGAACGCCACAGTCTTGGAGTTTTTTGCGAAACCGACTGTGAACGAGATCCCTAACACTCTGGCTAATAACCTTGATCCCTACAGCACAGATTGGACCGGCGAAACCAACAGAAAGCCAGAAAAAGACCCCAACGAACTAGCCAAAGCAGACAGAGTTTACCTGGAGCTGGTCTATAACCTCCAGCATTACTGGAAATCACGGATGCGGGCTTTGAATGTGATCGCTTCGTACGAAAGGGAGTATGCTGATTTGGTGAACAAACTCGTTGCCGTGGACAGCGGATTGGAGTCGTTGAGAACATCCGATTCCCTTCGCCAGGTGTTTGATATCATCTTGACTGTTGGTAACTATATGAACGACACTGCCAAACAGGCACAGGGCTTTAAGCTCAACACTCTCCAGCGTCTTGGTTTCTTGAAGGATGACAAGAATTCCATGACGTTCTTACATTACGTTGAGAAAATCATCCGCCATTCCTACCCTGAATTATTGTCGTTCATGGCTGATCTTCAGCCGGTGGTAGCAGCTTCCAGAATAGCTATTGACCAGCTTGAGACAGACTGTCTCAGTCTTGTTTCTGCTATCAAGAACGTGGATGCTTCCATAGACCAGGGGAATCTGAGTGATCCTTCAAAGTTTCACCCAGAGGACAAGGTTCTTTCCAAGGTATTACAGCACATGCCGGAAGCCCGCAGGAAGGCCGGACTTTTAGCGGTCCAGTGCAAGTCCACGAGTTCCGAGTTTGAGAAGGTGATGTCATATTTCAATGAGGAAACGGGTGACAAGTTTGGCAAAAATGCATTTTTCAGCAAGTTCTCCGACTTCTTGGCTGCTTTCAAGAAGGCTTCCCTAGAGAACGAGGCTCGCGAGAAAGAGCTAAGGGCTTATGAACAGAGGAAAAAGGCTCTTGAAGCTCCAAAGAAAGCAGCAAACGCACTGAAGAGTGGTGATGGCACCGAAGATGATGATCAGGGTTTGATGGACAACTTTCTTCAAAAGCTTCGTGATTCTGGTCCCGTTCGTGGTGAAGCCTCTTCTGCAAGAAGAAGGGCAATCACTCGGAAGAAACTCCAAGATTCACGCAAACCTCTGGATGAGTGGGGAAGCTCGATATCATTGGCAGAGTCAACCACCGAACTCACCGAGCTTAAGTATGAGAAAGACCCATTTGTTACCCCTACAACTGAGAGTTTCGACACCTCTTTGGCTCCAGATCTAGGCTCTCCAGTCACCGAAGACGAAGACGATATTGGTGCGAAGGCGAGAAGCCTTTTACTAGAACTGCGTGGATCTCCTTCTCCCTCGACGAGCCAGGAAGTTGCTCGTGCTCAACGTCTACGTGATCAACGCAGGTTAAGGAAGCTCCAGTCTGGATCGTTAACCTCTAGCAAGTCAACGCTTTCGCTGGTTCCTGAAGTGCTTTCAGCTGAGAATGGGACAAATTCCAACACAACAGCTACAACGACGACAGATCAACTCGAAACCGATGAAGAAGAGTTTGTGGATGCAAGAGAGCCACAAAACTGACATATTTACATAGACAATTACATGAGGCTTATGACGAAGCTTTGAGCAGACTGAGCGCAGCCTCAAGCTCTTTGATGGCCGTAGCAGCATCCTCGTAGTTGAGTGCGGAAATTGCGAACTTCGCGTGTTTCTGTGCTTTGGAAATGACCTCGTCGTCGAGGATCATCTTTTCAATGTCCTTTTTAGAAGGATGAATAGTAGGTGGTGACGCTATAGCTGGTTTAGTTGGTTGAGGAGCCTGTCTAGTCCTTGGAGTTGGTGACAATTCTGGTTTGGCCTTCTTTTCTGGCTCACCAACCTCATGGTCTTTTGGTGACTCTTTGGCATCTTTCTCCCCTTCCGCATCTTTTAACTCGGTTGGTGTTTTGGGCAGTCCCAGCTTGTCAGGGTGTGTGTTCGTCTCAGACGGTTCAACCGGCGCAGTCGGTGCAACTTCAAAGTCGTCATCGATGAAACGTGGAGCCTTTGGTAGACCCATGTTGGCATCATTCTCAATAAACCTAGGGGGTTTTGGCAATCCAAGACTGGATTCGACTCCATCTATGAACCGTGGAGCTGTCGGCAATTTGGGCGTGGAGTCTGTGTCCAATGGGGCAGATGGGAGGTCTGGTGGAGAGACTTCAGGTGCAAATTTTGGCTCTGGTGTTTTTTCTGGCTCTGCTTTCGACTCTTGTTGGGATTCAGCAACATTTGTATCAGTCGTCAAGTTCGTCTCTTTATCCTCCTCCTCCTCCCTTTTCTCACCTTCCATCTCATAATCATTAGGATCACCACCCGCCTTGAGTGTCCGTGCAATCCTGGCCACGTGGAATTTTGCAAATCTCAATTTCATGGCAATGTCGTCAGCAAGTTCAGCGTCCCACTGCTTCAACAACCCCAGAAACACCACACTGGCCATGAACTTATCTATGGTAGCACGAGTAGTATGGTGATCGCGAACATCCAGAAATGCTCTGTTGAATACTGCAACACCAAACTGCTCCACATGAGCATAACCAGCCTCTTTTGAATTGATGATCTCTAGTACTTCTGGTGAGGCTTCCTTCTTGATGCTTTCAACGTCATCCAGAAGCTCCATTGCCAATGTGGCCACCTCCGCTGATTCTTTGTGGAGCCCCTGGGTCAGAATTAAATCTGCAGCATGGAACTTGCCTAAAAGCTGGTTAGTATCATTCAATTGGGTCTGTAGAGCTTTGGTTTTGTACTCACAAAAGTAGGAGATGGAGGGGTCCAGCTGCTGGACCTCAGTCGCGCGCTGGATGAGTGGTTTCACCAGTTTTGCAACTGACGGTGGTATATTCTGTAGCGACATAAAAATGCAACTAAAGCGGTAGAGAGTGCACAAAAAATGGTGAAGATTGGAGAATAAACCGTAAACTTGAACCACATACAACCAAACCCTTGTAATACCTATCTCCTATCAATCTGCCATTTGCTCCCGGTTCTTTGTCAGCCTCTTCTCAGCTCTACACACATTTCGCCCAAAACGGAAATCTCGTCGGGCTCCTTAAAGACGCCTGTTCTTCTCCCTGTTTGACTTCTTTTCGCGTAACCAGCCTGATTTGCGCGGTATTTGGGCTGAAACAAGGTCAATTTTTGAGTTTGAGCACCTATAAGCCCCGGTCTTAAAAACGTGTCATTTGAAGGTTTCCGTGACGAGAAAATTGCTACCATAATCCACGTCACGCGTTTCCCCCTTGTTAGACGGGAATTCAAATAAGACGGTGCGCAAACGCTGGAAACTAACTGGAAATTAGCTGGAAGACGGCAGAACAATACAGTAACAACGCTGTTCACAGGATTCGAACTGCTGCAGACTTCTTCAGGGTTTTCGTTGCAAGTGTGAATCTCTCTCAGCTGGATCATTTCCCTCTTTGTCAAGAATACAAGCAAACGGCACAGACGTAGCCAGAAGAAGCTAAAAACGCCTGATATAATATTGTGCTGCAAGCTCCAAGTGCTGCACCCTTTTACGCATTGAAACACGTGGTTTTGAAGATTTACCACTGAAATTTCAGCCACATGACAGATTACGCAAAGCCCTGGAATGGGGCCGACACCTCTGCGATGTCGGTAGACGCGAAGCCAGAACCAGTCTCACCAACAGTCGAGATCACATATAATGGCATAGTTGTGCCCATTCGCGTGGAAGACCGCACTGTGGATGGCTTTCAGTTACTGAGGGCTGCCGGATTGGACGATTCTGCAGCCGTGAAAGCTCTCGGTGATTCGCGTGACCGGTGGATCTCTGAAGATACCGCAAACAGACTGGCAGCTCAATACTCAGCATCCGATTTGGTGGAAGCTTTGTTTGGAAAGAGCTCTGCTAAAGATGAGGAAAAGCAGGCCAGCTTCTACACCTCCACCTTCGGCAACGGCGCGTCCGTAATCAAACGCTTTACCTCCTCCTTCAACAATGGACTTGCCAGGAGCTACTCAACTCTCACTGAGAACGATGATGCTGGTACAGACAAAGGAGATGGCGAGTCGCCAGCCAAGAAGGCCCGCACTGACCAATTGAATGTGCCAGTGTATGAGCATGACGGAACCCTACCCTCGGGCTCTGTTGCTCTCAAGCCGCTCACAGAGGCAGATGTATCGGATCTGGAACGGTCAAAGGACGTGATGACGATGATATTCCTGCCTGGGAAGTCTGCTGATTCGCTACTAGAGCTTGTGGGAGGCGATGAAACAGTTCTGAACGGGATACAGGTGGATGCACCTATAGACGATCTTGGCCATACGGCACTGCATTGGGCTGCGACTCTCGGAAAAGTTTCACTGGTGCGCGATCTGGTCAAAAATGGTGCCAATAGACTTCGTGGAAACAACGACGGACAGACCGCACTCGTTCGGGCCGTCATGGTTACCAACGGCTCCGAAACCTGCAATTTCGCAGAGTTGCTAGACTATCTATACCCTGCGTTGACGATTGTGGATAACCAGGGTAGAACAGTTCTTCACCACATCGCTGTGACTTCCGGAATGAAGGGCCGCAGCTCCGCAAGCAAATACTACCTGGAATCGCTTCTTGAGTGGATTGTGAAGCGTGGTTCATCCTTACCGAGCGGCCATGCGATTGGCCTGGGTCGTTTCATGAGCGAAGTGGTCAATGTCAGAGACAAAAACGGCGATACCTGTCTCAACATCTCTGCTCGTGCAGGAAACAAGGCCATTGCCCAACAGCTATTGGACATAGGTGCCGATCCTAGTCTTCCCAATAAAGTTGGGTTGATGCCTGTAGACTTCGGCATCAACATTGGTCCAGTGTCCTCTACCAGAGCCTCCGTGTCTTCATCGGGCCCTCCAGTGAAGGCAGATACCCAAAACAGCGAGAAGATCATTTCCTCGATGCAGGAGATGTTGGTGCGGCTAAACGAGGATTTTAAAAGCGAGATAGCCACAAAAAGCCGCTCCGTTAAGGAGGTTCACAGCAAGTTGCGCAGCTCGACGTTGCGACTTTCGAGTGCGCGAAGACAACTTGAAGAGCTCCAGGAGGCTGAAAAACGCCTGATCGAGCTCAAGTCCAAGATAACCAACGTGGAGCGTGCCATTGATGACGAAGAGGCCAAATTCGCTGAGCAAACAGTTCAGATTCCGGAGCTTGCCAACTTCGAAGGTGACTTCAACGCGGACGAGCCCTTCACTGTTTGGAGCGTATTCAATGCTATCGAACTACGTCTAGACGATCTCTTAGAATCGAAACCTGACTCGCATCTCACAGAAGACGATATCCGGGATGCCATCAAACCTAATGAGATCCTACAGAGCATGATGATGAGCGGCGTCCCATTGGATGACGTGCCACCAGCAGTGGTTCTCAAGGCCCGGATCAAGGCGTATAAAGAAAACGAGTCGCAACTTGACGATTTGGCCAAGGATCTGCGCTCCAAGTCCTCCGACCTCGAGGCAAAGTTCAAGAAGGTATTGGCGCTTTGTGTTGAGATTGACGAAAGCAAGGTTGACGAATTAGTGGCTTCATTGGTCCAGGCCGTTGAAAGCGATCCCGAGGAAGTTGACATCGCAAGGGTGGCTGGCTTTTTGCGGAAGATGGAGGGAAGCTGATGATTCCGTCGTTCTTCTTCAAGAGCGAAAGATGATAACCGTTCCTGAGCTGTTTAAGGTATACTGAGTGGCTTATTCGGAGTGTTATTTATACCTCATGATCTTCCTTATGACCACTAACTGAATGAACTCGAAGATTGGCTTTCTTACCAAAAACTTTTCACGTAGAGAATGCCGAATGCGGCTTCAAAATAGAAAAAGGGAATCTCTTACATCTGATTGCTAAATAACTATCAGCAAAAATAATTGTTCAGCTCTGACGCCATAATATACAAATTCACTTCGTGGAAGCTTCATAAATCATTCAAAAAGATAGGTTCACCTAGCGTAGGGATTGCCCTGGGTAGTGTTCTTCTTTGCAGCAGCCGTGGCCAGAGCATATGGATCATTTCCAAACGAACGAGTTGATTGTGGAACCTGAGTAGGAATGGGCTTCATTGGACGACGCTGACGTTGGGTTGGCGACTGAGTCCCAGCTCCAAAGTTCAAGCCGTCTGACTGTTGTTGGTCGTAGGGAGCTCCGTAAGGTGATCTTAGTGGCTGCCGGTACTGTTGATGTTGCTGAGGTTGCTGAGGTTGTTGGTGCTGCTGGTACTGAGGCTGGTACTGCTGCTGTTGTGGATACTGCGGCTGCTGGCGATGTTGCTGTTGAGGCTGCTGTTGATAGTACTGCTGTGATGGGGGTTGATGAACTGGCTGGCCATGTGGAACGTTCAGTTGGGGCTGATATTGGGCCTGTTGGCCATATGGAGTACCCGGCTGTTGCTGAACCCTTTGAGGAGAAGCTTGGTATTGTTTTCCATAGGAAGCAACCTGAACATTTCCGCTGCCCGACCGAGGAACTCCGTAAGCTTCTGGATTGGTGTAGCCTGCAGTTTGCTCAACGATGTTCGTTGAAGGCGCTCTGTGCTTGTTGTCGTACGGGCTCTGGAGTGGAGCCTTCGAGACCTGACTGTACTGACTCTTTGGAGGCTGTTGAAGAACCACGCGAGCACTCTGTTCGGGTTGTCCATAAGGATCTTCCTGTTGAGTCCCATACAAATCTTCGTATGAGTCCGACTGGTGGATTGGTTGGCCTGCAGCAGATCCGTATGGATTTTGATCGAGTGGCCTCACATTTGCTTGAGCCGGAACCGTGGGCAGCTGCTTGCTCTCGGGATTGGACCGTTTCTGCTGATAACCAAGAGCATCTTCGGGACGCAGGTACGTTCCCAGGTCTTTTGTAGCTTTTGATTGGGTAATTCTTGGTTTTTCGGAGGTGATGTTGTCGCCCATGGACTTATTGAACTGATCATGGAAGTCTGAGTATGGTGATAACACACGCTGGCTCGGGTTTTGAGGACGAGCAGGGGAAGAGAAATCGTCCAGGCTCGAGTGTGAATCGGTCACAGGAAGCGACATCTTCGTCTGGTTTACAGGCTGAACGTTGGTGACTATTCTGTCATCAGAAGCCTTCCAGCTCGGAGTATCGCTTTCCTCGTCGCTCTCGTCGTCATACATGATGTTACTAATATTGGACTCTTTGGGTGCAACGGCAGCCTGAGGCCTTGCTCCAGAGCCCGGATAAAGATCATCAGAAGATGAAACAGAGAGCCTGCCAGTAGAGTCTGCACCAAGAGAGGTTGCTGAGTTGAGTCCAAGTCCACCAAGACCTCTGGTGATGCCGGACGTCTCTTCTTTGGGGAATTCCGCATATTTCTTATAGATGGCTTCAAGACCGGGCTCAGGAGAACGAGAAGAAACGCTCTTTTCACCGCTCATCGCCAGATCAGACATGTTGCTCTGTTGAATGAGAGGTGAGAAGCGACTTGCCTGATCCAGCTTAGGCGTGGGCAAAAAGGCGTTGGAAAGGGGAGACGATGTCCCACTCGCCGATCTGTTTCTGCCCATGTTAATGGCTGACATAGCACCATCAAGACCCTGTTCAGATCCACATCCATCGTAGCCCGACTGGCTTTTGGTCTGGAGGATTCTCTTGATTTGATTGGACCATTCGTGGTGGTCCCATGTTGAAGAGGTAGAACTGGCCCCTAGAGGAAGAAGATCATCCAGTTCCAAGTAATGAACGTGAGGTAAGACGGGAAGCCCAAAAAGAAGCGACCCTGGATCGCTTTTGTCCGCGTTGAGCTTCTTTGGCCGGCCATAGAGCCCAAAAGTGTCAAAAGCTGGAATCAGAAATCGAATAAGTGTGTCAAACAACGGAACAGAGGAATGAATGTCTGGCATCAAAAAAATAGAAGCCTCCTTTGGAGACTCTTTGTCGGTGAATGTAATAGATCCATTGAGCTTGATCATAGTACTCTTGTCGATCAGAACAGGCGATTGAGGATACACCGCGTACATGGCAGAAGCAGCCACTATGGTGGCCAGGACGGCTTTCTTATTCTTCTTTTCGTTCTGGTAGAAACGAATACGACCAGGCACAAACTTGTTGCGCTTCGAAGTTGCCGGCTCGATGACTGTGAAACACTTTTTCCATGGAGCACCCACACCGAACCGCACAGAGATCCATTCCTCGTGCTCGTACTTGGTCTCAGCCAAGACAACACGAATATCAGATAAATATGAACCTCTGGCTGATAAGAATGCAGCTGTGTATGCCTCTTGGAGAGCGGTGTATTCGAATGTGGAAAGTCTGAAGGCACAAACCCATCTGGCGAACTGTTGGGGAGAAGGAACCTGAATCAGGTACCTGTTTTTCAGTGTTGTTGATACCACAATGACGTTTTGGATTGAACCTGAGTTCACTTGCATGGACTCAACAGCCTTGAAAGAGGCGTCGGCGAAGTTCACATAAGACGGTTTGGAAACTTCCTTGATGAGCTCTTCCTCGTTACCCTGGGAGCGCGAGATATGGGATGCATCCCAAACTGCCAGCTGGACACCAATCAGAACACCATATACTTCTCTCCAGGTGCGATCCGCGGGTTTTCCCTCACCGTCAAGATCCTTCAGGATCAAGAAAGTGCCCTCGTTGTACCGACGGTATGATTGCGCAGACAGCAGAGTTACTATGGGCGACAGTTCCGGACTAATCTCTCCCTGAGATTCAGCTGTTGCAATTCTGTCCTGGACGTATTCATCGTGCTTCTGCGTTGAACCAGAAAAAAACCGCTTCATTGTGAGATTTCTGGATTAGCAAATGTCTTGGTACCGAGTCTGTGTGTGAAAAATAGCCAGTGATGAACGGAGAAGGAATGAATCCGATCAAATTGGCTGAAATTCAGCAAAATAAGGCTAGCAGGGTAATGAAAACAGAAGAGAAAACAAGGGACACCAGCTTGTAACGGAAAAATCAGAGTTGGATCTTGGAAAGAACTTAGTCAAAAACACAACAACAAGTTGTCTCTCGCGATGTTTTGGGACCGGCAAGACCGCGTTGGGTTAAGGGGCCCTGTGCTTGTATTGTGCTGGCCTTCGCATATCACGTGCTCTCGGCTGAGTCGCCAAGGCTTGAATAGGGGCAAAAGGTTATTTTTCAGGTAAGACTATTTGTGTTTCAGCGTATAATTAGGCAACTCGAATACTGGTTTGCCCATAAATTGATATTTTTTTCTTGGTGGCAGTTGTTGTATTGAAAGCCGCTTTGGTCCATGTGGACTTGGGCCATCGTTGTTAGGCCCTTGCGAGATCCACCAGATCGTATCATTTTGCCAAGATTAGAACTGAGCTGAGATCTCTTTAATAATATTTATTTCTTTTGGTCTGCAATTACATAATCTCACGGCTCCATTTAATTGTTCAATTGTTTGATTCAGTGGAGCGTTTTGAGTGCGCCAACAAACAATTGCTAGACCGCGTTGTTTCGGATCAAATATGGGTACTATGGCATACGTGATTCGATGCCGGCTATTGGACGTTATTAATTTCTGAGGGTGTTTTGTAAAGATCTGCAATACAGTTTTACCAGCGTTTGACAAGTTACTGGCTGGTGGCAGTGATGGGCATGGCTTCGCAACTGCTTCTCGCATATGCAGTGCTAAGTACGAGCTCCTAAGCCAGCATTCAATGATGACACCAGGAACGTCTTATATGATGGATCCTGGGCATTGAATGTTTCATGTAGGAACAAAGTTGGTTGAAGGCCTTATCGCTCTCTTGGAGCACGAAAGCTCAAATTCAAAGCCATATCAGCATACCTGCAGCTGAGCCGCATATCAGGGCTTATAGAGATTGCAGCAGAAAGCGCAGCAGAGAATGCAGTAGGCGCGCACTTATTAGTTCTCAAATTATATAATTGGAAAATTAGCTGCCTACTACTGCCTTCCGATATTACTTCTAGCGCTCCAAACTGGCCCCAACGGCCATGGCTGGAATCATTCCACGCTCTCCATTGAGCTTCCAGGTGGACCCATACGGCTCCACCTTCTCAGCGTACATCCACCCATCTTTGTGGCGTTTCAGAATGGTCACATGTTCGCCAATTTTCAGCCCCATTTCGTCGCTTCTGATTCTTCCATAAGCCCTTTGCACGCGATATATGTCTTTTGGCAAAAGTTGCGGCCTCTCAAGTCCTCTAAGGGCGATCCCAGGAACCGGGGGAAGCGGCTTTTCTGAATGATGTTCCCTTGGAACTCTGCCCAAGGTTGGTGGTAATACTGCTGGTGAAGCTCTTATTAGCTGAGGTTTTATTTTCTCGGAAGATGCCAAACTAGAGCTGGATTCGGACGCCGCATGCTCTCCCAGTTTGAACTTCTTCAGCATTACCTGGGGCGAGTTGTCGATTTTGTCAAGTTCCACATTGTCACTACGACGATGAAACCAACTGCGTACTGCAGATGTTGGTGTTGTAACCCATGCCGGTTGTGGAACGTTTCCAACTCGTGCAAAGTAGTCCCGTTCTGGCTCGGCCCTGAATATTTCTGTCTTCTGATACCCGAAATCTGAATTTTCGTAGTCGTTCTCATCATATTCTTTCTCAGAGGGACTGCAAAGAACTTTTTTGTAAACCAGAAAGTAGAGAATCACAAGGATCAGCAGCAGAGCACATCCAAGTCCAACAGATAATCCAATGGCTAGTGCCAACTTGGTATTGCTTTTATTACCCGAGGAAAACCCAGATATCAACTGAGAATTTCCTGAACTCCAGTCGCTGGATGTTGCGCTGGAGCCTGAGGTAGTTTTTGAGGCTGTCATTCTATTTGCTAGCTTCCACGCAAGAATGTTGGTATGTGTGATTGTGGTCGTTATCGTCACTATGTGGTCTTCTGGAATAAATGAGGCAGTCAGGGTTGATCCCATTTACACCTGTAGCACGCAGATATGGAGGACTGAAGTGGAAGAAATTCATTGAACTTGAATAAAATTTATCTTTTGGGAGTTCTTGGTATTATCAACCTCTTGTGGCATCCTCTCTGTCATGGCAGTGCCTGAAAAGGGTTCCAAATCTGACTCAGACCTTCTCTCATACTGAAAAATCCTTGGATTGTCTACGGTTCTTTATTAATTCTCCAGAGTCGTTTGGGGACGCCGCAGAAGTTTTTTAGACGTGTTTTAGAGTTGTTTCGCAATACTCCAAACAACCTGCAGGTGTGTTTCAGGGCTATCATGCAGGCATTATGCATCAAGTCCTCTGTACTACCCCTCTACAATGCAAAATCCTAATAATAATTTTTTGACGTTTTTTAATTAACTGTATATTCCTATTACTATTTCCAACGTTTGATTTCCATTTATTTCCCTTTTTTCCTTTTTATTCCGATCCGCTGATGCGCCCATTAAGTCGTAATATTAATTCTATGAAGGTTCAGGCATCCTTTTCACCCAAAGACTCCGTGGATGAGGCAGTTTCTGGCTCTGACTCGCTGTCAGAAGACTCGCACTCTGACCCGGGCGAAAATTTTCTTTCAGACCCGTAGAATCCGTGATGTTTACCCCAAGCTCGTCCATGGAAGGGTGAGCCATATCCTCCAAATCCTCCACCGTGTGGAAATGGACCCCTAGAGCCAGGGAAGTCCGCGAATCTGTCTCTTGGGTATTCGTGGAAGCCATGTGGGCCGAAGGGACCAGGTGGAGGGGGTGGACCTCGGCCATCAAAGGGAGGTCCGTGCACGAAAGGATGTCCGAAGCCCCCAGGTGGTGCTGGAGGTGGAGGCCCACTAAATCCCTCAAACCCGCCAAACCCGTTGCCGCAGTAGCCATGCGAGAACCCATGGGGTGGTCCGTGGAACATGCCGTGGGGTGGCCCATGATGAAGTCCGTGGGGTCGCCCAGGAGGTGGGCCATGGGGTGGACCAGGCGGTGGACCAGGGTGAGATCTATGGCGGCGATGGTGACGACTGTGACGTTCTCCAGTCTTTTCGGGTTTCGCAGATTTGCTTGCCTTTTGCTTCTTTCTGAGAGGGTCTTCTTCCGCAGTGACGAGTCTTTCGGCGAGGATCTCGGCAGCCTCGGCAACTATTCTGGCCAGGTCGTCAGTACTCGCCTGTTGCAACTGTTGTTTGGTAATCGAAGACATTGAAATGAATGTTTGTGAAGGGTGGCAACAAAACTGGAAAAGAAATCTGGGAAATGTGGCATATTTATATTGAAGGGGCTTTGGAGGATTGTTGGGGCGATTGCCGAGCCCGGCATTTGAGCGTCATGCACCTTCCCCCTATAAATTGCGGTTTTTGGGGGGGCTAAGCCACGGTGACTCGGTGAATGAAACGCCATCCGGGAACCAGACGCCATGCGTGCTATTTTAATATGCACAACAAAAATAGATGCCGAAATAGCAATTGCAGCCCTTTGACTTTCGTATATGGGACTGTTTATACGAGCTTTGGGTTCGCTTCTAGGTGGTTTACTGGTGGTTTACTGAGAGATAAGTTGGAGATAAGTGTGTGGCAAGTATCAGATATGAGCGCAATTGCTGTCCCCTCTGTTCTCGAAGACACGCAGTCTTCGGTTTCATTCTGGTCTTGGTCGAACACATAATGTGTTATCCCCCATGATGGGATTTCCGGATAAATAAGACCACGGACGCCACCCATATCTCCCACTTTTCCTTTCGCATCTCCGCGCTCCCTCAAGTCGTGCCCATGTCAAACTCTCAGGATTCAGCGGCGCATTCCCGTGCCACGTAATTATCAGAAAACTCTATTCGCTTAGCATGCCCAATTGCTTTTTTGCTGCTAGAATCTATATATGTAGAGTTTGGACTCTCTGTTTGCACGAATCCTTCATCTAAGCATCGCTTCTCTGCAATTGCAACCAGAGTAACCAAGGTACCAAGTTACCAGGTTACCAAGCAACCAATTTCTTATAATTTTTACCAATCAAAATGGCAGTAGTACTCGTCACAGGAGCCAACGGATTCATTGCTCTCCATATCATTAACGAGCTTTTGAAGGCGGGATTTTCTGTTGTTGGAACTGTTAGGTCTCCAGCCAAGGGCAAGATCCTGGATAACTTCAAGTCTCTTTACAAAAACCCTCAACTCGTCCTAGAGTACGTCCCCGATATTAGCAAACCCGACGCTTTCGACGAAGTCGTCAAAAACCATCCAGAAGTCGATTTTGTCCTGCACACCGCCTCCCCATTCTCATTTGGTGTAGGTGATGACAATGAGGATGTGTTTGTCAAGCCAGCAGTTAACGGCACTCTTGGAATTCTTAACTCAGTCAAGAATTATGGCCACAATGTTAAGCATGTTGTTGTTACCTCTTCATGTGCGGCTATCTTGAACTTTGACAAATTCACAGACCATTCGTTCGTCCATACAGAAGCCATCTGGAACCCTATGCCTTGGGATATTGCGAGAACCAACCCAGGATTGGCGTACTGTTACTCTAAAACAGTCGCCGAGCGCTCTGCGCGTGACTTTGTCGCCAAGGAGAAACCCGGTTTCACTATTTCAACGGTAAACCCCAGTTACGTTTATGGACCTCAGCTTTTTGATGAGACCACTGGTGACTTGAACACCTCTTCGGATCTGATTAACCAGGCCATGAAATTGCCCCATGATGCCCCAGGCCCTTTTAATGAACCTGCAAACATGGGAATCGATGTTCGTGATGTTGCAATTGCGCATCTAATTACTCTTCAAGACCCAGAGAAGTTTGCAGATGCAAGACTTGCACTGGCGTGTGGTTATTTCTCCCAACAGTTGTTTTTGGACGTTCTCAACTCACGTATTCCAGAACTTAAGGGGAAGATTCCCGTGGGAGACTCAGCAGCTGGGAAAAAATACATTGCCGAAAACGTGTTAACGTACAGTTTCTCAAAAACAGAGCAACTGCTGGGAGCGAAATACATTTCCATTGAGGACTCAATCTATGCTACTGCCAAACAGATTGTGGACTATGAGTCAGCTCACAAATGACTTGTGAATAAGCCGATTCTTCTTTTTTACGTTTCAACATGTACTTGATTTATTTTTTTATGTTACTGACGATAAGCGAATTTTATTGTGTCCCATTTCTCCGATTTATCTAGGTTGTCAAAATTATCTTTAACCGCCAGCCATATGCAGGGTGCAGCTCTGCGGCGCATAAATGGTTTTCGCAGTGTATAGGTCTGAAAATCACCCTCCGATTACCCCTCTTTAGAGCTGGAACGGCGCGCGAGACCCCGTTTTACCGGTTTTCTACGTAGAGTCCATAAGACCGATTATTAGCCTTGAAACAGCCTATGGCCGCCCCAGTCTACAATTTACAATAACCGGGTATCTCACAGTTAATTATCGACGCGGAGCCTCCGCTCTCATTCGTTATTGTTTGAAGAGTCATAAACACAGGATTCGCGCGCGCAACGGCTTTGGAAAATTGCCCATCACAATCTTGCGGCTAGAAGTGATCCACTCCAGTGACCCGCCCCGCACCCCCGTTCCGAGGCCCATCAAACGAGCAGAGGTCAACCCCAGGTAAACCCCAGTTGAAACTTGATTTCTACTGAATAGATTCCACGAATAAAAACAATAGGAAACAGTCTTTTGATAATCAAAAATCAGCCAATTAGCCGCTCCAAAACCGGGGTTTCGGAGCCATCGCTCCAATCGGGGGTGTCAATGATTTCTTTTGCGGACTTTTTTTTTTGCATTTAGGGCTGTGCGTGACACAGTTGAGGACATTTGAAGCGCAATTTGGGAGGATGGATATAAATATATATATTCGCGTGTAATTCGCTCAAAGTTATTTGTTCTGGAGTTGTTGATACTTTCTCAAGCTAGAAACGCCATCTTGAAATTTCAGGACTTCATTCTACTACACAATGCTTGACAAACAGAACAACTCGCAACCCTCTACCCCAACCACGGAAACTCCGTCCAAGATCCTCTTCGGTGCCGAAAAGGAACAGCAAATCATGAACGAGATCAGAGCTTCTAAGCCTGGTTACCGTGAGGTTTTTGAATCCAGTGTTGGAGGAGGTTACTTCAACCTAGCTTTCAAGAAGAGCTCTTAGACGAGCTTTTGTGCTTGAAACCAGTCAATGACGACGTTATGAAGATGCAGATCCGGGCTGGTCTGTGATGATTCATGGGTGAGCTTTTAGGGGTTTCTATCGAGAATACCATTATTAGCCTTATTAGATTCTTAATTAATTATTGTCCGTGCGGTCGGATACTATTCAGAACCAAGTAGCTATTAACCTTGCTTCAGCCGCATGTTTTCCCAATCGGGAAGTTTACCCTGAACCCAAAATTTGAGTTTGTTGTACGCTCTCGAACAGTTTTGATTGCAGCAATTCCCAATTGACTCGCCTGAAATGATCGGCACTCGTTCTTTCTTTTTTATCACTGTTAATCGGGTCCATGCATTCTTTTGTTGAGGAGTCGCGCGGGGAGGGGTGTTATCGAGCTTTTTGAGCGAGAAAAACGGTTGTCTGCTTAAAAAACGTGATCCAATAAAGGCAGCAGAGCCACTTCCGCCCCCACCGTAGAGGATGACAGGAGGTAATAACCCCGTTTCCACAAAATAATAGACGGTTTATACGGTTAAATCCCCGAAATAATTTATGCATCTACTTTGTTCGATGCTAGCTAAACCTGTTGAGGTTGAGGACGGAATGTACCAACATACCAGTGTGTGAGCTGAGTACTGCGATACATTTTAGTATTTGGCGATTTTCCATCTTGGTTCCTGGTTTTTGAATATAATCGTATGTCTAACCATGTCCACGTTGTTGGTAAAGAACTGTTCCTTATCTCCGTGGCTGCTTACAGAAACTGATATGAGTGGAATAATGCGACTGATAAGATTGGCAGGTTGCATGCAATTGACATAACTGAAATCATTGCAACCAACCGCACCATTATTCGCAACAAGTTCATTTGAGCAGATGTTTGATAGCCCACTGCCCTATTGCCAGGGTCCCCTGCAACTTACCTCCGCGTTATCAATATCGCATCGGGGTCCTTCGTAAGCAAGATTACCCAGATAGGAAGGAATTACCTACCTGGCTATCCCCGTATTGACTACGAAGGGTTTGAGTATCTTATCAGGAGTGCACAATCTTGGCAGTTATCTTGATCTGATTCATGTAGCCGAATATCTGGACTTTGTGACATGTATTTGAAGGGCTTCAGATAGGCGTTTTGGCTTATTCTTCAGTCAATTTTCCACCAAACTCACAACCATGTCTGAAATCAAAGGCTCCAAAACCGTCGAGAAGATAAACGTCACCAATGAAGAAGTTGCCTCTGTAGAATCACAAGATGGTGGATTCAAAGTGACCGATCAACTCTACGATATGTTCCTTGCCTCCCAGGAGTATCCCGTGGAACAGCTCGAAGAAGACTCCAATAGAGTCAGGTGCAAACTGGACATGTACCTCATGCCTCTGTTGATGTTCACCTATTTGCTTTCATTTTTGGACAAACAGACCCTTAATTATTCCAACGCTTATGGTTTGCAAGAGCAGCTCCACATGGCTGGTCAAGACTATTCTTGGGCAGCCAGTGCTGCCAATTTTGGTCAACTGATTGCGGCGTGGCCCGTGAACATGATGTTGCAGAAGGTGCCTGTTGGAAGGACCTTGTCTGTGTTTGTATTTTTTTGGGGAGTTGTTTGTCTTTGTACTGCTGCTAGTTCCTCTTTTGGTGGGCTGATGGCTGCTCGTGTGATTCTGGGAATGGTTGAAGCCATCATTGCTCCGGCGTGTATGGCTTTGACAGCCATGTTCTATCAAAGAAAAGAGCAATCGCTGAGAATGTCACTTTGGCTGGGCTGTAACGGAATTGCTACCATGTTGGGTGGAGTTATTTCGTGGGGTTGTGGCCATGCGCATTCTAGTTTGGACTCCTATAAACTCATTTATCTGGTCGTGGGGTCTATTACATGTGCCTGGAGTTTCGTGATCTTCTTCCTTCTTCCTGACACCCCAAGAAACGCAAAAATGCTGACAGAATACGAGCGCATTGTGGCTGTTTATCGAATTGCAAAAAACAAGTCAGGAGCAAAAAATCTCCAGTACCAAAAATACCAAATCAAGGAAGCCTTCATGGACCCGCTCGCTTACGCTATCTGGTCTTTGCAATTTTCTCTTGGTCTCTTAAACGGAGGAGTTGCCAATTTCACCTCCACATTGTTTAAAGCCTTTGGATTCACTGGGATGGCTTCCACGAGGCTTCAAGTCGTTGGAGGTGCTTTTGAGCTGGTCTCGTGCTTCTTCTTTGGGTTTCTTGCTGCCAATGTCAAGAACACGCTAATGTTCTCTATTTCACTGGCTGCTGTTCCTGGTATCGCAGGAATCGCAGGTATCACTTCCATTCCGATGAAGCACAAATACGCACTGGCTGCGTGCACTTGGTTCCAGAACACTTTTGGTGCCAGTATCATCCTCTCATGGTCCATTCCTAGTGTTAACATCACCGGTCACACCAAGAGAGGAACTGTTGTCGGGGTTGGTTTTGTGGTGTTTGCAGCTGGAAACATCATTTCTCCTCATTTCTTCGACTCTAAAGATGCTCCTAGATTCAAGCCTGCGACTACGGGTTTATTGGTCTGCTACTCCTGGTTGATCTTGGCTCCATTGTGTTTGGCGGGTTTTCTGCACTATAGAAACAAGAGTCGTGACAGAAAGGGATACATTGTTGCAGATCGCGAAGAAATCCTCGCGGGTTTCGCCGACCAGACAGATTTCGAAAACAAGGGTTTCCGTTATATTTTCTAGGTAGACTGGGGTCGTTCCTATTTTGCCGAGCCTCGAGGGATTTCTTTTTTTTTGGTTGCATATCTCCATGCACCTTCCAGCCGCACTAACTTCTAAGTGTTATTACTCCCCTTCTCCTTCTGTTAGCAATTTTTTTAAAAGTCTTCTATTTTTGATCGTGCCTATTCCTTGCAACCACATAATTCCCATGGTGGTCATCTCGTAATTTATGCTGCCCCGTGCCCCTCTTGCTTTATGGGCGCACCCGATTATGCTTTTGAGACACATCGGGTATTTCCCAGGTAAATCGCATTTCCACAAACGTGATAGTGGTTTCGAATTGCCACAACCGTAGCTGGGTAACAGTCACCTGGGTCAATTAGAGACTAGTTATTTGAGAAGTAATAGTAGGTATTACTTTGTAAAGCATCGCCTCACGTCTGGAGTACAAATTCACTCTTTTTCTGCCCGGAACAATCAGTCACTACTACGTTTTGGGGAATTCTTAAAGAGTGATCTTTTGCGTGGGTCTGATTACCAGTTATTTCAATATGCTTTACCCTAACAAAAAACGATCGTTGGGTAGGATCTTTGGCCGAGTGGTCTAAGGCGTCCGACTCAAGATCGGATCTCGAAAGAGGCAGGAGTTCGAACCTCCTAGGATCCATTATATCTTCCCAACAATTTTTTTTGCTCCCACTTGGAAGGTGATTGCCTACGTGGAAATCAGACCTTTTGGCAGATTATATTAAAACGAGCAAGGTGTGTACATGCCCTTGGTGTCTACAAAGACTCAACCGTAGAGATCACGCGTGACTCCCCGAGCCAACACCTTACTTCCGGAACAAAGAAACAGAGACATATGACGCACTATCAGTACACTGCAGGTCCGAAATTTCCCGTTCGGCTATTACTGTGCGGCACCATTCCAAACTCCAAACCTATAATGCTTCTTTTACAAGAATTCCGTTAACGGCAATACGATGTGGTTTCTAGCGCGGTAGAAAATCTACGGCGAAAAATTACTCAAAGAAGGAACAAATCAAGAACAAGCCAAGCCTCGAAGCGCAAAGGCGAAGACTTTTTTGGCCTCGAGGCATTATGCTGTTGGTCATCCTAAGGCATTAGACACCGCATGGACTCGGTCCCCGTGTAAACAACCGGTTTTCGAGAGGAACTTGAATCATATTAGCCAAGTTCGACCTTAGTTTCGAGCACAGTTTTGAAAATTTTTGAGAGCTTGTCAACGATCAATATCCACCCCCTATTCCCTTGAGGGTTGAATCTCGTTCCACAACGCCGTTCAGCGCTTGACAGGCATCAAACAACCGCCCAAAAACTTTTGAAAATCGGATGCGCACGTAGTGCATTGCTTTTTTCAAATTTTTGATAGACCTCATAACCTCAATATAGTCTCATGAGCACTATATGTGGCTGTTGATTTATGTTAAAATATTCATGAACCCGTAGATCATGTAGAGAATAGCTCCTTATATCCATCTCTCAACCTAACCATGTTTTGTAGTCCCATTCACCAAGGCTCTCATCTGTGTGGGGCCAAATTCGGCGATTAAAGACAGCCCTAAGTGGCATGGCATCCCGCTTAAACGTCTGCAGTCAAGAATTTCAGAGCGCCCTATTATCAGAAATGCCTTGCTGCAGAGGCAAAATTATTCTGGATCTCAACTTTCTCCTTTTTCTTTTCTAATGTTTGAAAGCATTCAGCTGAAAACTTTTGGCTATAATATAGAGAGAGATCGCTCTGATCAAGAACTACTACTTCAACCTGATCATCAAACCTCGTCTAAAGCCGATATGTCTCTACTGGGAAAAAGAAACCCGTCTAGTGACGTAGAGAAAGATCTGGATGACTCACATGTGGTGGAAACTGGAGAAGTCCACGAGACAGAGGTCAAGCGTAACCTCAAGTCCAGACACATATCTATGATTGCGCTGGGAGGAACCATTGGCACCGGTCTATTCATAGGAACAGCTTCACCACTTCAGGATGCTGGTCCTGTTAACACGCTTATTGCGTATCTCTTTATGGGAACGCTGGCGTACTCGGTGACCCAGTCGCTAGGAGAGATGGCCACTCACACACCTGTATCAGGCTCGTTCTGTGTGTTCAACACTCGTTATATTTCCAAGGCTGTTGGATTCTCCTCAAACTGGTGTTATTGGTTCTCTTGGGCAATCACGTTTGCTATCGAACTTTCAGTGGTTGGTCAGGTAATCGAATATTGGACAGACGCCGTTCCTCTGTGGGCCTGGATTTTGATCTTCTTTGTCATTTTAACGTTGGCCAATTTCGTCCCTGTCGAATACTACGGAGAAGTGGAATTTTGGATCGCAGCAATCAAGGTGGTGGCCATTGTCGGGTTTCTCATATATGCTCTTTGTATGGTATGTGGTGCTGGTAAAACTGGACCTGTTGGTTTCAGATACTGGCGTAACCCTGGTCCATGGGGACCTGGGATTTTGGTGTCCAACAAGAGTACTTCGAGATTCCTCGGGTGGCTTTCATCTCTGATTAATGCTGCCTTTACTTATCAAGGTGTCGAGTTGACAGGTGTGTCGGCCGGTGAGACCGCCAACCCTCGCAAGGCCGTTCCCAATGCCATCAATAAGGTGATCTTCCGTATCCTGATCTTTTACATTGGAACGCTGTTTTTCATCGGACTTTTGGTACCTTACAACGACCCCAAGCTCACTTCTTCGGACTCTTACATTTCATCGTCGCCTTTCCTCATTGCCATTGAGAACAGCGGAACCAAGGTGCTGCCCCACATCTTCAACGCCATCATCCTGTCTACAATCATTTCTGCTGGTAACTCCAACGTCTATATTGGTTCGCGGATTTTGTACTCAATGGCCCACTCGGGTGTTGCACCAAGATGCTTTTTGTGGACGACTCCATGGGGAATTCCTTACATTGGTGTCATCTGGACTGCCCTAATCGGACTTCTAGCCTTCCTCAATGTTTCCAACACAGGAGCGACGGTCTTCGATTGGCTCGTGAACATCACCGCTGTCGCTGGTTTAATTGCCTGGGGATTCATCTCATTTGCACATATTCGCTTCATGAACGTTTTGCGCGACAGAGGTATCTCGCGCGATTCGCTGCCATACAAGGCAAGGTTCATGCCTTGGTTTGCGTACTACGCTGCCTTCTTTATTCTTGTCATCACGTTTGTCCAGGGCTTCAGCGTTTTTTTCGACTTTAACGTGTCTGACTTCTTTACTGCTTATATTTCTATTTTGTTGTTCGTTGTTCTGTGGTTGGGTTCTCAACTCACCATCTACTTCCGTTCACCATGGTTGATTCCTTTGAGCGATATCGACATCGATTCAGACTCTCTGAAGGTGGATGCCGAAGTCTTTGACGAGTCTAGTCAGAACAAATTCGACAAATTCTGGGACAAGATTCTATGAAGGAAATTCAAGGAAGTTTGGATTTGGAGTTGGTAAGCTGCATAAGGTGCATGTGAATTCCTTTTTATGCCAATATGGCGTTAACACCGCCGCGCTATTGAACGCATCAACTCCTCGATCGCCCAAAGCGTTCTCATTGAAATTTTCATTTTTGTCTCAACCCTTTTATAACTTTTTACACTTTTCGTTTGACGCCGTGGTGGCGTCTCGTCTAATTGCATGCGGCTTTGCTGCCTTGAATGATAAAAGTGCAGGGGTAGATGTAGGGGATGCATATGCAGATGCAGGTTTAAACCAATCTTGAGACCATGTCTTTCGTAATTAGACTATTGTTGGAGCTTGATCTTTAATCATGTTTTTGAGTTTTAGATATATTAAATTTACAAAAATGGAGAACTGAGGTGGTGAGAATTGGCGTCAGGCTTCAAGCTTGACATGCGTAACTTCACCATCTTCAGTTCACTTCATTTGACTTCAACTTACTTCACTTCCATTCTGTTCTTCTTTTTCACTTGTTCTTGACCACCGCTTTGAGCCTAGGCCAGCACCTGCTCACGACTCAAAATCTTTTCGATTTCATCTACCAATTGGTTAAACGTCCGTCTCGAGCCCTTCAAGCCAGTAAACACCAATTTGGACCCTGCCTCCTTTCCGGTCACATCAATCTGGAACTTGCAAGCCTTCAAATTCATGGTGTTCTTCTTCGAGATCCGCCCAATGAGAACACGGCGTTCCTTTATGGCCTCCAGCTCGGTGACCCCGTGCTTCTTCCAACCTAGGAACAACGAATGCAGAGCCTCAAAGATGTCCACTTCACTCAAAACAGTGATAATTTCACGAAGTGGAAGCTCAGAAGTTTGCGATGAGCCGAAAAGAGTTTCAAAAAATGATACCTTGCGACGAGGCTGGTGGGACTCGTCCACAACAGCAGCCTTCTCGATTACTGTTCCCGAGGAGCTCTTACGGCCAAACGATATCTTGCGGAAAAAAGACGACTTACGTTCGTTTTTCTTCACGTCAATTTCACCAAGAGGCTTGCGTTTTTCAACAGGTATTTCTGGCAATGGAGCAGCTTTTTCAGTTCTGGCTGCTTCCATGTTCAGCTTGGGGGTATCCTTCTTAACACTTCCACCCGCCTTCACCGAACTTTTCCTGGAAAACTTTCCAGAGGCATTTTCGGCAGTTTCATACTCCTGCTCCTCGGCGGTTTCCTGGAAAACCTCAAAGGATGAGCGGTTCTTGACAGGCGATTGTGGAATCTCCGGTAGCTTGAACGTCTTGTACAGATTGCGGTCTGAGCCTTGTGAGATCAAAGTATCCTTAGACTCTTTGTTCTTGAGGCCAGTAGAATCGTTCAATAACATAGATCTGCGTACCTTGGACCGATCTTTTTTGGAGGATGTAAACCGAAGCCCATCATCATCGTCATCTGGAAGCAACTGCAGCTCCATGTCGACAGTATCTTGAGCCAGAATAGTGCTGAAAGTCTTCGGCTTATTGGTAAGTCTATCAGCATAACTGGTACGCAATGCAGAAGGTGTTTCGGAGCCGCGAAGAACTCCACTCAGGTTGTTAGAAGAGACCTTGGTAGAATAAATGGAAAGAACGCTTAAACGTTTTTGACCATCCGCAAACGTCCGTGATTTGCGAGTGACCTGTGGAATATTCACTTCAGATAGTCTGGTTGGTAATCTTTCGCCTTCGCTGCTGACCACCTTGCTCTGGGCTTTACTCTCATCCGCAACTTGCTGGTGCAGGTTCCATTTGGAGTTCAAAAGACGCGATTTACGGATCTCCTTCATGTAGTCCTCGGTCAACTTGTCAACCTGCTCAGTCTCGGTAACATCTGGAAGGCCAAACGTGTCTGGAGCAATGGAAACATCGTCTTCTTCAACAGGCTCGAACCCCAGCACGCTTTGGTCATCTGAACCACCGTTCAACAAAGCACCAGCATCCTGCGATTTCCGACGAGTATATTCCTGGTAGGTATTCATCCTTGGATCAAGACGGGAAAGCGGCTTTGGTGGGGCTCCAAGGGAGATCCTCCGGCCAGTCTGGTGGGATGCTGTTCTTCTCTTAGTCTTGCTGAGCTCGTTCAAGTCCAAAATTTGCGAAACACGTTCCATCGGCCCGGAAGCGGCCCTATTGGATTCTGGGATGAAAGCTGAGAGTCTTTTGACCTTTGAAGGCGATCCTTGGGATTTGGCATTGGACTTTTCAAAACCTTCCTGAATTGAGTCCTTCTTGATGATCACCGACTGACGCTTTTTGGCTCCCAATAGCGAGCTGCGACGCACAGAATTGCGTTTTTTCCTGGGTGAAACTTTGGAGACCCTTCTGGCCTTCTTGGCCTCGGCTTCCAACTCTTCCCCACTGAAAATTCGGTCGCAAAGCGTGGCAAAGTCAGCTGAAGTGCGCTTGGCAGCACGATCGATGTAAGTCCATTCGGAGTCGGAAGCAAGTCGGGCATAGGTCGAGATAAGTCTGGATGTAATGGAGTTACGCTTGAGTCCAATGGACCGTCTTCCAGAAGACCCAAACGTCTGGGAACTGCGTTTATTGGAGGAGATGCTCATCATGGACAACCGCTTGCTCTTTCTGTCTGTGACGGCATACTCGTTCTGCAGATCTCCCTTGGAGGCCCGCTGGCGAATGGCATTTTCCAACAAATGGTTGGGAATAGGCGGCACTGGTTCGGCAGCTGGCTCCTGAATATAAGAGGACAGAGACTTGGACGATTTGGGCAAGGCTGGATTGCGCAAGCTTTGGAACGAGACTCCACGGCGATGTGCAGAGCTGACACTCACACTGCCAGTCATTCCTGGTGCTCTTTTTGGGGCCAAAGTGCTATTCAGGGAATTCGCCATTGACGAGGAATTGCGCAAGGAAGACGGCCTTGTCACGGTCTGCTTATGCTGTTTATCGGACTGCTGGTCATGAGTGTAGCGGAGCAACAGCGTGTAGAAGGTCTTCTCGGAATTGGGGGTTTCACTCAACAGAGCGTCTTCGAGGTCTTTGGTAGAACGACCGTGCCACAGAATAGACAAATTCTCCAGAATCTGCGGGTCGATATCGGCCCGGGATTTGACCGGTCTGGCTGTCGAGGCCGATGACGGCAGCTCGTTGAAGGTCTTGAGATCATCGTCACTCAGAGGATACTTGAGTATCAATGGCTCGGTCAGAATGTCGTGGGTCTGAATACGCTTCGAGGGATCGACAGTAAGCATTTTGGAAATCAAATCACGAGCCTCAGGCGAAAGTTCTGGTGGCATTTCAAAGTCTCCGCTCTGAACCTTTAGCAACAGGTTGCGGATATTATCGTCATCAAATGGCAATCTCCCCATTAAAAGGGCAAACAAAATAACACCACATGACCACACATCAGATGCAGAACCGTGATAGCTCAGTCCAGAAACAATTTCGGGAGCCGCGTAATGAGGTGAGCCGCACGACGTCTCCAGCAGACGTTCGTTACTCTCCAACGCAGCCATGCCAAAATCAGCAATCTTGATGTTGAACTCCCGGTCCAGAAGCAGGTTCTCAGGCTTCAAATCCCGATGGCAGATGCCGAGCGCATGGCAGTAGGATGCACCCAAGACGATCTGCTTGAAGAAGGTCACAGCGAGCTCTTCAGGCAAAGGGCCTCTGTCAACCAGCAAATCAAACAGTTCTCCGCCTTCGACATATTCCAGCACTAGATATAGCGCTTTTTGAGTTTCCCACACGTCGTACAGTCTCAGCACGTTCTTGTGGTTTAGCAATTTCATAATGATGATTTCGCGTTCGATTCCGTACGACAGACCAGCTGAGTCACGGCCTTTCTCGTTTGGGTCATCATTCTCAGTGTTTAGAATCGACTTGGACACCACCTTGACGGCTGCCTTCTTTCCCGTGGTGACATTCGAGGCTAAGAGGACCCTGCCTGTTGCTCCTCGGCCCAAAGTCTTGCCGAGCCTCCAGGGCCCGATCCGTGGTGGGTGTGCGCTTGAGTAGCTGGATCCGTGGTTGTGGATTCCCGTTGACGACGAGACGAACGACGAGGAGATGGAGGGGTTGCGCGATGGATACGCGTTGACTGGCATCTTGTAAGCAAACCGACTGTGAACGAATAGAGTGAATGGAATGGGTTAACGAATGCAAGAGTATGCCAAACGATTTCGCGCTAGATTGTATACGGTATATTGCTTGAAATATCCTTGACCTCCCAATTCACTTGGATTGAAACTGATTGCCGCAGGCTAGCTCACGACGATCACACAAACTTCAGCGGTTTTATAGTTCAGCTCAAGAAATTGATGTAGGTCTGTATACTGCCTCTAGAAGTGATGTGTATGGCAGAACTGCGTCAGTTCTTCACCTTCGTTTTTCTTTCGAATGCTCGGGAAAAGAAGAGAATAAATTTAAAGGGTCGAGAGAAAATGCGGTTTAATTTCGCCAGGCCGACCACGCAAGATTTGCCTATGGGTGCGTAAGCCAGAAAACCGGGTGCGTGCCATTGTTCCTGCGATCCTGAAGGGGCTCTTTTGGGCGGCTGAGCGTGAACGCGTTTGGGCGTGTAAAAGACGCGCGTGCCAAAAGGGGGAAATGGGGAAAATGGAGAATGAACAGGGCTCGGATACCAATGCTTGCGGATGGAAGCACAGATTATAGAGGATCTGCAAATTTCATAAGCGGTTCTTTTGATGCCGTTTAACATGAGTTAGAGGTCGATCTTTCTGGTTCATAAGTCTACCGCGGCAGCGGTAGCGTGCTAACCGCCCAAAGAGCATGGTGCGGCGCCAAATTTTCAAGACGTATAGACGAGTGAAATGCAAAAAAAATGGACTACTTAAGGTGGGGAAAGGTCAAAGGATATACTTCTGATTGGAATCAACTGGTCGCTCTTCCAGTGCTTGGGATTTATAGAGCTGTGTGAGGTTTGTATATTCGGGCTAACCAAATCCCTGCTGGGGAAGAGTAGTAACGCGTTTGACGCATATAACAGTAATGATCAATAGCGATCAGCCATCGATCCTGACCGGTAATGATCAACATTGTTTTGCAGAGCTCTTTTTGGTTGTTTATTTTCCACGAGCTCGAACCAGCAGTAATATCGTTATTCTGTCCGGTTGTTCCCGATTTATTCACGTTTGCCTCCCAATAGCGAACGTAACCTCCACTCAGCCCAAGTCATTACTCTCTACAGTGTCTCTAGATCAATCGTATCAGAACCGACCATTACATATCGTACCTGCGAAATCCGTTTAACCAGGCCGCGCTCAACATCCTCCGGTCTGCTCACGGTGCGCCTCAATCGAATCTCCCTCCTCCATGTCGAGGTCTTCAGGAGTGTTGGTGTCTTCAACACGAACACCATCATATAGGAATCTCAGCGATCCTGGGGGTTTTCCCTGTCTCTTGCAGAAAGCATCCATCAGTCTTTTGAGCGGCGTGGTCTTCTTGATCTTGAAGAAGATCTCCGAGTTTCCATCCGAAACCTTGATGTTCAGATGGGTGTCTGGGTCTGGCTTCGTTTCCGTGTCTGACATTACTGCAATGCTTATTAGTATTAAGACGAGGAAGACACTCAGAAAAAGGCCAGGGGGTAAACACGTTCGCGCTACTGGGTAAGTTGACTGGTAATTATGACCAAACCAGGTAACTCACTCGCATCACCACAGAATCACACGATATTGTTGTCTTTCTGAACCAAACTTGACTCACCTTTTCTTGACTTTTGTTGACTTTCCTGTGGATGTGACAAGTCGTTTGAGACTTGTAAGGCTGGAAAAGGCTCGGACGGCAAAAGTTCGTGGACAGTTTTATGTGGTATAACCAATTTTACGCCGCATTTATTGAGTACTGGACTACTGAAACATTGAAAATCAAGAATATATTTGAATAAAGTAGTTTTCACACCTCTTAGACAATGTCATAGCCTGTTTTCGTAGGAATTGAATCCAATAGTTTGGAATTCGCCAGCCTCGGAGTTTGGATGCCGGAAATTAGCGAGATCCCAGGCTCCAATCCGTTGGCATCGTTGAAGAACCAAACGTACATAGTTAGTGCAACCACAGACCCGATTAGGCCACCAAGGAATATATCCTTGAAATCGTGTCTATAGTCTTGGGTGCGCGTCAATGCGATCCAGGTGGCAAGAAACACCGGCAGCAGTGGAATCAATCGTATGTGGACAGAAATGTGTCTTGACTGGCTGCTTTTGCGCCCAAACAGTCCCGATTGGCCCAAAATCCACAAGGAAAGGAAACCAAGACCGCAAAATGCAATACTAGAATGGCCAGAGGGTGACGACTTGAAGCCATCCCTCAAAATGGCCTTTCCCAAAGGTGCAGTGCACACATTGACACTGACAGTTCCCGACAACGGCGTTCCCTGTTTGGGTTTGCACCGAACAAGAAAATCTGGACGTGGCTTTCCTATCATCACCTTCAGGCATTCTGTGCTAACTCCAGTGATACCAAGGGCCATCGTAAGGGCCAGCACTGACACATGCAGAAGATGCGCTTTGCTAATACCTTCTTGCGAATCCGAATCCGTAAATCCGCGTCTGTAGGTCAATGCTTTTCTTATGATCTTCGATCCAATAGTTGTAGCTATGATGGCTGCGAGAGGAAATCCTATCGCGAAGAGGTAGAGTTTTGCGTCTGGTACCTGTTCAATCTGGGTGAATGGATGGCCGATCCGCTCATCCATTGTGTTGAATTGGCGGTAGAAAGGATCCACATTGTACTCCATGTATTTTCCAGTGAAGCCCAGAACCACCGCCAGCAACCAATCAAATGCGTATTGTAGGACATACTTAGCAGGCACCTTAGAAACCGTGGGCCCTGCGTACTGCACCACAGTGTCGGCCAGCTTGCCCATGTTCTTCAAATGTACCGCACTCATGTCAGTTGTTCAACAAAGAAGAAGACGTATTAAACCAGGAATAAAGCACGTGCAAACGTGTCTGAGGGCTAAGCGCTCCCTCTTATGGTAATGCTTATCGAGGCTGTTCCCGGTGAAGTGAAGGGTCCGCCGCCCGCCTCAAGCACCGCCACACCAGCCCCGATTTTGTTGTCAGTGCATAAGCCGAGAATGAAGCGAGGAATGACGTCAAATAATCTTTTTTGGGCTGAAAATGGGTCGAAATCAATCAATTGGCTATCCGGGTATAGGCTGATCTATTTTTGAGCTGAATCTCATGTATATTCGTTGATATGAACGGACACCCCATCACTCTCCTTGCACGCGAGGTATTATCTTATTCATGCGCCACAACCGTGCCTCAGTCATGGGGATCAAGCGTTGCATATCTGCAGGCTTAGTTCGGATTGCCAAAACGGTGGCTGTAATCCGGCGACTATCTACTGCATTGGGACAGAAGAATAAAATTTTAGTGCTAAAAGCGGCTTATGGGCGTTTGAAATGGCTTCCTAAATTTTTTATCGCGTAGTTTTGGATTATTACCGTGGAACATTATGGGCATGTATTTGAGAAGACATACGCCTTCTTGAGGGCACAATAAACGATAAGGTGAGAGTCTAATTGCTATATAAAGAGTCTGCATTGGAGACAACTGCGATTGAGTCACTCGGAGGTAATAATTGGACGCGCGAAGTCTGATCGGGAGTCTGCAAATATAACGGGCCAGTCTGACGATTCTCTTCACGCAAATTAACCCCGGAAAGTTTCGTTTCAGTCTGAACCTGGAGTAAACTCTTCATGCATTGATCCTTCATTGAGTTCAATGCAGACGAACAATAGTCAGAATCTTCCAAGACACTTTTTTCTTTGCGGAAAAACCCGGATGATGTTTTTTACCTATCGGGTCTCTGCCCGACTTGTGTCCATCGCCCAGTATGAATCCAAATTTCTCTGTGTTCTGTCCATCTTTAGTGGCTCCACCACGAGATCATCCCAAAAGGTCACTCTACTTCAGCTTTAACATGTCATTCCAAATTCACCTCACCTCTAGGGTCCCGTCCAGCAACTCGCCCTCAAACATCTTGACCAGATTGTACAAAATTTTGCCATGAAAGTAGATCGGCTGCATCTTCCCTAGCTCTGCAGCTGCTCCAATCTCCTCGGGGATTATGTCTTTGACAATGGGACTCTTGTTGTTCTCAAAGCTCTGCGGTCTTGGCAATGTCGGTCCGGTTTCCAAGGGAAGAATTGCACACAGCCATATCCGTGTTTTATAAACCTTGAAAAGCTCCTTGATGAGTCCACGGAAATCCAGCCGTTTCGAGCAGTAATAGTAGATGATCAGCTTCTTCTTATCAAACTGGAACTCCACGTTTTTCACTTCCAGTCGTAGATTTAGATTGGCCGCATATTGTAGACACAGTCTATGGGCTACTATCTCGTCATTGAACTTTGAGCATAGCTGTTGAATCTCAAACGGCTTCACAAACCGGAGAATCTGTTTGTTGGGAAGGGTCACAAAATTCTCGTCTTCATTTATGACTGAGCTTCGCGGATGCGTATTTGCATTCGGGTTGGGATGTGGAGTGGAACCTGTATTTGTTTCCGCATAGCCAAGCGACTTCAGATGGAGTTTCTTTTTCAAATAATTGAACAGAATAGCCACATCCACTGGAATCGTCGGCTCGAGGACCATTGCAAGGTCTTTTCCTCTGTCTCCCTCAACTATGATCAAGTCCTCTTTGCATAGCTGCAAGTTGGAGTTCTTTGGAATTGAGATGATGTCCAGTTTGTTGTTCTTATTCAGGATCAAAGTGTAGTTTTTCTGTTGGAACTTAAGGTCTCCATTGCGAGCCTTGAGTCGCGAAACAAGCGAGAAAACCCTTGAGATCAGAATCCGATCCAGGTCAGTTAAATCAGGTTGTGTGAACCCGAAGTCCACCAGTTTCGTCAGTTCTTTTACTATTCTCTGTGAGATTTCGATATCACCGAAGTAAGGTCTCACCTCGTGAAACCTTTCCCGTAACTCCGCTGACGTCACAATGTATTGTCCATGAAGTAATAATCCGTTGTCCAGCTTGACCACCTGAGGTTGCGATTGGCCGTGGGGCCGGAAATCGGGTCGGAAATCGCCCCATTCGCGTCCCGGATAAAGACTCAGTCGACGAGGAGTCTCAATACTCAAAGCTCCAAATCCGGTGCTCAAATCAACTGGATCTTGGAATCGTTCGGTGTTGCGATTGTGGAACTCTGCAGCATAACTTGGCCTCCGACTACTAATATTGGACACTCCACCCTGTAACTCCAATGGGAGGGTGAATGCGTCTTGGCCTAATCCATTACCTAGTCCCTGGGTCAGTCCATGACCGTTCTGGGAAACAACCCCCTGGCCCAAACTGGACGTTGGGGATAAAGGGTTGTTGTAAAGTCCCGTAGGATAACCAACATAGTTGTTGGAAACGCGGGACTCCATCGGTTGCGGCTGATTCCAGTGACTCAGCCCTTCTGAAACACTGGTAGTGATCCCTTGGCTAACATTCAGCTCCGTTCTGGGGTACTTTCCCCAAACGTCTCTGCGCTGAACCGAATCTGCGTGGGCGCTGAGCTTCGAAAGAAGTTCGTCTGTAAAACCGTTCATCCCGGTGTCAAATTCCATGATAGGGCGGCTTTGATTTGTTTGAAAAAGCCAGAGTTACTGGAGCAAAGCGGGACAAGAAATATAGACAATACAAGTGTGTCCAGAAGAAGATGTAAAGGCGGGGGGAAAGAGCATTTTGGCCGTTCAATGTCAGCGGACGTGCGCTGATAAAATTGCGGAGAACTTTGTGGAGAAAGGCAGTTGGCGCACTACATGTGCTCGGAGTGCGATTGTGATTGGACAAATGCTACGTCATCGAGGGGTCGCAGGGTTTCCGGTGCGGGCTATGAGATATATTCTGACATGTTTGATGTCGGTACTTCAGGCTATGAAAATAGTTGAAGGACCGATATATGATTGGAGGTATTGACGCCGTTTCAAAGAAATAATTATTTTGGATACTTTGGTTTTTTGCCTTTTTTGGATATTTCGGCGAAACAAACTTTATACCGAGTACGGCTTGTGGCCTTGAGCCTCCAGAATTTAGTTTGATGATGGGGTTTTTTAGTGCGTGAGCGAATTGGTCCGATCCAAGATCTGACATGGGTGAGATCTTTGGCATATCATAGGTTATTTTTGGTGGATCTTGATAGAAATCGATTGAGCCAGGTAATATAACCTCTGTGCTAGTTGCTAGGGGATCCACCTTTTTTTTTTGGAGAAAAACGAAGCGCTTGGGTAGAAGGGCCATTCTCTGCAGGCAGGAACAACATGCATGATTGATTCTACCTCGACATCTCCGGTCGAAAGTAAATTGATGAGACGAGAAGCTTTCAACAGAGCCGATAGACGTAGAAAATTCAAGAACCAATCAATAAAATCTGCTTATTTTGTTTATATAGGCTTTATTCGACGGTCAATTAGCACAAACTAGTTCTGGTCATGTGATGCTTTAATCCGGGATCCATGCATAAGTAGGGTGCAAATTAAGCATTGAGAAGAGGTCCTAAGTAAAAAAATCGGAAGGCAAATCTGGGACTAGCGAAAAAAAGCCTACCAAAGAGGCAATCGTCTACAATAGGGCCATCCTCTCACTGCTGGTACGATTCTCTGCCTTCATTCCTTTCATACTGTCAATCTACTAAAAAGGTAAGTTTTTGTGTTCAAAGCCGTTGAAGGATCCCATTGATGCAAGCTGTTACATAAAACATGTCAAAAGAAAGAGCAGGAGTATAAAAATGGCGAGGAGAGCGAAAAGAAAACGGTCTCTCTATTGTCACGTGACACCAGGAAGATCTCGAATCTCTGGAGGCACTGACCGTTGATATATATTTTTTTGGATTTTTTGTTTCTGGTTGTGGTTTTCGGAGTCGACGAGTTGAGCGTGCGACGTAACATTAGTGTAATTCATGAATGAACTTGTGTGGCCCGCGTGGGAGTGAAGAACTGGTTGATTCTAACACTTACAAAGTGAGCTTCTTTGGTTGTTCCCAGGTGTTTTCCTGGTTGGTGAAGTGACCGTACGATGCAGTCTTCAAGTAGATTGGTCTGGCGAGGTCGAGCTCTCTCACAAGGACACCTGGTCTCAGGTCAAAGTTCTTGTTGATGATAGCGACAAGCTCATCCGACGAGTACTTGGAGGTTCCGTAAGTGTCAACGTAGATCGACAATGGTTCGGCAACACCGATAGCGTACGAGAACTGGACAAGGGCACGTCTGGCGAGCTTGGCGTTGACCAGCGACTTGGCAACCCAACGGGCAGCGTAGGCAGCAGATCTGTCAACCTTGGAGAAGTCCTTTCCGGAGAAAGCTCCACCACCGTGGGCACCCCATCCTCCGTAAGTGTCGACAATGATCTTACGTCCAGTAAGACCAGCGTCTCCGTGAGGACCACCGATGACGAATCTTCCAGAAGGTTGAATGTGGTACTTGGTCTTGTCGTCCAAAAGGTGGGCTGGGATAACCTTCTCGATAATGTGCTTCTGCAGCTCAGATCTGATGTCATCGGTCGAGATGGAGTCAGCGTGCTGGGCTGAGATGACAACAGTGTCGACTCTCAGAGGGATCACGGCACCGCCGTCCTTGGCGTACTCAACAGTGACTTGGGTCTTGGTGTCGGGTCTCAACCAAGGCAAAGCACCGGATCTGCGGGCATCGGCAAGAGCAGCGTTCAGCTTGTGGGCAAGCAGAATGGTCAAAGGCAGCTTCTCGTCGGTCTCGTCGGTAGCATAACCAAACATGATACCTTGGTCACCGGCTCCGAGCTCCTCAAGAGCCTTCTCGTAGTGCAAACCTTGGGCAATATCGGCAGATTGCTGCTCGATGGCAACCATCACGTTACAGGTCTTGTAGTCAAATCCCTTGTCGGACTCGTCATAACCGATGTGCTTGATGGTGTCTCTGATGATCTTCTGGTAGTCCAGGTTGGCGGAGGTGGTGATCTCACCGAACACCATCACCATACCAGTCTTGGTCGCAGTTTCACAGGCAACCTTGGAAAGTGGGTCAACGGTCAAACAGGCGTCGAGAATGGCGTCCGAGACTTGATCACAGATCTTGTCTGGGTGACCTTCGCCGACAGATTCGGAGGTGAAGAGGAAAGTTTCTTGGGTCATTGTATCAGAGGAATTGACGGCGACGCTAACAGACGAGACGGCTAGAAGTTCTTGTTCAAGATGAAAAGAAAAGAAAAAAAAAGAGGAAGAGAGCGAAAAAAACGGACACACAGAGTCAGGACGACGTGGTGGTGTTGGCTTGGGAACGAGGAACTGCATTCCGAGGGAGCGTGGGCGCGTTTGCACGTGATTGTGGCTTCAAATTGAAGTGTTTTCCGAGGGTAATTTTGGTTGGCAGTCACGTGTAATTGACAAATTCCACTGCAAAAAAAAAATTCGTTGAGCTTTTTGGCCATGTGATTGGGGGTTTTCCGTTTTGGGACACTGGTAAGTACACGATTAAAAAAATCTTGAAAGGTACGAGATGGTGCATTAACGAGCTGTAGGGTATTGGAAAGGCATTGTGCATTCAACGGTAGCCGAGAGAAAATGATTCTTACATTTCGTGGTGGCTGATTCTGATGATTTGCATCAAAATTATGCGATCTTATCTGTGGTGGTCACTGCCGATGTATTCCGTTTCAGAATTTGTCCACAGGCTTTGATAACTTCTACGATTTCCAAGTCAATTCACATCACTTTCAAAACTCAAAATGCAACTGATCATCCTAAATCCTATTTCTTTGCAGGCTTTCTCCAGAAATACTGTTTGTGGGTCTTTCTGCAACTGCGGAGACCGCCGCTCTCGCCCTTGAGATTGGCCACCAGCTGCGTTCTGTCCAAGTTGGTGTCTTTCTCGGGAATGTAGTAGTATTCCTCGTCGAGGGGTTTTCCAGCGGCATCCTTGCCAATTCTGTAGATGACTCCAACACATTCAACGTATCTCATGAGCAGCACACGTAATTGTTCGTCGTTTAAGTTTTCTGTTGAGTGCGAAATGGACTTGATGGTGGACAATGGAGTTGACGAAAGCCTACTGAAAGCAAGATGGTTCACCAAAACATTCTCAACCTGGTCAATATCTGCAATTGGCGCGAGAATCTTGTCGACTTCCTGCTGCGAGATGTTGTCGTAGAGACCTTCAGCTTTGTGTCTCTTGTTCGTAGGACCGGAGATCCGGGGCTTCTTCTTAGTGCTTGGACTGCGATTGAGCTCGTTACTGCTGAGTGCCTTAAGAGGCGTTGGTGGTGCTGATGGTGAAGCCATGGGTGGTGCCATGGAAGAGACTGTGGGTGAGGCAACGCTTGTTTTGGTAGTTTCAGCTGCTGAACCTGTCTGAATTGTCTCGGTTGCTTTCTCAACAATAGGCGTAGATGATCTTTTTGAAACAAAGATGTCGTGCTCGTCATCAGTAAGATCAGCCTTATCTTCATACTCAAGCAGAACAAGCTCTCCACTCAAATCCATCAATACTCCCTCAATCAACGGCATAACAATACTTTCATCCTTCAAGATGTAGAAGTTGGTCAATCTGTTTTCCTTGGCAATGATCCGGCTGGGTTCGATGATATAATCGTCCTGGCCCTCTTCCTGGAGCTTGACGTTAACCTTTTGAGGGATCGAAACATTAACTCCATTCCATCCAACACACCGCAATTCCACTCGTTGTTCCTTCAACATCCGAATCTTAAGATGAACTCTCGAAATCCGCTTGTTGTGTTGACTTAGCGGGAAATTGCATGACTTAGACGACCGTCCAAGATAGACAACAGACCCATCGCTGGGCAGTCTGAGGTGGTGAACAGAATCGAGTGGATCAACGATTTTGACCTTGCACGAGCGTGTCGGAGTGTTGACAGGGCTCTCAAGCACATTTCTGATGGGACTTGATGATCTCACTCCACTAGAGGACGGGTTTGGGGTAGCAAACTGCATCACGGGTTCTGGAATAGCCGTCAGCGCCTCCTTAACATAGATCCCCTCCGCGCCCAGATTGGGCGATGATGGCGGAAACTGGTACTGGCCGCTCATGTCTGGATCTGCCAGCTAGAAGTTCTGCTAGAAATTCACACGAAAATAAAGACGGATGTGCTTCTGGTGTGCTGATGGAAAGACAAGCATAAAGGTGCCTGTTCTGTATAACACGAAAAACGCGCATGCCACGCACCTTTTGTCAACAAAGAAAGCGCGTTTGGTCATGCGGCTGCATATTCGCCTCTGCACGTTACCTTGTAATGATTATCACGTGATTGAAAAAAGGGCATATTAGCCCTCGAGTTCAAGCGTTTGGTTCTCGGCTGTACACTACTAGCAGTGTACCAACCGGTTTCGCTGGAGCCCTCACCGCTCCTGGTGAAAAAAATGCTTGTGGCCTTCTTACCGGTTGCAAGTTTCAGAAGCCTACCACATCTACAAAGACACTAATCATCAAAAATGGGAAGTATGTAGCACTCATGAGTTTGATTTACCACGATCTGTTTGTTCTGTTGTTGGAAAGGGGATTCCGACGGTTATTGGAGGGGGGATTGTCGACAGAGTATGGAAGTTGAAGCTAGGAGCAGAAACCTACAATAAGAGGATTTTTCAAGAGGCCAACATCGCTGCGAATGGGTTGAATCTACTGCAAGCAACAAGTCGCATACTTTTTCCGCGGTCGGAGCCTATTCCATTCAGAACAAACAACAAGTCCTCGACCACTTACTAACACACACGACAGAGGGTACTCCATCTTTCGGTAAAAAACAAAACAAGTCGCACACTTTGTGTAACCGTTGTGGCAAGCGTGCCTTCCACATCCAGAAGAAGACCTGTGCTTCCTGTGGTTACCCAGCCGCCAAGCTGAGATCTCACAACTGGGCCCTGAAGGCCAAGAGAAGAAGAACGACCGGTACTGGCCGTATGGCTTACTTGAAGCACGTGTCCAGAAGATTCAAGAACGGTTTCCAAACCACTGTTTAAACTGGTTGAGATGTGATATATCAAAGAAATTTCAAACTTACGTTGACTGTGTAGAGGTGGTGATGTTCAGGTGTGTGACTCTCTGCCCATTGTAGGAGGAGGTGGTGAATTTTCTGATATACAATATGGTTGGACATTGAGAAATATCTCTTATCTAGCCTGTCGATGTATGGAAAACCACCAAGAATATCTCTTTCAATTATGTCTCTCTCATTGACTCTAAATGTGCCAAACCTATGTCCCATCTAGTCTGTCGTGAATTATTCACGGCGAGACATAGGCTGGATGAAATTGATACATTCCCATAAACCCATCTCCTCCATTGTATTAGCCAGGCTAGTTCTGTGAACGAGTGGGGTGTATGGTAAGTTTATGAGGTTTCTCTCTTTGGCCCTTCTCAATGTACGGAGATCAGGCGTAATGCTCTGAAAATCTTCGTTCAGTAAAATGTATTAGCATTCATTATATCGTCAAGATTTGTGGCTTATATTGGTAGTCGTTGCATGTCTTTCGAGGATTAAAGCTGTCTCTTTCTGTAGCTTCGTTCTGTCAAGGCGGTGATTTCAAGCATTCGTTTTCCGTGATCGTAGTCTAGTCTCGCGCATGGCTCTCGTTCCTTCTTCTCTTACTCCTCGTCATCGTCTTCAAATCCAATGTCCGCCTGTGGGTCAACCCAGTTCATACTAAAGTACAAGCTGTCAGCCTCGTCTCCAGTCACACACAGCCCAAGAACATCTCTTGCCAACTCAATTGTGGTGTCATCATACGAGATCTCGACTCCATTAGATTGCGTATCAGCCTTAGTGTGCTCCTCTATGATGTATGCATCACGCAGATAATCATCCAGAGAAACGGCTCGAAGGCGGGACGCAATGCCAAAAACCTCCTCGTTCTTGCGTTCAAGATGCGCATTGAAAATTGGGTGCATATAGCCTACTTTACGGGCCTGTGCAACGAATGCGGCTGACTCGTGAGAGACCGTTGTGGCACAAATTGCTAGGAACGCAGTCACCACGTCTCGAAGAACATCTCGAGGCAATTGAGAAATCTCCAGAGCAGACTCTGTGCAAATGTGGTGAACCACACGGACGATCGAGTTGACCACCTTGATCCGCGTGTGTACCGTTCTACTCCGTGGTGATCTCAGAATGTATTCCTGTTGTTTGACAAGCAACCAGATGGAAACGCGAGCAATCTCGATCATGGTTTCGGGTTTGAGAGGAACTATGTCTCGTCTAGAGAAATACAACTCAAACATTCGTAGCACCTCGTGACGGATGTGAAGCCTGTGCAGTTCTTGGTTTACCGTATTGAGAGGAGCACCATTATTTTTGATGATATCATTGTACATGTCGGGTGACAACGGCAGAGCAAGAGACACGTTTGCATATGCTATCATGGGATCATCCCCAAGTGGAACGAGAGCTTCCAAAAGCTTGATATCACGTCCACAGCCAACGATCCGATTCAAACCGTATACTCGCAATCCGCTCTTGGACTCCATCCCCGAAGCAAGGAGCTTCGTGAGCAGCATCATTTTCTCAGTAATAGCATCTGCTGTTGCGTCTGATTGCGATGTCCCGAATACCTCAGGAACAACAGCATTTGTCAGAATCTCAACAGCGTTGAACACATAGTTCGTGGGGGTCTGCTGGTGAGTAACCAAACTGAGAATTTCAAGAAGAAAGTCTGTATAAAAACCCTTGAGATCATCAACCTTCCTGAATTTGGCAAACTCAGTTGCTGTTTCTACCAGGTCCAGTGCAAAAGTAGTCACCATTATCTCCAAGACAACGTTTTGGAAAGGCTTGTGCTTCACAAACACCTTGACCTCTTCCATCGTGGTGGAGGTTGTCAACGCAGGTTTATCAACTTCAAAAGGATCCTCTGTCCCTCTAAGCAGATTGGGATACGATGTACAGACCTCCACGTTGAAATTGAGCACAACCCATAGTGTCTTGATAGGGACTGCAACCGGTCTGTATCTCATAGCACAATGCATCAAGGCTTGCAAGAAAGGAATTGGCAGCAGCGATTTAGCCGAAAACAATTTGTTGCAGAACTCCAGCAAATACAGCAAAAACTCCGAAATCAGAGTGTCTAATCTTTCATCATTCTTGATAGAGACCAGATAGTTAGTCAGCTCAGTCTTGATGCTTTCTCTTCCTTTGGTGATCTTGAACGGGCCCCTGCTAAATTCCACCTCGGAATCTATCCTAGATAGAAAGTCCATAGTAGATCGCGAACTACCCGGAATAACATGCGCCATTATCGCATCAATGAACAGGTCTTTCTCCAACGGAATGACTGTTCTCTGACCAATCACAGAAAGTTTTTGAGAAGGCGCAGGAATGGCCCTTCCCCGAAGCGAAAAAGGCGACTCTGACATCTGCGATTCCGAGACCTTATCTGCTCGTAATTCAGTAGTATTTCCTGTTTTGGGTCTTTTTCTCTTGCTACCTTCCAGATCCAGTCTGAGAGACAAATTCTTCACCTCAGAGTCTAGGAACTTCTTCTCATCCTCGACCCTTTTGATAGCATCCACATACGCTTTCACCTTACTAGTCTTGTCACCCAATTCCTTGTCGTAACTCTCACGAAGTCTTTTTTGTTCCTTATTGTGCCTTTGAACTAATTCCTGGATTTGCTGTCTTAAGATTGCGTTTTCGCCTTTTGTCATCAGTATTTCGTCCTCGACAGATCGACTGGGGGCTGTTGCTGCAGCTGGAGCACTCGGCGTTGCGGGAGTAACCGACGTTGGCTTTGACGTCAGCTCCACCAATGCATCCTCGAAGTCATCGTCGAAATCATCACCGAAACCGTCATCTTCTAGATCATCATCGAAGTCATCTCCAAACTCGTTTGCACCGCCAGTCTGGTCGCGTTTGGACATCTCAGAAGTCTTCTTCTGGAGAATTCAAAATGCTCCAGTATACTGAAATTAACCAGCACAGCTTTGAAACGCAAAATCTCCAAGAAAAACAAATATAAAAACAGATACAAACGTTCAGTCGCGTGTATTCAACTCCAGTAATGGTTTGAATCATCTATCATCTAGACGTGTCTCTCCGGATTTTTATCGCAATGAGCAGCACACTACTGTCTCCAAAAAAAATTTCAGAGGAATCAGGCCTCGATACGGCTTGCTCAATATCACCATATTCCACACGCTCTCTTAACCAGACTTTTTTTACTTTCCTAAGTGAAATATCAATCTCATAATGGTGACTGATTCAAAAGAAAGAGTGCCCAAGAAGGAGGGCGCAGTTCCAGATGCCTCGTTGGTACCTACGCAACCGACTCCGCTATCGTCGAAGGACAAAAGCACTAAGAGACTGATCGTTGTGCTTTCGCAGGCATGTCTCGAAACCAGACGTCTGAGTACCTCTAGCGGAGAGAAATACGCTTTGCTGAACTGTGACGATCACCAGGGTCTGCTGAAGAAGATGGGAAGAGACATTGCTGAAGCCAGACCAGATATCACACACCAATGTCTGCTTACTTTGCTTGATTCGCCCATTAATAAAGCTGGAAAGCTCCAGGTGTATATCCAGACTGCGCGTGGTGTTCTCATTGAGGTGAATCCAACCGTGAGGATTCCAAGAACATTCAAGAGATTTTCGGGTTTGATGGTTCAGTTACTGTTGAAACTGTCTATTCGCTCCGTTAATTCGCAGGAGAGACTTCTCAAGGTTATCAAGAACCCAATCACAGACCATTTGCCAACCAAATGCCGTAAAATAACGCTCTCGTTTGATGCACCCGTGAGAAGGGTCCAGGATTACATTGAAACGCTGGACGATGACGAGAGTGTGTGTGTGTTTGTGGGAGCAATGGCCAGAGGAAAGGATAACTTTGCTGACGAGTTTGTGGATGAGAAGATTGGTGTTTCTGAGTACCCTCTATCAGCCTCGGTGGCATGCAGCAAGTTTTGTCATGGAGCCGAAGATGCGTGGGGTATCCAGTAAATAAAGACGGTTGTTTGAAGAAATGAAACGATTAAATAGTTGAGAAATAATTTGAATCGCAATAAGTTCGCGTTGAACTCAATTTTTAGTTTTTGAATGACCTCATCATGCTGGCACGGGTTCTGAAAAAACCACAACACGGAACATGTTGTAGTGAGCCAGGAAAAATATGACACCTGACTTTCCTCTCAGATCCTATTGTTTGTTCCTGTCATTTGTCTTCTTTTCTTCTTCTCTTCTTTTTTTTCCTTCCTGGCTCTCTTTCATTTCACATCCGGTTATATTTTCCTGCTAAATCGTCTGCCCCTTCCCTGAGTTTAATACCGTTTCAAAATGCCGGTTTTCGAAGCTCCCGCAGTCTACGTCCAGAGCGCCGTCACCACGCTGTCGACTTACATGATCCAACACTTGTACATGAAACAGCTGATCGACTCTGACCGTACTGCTGCTAACGTGCTGCCATTGTTGAACCCAACCGCTGTTTACTACGTCAGACGTGAAAGGGCCAACAAGCAAAATGTGGTGAACGTTTTCGATTCCAAAGGAAATAAGGTTTACACTTTTGAGAGAACTACACCATTGAATCCGGTTTGGAGAATGCTTGAGTTTCCTTCAAGAAGAGAGGCTGCTACGGTACGTGCTGGTTTCTTTCTTACATCTGCCGACTTCCACAACGTTCCCGGGGTCCAGCACCGTGTTATCAGTGATGAGAACGGGCTTTCCGGAAAGTTTAAGACCTTCTATCTCGACGACGGCCACAAGTATGGCTGGACTAGAGGGTCCAAGTTTTTGGAGAAGTTCGTTAATCCCGGTGGTGACGACGAGGAAGTCCGCGAAAGAATAGCCAAGGTTAGGCTCATGCGGCAATGGAAGTTCGACTTCGAGCTGATCGTCGACGAGACAAAAATCAACAAAGAGGTGGCTTTGGCCACCGGATTTGTCTCGATGATGACACAGTGGGGCGTCGGTGACATCACTGAGACCACCGGTCCTACGCGTCTCCAGGAAAAGACTCAAGACACTTCTGCTGCTGCGGCAACTGCAGGTCACGACCTCAGCCACGTTACCTTTGTGATGAATGGGGCAGACACAGAGGTGACGATTGAGCAAGAATAAGTCCGATGAAAAAAGTTTCAAGCGAATTCGGATTCTCAATTTTGCGATCTGAAACTCTCAGGAATTTGCAAAAACTTAAGTTTTTTTCAAAATAGTTGTCAAACCTAAAACGCAGAGACGGTATACCGTGCAATCAAACTCCGGATACCGATTGGGCAAAGGATGATACATAGTTTTCATATATGTAATGTCACCTCTCAATACAAGACAGACGACTTGGCGTGATACAGCTGTAGCGCATGCGCGCGCATTCCCACCCTGCCCAGATGCATGACCGATGCGTTTCCAGACCCTGTTTCCACGGAAGATGGCATGCTCGCCCATGGCGTTCATTCGGTACTGTCAGGGGCATTCGACTGACCATATTCTCCGTTTCTGAAGGTTCCCGGAGGGGAACTGCTTATCTAGCAAACATGAAGCCTAAGCAAAGGTAAACACAGACCAAACTGTCTGAGCGGGGTAATTCGCCGATCAATCCAAACGTTATAGAAGTAAATTTCAACCAAAGTAAAAATAAATTCGAGGCTTAATTTGGCTAGCTTCCCCAGAATCCAGGGAGCAACTACGTTTTGTGGGGAAAGATAAGCGCGGGCAGATCTGTGCTGAGACATAGTCGGATACAGACACCGGGCAGATGACCCCAGCTGATCTCCGGGACATGCACTGGTGAGGCTTCTGAGTATAAAAGCCCAGACAGCCAGTTGTATGATTGCCAAATTCCTCTTTTTCAAGCCACCCCAAAACTATCAGTAATGTGCTCAACAGCTATTTGCCCAATTTGCAGTGAGTATGGTTTCTCAACAGTACGCAGACGAGACTACTAACGTGGGGTAGACAAAAAGTCTTGGACCGGATGCGGGTCCCACGTTTCAAACGTCATGGATAACACCCAACAGAACCTATGGTAAGTAAAAGAAAGCCGCTTTTTGATCAGAAGAGGTTGCTAACCCCTACTCAGGTGTACGTGTAGACATCTCGATGAGGACACCGACATGAGATATCCTCCCAAGGCAGGAACTGGAAGTGCCCGAAAGTCTGTCTCAGACTGATAGCTGGACTTTGTAGTGGATAATGGTAAACGGCGTGGCTGCAGTGTCTCTGTGTCGGTATTTGCGATGTTGATCTCTGAAACCATTGTAACGGACCATAGGAGTCCCAGACACCAAATTTGAGTTCTCCACCTATTTTTTTATTTGGTTTTCGGTGTTTCCGGTTATTTGTTCAATAGCATTATTTTTCTATGTATTCGGTTGGGTCAGTTGAACTATTTTTACCCGAAAAGGCCATCTTATCCAAGGACAGTAGCACCCCGTAATGCCCTGCAGCTCCCCGGATATGCATCACGAGATCGTACAGGTGACTACTGAATTAATCAGGACAGAGCACCCATTCGCCTAGTCGAACCGGCGTTATGATTTAAGATGATCGAGACGTTTTCATGGAGCTATTTGAATGACAACTGAAACAATTTATTGTTTTTTTGAAATAAACCTTGGCAGATGACAGTCCCCTTTTGGCTAGCAACGGATCTGAAACTGCTATAGCACGCGGCTTGAAACGCACACGAGCGAAGCGATCTTCACCGAGGAATAAAAGTTGAGAGAGGTCCAGAAGCTCAAATTTTGAGCTAGGTTATATAAGAACACATTTACACAGTTTTTAAAAGCCAGTTGAAACGAAATGAGAGCTTATCTCAATCTCAATGAACGACTGTCACAGGTGTGGCTAAATCAATTTACTATCCTACTTCTATTAATTCTGTGCAAGTTTGTACTCTTTGGAATTTCACTCAAGTCCAGTCTTGAGGTGGCAAAAGCAAACACCGAGTCGAGTTGTGTCGCTGCTGAGAAGTATGCGTCGGCGATGGTGAGTCTGCCTCATTACGCCGCACGGGCATCCAACTATTTGATCACCACTTCTGTTCAAGAAGCCAACAAGGGAATTAGCGAGGGATTGGCCATGGTCGTCGAAGCCGCGGAGCAGCTACTCATTTTCACATTTGACATGTTTGTGGGCACATACGTGTGTCTGCTGACTGCTGCAGTAGACGGGTCCGTGGACATAGCCGTCAATGCTACTGAGGCTATAATAAGCGTTGCCAATGACACAGTGATATCACTAGCGGATGATATACAAGACGCGCTTGATGGTGTGGAGAAGGTGGTGAACAAGGTGATCAAAGCAGCTGACAAGGTGGAGAGTTTCTTCACTGGCGATGACGATGATGATGATGTTTCGTCTGGCTTCAGTAGTGTGAATCTGACCATTTCCTCCTTGAAGGATTGGCAAATTCCTTCTTCAGTCAATTCCGAGCTCAACGATTTGGCAAACAAGGTTCCCAACTTTGATGAAGTCCAGAATAAAACAGACCAGCTGATCAGCATTCCGTTCAACAAACTTCAGAAAGTTATCAAGTCAAAGGAAAGAAACACTGAGAGCTCGAGCAGTATCGCGGTTCCAAGTATAAGAAATGTATCATTTTGTTCGACTGGTGAGATTGATGATTTCTACGATCATTCCTACAAAATAATACACATCTGGGTATGTGTAATGATATCTCTCTTGGCGTTGTGCTCATTATGCATGATGCTATTTTCTGCATGGGGCGAGTACAAACAGTGGAAACGGCTTAAAACTACTACAGAAAATGTCAAAGCGGTGGCTTCAAGAACAGGCAACAACGATAATGTGATTTTGGATATTATAGACCAATCACAACATAGATATGGTAGTGCTATTGGAGCCTGGTTTGCTAGAAAGTCTTCAAATCCTGAAAAACAAATTCACATTCGGTGGGTATTCAATTACGTTACATCTAGAGTGGCCTTGAGTACTCTTATTTTAGGTTTGACAGGACTGGTGACGACTGGGCTGCAATTTGCTGTTTTGAGTGGAGTTACAGGAAACTCTTCAGAGATCGAAACGGCACTAACCAAAGCTGCCAGTTCAATTTCTAGCGATGCTTACAATTCAATCAAAGAATGGGCAACTGACACAAACGACTACTTAACATACAAAGAGAAAGAGATCAACAAAAATGTTTTGGGATGGGTGAACACATCAACCACCAGTGTTAACAGTACCATTGTTGAGTTCCTGGACAGAATGGATGATACCATAGACTCTGCATTTGAGGGGACCCTTTTTTACTCACCGGTCAAGGCTGTGGTTGGATGCACAATTGAGAACAAACTAAAAAAGATAGAGAAGGGTCTCACGTGGATCCATGATCATGCCAATGTCTCTTTTCCAAGAGTATCAGCCGACACTATGTGGAGTCAGATTTACTCGAATTCCAGTTCCAAAAGTACAGACACATCTGAATATGTGTCTGACGTGAAAAAGAGTGCAACTAGTGCTATTAAAGCAGTTATTTCAATGTACAAGAAGTCGCTCAAGATAGAGTTGTACATTTCATTAGGGCTGCTTCTACTGTGGGTGATTTTGGTGATTATAGCGCTGCTTATGATTCTCATACGCATTCATTCAGAAAGAAACAATGAAGAATTTGAAGATTTTTTCAGTACACCTTCAAAAGTGTCAGATCCAATGCCATTGACCACTCCTCAAAGAGTGAACTTTGGATATCCTGCCTGGGATGAAGCAGCACAGTTTAAGACCACAGACGGCACTGGGAGTCAATTCCTCGAGAAATCAGACACTTTGCTTAACGAAGGAGATGATAGACTCAATTTTCCAGAATATTCCTCAGTCGAACCGAATCAGTTCAAGTTCATAGTTACCTCAACCCCGAAGAGGGCCGACGTTGGCGGGATTGAAGCTTCGGATTATCATGGGGTCAAACCCGAAGAGGAGGTTAACCCTTTTAGGTCACCTAAGAATAGATTGTAAATTACTTAATTCCATTTGCGAATCCAAAAAATTCTGTGTTTCATTAATTGTGTTTACTATGGCTAATCCTTCTTGTGCTTCTTCTTGTGCTTTTCCTCATCGTCCTCGGAAGATCTCTTCTTGGACTTTTCTTTTTTCTCAGACTTGTCTTTCTTCTCTTTCTTCTCTTTCTTCTCTTTCTTCTCCTTCTTCTCCTTCTTTTCTTTCTTTTCCTTCTTCAGGAGTTTATTCTCGCGAACAGTCTCCTCAGGAGCTTCGTAATCCTTCTCTTTCTGTTTCTGCTTCACCTCCTTCATCTCGTCCTGCTTCTCTTTCTTCTCCTGGATCTCCTTCAACTTCTTCTCCTTCTTACCAAGGAAATACTCACCACTTTCAATCTGCAGATCAACCTTACGTGGGGTCTGCTCAGGTGGGAATGGAGTGTAAACTCTCTTTTCTTTACCTCTCTTCTGCTCATCAAGAGTCTGTTTGGGCTTCTTACGAGCAACATTTCTCTTCTTGAAGTTGGGGAGGAATCTGGACCAGTCTTCTTCCTTCAGCTCTGGGTTCTTCTCCAGCTCTTTCTTGATCATGAGTTCTTTTATGTGGTAGATCGGATGGATATTCTTCATACAGTCTTCGATCACTCTCTCAAGCACCTTGAGACCCTTATGAGGGCCCATCACAGCAACGGTGTTACCCTGAACCAGAATATAGCACTGTGTGAGCAGCTCCAGGGCTTTGAGGGTGTTTCCCTGTGGTCCGATCAGCCTCTGTCTTCTCTTCACAAACCTTTCCTTGTTAGAAACGTAATTTCCTATCTTGAAGATCTCACAGGCAACATCGTCCTGCAAAATTTTCACTGCTTGTGGCAATGGAACCGATCTGGCAAGGAGCTTGATCAGGTCTCTGGCGTTCAGAATGGCCGCTGGATCGAACGTTTTTCTGGTAGTCTTCACAGTCATAGATCCCTCAACCAGATCCAATGTGCATGCAATATGGTGTTTGTTCAGGGCTTTTGTAACATCTCCCCAAACTTCTTTGAGGTAGTTCTCTCTATACTTGGGGAAGAGCGTCATAAAAGAGGACTCCTCTGTGAAAGGCTCACCAGAGGCGTTGTGTTCAGGCTTGAACTCCTCCACAGTCCATTTGTCTATGTCCTCGGTATCCCAAGGCTTGTCACGGTTATGCGTGGACACCATTTTGGTATGCTTTTGTAGGTAGGGTTGAAGATTTCTAGGTCTTGTAGGATGGTAGTAAAGCTATTAGGGTGAAATAAATTTTTATGGCACAGGCTCATCTGGCAGCCGCAGCGAAACTTTCATTCTCAGAAATACGCATGGAGTTGCTCTGGTGGTTCATGTTTTGAGTAAGCAACACATTTAGTTTTGCACAATAAACAAGAAAAAGAGTATTAGGTGTTATCAAGATACTCTAGGATGTTTTTTCGCAATTTGTTTTGTCTTTTTAGGGCCCCTAGAAAGTCATCAAGAATGTCAGAGTAATCTTCATGACTAGGATTACCTAAGGTGATGAGCTCCAACAAAAAAGTTTGAAGATAACGGCTCTGGCTACTACTCTGGCCTCTGTACCTGCTGTCTCACGATCCTCACACAAATATTAGAATCTGTCAAATGGCCAAGCCGAATGATACTCCAAAGCTTAAGGCTAGATCTAAAGCGAAAACAGCGAACAAAGTTTCCAAAAGACAGGTGAAGGCTAAGGCGAGGTCCGCAAAGGCAATGGTGGAGAAGCTGAATACGGCAAACGGGTCGGAACTAAATATTCTGAGGGAAGTGGAGGCTAAGACTGAGGAAAAGGCAGGAGCACTTAAGGGCCTGCGACACGAACAGCAGAAAGACGCTGAAAAGAAAAAGATAACAGAGGAGAAAGAAAAGGCTCTTGATAACGATTTGACCGCGCAGTTGGAAATGATCACAGGCATCAGCCTCTAGTTTTTTTTGACCTTGAAAAGACAAATAATACTTTCAAGCAGGAATCTAACTTGACGGCTGGTCCAAGCTATTGACTGAACGGCTGGACGGTTGAAGACAGTTTTACTGAGCCACTGTTATTGAGCCAGCAATGTTACCACTGATAAAGGACGCTATACATTTCCAGTCTCAACCTTAATTTACGAAATTGCAGAGTGGCACATAGATCTACCGTACTGATTTCGTCAAAAACCAAGTCTTTTATGTGGAATTAGTGGAGGGGAATCAATTTTTTACACGTTCAACAGCTCCGTTTTTGGTCACCGGATATGGCCTGCACCGTATGGATCTGGCTGCATTCAGGCACAACTATCAACCTCCACAAAGCTACTCCATAGACTTGCTGTACATTACAATTTTTTTTACAAAATTCACTTGTTTTACGGAATATACCCTGATAGGTTCCGATCTTCCAATTTGTCGCGTAAAATAGTAACCTTCTTTTCAATCGAACAGACAAGTTTATATTCAGGGGAGAGAAGTGCCTGTCCCAATCCGGTAATATGTTTACCTTTCGCTCATGCAGGTAAGGACTGTCTGTAAAAAATAACAATAAGACTGGGATCACGATAGTTTTTGGCAAAAAGCAGCCTGGAGATAGTTTTTGACCTTTGTTTTCATCTCAGAATTATCCTTGAGTAAGGTGATCCGTCTTTGGTTTGCTTTGCCTAGAACTTGCTGCTGCTAGCTGTGACTTGAAAGGACACTGACAAATCAGACTTTCAAGCACAGGTTGTAGTAGTCTCGGTAAAATGGAAAACAGACACGCCAGCGAGAAGCTGGCTGCAAAGCTGGATTGTTTCCTCGAGACAACATTCGACCTGGCTACTGAAAACACAGAACTGGTGGGAAAGCTGGTCCACCAGCATACCCTATTGACTGAGCAGGAAAGTGAGATGGAGGACTTGACAGACCAACTGGATAAGTCTACTCTGTTTGCACAGGAACTAGCAGCTTTGAATCTACGATCAGAGTTCTTTGAAGCCCAGTTGAGTCTGCTGGAAGCCCATACTGCTGTCAACTTTGCTAGGGGTCCAGATGCGTATAACGACTGGAAAGATAGGAGTCTCAATTGGAGGACCACCGAGACAACTTTGGATAACCTTGAGCTGGAGTACAGGTATCTGATGAATCAGTACAAACAATATGGAAATTTTAAGAACACAGGAGGGTCTCAGAAGTGCGAATTAGACCGTGACAGTGACGTGCACCATGAGTCCAGCTACGCAAATACCTCAGTGGACTCTGTCTTTTCAGTGGACGTCTCAACGAATACGGAAAACACCACCCATGATGTCCAAATGAGACCAATAAGGTGCAAAGGAGGCCTGAACTCGATATCGTCTGCATTGCCACAGGGTGCCATTCAAGCACTCCCGAATCAGGGTATTCTTCTACCACCATTTGATGGTGCAAGCACCCCGGCGAAAGAGATCAAACCTCAGCATCTAAAGAAATATGCCTCACTGTCGCATCTGAACAAAACTACCGGAAACAGGAAAAGATTTGAGTCGTTCTTCCCGGACGACTTTTCAACATCGTTTGAGGTAACGTTTGACGAGGATGATTGTGATTACGACAGACCACCCAATAGAGACCATAATACCGCAGAGACCAGTATCAATGCACACCAGACTCCTCTCCGCCATTTCCTCTCATATGATACTGCTTTATCGCAAAAACAGACTTTGAACTTAACTCTAGAAGATCTTAAGTTCAGCAGAAAGACGGTGGCTTCATCACCAGATTCACAGGTTTCTCTGATAAAAGATTCGCAAGATGATTTCGACAACCCGAGCGAACCCGAGGACTACGGGGAAGACGCAAAAACTTTTGATGTTCACCAGGAAATTTTGCCAGAGAAATGCCCTTTGAAAAGGTCTGCTTCATACGAAAGCGTTTTCCAGAAGGGTTTCCAGAAAGACTTCCCAACGCCGCGCGAACCTGTTCTTGACCTCAAGAAACAGACCATCAAATGGCTGGACATCTTCCACACTCCTGTATCTGGTCTTGCTGCTCAGAACACTGTTAATGCAACCATAAAATCGAGAGAGACTGCTTTCCCATTCACGCCCACATCCTCCGCTACCACCACCGCTACCACCATCACGAACCACCAAACCAGCAAGGAGCTTCTGAGTTCAGTTGTTGGATCATCGCACTCGAAAACCTCGTCGGGAATCTTCCCGTTCTTCTCACATCCTTCTACACCAGAGATTACTCAACGAATAGAAAGCGAAACTGATACTGGCCCCTCTTCCAATCCACCAGAGGCATCATCACCAGCTATACCAATACCCCACTCCAGAGACAGTCGTTCAAGCGTTCATAGCATGAGACGACCATCTCTGGCATCACGAGGTTCCTTCATGACCTCTCAACAGTATTCGCAATGGTCGATGCTGTTTGCAAAGCTGAATCCCCAGTCTATAATTCCCGGTTCAGCTTACTCCGAAGTGGGAAAACCCATTCATGGACCCAGCCTCCGGGCTACCCCAACTGTTCACCACGATTCACACTTCAAAGGAGTCAAGCGATTTGAAGACACACCAAGCACCTTTAATGGTTCCCATTCCACCATAACGATTGGTCCTAATCACTCCAAGATTGTCAGACACGGGCTTTCATCCGATCTCCACAAGCACGTCGTTGCTTCCAGAGTCAGCTACGCTGCTCTTAGAGATGCGTTAGACTCGGATTTGGCATGAAGACTCATTTTCTTGGTTTTGAAATTTGTCTTTTGTCGTTTTTTTCCCTCCATTTCGTTGTTTTTTTCCAGCTGTTTCGTCATTGCGCGCTATAATGATATCAGCCTTCTACCTACATCTTTCATAGCATTTCCCATCTCCTATTCAGTGTTAATGCAAAAAACAGTATATCATACTAATTAAACCCACCAGATCTCAATATACTCCTTAGACCAGAAGTCTCTTTTCTGAGACCCTTTAAGTTCCTTTCGATCTGGGCAACCTTCAATGATCTAGCTGCTTTAGGATTGGAAGGTTTTCCAAGAGACGTGACCGAGGCCTTTGAACCTGAAGCTGCTCTATAAGAACTTGATACTGAGACCGTCTTTGTCCCAAGAATAACATCATTTTTGGAAGAAGACATAGACGACCGAAAGCTTTGAATGCTGGATTTTCTAGATGCTGTAAGCATGCCCATTCCGAAGTCCTCGTCGTCTTCATCAAACTCCAACATCTGCGTTTCTTCATCTTCAATGGAGGTGATCTGCCTCACACTGGTCTTTGGATTCACAATGGAGTTCTGTTTCAGTTTGTGGATATCCATCTCGTCATCTGAAAAGCCATGCTGGTGACGTTCTAGCTCTCTTCTCTGCTTTAAGACAGCAGAAGAGTCTGGGTCATCATCTATTTCGTCGTCCAAGAAAGACAGTGTCTTTTGAACAAATGCTTGAGTGATCTTTCTCTTCTTCTTCATTGGCTCAGAATCAGCAACAGAGTCTTCACCTATCTGGTCGTCTTCCTTCTGCTCGGCATCGGCATCGGCATCAGCATCAGCATCATCCTCTTCGTCTTCGACCTCAGAGTGATCTTCAAGCTTGTATGCTGACTCCTCATCCAACAGCGATTCGAAAAACGCCTTTGCCTTTGAATCGTTGGCCAGTTTCGAGAGCTTGTCGTTGTTCAACAACGCCTCACGCTGCTTGTTCAATCTGGAGCGATACAAGTTTAGCACTTGTTCCTCTTCATCATCACTGAGTTCTAAATCCAAAGCCCCACCTGCAGCTCTTCTCTTTCTTAGACGACCAGTCTTGATATCCTCGAGCAGCTTCCTCACGGCATTCTCATCATTAACAATATCTTCCTTAGCAAGCAAACGTCTCACAGAAGACTCATCCATACGGAACTTTGTGGCATCATCAAGCAGAAGCTCATCTTCAGAGTCAGCCTGATCAGACAGTTCGCCATCCATACCACCCAATCCCTGCCATTCGTCTTCGGATTCTTCAGCTTCTTGCTCAAACACAGTGTTTAATCCTTTCTTCTTTAGCTCTCGTTCTCTCTTCTTCCTACGAAGCTCTTGCTTCCGTTTCAACTGCTTGATCGCCTCAGCTCTAGCTGCTGCCTGTTCCGGGTCTTCTTGCTCCTCCTCTTCCTCAGAACTATCTGAATCATCAGCAGCGGATTGTGTGTGGATCTGTGATATTGGCAGCGTGCTGGCATCCATTTGAGTCTCGGCGAAAAGGTTTTGAGATTCTAGGAGATCCGCTTTGTTATTCAGAGAATTCACTCTGACGAAAGATTGCGTTTCAAGATACTCAACCACTGGTGTGTCCTGGCTTGGTTCGAAAGCGCCCCAACTTTTTAGGTCCAGCCCAGGTTTGGCCGCAGAATCTTCTTCATCGTCGTCACCGTAGGAAACAATCGCGACCTCGTCGTTTCCATATCTGGGAGTTTCCGCACCAAAAATGTAGTCTCTGTTTGAGTGAGTCGCTGAAGAGATGTCTTCGTCATCTTCGTCATCTGTTTCAATTCTCTTGGCGCTCTTTTTGGTGGTGGTGATTACTGATTCTGCGACATCAACAGATTCTCCATCCACCACAACATCTGCTCCATCTTCATCATTATCATCGCTTCCGTCTGCTTGCCCTTCCTCTTCCTCACTATAATCAGAATCATCAGGATCGTCTTCCATCCCATCCTCCAAACGAGCCTTGCGTGACCGTTCACGCTCCTTCAACCTCTCACTGGCTGCTCTTTCCTCTTCTAGCAAATCACGAACAGCATTTTCTTGGTCTATAAGCTCATCCATATTGATATAATCGCCAGCCTTATCCTTTCTGAGCATTGCAAGCTGACGAACAGCACTGTCATTCAGGTCTCTGAGGAAGTCCTTGCCAGCCTTGTCCTTCGTATCTTTTGCCAAATTGGCTCCACCATTCTTCTTCATGAACCTGGTCTTGACATCAAGCCTTGTGACTTTGGAAGCTCTCTCTTTTAAGACAATAAGATCGTCCAGCTCTGAATCTGAATCAGAGTCAAGCACCACAACATCGCCTTTCATTCTTCTTTCGTAGTTCAACACTGGCGCTACCATCTCCTTCTTATTCTGGTATATCTTGAGGGGACTTTTCACAGGGGACGTCACAGGTGTAGTCTCAACCCCGGGCTGATGCTTAGTGGGTGAAGATGTCGGTGGTTCGGAAACGGGCTGATCAAAATCATCCAAAAAAGCCGAGACCGAAAATTTCTGATCCCGTGCCGCATTGGCAGCTGTTCTTTTGAGAAGACTGGTTATGGCAAATCCGGTGGTGTCTATTCCACCAGGCTGATCACCATCTTCGTCTTCAGAGTTAAATTCTTCGTCATTGACGAACAATGGCTCCTCTGCTTTAGCAACAGCCTGCCCCGAAATGACATTTTCCTGATTTTCCGCGTCAATTTCCTTCTGTTTCGCCAGTTTCATCTCCACCAATCTCTGAATCTTCATTTCACGTGAAATAGGCTGCTCGACTTGTTGAGTGGCCTCCAGGACTGCGTGAGTAGCAAACTGGGTGTCGAGACGGGTCTGAATGTCATCGATTTGGGACGAACCAGGACCAACACTTTGAGTCTCTTCAACTTCTAATTCAAGTTCTGGAACTATTTGAGTGTCTGCGGATTCAATTTGAGCTGTTTCGGCCCCTAGTCGTCTTTTTATTCTCTCTAGAACCTCCCGAGTGGAGGCAGAATCAAGCGCATTGTCAGCTTTGGGGGTTAACCCTGGGGCTTGGAGCTCAGTATCAGTATCAGCATCAGCATACTGCGACTCTTCTTCCAAATCTTGATCGCCATTATCACCATTGTCAATGACTCCATAGTTCGGTCCCAAGGTCATAGTCTCATACTCTTCCCCATCATCTCCGTCTTCGTCAGACTCAAATATGTGCACATTTTTACGCCGAGAGACGTCGCTTCTACGCGACACCTCTAAACTGTCTAAGAGGTCCATTTTTCACGCAAGCGATCTTGTTTGGTGACAGTTGTAGAACATGTAGCTGTCGAGGTAAACACAAAACGCGGTTCCCCTTTGAGTTGTACGCACACGCTTCTCTCAAGGCGCGTCCTAGCTTTCCTTGGAGTATCTTATGATTAGCGCACGTAAGAGTATCTTGTTTTAATTCAAGAACTACCAAAACACATAGGTTGATCCCTTGTTCATTATCTTGCTATTTGAAGTATGAGTGGAAATTTTGGATTTTGTTATTCAAAGTTACCATATAATCTATTGGTGATTGCCAACTTTCGGCCATCCCATCCTCTAAATAATAGAATACAAAACAAGATCCAAAGGTAGACCTCATTTTTCACGTGACTTAGCATATGGAACACGCACTGTCCAGTTGCATTATACCGGCCAAACAGACGTGAGGTTTAGCCAAACATCGAGGAAAGCAAAGTGCTTTGATCTACTTCTGAAGAATCCAATCATCAGACTCGCTACAAAAACAGCACAGAGTAAGTGCAGTTTGACAAATCATCCTCACTCCCTGACAGTGGGATTGGAACACGGGATTGGGCTTTTGATCCTTCTCTCAAGCTAATTACGGGAGAATTTCGAGGACGTGATACTAACGTTAACCTAGATGTCTACGCAAGCTCTCACCACACCATCCAAATCGCTGCTCAATGACAAGGTAAGTGGAAAAATTAGCAACGTTGAATTCAATAATGATGCTTTTTTGCAGCTCTTGAAGCACATTTTGACTAACATCTTCAGTGGGACGTTGTGTTGTCCAACACGATCGTCAAGACCGGTCTCGGGTTCTGCGGAGGTGTCATTTTGAGCGCACTTCTCAAGAGACGTACCTTCCCTGTTTGGCTGGGAATCGGATTTGGTCTCGGAAGAGGTTATTCTGAGGGTGATGCTATATTCAGATCGTCTGCTGGATTGAGAGAAATCAAGGCATAGAGAGGGGGAAAGAGAGTACATAAACTCAGACTAGATGATCGCATTGTGATGACCGAAGGGAAAACAAAAGTAGGAATGTAGAGAGAGAGAAATAAGAGTAGTAACAGAAAAGAGCTGAGAACGGGGCAAACACTGGCAAATAAAAAACAGATTGAAAAGCCAAGAGATCAATGAAATTTCACAGAGTGCCAACAAAGTAGCTGGTGGCAGATCTGAATCAAAGGCCGCGGGCAATTGCAATTGTGTTGGCGTTATTTGCATTTTTGATCATCAAATATCAAATATCAAGTATCTGTAACTATCATGCAAATCAATTGTCAATTTACTGTCATTTTTCATCGTCAATCATTACAAATACGGTAAATGTCTGAACCGCATTATTGTACTATCACCTAACAGCTATCCTTTGTGATGTAAATCATTAACGATAGTATCAGGCCTTAGCAAATCCCGGGATCGTCTCAATGGCAACAGACCAGATGTTTTTACGTCTGTCTGTCCGACCGCATGCGCCTTCATTGTACGAATTACGGGGGAGGGGGGTAGCCAGATGCAGCCGACTGTGGAGCCCAAGGATGGCTTCGGTTGAAATGCGCATGGGCATGTTTATACAAAATAGCGTTGCTGGTCAATTCATGGGGAAATGCGAATATAAGCAGTGATAATCGAGGAAAACGTCATAATTAGCTGAAATTACTGGAAACCCGGTATTTCAGGTTCGCAATCCGAAAGTATATCGTGCTTTTACCCGAGACCACCTTAACAGCGAGGGGGAGTATATCTTTCTGCATTTATGCCCCGATCTAGCAATTTTATAGTCCATTCCCAGAAAACCTGCGAATATGCCCCCGTGTTTTATTAAAAGTGCCAGATAAGCAGAAAGTAAACAAGCTACCCACGAAAGTTTATGACTTCTAAGCCATTTCTGCATCGAGATGGACGATTAGGCTTTCCCGAGCCATACAGCCTGCATTGCTCTGATGATCACGATATAGCTGTACCCGTTGAAATGATCCCCATTTAGCAAATGAACTGCTTCCAAGGAAGCGGCTCGTGTTATAATGCCAAAGCCCAGACGAGACCATCGGCCCGAAGAGAACGATGCAGTAGAACGTCTAGTTTAGACACCCATTACTGGACAGCTTGAAATAATTTCGGCTTGCACTTCCTCGAACAATGCAGATCGTGCAAAAAGCCCCTTAGACGAGACGCATTATGCATCCGGCCAAAGGCTCGCGGAAACCGAGTTGGAGTCATCGGCAAAGAGTAATTTGGGCCCTGTATAGTTGCTTGCACCCAAACGGGAGTTTTGAAGAGAGTCGCACATGGGACGGCTGCACCTTGGACCGAAAGTGCGTTTGGCGGCTATGCTGAGGACACCTCAAAGGGCGTGTGAGCACCATCTTTGGTAGGCCTTCGGAAGGATCCAAATTAGCGTAGAATGGGCGAATTAAGGAATAAATTTAACGATAGTAGAGGCATAGATCAGGAGTAGACCTCCCAGTGAACATAACAAAACCTTAAAGTCGGAGGTTTCGATGCGTGAAGTCAGAATGCGTGGAGTAAAGATGACTCTACAAAGGGTCGGGCCAAGAGGGCCTAGAACTCGATCCGAACGGCTGCCCGGTCGCAGGAAGATAGGTCGTGTGCAGCCAGCTGAAAACCGTTCGGCTCCGTCGTCCATTAGTCAAGACTCCGAGTTTTGAAAAACGAAAACTCGATGCCCACAGACGGCCACGGGAACGGGACACATGGAAAATAAGTTTCCAGTTCCCCTGACATTGTAATTGTAAAATTCCTCGGCTTGATCGAAAAGACCTGGTGAAGAAGCCGCTTACCAGCGGAGAAAAAACCTCGAAAAAAAGAAAAAATACGAATCTGCAAAGACTTCCCGATTGGGATATTGGATGAACCACTACCATCTTCTGCTGCGATGCCAAATCGATTTTTCACAGGACGAAAAAGTCCCCCCGATCTAACCTCCAGGACTTTGGTTTACAAGATTACGGTTCTCCGTTGGGGTTTTTTTCTCCTTTTGTTTCGTTCTTCTTCCCCCCAACTTGTTTTCTTTTGTTTTTTGGGTATATATCATCGAGATTGTGTCTCCCTTCCCGTGTCATTGTCGTTTGTCATCTCATCTTCCATCTCATCACTCATACTGGGCTTAGTTCAAAGAGCCACCCAATTATAGTACACACAACTCCAGTTCTACAACATCTCAGAAAGATATTTGATTTTCAATTCGTTTGTTTCAATATCACCAGCACTTTCACATCAGTATACCATCTTGTTATATTTCTCATAGCCGCACAAGACATGCAAACATGACGTTAAAACGGTCTCTATCTACCATGGTCAAGTCTCTGAATAATAAGACAAAAACCAAAACAAAATTACACAAGCCAAAAGAGGATGACTCCAGTTCAATATCTACCAGATCTGATGAATTCTCGTTGCAATCATCACAGATCTCGACCGCCAGTGGGTCCTACATGCAATCTCAATCACAGACACAGTCACTAGATCAGGACTATTCGCTGCTAGAGGTGGACGAAACACCTGTGGAGATTCAGGATTTGTTGCCACCAATCCCGCAGGATGCGCCCTGCAATCCAGAGGAACTTACGCCGGACGTGATACCCTCGGGAAACCTGACGCCACAATCGAGTGCGCTTCACGAACGCCTCAAGTCTGTGGATTCGTCTGTTTTGGATTTGGACGAGGAACTGGAATCACAGATACAGTTGCATAGAATAGGGAAGCCTAATCTCCAGCTGAACTTGCAAATGGCACAGTATGCTCCAAGATCTGGATCCGTGTCGAGTCAATCACAGCCTGCCACAGGACTAACAACTCCTGCGCACGAAGACGATCTTGCCGATGCCATGGCGATCAGCATTTTGGAGAGGGTGAAGGGCGAGAAGGTTCCTGAGGGGAGAATGGATGGCTGGGCAATATGAGCTTCCTGAGCTGAGCTCAAACCCCTCTCTCGCCTTCGTCCGCTCCCCTTCCGCAAACCCTCGCTACTTTTCACAACTATCACCGGATCTGCGATTCGGATGCTACAGGCCATATCACAGACATTTGGCCTCGAGGTGTTCACCTCAAGTTCAAGATACCCTCTGCTGTTTCTACTGTTGCTCTCGCCTTTTTACTTGCTCCAATAGACGACCTAATGATCTGCAATACAGAATGACATCGTAGTTAGAATTACACCGAAACCCAACATACGCCCATCTTGGTATTGGTATTAGAGTTAACGTTTCGATGTTAACATGATATTTTATTATTTCGGACTGCACATCCTTCTTCAAGCAGATCAATGTGTCTGCCTGCACTAGAATGTCTTGAAATTACTTGAGAAAGCTTCTCAGGAATTTCACTGGCCAAGACTAGCAACACCAATCCGTACGTCCGAAGACCGAAACTGGCCAGCTTTTTTTTTAAATCCACATGATTAATGTTCAATGTATAATATATTTTGCCCCCCAATTTTTTGATCTCAAATTTCACCAAGGATCATCCTCTGATCTCAACTTTGGCCGTCCATATGCACTAGCCGAGTTCCGAGTCATTACCGCTTTGGGTAAAGTGGATACCGCAGCTCCCCCCGTCTAATTCGTTAAAGTTGACTGGCTCCAACACACCAAGTTTCCATGGTGATCCTTGAAACCAAAGTATTGTCAATTTTGTTGAGAGATTTTACCCGGGTGTTTTAAAAAGCTTATTGCCACCTGGCTTTGATCTAATGTTGGTGTCTATTCAATCAGCCTAATGCCAACCGTAGACGCCGGTAGTTTTGCTTTTACCCTGGAACAATGCACAATAACTAAAGGTTCGGCTATTATCTTAAAACGGCCAAAATTTCAGTTGGAACGCCCGTCGAGTGCAACTTTTACCGTAACCCAAATGGGACGAGCAATTTAAGTCAGCCAATCAAAGACCGCAGAGGGTGCATGTGTAATTTGCATGGGCACAAGCATATTTGTTTAGTGCACGTAACGCTAAAACAATCACGTGATCTAAGGGCTCCGGTGTATGCTCTCGGCGTAGAACCGCATGTTCTACGAACCGGTCTTTGAAGCCGGCTCTTGCTTCTTTTGTTCTACGGAAGGCCGGGGTTCGTGTCAATCTGTATTCGTATTCGTATTCGTTACCTCGTCACTTGCGTATCTCACTTCCCGTATTCCCGTAAAATCGCATCAACCTCCTGGTTCCCGCTCTCGCTCTCTCCATCCTTACTCATGCGATAAAGACTCATAATCCATGACAAAACACCTAGCGTATTGTTCACAAAGTTCGGCACATCCAAACCCATCACCTCAATCACACAGAAAGCCAGTTCATTTAGGTTTCCAATGATTTCCAACACGATCTGTAGCTTTTCAGCCTCGATTTTCAGCAGTTTCATCTCTGAGTCGTACGTAACTGATCCCAGAATGATACCATTTGCGGAGTCACCACCGCTCAGCGCACGTAGCTGATTGACTTCGGACTTTACTTGGACCTCGGCCTTAGATACTCGGTAGTACCGTATGGCTAAGTTTTTCATGGTGAGCAGAATGATTACCATCCACACTTTGGAGGTCTGAACAATAACCTTATTCACCAATCGAAAAGCCTTGGAGTCTTTCAGTCGTAGCATCCGTGATAGGAAGTAGAAATTGTCCAAGACAGAGATCGCAGACTCCAAATTATCCAGCACATATGTTTCTGCACGCGTGTATTTCGCCAATAACTCGTCAACAGTAGTGTGCTCGCCATCTCTTAATAATGGCGACGGTCTGGCAAAACCTTGTGACTCTTTCTGGGAAATTTTCGGCGACACTGCTGTGAGAGAAGACGATGCTCCTGATGAATGAGTGCTTGCTGTCCCAGCTAAAAAACGCTGGAGTCGCGTCAAGCTTTTAGATTGCGACAAAAAACTCTTTGACGACCTCACAAGACTCGACACAAACATTAATTGAGCTAGGCGGTCCAGATTCTGGTTTCGCGGCGTCTGCGCAAGCATCAACGCAAGCGCGTTGGAGTTGTGTAGTATCCTCGGACCCACCTCATTCGCTTTCACGGATTTCAACAACCGTTTCAGTCGCTCAGCATCTAGTGAGCTCTCCATCGGAATACCTAAGACTTTCAAGTTTGAAATAGTTGAGAAAATGTAATAAAGTAAGAGAGTTCAAGAGAAGGCTTGAGAGGCTTTACCCCGTCTGATATCAGGCTATCAAGCTGCCAAATACACGCGGTTTAGTGAAGTCTGCCATTCCACTATGGTTCACTGATATTGTCTTTATCTGCCACTCATCTCATGGTTCAGCAAATGCAACCGTCTTAGGTTCCTGCCTTGTTTACATTTGTACATGGAGAACACGCAACTTCATTTTAGTCGTTTAGAGTTTAAAGCTGTTCAAAGTAGCAATATGACACAAACAGAGGTTGATAACTTTACTGGACCTGTCAACTTTGATCCGAAGTCTGAGTATGATGAGAGACTACAGCTAGTGCTGGACACGGCTGTCAACGGTGTTAAGAACATATACATCCCGCACGATCTGGATCCGCGGGATGTTGAGCCGTTTTTAGAAACAGCAAACGCATATCAGAAGAAGCTGGCGTTTCAGTATCTAGCCATGGACTCCAAGTGGGCGTTTTTCAAGTTTCTAAGAGAACAGGCACCTGAGACCACAGACTTTGAGGAGGTGGAGAGGTCGCGTTTGCAATTTGAAGAAAGACGTTTGGAATACGAACAGAGATTGACTGTGATCGAACACCAGAGAGAAGATGCAATTAATTGTGGAAAGGATCTGGTTCAAAGACTGGCTTCTGTGGAACGTGAAGCGTTGGAGAATGCGAGACTTAACGAGGAATTTCGTGGTTTGGAGGAAGAGGTGAGCAAACTCCAAAAGGAGGCATCTCTGGAAATTGTAGATGATGATACCCTATTTGATATCATGGGACAGGTTAATGATATCCCGGAAGGAGCAGACTTATCAGCCATGGCCAAGTCGGCCGAGGATCTGAAGAGACTAACTGAGAAGAGAGAATCGCAGATACGCGAGCTTCAGGGTACTATAAACACTTCGAAAGAACAAATTTTGACAGTCAAGACTAACCTGGACTCTAAACAAGATCTTGTGAACAAATTGGAGCTGGAACAGCAGCAGCTAAAGAAGGAGCTGGAGGAGAAGCTACAGAATCGCGAGAAGATGATAAGTAATGCGACACCTGATAATGCTGACGAAGACGACGACACTAACAGACAGCGGAAAGCGCGCAAGCTGGAGACTACCGCCGAGTGGTACAACACAATGTACAACTTCTGGACACGGATATCGGGTGTGGAAGACGTTATTGCCGAGAAGGATGCTCAGGGAATGTTGAGAGTCGAGGTCAAATACGCCAAATATCCAGACCATCCGATCATCTATTTTTTGAACAAAGCATACAAAATCCAGAAGGTTGAAGGATATTCTGGAGCAAGCCTCTCCAAATGGGTAGCATCTAGTCAGAGCCATTCCGGACTGGACGGTCTGAGCTATGTTTCTAGAAGGATAATGTATGAAGACGATGACGACGATCTAAGGATGCGAGATGAATGATGCGATTTTGGGTATGCCATATGGGCCGGTATCAGAAGTGGAGAATTTGTATGTTTCAATCGACAAGCTCACTCGGTTTCTCCATTGTGGAACTTCTTCTGTAGAAAGGCACCCATGCTTCCAAGATATCCTTCATGTTTCAGGAAATACGCTCGTTTGGTGCCGTTCGACCAGAAGTTGATTGCATAACTCAACGTGTGTATCGTCTGGGCGTGTCCGCTGATATAGGAGCCTGCAAAGTAGATCTTCTTCAGGTTGTATCTCTGTGCCTGGAGGTATGAGATCTGGCCTATGTTGTTGGAGACGGCGTAAAGAAGTGATCTTGAGATGTCTTCCTCTCTGAACTGGGCTATTCTCGCGAGTCTTGCGTCTGCATTGTTGTGCTGTTGATGTTGCTGAGATTCTATTGCTGGGTCTTCCTCGTTGAACACCTTTTTGAACACCTTTCCAAAGGAAGATGCAATATGATTATCCTTTAGCCCTATCTTGTTGTGAGAGCCCATTCCATAAATATCACCAACCAGCAGATCCACCGTCTCGTTATCTCCTTTCTCGGCCATGCTCAACATCTCGTCAAAGTCATTCGCAGATGTCAAAAGCGACAGCAATCCCCACAGAGTGCCTCCACCCAGTGATGAACCTCCAACACGTACAAAGTTCTCTGGACCTGGCCCCGTGACCTTTATCATGGAGCAGCCACTGCCTATATTCACCAGAAGATACGGATATATGGACTCCTTATCGGCATCTGGATCCAAATTCTCATTGAGAAATACCTCGGGATCGCTGGAGTCATACACAAAAATCTCGTTGGGAATCTCTGTGATGAAAAAGTCAAGCCCCACTATGAGACAATGCAGCTCGTCTTCTTTCTGTATACGACACTTAAGTCTCATCCGCAATTGTTGATTGAATTTGAAAGCACCACCCCCGGTGGCCACAATCACAACTTTATCCGATTCGGCTCCTTCTGGGACCAAGTCCGGGTCGTAGTCGTAATGTTTCACAAGAACACTCTTGATAAAGCCTATCAGCTCGTCTATCCTAGACGAGTCCACCTTGTAGAAGTTGAGTCTACCTCCGCCATTTGCCCCGTCTTTTGTGAAATATACGAATTTAGACAAAGAACCACCAATATCTAAAGAAACGTGATTCACGGGCTCGTTGTGATATGGTAGAGCTATGTCTTTTGTCTCGGGAACCTCGTCTTTGGTATGGGCTTTGGCATTACCATCGTCAACATGTGCCCCGGTCACATTAAGCGTTGTAGCATCCACACTATGGTTGTTGCGATATATGGACTCTCTAGATATGGGCGACTGAGTCTGTGATCGCGACTTGTCTCCCATTGTGTTGTGATGTTGGGTGAGACTTTGAGACCAGAGTGTGTGATAAAACAGGTAATCCTCGCGGAGCGTTTCGTGAATAAAAGTTAGCTTGGTTGCAACCTCTTAGCACCAGCTTGTTTGCCCAGACACTTGCAATATCAATGGTCTATTAGATGGTAGAAATTGCCACCTGTTCAGCTGGAAGTCGTTCAGGCTTTACACGTTGGATGGATTTTTTTTCGTTGCGCTCTCTTAACTCATCGGACCGCTTAGATTAGCACTAATTGTCATGACTTGCTCCTTCTGCCGAGTTCATTGGACGATAGACGATGGAAATTTCTCTGAGTCGTAATAAACTCGTTTATAATTGCTGGTTGAAAAAAGATTTTCTGAATGATTTAGAATTAAACAATTGAATAATCCAATGACTTTAAGTTGTTAAGAAAATGCATGACAATTTATCAAATTACGTGAGATTCCCAGAATTTTCTTGTTTCCCCACAACGCGATTTATGGCTTGTTGTCCAAAAACAACAACGTCACCCCATTTCCTTTTTTTTTCTTTCTTTTAAAGTTTTGATTGGTTTCACGAATTGTCGATGATTATTGTTTGTTTGTTTACTTGCGTAATAGTCTCTGTTATACTTTGACTGATCAATGGTCATCATCATTTATCAATAGCCACAAGTGTAGCTGGGCTTCTGGAACAATTTCAGCTGCACGACAGGCATTTTGTGGCTTCTGGAATTCCACGTATATAAAGTCTCGGTGTGGGCTCTTTCTTCAGCTGAGATGAATTTTGAATAGTGGTGACTTTATTAACTTCAATGTCCAGACAGATTTCAGACCAAGACTTGAGCGAATGGCAACGCCAGATTGGCGACGATGTTGCTATCAGCAAGCTCTCCCTGCCGGGCACGCACAACAGTGCGGCTAGTCATCTTTCACGTGAGTATATGGGAGATCGATTCCAATGATTGAAGACCATTTATGGTTGCTGTATGTGGTTAATTACTAACATTTGACCAGTCTTCTCCGTGAAGTGCCAGGGTGCCCCAATCACGGAGCAATTGAACCACGGAGTTCGGTTCCTGGATATCCGCGTTTCTACTCCTTTTTTCAACGATCCGAAGGGCTGGTTTGGAAAGAACAAGAAAGATTTGCAAGTCATCCATGGTCAATTTCCTGTGAAACTGCCTACGCCTGTCAAGCTTCACGGGGTACTCGACGAGGTGTATGGGTTTCTTGAAAAACACCCATCCGAGTCGGTTATCGTTTCCATCAAGTCCGAGGGTCGTGACAAATGGGAGGGCCAGGACTTCCCCAATCTAATCTGGGACGAGTATGTTTCGCCAAAACAGGACAAATGGTACCTCAGCCCTTCTATCCCACGTATGGGCGAGTGCCGTGGAAAGGTCATTTTGTTCCGTAGATTCGGCGTGGACGACTCCAAGAAGAACTCTTACGGCATTGACGCGTCATGGTGGCAATACAATACCACAATGGACGATCGTGGCAACTACGTGGTGCAGGATTGGTGTGAGGTAATGAAGAAGGATGACATCAACACGAAGAGCCAATACGTGAAGGACCATCTTTCCCGTGCAATTGAGTACAACTCCACAGATAGCCAGAACCCTAAGCTTTACGTCAATTTTTGCTCTGGAGCGAACTTTTTCGACCCTGATTGCTGGCCAAAAAAGGTTGCGAGTGGGTTGACCTCATTGAAGATCGAAGATAACTACGGAAAGGGCTGTGGAATCGTGGTTCTCGACTACATTGAAAGGGAAAACTGGAAGGAGGTAAAGACACTTGTCTCAACCAACTACTAGATTTCTGTTTGCTGGACGTTCTTATAGTCAATGTGTTTTGTAATTTTAGTGTTTAATTAGTTAAGCGGTTCAGAGCCCTGTAATTGATAAGGCCCTAAAGTTCTAGTCGGGGTCCACTACCTTCACCCGCTACCCAGTGAGTCCAACTTGATCGCGGGGTTGTTGTTGTCCATTACTACTGCACTCATTGAGGACTAAATCAGTTTCTTAGATTGGAGGCACTTAGCTAAATCGTCAATGGTTGGAATAGAAATAGATAGCTTTGAGCAGCTGCGTCAGGTGGACCTATTCGGTGCCTTGACAAAGACGTTTGCCGATGCTGAGTCTTCAAACAACCTTGTGTTTGTGAAGTCGAACAGTGAGCTCATCAGGGATGAACAAACTGGAATGATGGTAAGTGGCAATAGCTAATCATGTATTCTTATATTTTGGCAAATTCGGCTCATTAACACTTCTTTTAGTGCGAGTTGAAGATCGTGCAGGGTTTGGCCTCAAGGCCGATCAACAGACCAAGCGATCCCACTTCTTCCGCGGACGGAGCACAGAGAGAGAAAAAAGAGGAATCCAAGGAAGAAAAAGAGGAGAAACTGGCTCAGGTTCAGAGCAAAAATCCGTTCTTGTTACCAGAACCAGAATTGACTGTTAGTGATGATCTCTTGAAGGATTACAGATTGATTCTGAACAAGTATCCAAACAGCCTGGACCATTTTCTGATGGTAACCCGCAAGTTCGTACCTCAAGATACTTTACTTTCACCACTGGAACTTCAGCTTATGTATGGAATTCTGAAGAACCTGAACGATGCCAAAAACGGGGCCCGTTTCTTTGGCTTCTTCAATTCCGGACCCCAGAGTGGTTATTCGCAATATCACAAACATATGCAATTCATGAGAATACCTGACAACTTTCCAGTGTTTCCGGACTCAGTGGTCAATGGAGTTGAAGCGTTTTTGCCTGGAGATCTTGCCCATCAGAAACAGCCGATGAAGAACAACGACCTTTCTTTCCAGCATCTGATTCTGCCTCTGCCTTCTAAGTTCGATGATGACGAAGCATGTGAAGACTGGTTGTCCATGGCTTATATGGCACTTGTTCGCCGTGCAATGAACATATTCAAGGATTCAGACCTGGAATTTGAAAAGATTTCGTACAACTTCCTGATCACCGACAGATGGATGATGCTGGTTCCACGGAGGTTTGCACATCACGGCGTCATTTGGATCAACTCGCTTGGATTTTTGGGATTGTTTTCAACCAAAAATGAGGAGACCAAGCAAGTCATTTTGGATCTAGGATTCTCAACAATACTGAAGGAGGTGGGGTTTCCTAACGATGGTCAGGAACACCAGCCTGGTCCCAACGAGGCCTATTAAAAAGGTATGTGTGTTCTGACAGAAAGACTATAAGTGTGCTGCAAGTTTCTATAGATGAAATGGCAGTGTTAAGAAGGCAGGAACGTATATACAATGGCCGCTGGAAATAGTCATCCCAAGGCCTACTTCAAGAACTGCTAGAAGCACTCACTCTACACACTAAACATCGCCTTCATACGTCTTCTACAGTATCGGTTTGATTGACAATAATCTTTATGTTCGTCTTGATCGTTGTAATAAATGCTTCTGTACAGTTATTGTGACCTGCTTCGCAGCCCACTCGGCACCCCCCTCCAGTATAGAACTCGCTTGTTTCTTGAGCCTGAGCCTAGGCCTTCTGGAAAACAGCGTTGTCCAGCTCCTCCTTCTCTTGAGCCTCAAACTCGGCCTGCAGGATGTATGGGGTCAAATAGGCATCGTCCTCCTCTGGCTTAACCGACTTGGCAGCCGAAAGAACGTGGTGCGACAGCGACAACTGGTGAGCAGTCAGAATTCTGTAGTTTCTGGCATAACTCTCAGAAGCAGGCAATCTCGAGATCGCCTTTTGCATAACTGGAGTCTCTTCGATGAGGATATCGTCGAGTCTGGATGGATGGTTAGTAGCAGCTACTGGATGTGTTGAGACGAAGACAACCACGTCCGGTTTTATCACATCAAAATACGCTCCCAATACGGTTAAACAGTCCCGTTTAACCCAGATAGTTTATTCAGCGCTTCAGATGAAAGTCACACAAAAATTACTCACTTCAACCCCATCTGTCTGTAACCAGAGTAGGAGGTAAAGATCTTAGCAGCTGGACTGAAGATCTTGATCAAAAATGGGTTCTTGGTGATGGTGGCAGCAGCCTTTGCAACAGATGTCAAACTAGCCATTGTGTCAAATTTGATTGAAGATCTGTGTTGGTGTGGAGGTTTGAAAGTCCAATTGGTGAACTGTCTCGGATTTGAGTGATGTTGAATGATTCTTCTTTCATTGGATGGGTTTCTGGTTATGAGCCGTTGGTGCACGACCTTGCAAAAACGTACAACACTCAAAGTAGTTCCAACTCAATAAGTTGCCGCACAGAATGCTTCATAATATCCGGTTAATGTAAGTCGGGAGGACATAAATCTTACTTCGTTTGCGTCGGAAAATATTTTTAAGCCGTTACGCATTGACTGCTCACTTTGAAGGTATTGATTATCGACGTAAATGTCCGATTCGAGATAGGGATATATTTCAGCGGGGCGACAAAAGCTGCCAGACTAACACAGCGTTTTCTAACACCAGCATTGATACCTTACACAGATTCCGAAAAATGTAACAAAAAAGCATGAAAAATGGTGAACCGTTCCTCCCATTAATGAATAAAAAACCACCTCATCGGAATTGGCGAAGCGGCAGCAGAAAAGTAATAAAGCCAACTGGAATTCTCTGTGTCATTGTAAAGATGGATGGAATGCTGGCCTGATACATATAGTGGTGTCTCGGCTCCTTTGCCGAGGAAATAATAATGGTAATAAAAAATCGTCCCTTTTTAGATCATTTGGAATCATTACTCTCGCGTCTTTTTCTCATCCACCCGAACAGCCTTGAGGGCTTAGAGAGGGGTGGAACTTGTAAAAGCTCAGTTTTCTGCAGGGATCCGTTGGACTCAGCCACGTTCTTGGTCACCATTGGACCTGGCTCGCCAAAAATAAGATCATCATCGTTGTGAATTATTGTGGTATCATCATTTCTCAGTGTGGTGTCCATTCCAGTGGATTCAGGTGAAATATCGCCCATGAGTTCGTTGTATATTATGGAGTTCTTGGACTTGTGAGTCTTCGAGGAAGAGTTCCGCCTATGAAACCTGCTCGACAGCGAGTTGAACAGCGAGTTGCTTTTCTTGTGCTCACGCTTGGAAGCTACCGTAGATGCATTTCCTGCAACTGTAGACTTCTTAACTGGTGATCTCGACCTGGAGATTGAGAGTCTAGAGGAAGAATGCGAATGTCCTGCCGACTGAGATGCCGATTGACTAGACGACTGCGAGAAGGAACCCAGAGATTGGGAGTAACCGTGGTCACGATGAAACCCTTTAGGGATATCGTAAGGAACACTTTCGTACTGGAAAGGGCTCACTGAGGTCTTGAGACCCGACCCGAACCGCACGGAGTTTCTCACTGGCGATCTCGAGTTGGAGTTGGAGTTCGCACCAAGAGACGAAGGAGGAGGCATCAGACTCTTTCCCTGCTGTAAAGATCTAGAAGAACGCAGAAACAGGTTTTCCTTGTTGTTGTTGCACGAATCTAGACTCGAACGCTTCAGACTGTTTGGGGTAGACGAAGACAGCTGGTTGTTGTAGTAAGACTGGTATCTCACCTTCCCACGAAGCGAGTTGATGCTCGGGGTATTGATGGAAGAGACACCGGAAATCCTAGGGTTCTGCTGCTGTTGCTGCTGTTGAAGACTGGAGTTATTTGAGTTCAAAGACTGGTTGGAAGAGTTGTCCAGAGTCAATTTGCAATTAGAAGCCAAAGACGAGGAATCGCTCTGGCCAAACAACCGAAGTTCATCCTCATCTTCCTCTTCAATGTCCTCCACAATTGGATTCTCAGTTCTCTGGGGCGAGCCCAAGGTAAAACGCTTATCAGAACTGGGAGGATTGAAGAAGTTCTCCAGCTCGGGTGCACTGCCTGTCCGCTTGTGCTTGATCGTATTTGCGGTCTTCAGGTTCAAGATGTCATCTAGGTTGATCACAGCATCTGGGATATTGGTGAACCTGTCGATTTGCGCCTCCTCAGTCACAAAGAAGCGCGTTGGAGGCGACGCCGGAGTTGCCGGAGTAGTCAGAACAGGTGGAGCAAATGCCTTCAATTCGGAACAATCTGGAGTCAGGATTTGCACTATTGGCAAGTCAGTGTTCTCAATCGACTGAGAATCAAAAGGCCTGAGCGGGCTGGAAGTGACAGAGCTGGGAACCGAGCGAGACATCAAAGATGACTGGTTGGACCTGGAAGACCCGTTGACGGATAAGCTGTTGGAGCTATTGTTCCCCAGTTGCTGTTGAGGGGGCATGAAAAAGCTCACATCAAAATCACCACTAATGGCAGAAGACCTCTTGTGAAAATGGCCTCTTCTAGGAGCCTGTGTTGTTGTGGTAGCGCTCATGGTTCGTGGTCTAAGCCTTCTTCTGGAGGGCTATTTCCGTAGCAAGGTGAGAAAAACGAATAGCAAAAAATAGCAATTCGACGGGACAGATATGGAAAACGGGCTTCAAGTATCAAACTCGAAATCCCCTAAACTTGTTCTTCAGTTGGAAACACCAGCAACCAACGACCAAAAACCAACAACCAACAAGCCTGTTCGGTATGTAAATGAGTGACTAAAACCAATAAAAGCTTTCAATAACAAAAGAGAACCCTGAAATATTTTTCAAACACAGATCCAAAAGAACAAAACCAAACGCTTATTCAAGTCAGGGGGCTTGACTCAGAATGGTGGTGAGAATGTTGGACGTGTCACCTAGTTGGGGCTACCTTGTGTACGTCTCTCTCTCAGACAAAAAAAATGCAAACGAGTGACTGTTTCGAGCGAGACCAAAAACAAGTAATTTGGTCAAGCAGAAAACGTTTCAAGCACCAGAAATTCCCACCGGCTTGATAAGAAGTTGAGGGGCAGAGTTTAGTTTTAAATAGAGAAGACTGAAAGGAAGAAAATTTTGGGAACAGACGGATTTCTCAAGTCGCACCTCGGGTCTTTGAGACGCCTACCGAAAACGAGAAAGGCTTTTATGGTTTGGGGAGTCTGTATAAGCCGGATGTTTGCGGGACCCGGACACGGCAGAGTAAAATCCTGTTGAAAGGGGTATAGCCTCAAAACAGACATCTGCATGACGCACTCGAACTGAAAAAAAGCTTCCATGGCGCTTTTTGAAGGGTCAGAGACAAGAAGGTAGTGGATGGTAAGTGAGAGGGCTTAAGTTTTCTACTTTGTTTCACACAATAAAGCAGCGGCTTTGTTTATAATGAGTTCTACCTTTTGTGATTATCTTCAAAGATATGTCTGGAAATTCAGGAGTGTCTTATATTGTCATTCCACACAACCTCAGAGAGTGTCCAGGCGATGCGGACCTCGCAGCACCTGGCAGCACCCAGTGAAAAAATCCCGAACATACGGGGATCAGATTGAATTCGTTATTGAGACATGCATGCCCTGCTAAAACTGAACGAAAACTTGATAATAAGTGATGCTTATCTCTAAGGCCCACCGTAGGACCGCCGGATCAGCGTTATCTACAGTTGTTGGTGCGCATGCTTAGCTTTTAGGCCTTACTGCATGATTTTTTGCGAGATTGAGATTCATGAGTTTCGTTTGAGCCCAGAAGTCTGAGCAGTCGCACTGTGTCAGATGAACCAAAGTTACTGCGAGGGCTGTACGGTGGTGGTGTCTAGTGCAGTGCTGTTACTTACAAGTGGTCTGGAACATAGTATATATTGTAATCTTTTTGTTTCTAGCGGAAAAAAGACTCCTTGATTATCCAAACCGACTTACGAGCGTGCCTTCCCATGTGCCTTCACTAGTCTGCAAACCATCTAATTTGTCTTGCCGATGCCGATGGACCAACCAGTTTTCTGCTTTTTATTGGTTGCAGGAGTCTGTACCGTGCTCAACTAGTTCTCTAACGGGCATATCCTGGAGATCAGTTCGCCTCACTGGAGTGGTGGTTTGCGCACCGTGTCATAGTCCACGGATGAGGCGTGGTCTAGAATGTGACGGCACAGGATATTCCTATTTGTGACTGACTGGGATTTCCTACGTCAAGTCTTCTAGGTCCTCTTGACAGCATGGCGTTATCATCGCGGTAGCCTCGAGATACTTTTCACAGCAGGACAGGAAAAGCAATGAATTGTTCATACAGCATGATTACATGCTTGATGGCACGTCTGGTGGCATACCCTTACACAAGTCTGATGACATGCGTTCCGGAGAACCGGGGATCAATTCTCCTACTGATATACTTTCTCTTCCGCACCACATAGGTACTATTTAGCGTCCGATTCCTGTTTTCGCTTACGTCTGGCAAGGACGGGAATTTGGACATGGAGTTAGCCTGAAATGATTTGTTTGTTGCCTTCTGTGGGGGCGATTATACGCCAGTTTCTTTTTCGGGGTCCACTGATGCATCTCTGTAAATTTTCCTATTCTGGACAGATGAGTGGTTTTTACATCAGTCGGGCTACCATTCCATCCGAGATTCCCAGAGGGGTCCCGACTCACGTCATCTCATGGTGGCACTGAATAATATGAATAATAAACTCATTGCTGAAATGCAGCCGGGTGAGTTGTAAGGGGTTTCCAAGTAGTATGGGACGACAAGCCCCGGCTCAGTCCATGTTGTTGTTTTACGACCATGTTATTTTACAACCATGCTATGAAACGATCATCACGGTTTGACTAGGTTGAGTTGCAACAGTCGCCGTACGACAGCTGTTTTGTAGACCGAAGGCAAACTTTAAATACCGTTTAGACACACTGTTGCTTCCCATGGGTACTAAACAAGCCGCATCAACTCCTTTTGTACCGGCCGGATGCGGTCACTCAACCGGCGTTTCGGGCCAGTTTCGGTTTGACTTCGGCTCATTTCCCCTCGTTACCAGGAGGAGATAGCGTAAATGATGAAAGCTGAAAAGACCCGCTACAAGCAGTGGTGTATCAGCCTACGGCACAGATTGTCTTTTAAAAGATCAAAAATGGATTTGAAAGTTGCTGGAATACTCAACGCATGAATCAGATAGATGCGGTCTCCTCATCAAGTTTGGTAACATCGAAGGATGCGAAATGTCTCGCAGAAACTCCACGCTCGAATAAAATGTCAATCTCCTGGAAAGACTTATTTGCAGTTTCTGGTAGTCTGAAGTACGTCCACACGGTGAGGATGAAGCTGAGACCGCCAAATAGAAAACCAGTTTTGCCTCTCCATCCATCTGCGAACATGTATGGAAGACCAGCACCAAAAGCAATGCCGCATAATGACGAAGAAGCGAGACTCAAGGCGATAACACGACTCTTCAAACGAGTAGATGGTATTTCACCCAGGATTACGAAAGTGAGAGGGCCAATGGTGATCTGGTAAATGGCCTGCCAGAAAACCATCATAACGGCCTCACCCCATCTAAGTCCACTATCTTTGAGGTAGTTTGGTGCCGAGTCCAATCCACCCATTATGATGAGAACTACACCTAGACCTGCACAACCGAACAGGAATATTGGACGTCTTCCGACGTACCTCATGAGGGGCCACGAGAGCAGCGTCATGGTGAAACCAATGGCATTGACACCAACAGCTAGGTCAAAGGCATTCTTAGTAGTGAGACCAGCCAGTTCGAAAAAGTAAGTTAGGTAACTAACATACCAGTTTCCCACAAGAACCTGCGCGCAAAACACTCCGACACATATTTCTGTCCTTCTGATGCTCACTTTTTTGAAACACTCGGCATAACTAGCGGCGGCTTCAACTTCCTGTTCGAGATCGTTTGTTTCTTTCATGAGTTCAATCAGCTCATCTGTTTGCGATCCCTCCTCGGTATCCCATCCTAATTTCGTCAATGAGATTTTGGCATCGCTAATTCTGTTTTGACGCACAAGCCACCATGGAGATTCAGGGCACCAGAAAATACCGGCCAAGATTATGGCAGGCCATGCCCATTGGACTGCAAATGGAATGCGGTAAGACCATTGAGTGGTCATGTTCTGGCAGCCAGCTTGAACACCCTGGGCGGTGAACTGACCAATAACAAAAGCCAAGTTACTGATGGAAGAGACAATTGGTCTCAGAGGCAGAGGAGCAATTTCAGCAGCATAGGTTGGCGAAAGAGCCACGAACACACCCCAGACGACACCTGCAATCATCTCACCGACACAGATGGTGCCAATATTTTTGGCGAAAAATTGAATAAAGTTGAATCCCGTGACAAGGATGCACGAAAAAATCATTGTGTTCTTTCTTCCCCATTTCTCCATGGGCCATGAACAGAGCAATGGGCCAAGAACTTGCCCAATAGGAGAACCCATACTAAGGCCAGTCTGCCATGCGGCTGTGATCTCGTATCCACCGTCCCCGTCGGGCTGTCCATATTTTTTGGCAAAAGAAGGCAGAGCATAAAAGGTTGAGATCAACGCCTGATCATAACCGGTCATGACGATACCGAGAGCCATGAACAATGCCCAGAACAATGCCATAGGATATTTCTTCAGGGCCTCTCTTATTGTCAGGTCCTCCTCGGTCATCTTCTTCGTCTTCTCGGCAATAGTCTTGATCTTTACATCAAGATCAACGGCCGAAGCCACCGGAACAACTGTTGTACCAGGTAGCTGTTTCTCGTCCATATTAGTTGTGAAGAATTATAGATATAACTCAACTTCCCGCCAAAGTGGATGATCGTGAAATATTTCCAGATGGACTTCTGTTTGTCTATTTGCGAATTGATCTGGAATTGATCTGAAATTGATTCATAAAATAGTTATGGGGGCCAATTAGGGCTTATATATTGTGCAGGCTCCTAGGACCGATTTCGTATGCATGAGGTTTATCAATAAAGATCAGATTAGGCTTGGTACTTTGAGTACTCCCACACGCATGCCCCGTGTTTTCTGCACCAAATTTGATAGATAAGCCATTACATGATAACGATATGCCCACTGTCAATAGAGATAAGGTACATGTGAGAAATTGTAGTACAAAAAACACAGATACGATACGCTTAAGACAAGTAAACTACCTTCCTTTCTTGACCACCTGGTTTTTTCCGTATAGTATATGGAGATTCCGTGAATTTTCACTAATCTTAGATAAAGTAAAAATCAGGAAGGAAGAGAGCATGCCTCCTTGCATGCAATCTGCATGAGCATCCAAATCGGGCAGTTAGGTAGCACATCGAGAAGTTGATCCGGCCAAATAATCCTCGGGATAACCCATCGACTGAAGCTTCCGAAAGAAATGGGAAGGACTGCGGTTGATAATAAAATTCAGCTTAACTTCAAGTAGGGAAGCATACTTATTGAGAGTTGGTCACTTCTGATGTCTGATGCTACATTGGCTTAGCAAGGCAGGGGGAGCAGAGGAAGTCTGGAATGGGAGCCACAACAAGCCCTGGATGAGCTCACAAGCGCAGAAAAGATAATTCCTAACTTCGGAATATGACTCCCGGTACACTTAGCCAACTCTGAGACTCCACCTACAAAGTTTACTAGACATATATGAGAGTTGAGATTGGCAGGAGATAACTTGTTATTTTTTGATGGGCTTACCAAAATGGAGAAACTGGATGGTGCAGAAGTCATTCGGTTTTGCGTAGAATCCACTTCAAGGCTGCAAGACCTTGAATGATTTTGAAGTCATAAGAACATGAATTCAGATGATTTATTTGCGGGCATCACCAAGTCAAATGCATCAGAAACATTCATACCAAAAGTATATGCCTTCTCTAAGGCATTTTTCATATTGAGAACATTTCCGGAGTGGAATCTGTTGATACAGACAGTCAATAGATGACAAACAAATTGCCTATGGCTTGGAAGCCGAGCATGCTTTGCAGCAAGATAAATAGGCCAAAGCATCTGCATCTCCAGAGCAGTCTCAAATTCGAAATATTGAAGCAAATCAACGAGCTCAAGCTCAAGCTTGTCAATGATATTGGAGGCATTCTCAACCTGGTATAATTCAGTAGCCTCGATCAATGCTGACAGGGACCAGACCTGGGCTATTCGTAATCGAAGCATGTATAACGAATCTATGTTGATGCTGTTTGTGGAGCCAGCCGACAACGAGGATGTGTCTAGAGGGAGATATGATCTGTAAGCTTCGATTCTGGCTCTGAGACTTGAATAGGATGCAACTAGAGCCGCATCCGAAGTGAACCACGACTCGGAATTCCTTTTTCTGCATTTCATTTCTGCAATGCTATGAATACATTCCAGGATTTCGGGTGGACAGCCCACCACCTTGAGACAGTTTGACCTATCTTCGGAAGTAAAGCAAAACACAGCAGGACAGCTTGGTGATCTCCAGGCTCTAGACGAGACAGACATTATTATTTCGTTGTAGTACATCTGATAAGCAAAGTAGTCAAGACTCAGCTTGTCGACCACCGCAGCCTTCTTCATCTCTTTGACAATTGTGGAAAACACACTCATGAGACAAGGGCATAATCTGCTCACTCCATCATCGAAGATTTCGTATAGCAAGATGATGTAGATGTAAGTCATGATCAGAATTGAATTCTGGATGAACGTGTCGGCATTCGCCTTCAACTCCATTACCATCTTTTTCAGTAAAGCTGAATTATTTTGCCACGAATTCAAGTTATTGTCAGAGAAGACGATATCAGAAAAAGGCAGAATATTCCCGAGCCGAGTTATCATGTTCTCGAGATACTGAACAGCCTTCTTATAGTGAAATAGGCTTTTCGTTTTCTGTGATATGTGAATGCAAGCAAGCGAGCAAAACCCATCTCGAAGGCTTTCATAGGGACAATATTTCAATGCAAATTCGTACCACGAATTGACTGGTTCCTGATCAATCAGCAAGCTGAAAGTGTTGTAGAAATGTTTCAGTAGAGCAGTATCATCCCAATGTTCAGACTCCTCGCTGAAGTCACTCCTATCAGTAATTGAATGGTCCAGAATGGACATTATCATGTTTGGTTTCACCGATTTGCTATCAGCATGTGCCGGTTCTTTGAAAATGTCTCGGCCTCTGGGTCTCCCCCTGAAACCTACTACGATACGACCATTGGTATTCACCTTAATTGACTGGTTTCTCTTGTCATCAACATCAAAAACAATCCTTTTTCCATAACCTTGGCACAGCCTTGCAGTGGTTAAGCAATTGAGACAATGCGGCTTCGTTTCGTCACACTTTCGCCGTCTGGGGTTGAATATATGTTAGCGGATTCACGATTCCTGAAGCAATGCGGGCTTGACTCACCTTCTTCGGCAATTCCAACATCCTTTAAAACTCCGCTTGGGTTTTGAAATCCCTGACTCAGAAACAACATCGCCCATGTATAGTCTAAAAGGGAGACAGTGACAAACCGCTACTTCGGTTTTCAGGGATGTACTAATCAGCGACTGGAGACTTCTTGATGAGTGGTTGAACCGACCATTATTCCGAGGGTGCAATGTACCGGAACTTATCTTGTTAAAAATTGTGCATCTCACTGACTCTTGTTAAAATACGGACTTGTACGAAATTGTGCAGCGAAAACAAGCTTAAATGTCAAAGTAACGGAAGCATAAAATTGTTCTATGCTCATTTGTAGAAATTTTGAGGCGCTCTCTCTTACCAGTGAGTGGGCTGCTTTTTCTTGTCCTAAGGAGTTGGTGAAGCTATCCTTATGCCAGTAGAAGATGTCAATTTTCTGACGAGTCAACTCTGAAGCAATAGTTGTCTTGTTTTCTCCAAGGCTCCCTCCCCTACGATGCATTTCCGAAGCTTCAAGGAGTGGGAGTGCATGAGCAAGCTGAGAGGTGCTAAATTTAAGGTTCTTCTGTACGGATATGAAAGGGATAGTTGCTGAACCGTGCATGAATTGGCAATCACATACACATTTGGAACTTCCTTTCTAGCTAAATATACTGCCGGGTTCACGATAATCTCCAGGTCTTCTAGAACGTTTTTTTTCGAATATTCCTTCAAGATTTCCTGTTGACGCTGCATCATCTGTTTGACATCGCCATATCTATGTGTGTAGAGTGCGTCATGATCTGCTTGACTGCCTGACGCTCGAACGCATTTCACTTGAGACTTGGCTGTGAAGGAACTGACTCTGCCTGATGGGCATGCCAATGGTCTAGCCAAGCGGTGAATCGATATTGCGAGCTGGCTGGCGAAGGAAACTTGAGTTGTGAAATTAGTCGGAGATTACTTTACTTGCAGGGCTTCTTTTTTGAAGCAATTACTTAGGCCATGCAATAATCACTTTTTTACCGCCATTTTGTTCCTTTTTTTGTGTCTATGTTATTGAGAAGTCCTCAATAGCTGGACCCTTCTGGTGACATGAATCTATCAATAGCAAACAATTTATTATACATATAAGAGGTCCTACTTGAAAAGTTTTTTTTCACCTGTTGGTCCGTCGTGAGCTTTTCACGTCTGGTCGAGTTCAGTGAACTGAATGTCACCTCGAGGTTTTTCAAAAGTGTATCCAGATAGGCCTACCTCCAGCCTATTCTGTCATGATCCGATTACTGTAAATCAAGTAATTTTTATTTGAAATGAAAATTAGATAATGATGAATAGCTGAGTAATAAATTCATTATAAAAAAATCACGTGCCAATAAATTCAAAACGCTATATTTACCCATTGCGTTTTTTTGTTTGTAATCTGCGGGTTTAGCTCAGTTGGGAGAGCGCCAGACTGAAGTCAAACTTTGGTCAAACATTGGTAATCTGGAGGTCCTGTGTTCGAACCACAGAACTCGCAATTCTTTTTTTTAGAAAAAAAAGATCCAACATATTATTTTTCGCTTAGAAAAACAAGACCAAACTCGTACGACGCCTCCATTTGAACAGACCGCGCCATCAGTCAGTTTACACCCGGTGTTCCTTGGATCCTATCTTACCAATGCGGAACAGCACCAGAAGGAGGCTCCCTATTACATCATAATACAAACCGGTTCTCCATTTCAAAAACCGCTATCATTTGACTAGTTAGGGTATGGCAATGATTTTGGACTCCGGAGGTTTTCTGTTTTTATGTAGCAATGTCCGAGAGGCTTAAGTGCTAGTCGGCAATAGACTTCGATATTGCTAAGAAATTAATGCTATCGACAGCCTCCACCCTAACCAAGCCTTCGACAATGGGACAAAAGTATTCTCGCTTCAACCAATAACGTCTTATCAGTCCAGGATAGTTGCCTGATTTATTCCAATCATTTGGCCGTTTTTCGCTTCAATTATCGTCCCTTATTAGCAATCGTTGCCATAAAGAGTAGTCGAAATACAAATCTCGCACCGGAGTGCCGATGCCAACGGCCTTATCCGTCTTATCGATGCAGCTCTGGCAATCGTACCAAACGCGGGCGTTGGGTGATTTTGTGTCGAGTTTCGCCGCCTGTTATATATACCTTGTTGTGTTCGTCAGCAGATTAACTCTGGTTATTTTGAAAGAAACACAGAATAATCTACATTTCAACAATATCAACATCCCCTATTTCAACCATGGCTCCCACAGTATTGACTGCTTCCACTTACGGAAAAGACAACGTAAAATTCCTCAAGGTCAAAAAGGACCCATCCAACCCCCAAAAACAGGAGGTCATGGAGGCTACAGTCAAGATCCTGTTGACTGGTGATTTCGACATTTCCTATACGAAAGCAGACAACTCGCCTATTGTTCCCACCGACACTGTCAAGAACACCATTCTGGTGGAGGCCAAGACGTTTGACATCTGGCCCATCGAGAGGTTTGCAGCCCATCTTGCTGAGCATTTCATCAAGAAGTACAGTCATGTTTCTGGAATTGATGTCACCATTCACCAGCATCGCTGGTCAAGAATCACCAAGGAAGACGGAACTCCATATGACCACTCTTTCTTGAAGGATGGCGAGGAGCTAAGAGTGGCTTCTTTGAATTACAAAAGAAACGGGGACTTTGTGCTGACTTCTGGACTGAAGGACCTGACTGTTCTCAAGTCCACCGGGTCAATGTTTTATGGATTTCACGACTGTGACTATACCACACTTATTCCCGTGACCGACCGTATTCTTTCTACCGATGTGGATGCTGCATGGGAATGGGATAGCAAGAAGCTCGGTTCTATCAAGGCCATCTATGGACTTGCCGAGTCCGGTGCCATTGATGCTGCCTTCAAGCACGCCAGACAAGTGACTCTGGACTTGTTTGCTATCGAAAACTCGCCTTCTGTCCAGGCTACCATGTATAACATGGCTTCCAAGATCTTGTCGCTGGTTCCTCAGGTCAGGACGGTGTCATACTCGTTGCCCAACAAGCACTATTTCTTGATAGATTACAAGTGGAAGGGCCTCAAGAACGACAACGAGGTTTTCTATCCATCTCCACACCCCAACGGCCTGATCAAATGTACCGTTGCGAGAGATATCAAGGCCAAATTGTAATGAGATTTTTCTAGACTTTTGATAATGTACCCGGGGATTGGTCTTTTGGCGGCCATTTTTTGTAACGAATGCATGGGTTTTTGCTCCTTTATTTTTCAGAAGTGTCCGTATTGTCTCGTAAGAACGGTTGCAAATTGTGGTGATTATATGGATATATAGTCGGTGGGGATGGGTGTTTGTTGAGAGGTGAACAAGACTGATGATATCTGTAAGATCAAACCAGTTTGCTCAATCACTGCCAATATTCCAAAAAATTGAGCCACCTCTAATAAATGAACCAGTATTTCTCGTATCAACAAGTCAGAACATGTCATTACGATTTGGAGATCAACTTACCCTTGTGTCCAACTTCCCTCTTGTTCAGGTCAGATACCCAATTCTATGGAGCGCGACTGATCACTGTAGTATGTCGATCGGCTAACGATTGACCATTCAGACCAGCCACCACCTTTCGATCAAATCACCTGCCAACAAATCGATAACAATCGTGTCCTCCACTGGGCCATTCTTCATCTCCTGTTTCCTGTTGTCGATACTTTGAGATCGTTCTTAACACCGATCAACCATCTGGGCCGCACGCGCCACACGGGTTAGCCAGCACACTACCATGATGGCAACTCTTCCAACACCCGAGGACAGATGGTATCAACGACTTACGCCTCCATTCCTCAATCTGCAATTCTTAATTCTATAGCGGTGGTCATGTTTAGTAGGATTGGAATCAATGCCTTTGGCAGATTTAACAAACCTAGTTTTGGGAGGGTGTTCAAGAACTATGCCAGGAGAATGAACTCCACTTCGTCTTCGGGGCCCCAGAAGAAACAGACAGGCATCAAAGGATTGGTTCAGGAATATGGTTACAGTGCTTTGGGAGTATATCTCGGATTAAGCTGTCTTGATCTACCCATTTGTTTTGGAGTGGTTCATTACGCAGGAGCCGAGAAAATTTCTGAGTGGGAGGATGTGGTGAAAGAATGGATTGGACTAGGAAAGAAGACAGAGGAAGAGAAGGCAGAAGCTTCCAAGAAGTCTCCCAGTTTGCTTACGGAGTTTGCAGTAGCATACGGAATTCACAAGTCGCTGATTTTCATCAGGCTACCGCTGACTGCTGCAATCACACCATCTATTGTGAACAAACTGCGTGCTTTGGGGTTCAACATTGGAAAGACAAAAGTGTCAAATGTTGCTTCAGCCGCGGCAAGATCGGTCTCCGAGCACGGAGTGAGGCAGACAATTTCCAAGGAGGGAACAAAGACGCTAATAGCAAAGGCTAACAGCGGGACTCCGACTCCGATCAACCCAAAGTTCGGCAACAGCCGTCCCACCAAAGCACAGAAGTGGTGGAATTGGTTCTTCTGAAAGAGAGAGAAAGGACAAACAGTGATGCAAGCACATTTAATCTATGATACATGTATATAACGATAGTCTCTGCCATCCCTATCTGAAACGCGAGTAGTACTTTTCCTCGGCGAACCTTTTTTCAATGAGATCCAAAACTTCCTTTGGATAGACATCTTCGACTTTCTCACCTCCAAGTAACACCCTTTGCTCGTGCTCCTTCTGTTCTTCCTTGGTCATGATAAGACAGTTCTGTAGAGAAAGCTCCTTGGAAGGATCCCATCTGGAGAGCGTCAGACGAGTTGAATAACCCGAAATAGGAGATTTTCCTCTAAAGACCTCTTCCAGAATATAGTTGATATCATGCATTGCAATTTGGACTCTCTGGTCCGATTTATGTAGACGAGATTGTTGGGCAGCAAGACTCTGGAGAATGCCATCGTAGACTTTGTATCTGTTTTTACCTTCCACTGGATCAATAGGGTATCCAGAAACATGAGTAATCACGTACGTTGCCAAAGCCAAACCGAACATCCCCGGCATGGTTCCCATCACGGGCAAGATCCTCACTCTGAAATTTTTTAGCGCACTGAGTTCGTCCACATGGCCCTTCTCAAACTCTTCATCTGGTAGAGGCAGCAAAGATGCCTTTCTTGGATCGGGTTTCTCAGCAGAAAAGACAACTGGAATTCCAGTGAAAATTCCTCTTTTCTTGAGCCTTCTTCTTACTGATCTTGCTAGCGAATCCTCGTCAGTGGTGGAAATATCACCAATGTTGATTCTGGATGGATCTGATTTGCATGCTGCACCCATTGAGGAAATCACCCGAAGTTTTCTGTCATGACAGAAAGCGAGCAAATCGACTTTCGTGTCTATGTTATCAATGCAATCCACTATGTATGTTGGGTTTCCCTCCACCAACAATCTCTCGGCCTGTTCTATGGTCCATAGTTCGTTAATGGCCTCGACCTCCACCCAGGGTGCAATCTCAAGCAAATGGCTCTTCAAACACTCAACTTTAGAAACACCAACATCACCAACCCTTGCAACTGCATGTCTGTTCAGAGACGACAAGGTGACCTGGTCAAAATCAATGATCCTAATCTTGGACACTCCAGATCTCACCAACGCAGTAACACAGTTTGAACCAACACCACCGGCACCAACGACAACCACAAACTGCTGGCGGACCTTCTCCATGCCTTCCTCACTTAAAAAAACGTAGTTCCTCGCAAGTTGTTCGCGTATTAACTCTTCTGAGTATTTGATCTTGGGCACGTTTTTAGACTTGGTAGGAACCGCACTTGCTCTTTTGGTCTTGAGGTAGAAATGGACGGATTCAACTACTCCCACCGTCAGGACGGCAGTTAAAGTCATATAAGATGCCAGCCTACCGCTTGACGACATCCTTTGATTCTCGAAGACTGTTCGTTGTGGAGAAAATTGGGCAGCTGGGGCCTCTGAAAAATTTCCTCAAGTTTACCATGCATCTAAGGAAGACGCAATGCAGGTGCCGCACTACCGATATTATGCCGCAGGGTATGTACCTTGAAAAAAAGTTTAGTTGATTGAAAGAACAGAAATTGATTTTATTTTTTTATATCAGAAACAATAAGAAGAACGATAAAATCCCGCCAAAAACAGAATAAATTGGCGAGGCAATTTGAGGGTTTGCAAGCCCAGAGAATGTGGAGACAACATGTGTTGAGGAAACTGCTGTGCTAGCCACACTTGCAGATGGGGTCACAAACGCAGTATTCAGCGTAGAAACTGGTACCACCACGCTATTCGACAGAGTGGAGTATACTGTCAAGTAAAGGAAGCTTGTAGTTACAAGCTCCTCGGTTGATGTCGCAGAGGAAGAGTTGGTCAGAATCACCGAGACTCCAGAAGAGCCGGGGTTTTCAGCAACGCTCGACCCTGCAGAAGACGTTTCAGAAACGGAAGACAACAATGAAGTCTGTTTGCTAGTTTTTGATGCTTTGCTAGATGTCAGAGAAGAGCATGGGACAACTGTGGTGACGGTAACGTATTCAACAGTGGTGCCCGTGGAGTCTCTGCTGCTGCTGGGAATAACCGTCACGAATGTTGTATAGGAGCTTGAAGTGTTGGAAGATTTTGTTTTGCTCAAGGAGACATGTAGAGGAGTTTTCGAGGCAGAATTTGTGATCACTGAAGCTGACAAGAAGGTAGTTGTGACGCCACGGTTGTTGACTGAAGTGCATGGAACGGTAGTGGTGATGACCTCTAAATATGTGGAAGTTGTGGTGAGATCTGAAGAGGTCTTCGAAACAGGCACAGAGGAGGTGGAAGAAGAAGAAGGCGACAAAGGAGGCACAGATGACGAAGATAAATATGGTGAAGAAGAAGAAGAAGAAGAAGACGAAGAAGAAGACGAGAAAGAAGAAGTAGACGAAGAAGAAGACGAGAAAGAAGAAGTAGACGAAGTAGACGAAGAAAGTGAAGGGGACGAAGAAGAGAAAAAAGAAGAACTCCAAGTTTTGGACTTTGAAGAGGTTAGAACAGGACTTGATGTAGTTTCTGAGCTCACAGAAGAAGAAGAAGGAAGAGAACTGGTGGAAAGAATGGAAGTCGAAGAGAAAGAAGAAATAACGGTCTTGGATGAACTTGGAACAACGCTTGAAGTTGGTGAATCTCCACATGAACCAGATGAAATTGCTGTCGAGGACACAACTGAAGAAGGAATAAAAACTGCAGAACTGAAAGAATGTGATGAGTGTACACTGGTGGAGACATGAGAAGCAACTGATGTCTGACTGCTTGTAACGACTTCGCAAGAGGGACAGACAGTATCTGTGACAGTCGATAATAGGCCGGTTTGAGTAACGCTTGTATCAAGAACACTGGATCCTGAACTTTCCACCTTGGTTGAAGAAGATGATTTCGAGGAGGTATTTGAGGAAGAGGTGGGAGAGGTTGATGACTTACTGGTGCTCTCATGGCAAGCAGTGCAAACAGTCTCCGTAACAACACTTTCAGGTACTTCAACAACTACGGTTACCTCAGTTGCACCTGAGCGAATTGACTCAGTGGAAGTGGTAGTATATGTTTCTGACCACGTGGAGGTAATTGTGGTAGTCTTTGGGGGTACTTCTACCAGAACCGTCCAAGCAGTTGCGGTGCTCTCCAATGGAAGTGTTGTTCTTGAAGCATAACTTTCGGTCCAGGTTGTTGTTGAGGTAAAAGTTGGTGCTGGAAGATCAACCACCACAGTAACCTCTGTCGCTCCGGATCCAATTGATTTTGTGGTAGTGGTGGAATAGTCGGAAAACCAAGTAGAGGTCAAAGTCGTTGTTTTGGGAGGAAGTTCCACCACAACAGTCCAAGCAGTTGCAGCTTCCCCCAGTGGAAGCGTCGTTGTTGAAGCATAGTTTTTGGCCCAAGTTGTTGTTGAAGTAACAGTAGGTGCTGGTAAATCAACAACCACCGTAACCTCCTTTGTGTCGCTGCTATATGCCGCCGTGGTTGTGGTGGCATAATCGGAAAACCACGTAGAAGTAACTGTGGTTGTCTTTCGTGGAACTTCTACGACAACAGTAATTGTTGTCTGATCACTGGAATATGGAAGGGTGGTGGTACTGGTGCTGTCTTTTGACCAGGTACTGGTAATGGTTTCATGAGCTCTGGTCTTCTTGATCACTGTGGTGACACCTACATCAGATGTGATATCTGTCACTATAGTGGAAGTCTGAACAGATTGCGAGCATGAAATACACGTGGAAGTAGTAACGAAGGTATGAGTTTCCCGCTTTTGAAGAATATTATCTGGAAAGATTGAGGCTGTCGCCAAATGTATCAAGAGTGCTAGCACAAAGATAATATGACTTGTAGCTCTCATCGAAAAAAGGAGTGACGGATAAAATATTATGAATGGGCCATCACATCAAGAGATTCACACTTTAGTAAAATGACAAGCTATATATGAATGGCAAAGAACATGCGAGTAATATGACTTGTACTATTTGAAACAACTATATTTTCTCGAACTGGTCTCCAAAGGCACCTAATCATGCGGCGCACGAAAGCTTAATTTCTCTTTCCAGCAATCGCAATTGCCGTCCAAAGACACATAATATTGCAGAATTAGCCTTTCAGAGCATTTTGAGTCTCTAATATTAGTGACCGTATGTATTTTTGTCTCTTACAATTAATACTCTTGTAACATCTGTTTCTTAATGCCAACGTCAGGGTTGCATGAATTTCTGCGGAGGTGCATATGCCTTTGATACAACAGTATGAAACCGTACGCTTTAGGCAGTCGCGTCACAAACACGTCTAGCATTTGTTTCTAGTCCTTACCCCGAAGGAAGTGAAAGATACAGAAATGGGCATCCCAATTATAAACTTCGACGAACCGTACCTCTTTGGGCCCAAATGAGAACTAGAGGTCGGGAGCCCCATCCGTAATGGTGCTCATCTTCGTTTGTCCACTCCAATACGGTAAATATCAAAGGGATCAACACCAGCTTATGGGCTCTTTGATATACTTAAACTGGTGTTAAAATCAGGTATATAATGATTGTTGTAGACGGAGACGTTAATAGATCTCGGAAGACTTCGATTTCAAAAAAATCCTTTTTCTGTGCCATGAACCCTAACGCATGCCTTGCGCTCCTACTGCTACTGGTTGCATTTAGTAGGTTGAATGAATTTCGAGTCCTTTGTTCTCTCAAGCTCTTTTGAAAGTTTTCTGAGTAATGCTAATACAATACCCTCTTCTAGCTCTTGCTGACGATGACGAATACTTTTACGAAACATCCATCTACACCACAGTGATGACTTTCAACACAACCATATACTCCAAGTTCACGACAACTATATGCTCACCTGCTACTGAGACAGTCACCAGCTATGACCAAACTTATGTCTTGATAAACACGTGTGCTCCTGACTATACCCCAGACACAAGCACGACGATAACAGTGGTGACTACGCCTGATACTACGACGACCACAACCAGTACAAGACACCATCTGTCCACCACGGGAACCACCACATTAATTGAATGGGAAGATTGAATAATTAGGAATAGAATTCGAATGTTTAGTAATTAATACCTATATTCACTTCGTTTGTCCGATTGTTACCAAAAAAAATAATGATGAGAGTCACGAGATTCGAACTCGCGCATCCGAAGATACCACAGTTTTTAAGTAAAAACCTAAATGTGGCGCCTTAACCACTCGGCCAAACTCCCTATTATTTCAGAATTTTTTTGCCCAGCCACCTACATCGAGTATTAGCATTACTTTAGCGTATACACGACTTACTAAAGCTTTTTGAGACGATTTCCGCATATTTTATGAGTTTGGTAACGTCTATCGGTTATTCATAAATGATTGGGACTATTTTGGCAAAAGGGTTAGCGCAGAAACAATCGCTTGTTATGTAGTTACACCTAAATCTGAGATATATCTAAGAGGCACCCTTATTTGGTGTTCGACATCATGCTGCTGAGAATCGATTGATTGGTCACACTTCTTGGTATTGGATTGGAAGATGTGCGGTAGCCGAGAACACTCTTTCTTGGCTGTGAATGGCGGAAAGTCATGGAACGCTCGATTTCCGTCTTTTGGTCCAGTTGATACGACAAGTCGTACTGGTCTTCGTCTTTGTCATCAGCACCATCCACGCTTTTGTGTATCAAGTAGCGGAGGGAGTTATACCAGATGTTGTGCCTTTGTCTGGTTGGACATGTGACCCTGATGGTGCGTTCCGAACAATGAATGAGAATGCTCTTATGGTAGAGGCCAACAGGCAATGGGTTGTTATCATCAACGCTCTCAACTCCCAGAATGGCAGCAGCTCTGATCTTGTTGTCCGATGGGTTTCCAAGAACAGGATTCACAGTAGACCAGTATAGTGTCATACTATATGGATGGACCCAGAAATATCTTTCGTGTCTGTTCTCTGATATCGAGCTGAGAGGGCCCAAACGACGATAGTACTTGTAGAGATACTCGCCAATCATGGTTTGAGTAATCGCAGATACCATGACTTTATCAGTGAAAGAGATCTCAGTACCAATGGAGATCTGAGAATGTATAGAGTTGGCCGAGGTGCTCTGCAGTAGACGGTCCAGAGATTTTGGCGGCTCAATGATAGAATCACCAGCATTGGAAATACCTCTGTTGTGTAGAGATACCCCAACCGGTTTTTCAGGCGACTGGGGTGAGATTTCATCACCCTTGCCACTAGAGTTCTTGTACCACGTATGACTCCTCACCAGTTTGTTGTAATACGTCGCTGGAACAGCAACAACCTTATCAACATCCGGTTCTTTGGCAACAGTGGTGGCGATATAGGCTGATTTAGGGATTAACAAGAAACCTTTGGATACCGCAAAAGTTCTCATACTTGATTCCGTGATGGCAATCTCATCCGCACTCACCAACTTCAAGTTCAGTTCAGCTGCTTTTGCCGCAAGGTCTTGCGTCGTCACATTTCTGCTCTTCAACTTGTCAAGGGCAGCAGGCGTGGTGACGACTAATCCAAGCTTTGATGCCAGGAGCTCCAAGTTGGCTTTGGAGTCATCAGATGAATTTGCAGCCGATTTTGACTTGAGCATAGATAACTCATCTTTGTTGATAATCACACAGCCCAGATTCGCTGCTGAATGTTCCAACAATTTTATATCCACTATATCGTTGTGCTCTTTCAATGCTTTCAAACGGTCCACCTCTGGCCTACTCAAAACATCATAACCCGCTTCATTTGCAAACCTCTTGATCTCCTCAATAGAAGGACTTCTGAGTTCACCAGATAATCTGCCTGACGTAACCGTCACTCTTTGAGCCGTCATATCTTCAATTGAAGTCTCATCACCTGACAGTTCTTCATCAAGAGGAGCTAGTCTGTATCCAAACGAGAGAGCTCTTGCCCGCAACCAATCTTCGTTTATGTCCTCCTTGGTCAGTGCAGACCTAACGTCTGTTTCTTGAGTGCTAACGGCATCAACATAAACAGAGTTCCTGGAAGGCTGTTCTGACAAATCAAAGTGATCAACCGCATCATGGAACTCTTCTGAAGCAACGGTATAGAAAGATTTCACAGGTGATGGAGGGAAGCTCTGAGTATTCAATTCTGGAACCAGATCGAAGCCAAGTCTTTTAGCTTCAACTTCAAGGTCTTCCTTGGTCTCAACTGCTTTTCTCTTCAGAAGGTCTGAATACTCGACTTCAGTAATCAAGGCTAGGTCTAACTTGCCAGCTAGCTTTCGAAGACTCTCCTCGTCCAAAACGGCTGGTGAAATATTTTTAGAGCTTTCGATCTCGATCCTCTGAAGTCTTTGAAGCTCTTCAGCTTCCACCACACGAAGGCCATGCACTGGGGCCTCAGAGGTAATCAACTCCTTAGACGGATGTTGCAGGTCAGTCAACATTTTAGAATGGTCCGCGCTGTTTAGAACCACCAAACCCATCTCATCACAAGCTGTCACAAGGAACTCCAACGAGGGGTTAGATATCTTGCGCTTCAATGACTCGAGCTCATCTTTGTCCAATGCCACCATTTCGTGACTGTCTGCCTTGGAAATAACGTATTCCTTTGATGGGAATGAAATATCATTAAGGAGGCCTTCGTGCTCTGAAGCGCTGAGTGGTACTATGCCGAACTTTGGTGCAAGAGACCTGATAGTTTCAGCAGAAGGCTTGAATAACTGCTCGTATTCAGATAACTCTATAGCAATCAAGCCCATTGACTTTGCTTCATGTTCAATATCTTCCCTAGAAGGCGATTTCAATTTCTCATACTCAGAAGTTTCAACAGATACGAGACCATGAGACTTCGCAAAAGTAACGACCCGCTCCTTGGAAGGATTACTGAGTTCTTTGTGCTCAGAAGAAGACAGAGTAACTAGGTCCAAGTCGTGAGCTTTTCTCGTCAAGAAGTCTGGCGTTGGATTCAGCAATTTATGATGCTCAGTTGTATCCAGAACCACCAGCTGACTCTTTTCTGCCAAATGTTGTAGAGTCTCTCTCGACGGTTGGGTTAATTCTTGGTATTCTTCATTAGCCAATGTCACCATGCCAGCATCGTGTGACTTCTCTATTAATTGTTCCTTCGAGGGATTCAAAAGATTATCATAAGCGTCCTTGTGAACCACAACCATATCGAGTCCCAAAGCCTTTTCTTGCAAGTATTTCAATGTTGGATTCGTTATACTTCCAAGAAGAGATGAATGCTCTTCCTTTGTTAGCAAAACAAGTCCCAATTGGTCTGCCCTCTTACGAATAAGGTCAATAGAAGGCTGCTTGGATGCTTCACTGATCGAGTCAAAAGTATCCCTTTGGATGCAAACATGATCCAGCTTCAAGGCAAGGGGTTTCAACTGTTCAAGGGTCAGATCGCTGGCTTTGTCTTCTATTTTTTCAAACTCTTCTTTCTTGATAACGATGAAATCATTTAGCGTCGCTTCAGATCTCACTGTATCCATACTTGGATGCTCAACCAGGTCTTTCAGTGTAGCATATTCATTCTCTTCCACGGCAACCAATTGAATCTTATGTGCCTGACTGACAACCCAATCACGCGAAGGAGAATCAATCATTGCCTTCAATTCACTGAATTCGGACTGGGGCAAAGCCTTCAACTCATGATTTGAAGCCTCATCCAAAATCTCCTCTTTTGTAATAACCTTAGGGGCTGCTTTAATGTTTGACAACTCAGTGGAAGCGTTCAACAAAGCATCGTGATCACTCTTCTTCACAATCACTCTGTTGTATGGCTTAACTTTCTCGGAGAGATAGTCCATTGTGGGGGATTTCAGCTCGTTTATGAGGGCCATGTACTCTTCCTTTGGTATAACAGCATATCCTTGACTCCTCAAGAACTCTGAAGAAAACTCAACATTCGGGGACTTCATCGAGTCAAAATCTTTCTGGGAAATAGCAACGTATCCATGCTGCTGGATCTTCTCACGAAGTTCGACAAATGTCAATCCACGCTTGGAGGATACTATCAAGCCTTCATAGGACGACTTGGACAGTACCACGAGACCCTGGTCTGCACATTTCTTCTTCAACTCATCCACCGTTTCAAAAGCAGGCTGGTTACGTTTTCTGGATAGTGGAGACGAGTTGAACACTGGAACTGGAACCGCAGTAGGTACCGATACGCCAATTCCCGTACTCTTGGGAGGTGTTTTCATTGGCGAGCGGTTGATTGCATTTCTGGAAGTCTCTTTCAATTCCTCCAACTGATCTTTGGGAAGAACTGAATAGCCTATTGCGGAGGCACGCTCGGTCAGAAACGCTACCGAAGGATGGTCAACATTTTCCTTGAGAGCATTCAGCTGAGCTATAGGAACGACAGACAAATTCAACGAGGCAGCTTGTGATTTGAGGAACTCTTCATCTGGAGAAGCCATATTTTCCTTCAAAATGTTCAGCTGCTTCTCTTCCACAGAGACCAGACCACGAGACTTCAAAGCATTGGTCAAGAATTCCAGACTTGGAGATTTCACTTGACTCTTCAGAGCATCATGCTCTTTCTTGGTCATCTCTACCAGACCTAGGGCACCTAAAGAATTGACAACCGTTTCTTTAGACGGATGAAGAGCAGACTCTTTCAGAGCATCGTATTCCAACGCTGGTAAAGCAACAAAGCCCTGAGAATTTGCAAGTTGGTTCAGCTCATCTTTAGAAGGTGACAAAGTCTTCCTATTCAGCTCCGAAAACTCAGCCTTCGGAACGTTGACATACCCATGCTTCGAAGCAGCTTCCGATATGAAACTTAAGTCGGGGGATCTGAGATTCTCCAGTTCTGCCGATTGTAGTACCTCAAGACCCAGAGAGTGTAATCTTTCAATCAGAAAATCTTTCGATGGACTTGCAGAGGTCTCCGCGAGGTTTTTGTACTCACCTTCAGGTACGACCACAAGACCTACTTTCTGAGCAACCTGCTTGATGTGTTCGAAAGAGGGGGTCGAAGAATTCTTCACCAAAGACTCATGCTCTTCTGTAGGAAGCAAAACAATTCCGAGCTTTTGGGATTGTCTCTTGATAGTCTCTTCCGAAGGCTCCTCTGATTGCTTGATAATTTTTTCGTGCTCATCGGATGACAAAAGCACCATTCCAGCCTCTCCGGCTTTCTTGGTTAGAAATTCTTTCGATGGAGACTTTACAGTTTCAGCAAGCTGGGTATAATCAGATGCGGGAACCGAAACAAGCCCATGAGATTCGGAGTGCTCGAGTATAAGCTCTTTCGTGGGGTTGAGAGAAGCATCCACAAGCTTGTCGTGTGTGTCTTTTTCCAAGGCCACCATTCCACGAGATGATGCGAGAGACTCAATCTTGGATTTAGCCGGGTTAACAATGGCGTCAAAGTCTTCTTGAGTGATTGCAATCAAACCATGATCCTTCGCTTTCTCGATAATTGCCTTTGCTGGAGATACCAAAATCTCTGAGATAGCCTTAGAACACACTCCTAGGCCAAGGCTCGAGGCCGCAGCAACAAGTTCTTCTTTTGACGGAGTCTCAGCCTTTCGTTTGAGCTCAGCGAGTCCCTCAGAAGAAATGACTTGCATACCTTTTAGCTTCAAGTTTTGAGTGATCTCCTCTACAGAAGGAGAGTGATTGGCTTTCTCAGTGAGCTTCTGCAGTTTTTCAGATTTGATAGGCTCGTAACCTTCTGATTGTACCACAGCTAAAGATTTCTCCAAGGATGGTTTTTTAAAGAAAGACGTCAGCTTGGTGTACTCATTGATTGGGATAAGTGACATACCCAAAGCCCCTGCTTTGAGGGTGAGGTGATTCTCAGAGGGTTGAGCGACAGTGGTTTTCAAGTCGGCAAAAACGTCTTGGGGTACCATGACCATTTGTTTCTCCTGAGCAAGAGTCTCCAGTTGTGCAACTGAAGGATGTTTCAAAGATTCGAGCTCAGCATTAGACAAAACCTGCATATCCATGTCTTGAGCTTTGATTGTGATAAACTCAGGGGATGGTTTTTCGGAAAGGCTCTTCATCTGCAGGAAGTCTGATGTTGGAAGAACCGTCAGACCCCTCTGCTCAACCATTTGGATAAGCTCCTGCTCAGTCGCAACATGATCTACTTTCAGCTTTAGCTCCTCGTAATGACTTTCTCTCAATGCCACCAAACCCCGGTTGCGACACTTTTGGACCAATTCTTCAACAGAATCTACCGTCTGCACGGGATGGTTAGTGGTATTTGGAAGAGCCAGGATATTGAACTCTTTGGCAGCCTGAACCATAGAATCATCTTGTTGTTCTGACGACACAGACTTTTCTGCGTCGAAGCTTTGCAGTCTCTTAAACTCATCATATGGCAGAATCACTAAACCATGGTCAGAAGCATATTGCTCGACAGCCTTCTGATCCAGTACCGATAATTGAAGGTCATCTTCAACATCAGACAAATCACTGATTTCATCAGCCAGTATCATTCCTGGAAGGTCCGAATCCGAGTTGGAGTCGCTATCAGGAAGATCTCTCTCTGACTTTGAAGTGCTTGCAGATTTAACTTTCTCAAAAGTGCTTCTTGTGGCAGTGGAAATGTCATAGTTCTCCCAGCTGTCATCACCCTCATCTGTCTGGGATGTTTCGTAGGAAGTGTGAGATTTGTTGCCCAATTTGGACAGTATTCCTGGTTGTCCACGTTTACGAGAGTCCTTAGTAATGTGCACTGGTTTCACTTTGGTATTGGCGACGGCGGGTCTTTCTTTGAACTGTCGTTTCAACTGATCTCTCTCGTTTTTGTACTTTAACGCAGAGCTCCTAAGCTTGGAAATAAGCTTATTAGCATGCACCAAATTAGCCTGAACGGTCTCCTTTTCGAGCTCAAAGTTTCTGCCTTGCACCTGTTTCACCGGAGATGATGGAGGCTCAGTAAGCAATGCGTAATCATCGTCGAAATCGCCGCTGTCCTCGAAAGAAGAGTCAGGAGCGAGTTTCGGCACACCTGCCCATCTCCCTGGGGTTTGCGATGTTTCCTTGGAGATCTTTAAGTCATCGTTTAACCGAACAACCTTGTTGTGAAGCTCTTCATTCTCTTCGTTCAAATCGATGTTTCGCTGTTTCAACTCCTTGATTTCAAGTTCTAGTCTCTGACTAGCAGACTGCATTTCATGCTTAAGTCCATCATGGCTCAGCCTATATTCTTCGACCTGATTTCTTAGATTTTGAAGTTCACTATCATTTTCCAGCTTACCACGCGACAGTTTACTCATTTCCGAAGTCCTCTGGCCCATATCATCACGAAGCCTTTGGAGTTCGGCCTGCAGCTCCCAGGCATCGTCCTTGAGCTTTTCCTCCTGCTCGCTCAGCTTCTTGTTGAGCAATGTAATATTACTAATCTGAGTGGCCATAACCTCGATTTCCCTACCCTTATCTTCGTAGTCTTGTTTAAGCTTCTTGTTTTCCGCAGTGAGCTTTCGACACTCCACAAGTAGATTGTCACTCAAATCAGAGAGAAAATTCATACTTTTAGCAGGAGCAGCGGGTAAGGCAGATGCGCGGTGCGAAGCCAGTTGGTTCTCAGAGCTCTCCGAGTTTCTTGATCTCTGTTTCTTCATAAACGTTGCGGGCATTTCCGCATTCTGAGGCAAAGGTGGATACACAATCTCATTGGGCATCACATTCTCTTTCTTGCCAACACCAAAAATATGCTGTAGATCCGAGAACTGCTGCCGTAGATCATTGGTTGAAGCCTTTTTAGAGGCCTTCGAATTCAGCCGTGGCCGACTGGACTCATCGTTTCGTGACATGATCTTGTGGGATCAGAGAAGGGTATATACTTAGATCGCGAAGTTGGAGCAAATGATGTAAAAGCAGATATTGTAACAATTCCGTTATTCTCAAAATGAAAGTCACACCCTAGTCTCCAGAATGTGACCGTGTTCAAGCAGACAACGTACGACTTCAGACTGTTGTATTATTAGTTAGTTACCCGTTTGTTATGGTCATTCGATAAATCATAATTACGCGAGTCGTGCACCACCAACCAAGGAATCCTAGAGTTCAGGCATCTGAGTTGAATGGTAAATATGGCCTTGACATCAATAACCTTCCACGAATTACATCATAAAATGGTAAGTCTTGTGGGAAATTTGGGGATCCAAATGGCAGCACCTGTTAGGACACTGAACTAATTTTGAACTGTCTAGCTTGCACTGAAAAAGAAGAGAGAGCAACAGCAGCTGAATGGGGGCAATTCCAATACCTCAGCACGAGTGATCAGTGGAGCACAAATACGAGTACAAAAGGATGTTACCGAGCTGGAATTGCCACCGACTATCGAACTGCAGTTTGACAATCCAAACGACTTGCTACACTTCACAGTTACCATAAAACCAGCTGATGGACTCTATAAGGGGGGAGTCTTCCCATTCTCGTGTGAGATAAGCGAAGATTATCCCATAAAGCCCCCAAAATTTTTGTGCATTCCCAAAATTTACCATCCGAATATCGATTTGGAGGGTAACGTTTGTCTCAACATTCTCAGAGAGGACTGGAAGCCAATTTTGAGTTTGACATCAATTTTGCTGGGACTGCAGATTTTGTTTCTGGAACCTAATCCGAACGACCCGCTTAACAAAGAGGCGGCCACAGAATTGGCAAGGGATAGACACAAGTTCAGTACGCTGGTTAAGAGAAGCATGCTTGGGGGGTACGTTGGTGAAGTTCGGTACGATCAAGTGTTAAGGAGGTGAAGCAGAAGACAAACCAAAAACTGATTGTCGTTTAATGATCATTCGGCGAGAGCGTGTTTGATTGCGAGAGTGTGCAGGTATGATTTCATAAAATCTTGAAGTGAAAATTGAGCGTGTGACTAAAGTGGTCACATCTAATACCAGATGAGGCTAACTACATTAGAATTTGGATACGAATGTTGAAATAGAATATAAAAAATTCGTTCATGCCTGAAAAACGCATAACAACCCCACAGCTCCATAGCGTCGAAAAACATGCATAAAATAGCATAAACCAGCATGCATGACATAGCATAAAACATAGCTACTCAGACCGTTATGAATAACCTAAATCATAACCTGAGATTACTACCAAAAACCCTGTCCTAAACCTTTTGGTGCTCGTCCCCAGAAACAGGTGAGTCACTGCTCACGATCGGCTGGAAGGTCTCATGCTTCTGGGCCTCCGGTGAGCTAGCACTGAGAGAAGCATTTTCCACATACGTCATGGTAGAGCTTTCCACGGTTCCCTGACCACCATTGTTGTGAACTGTTGGAGTGGTCGACTGGTAATCATATTGCACCTTGTGATATATGTGAGCGGACATGGGATTCGAAACAACTGCAAACTGCCGGGATCTGCTTGCAGGCAGCCAGCATCTGGATGCAGTGTTTATAGAGAGTATTGATCTTGGTACCATAGTATAGATATGAGGATTTCGAATATAAATAAATTGATTCAAAAGTGTAAGAAACGTTGAAGTTCTCCACGGATCTTGTAGAATTCTTACACTTATATATTAGTATCATATTTCACTTCCTGGAACGTGGGCTCATCTTATACATGGACTAATGGACCGAGAATCCGGGGAAAAGGTTGCCCCGGGTTTCACATCCGCATCTCCGTGGGCTCACATGCTCGGGTATGAGTCAGAGCCGATGTCGGTTATCATGGAGGTGACTATAGGGAATTTGGTCTGTATTGCTGATCATTAGGAAGCAATCACATGTTCCGTTATCCTTTTGTCCTGTTGAATCTTGAAGACCGTCTCTTTCTGTGTTGATTGCTGGGAGGTGGAGACGTCTCTCATGTGGTAGCCTCGAAGGCTGCTCCGGGACCCGGCCCGTCTTCTGAGATTACCTTTTGGTTGGGGCACACAAATTTAAGCACCAGCATCGCTTAACGACCGGTTGGTGAACAGACTCGCACCAAACAGCTCGTGAGAACAGGCGCACATCCTCAACAGTGCCTTTTCCCGTTGATCCGACTGTCCTGAATGCAATTGACTATATGAAAACGGAGAAATGTCCCGAGAAATCATCCACGGTGAGGACGCCAGGCTGCCGGTAGCCGGCGTGTTGAGCTCATTGAGAAGTTTCATCAAGCGCGATAATACGGCTGCATTCTTGGCTGGTGGAGTTGCGGGAGCATTATCCCGGACTGCCGTTTCACCGTTTGAGAGGGTCAAGGTACTTTACCAGGTTCAAGGCACCAGCAAGGCTACGCAGTCTTACAGACACGGAGTGCTCAGATCTGTGGCTCAGATCTGGCGAGAAGAGGGCCTCAAAGGTTTATATAGAGGAAATGGTGTCAATTGCTTCAGAGTGTTTCCTTATTCAGCAGTTCAATATTCCGTGTACCAGCAGTTGAAATCGGTATTGGGAACGGGTCCTGCGGAGAGTCGGCAGCTGGACGTGCCCAGTAAGCTATTTGCAGGAGCTGTTGCAGGAATGGCTTCAGTGGTGGCTACATATCCTCTGGATCTGGTGAAGACTCGTCTTTCGGTTCAAACTGCCTCTCTGAAGAACTTGTCGACGTCCAGAATTGATGGAAATACCAGAAAACCACCCGGCATGTTCAGGTCTTTGGTGAAAATCTATACCGAAGAAGGTGGGGTACTTGCACTATACAGAGGTCTATTGCCGACCATACTGGGAGTGGCTCCTTATGTTGCGATCAACTTTTCGATATACGAAAAACTCAAGGAACAATTACCCGTGCAATACCAGCACAATGCGATTTTGACCATGGCTATTGGTGCTGTTTCCGGAGGAATTGGCCAATCGTTGATCTATCCTTTTGACATTCTTAGGCGAAGATTTCAGGTCTTGACTCTGGGAACTGGTGAGATGGGCTTCAAGTATAATTCCATTTGGGATGCATTCAGGACAATTTGGCGAACAGAAGGCACCAGAGGACTTTTCAAAGGCTGGGTTGCAAATATGTGGAAGATCATGCCTTCTATGGCAGTTCAATGGGCCTCATACGATCTGGTGAAAGAACTTATCAAGATCTTGTAAACTATACGTGGAGAGTCACACTACCACACGAACTCTTAGAAAAATTGACGTTAAATGTCTTCATACAGTCAAATAGAAATTTATTTATTACCTCGATATATTTTATTGTTTCTCCATCAACGAATCACGAAGAGTCTACTACTTCAAGGGCATAGTCAGGCTCCTATAGCAAGTAGTGCCCTCACCAATATAGCTGACCAACCAAATTGCTTAATTTTCCTCAGCTCATCAGACTGACACCATCTTTAAATCTACACACCAGACGTTAGACCTTTTGATACAAGTGCCAACATATTTAATCACCATCCTACACAATGAGAGCATCTCCAATTGCCATGAACGCTGCCGTAAGTGTCAAAGAGATATGCCGCAAGATTCTGACCAGCTTTACTAACATGCCTTTTACAGAAGAAGACTAGCTTCATCAAGGCCGTACCAGTTGAATTGTACCCACTCTGTAAGTGAGAGTTTGTCGTGCCGTTGAACCGTTTGTTGAAGAATTACCAAAACTAACTCTAGATTTCAGTCTTTGCCTGTGGTGTCGCCTGTGCCTGTAAGTATCGTTGCTCGTCCTTCAAAAGATGGCCCTTTATGAGCACTCTTACTAACTTTTATCACAGCTGCTATCTACTTCACCACCAAGAAACTCAGAACCGACAAGACTTTGCGTCTTGGCCGTACCAGTCCAGTCTTCAACGAGAAGTTTGAGGAAGTTATCAAGCAGTCCGCTGACGAATAAATGGTATTCACGCAAGTTCATAGTATGGGATAGCTGGTTCGCGAATGGAACATTGAATAGAATTAACCAAGACTTGCTTGATGCCTTGAAAAATGGGTGTATTCGCTTTATGACTTCATATTGAAGGGAATCGCCGGGACCGTTTTGACTCTGATAAGTATCATGTTTTGAATCAATGATTTATTCGTTAAACAATGGTTAGTTTTTCTGCCAGCGTAGATATGGGGCTGTTTTCCGATTTTTGATCAAGATAATATGACTCTATAAACTGGTCTGTGTGGTCTCTATGTAGTTATTTCCAGTCTCTCCGTGTAGTATGTACAGGTCTATTTTTCACCTCTTCATGTTCAAATAGACATCGCTCACGTCGTCAATGTCGTGAAGAAAATCAGTCAGCTTCTCCACCCGTTTCAGCACATCTTCGTCTGTGACTTCGACGGCCATGTCCTCCAACGGAACGTAGTTGATGCTGACCTCCGTGACATTGAATTCCTGCTTCAACGCGTTGGCAATCTTACCGGTATCAGTTTCAGACGTCACCAGTTCTACCAACTTTCCATCAGGGTTGTCTTCAGGATCAATAGGAAGCTCTTCAACATCCTCGGCTCCAAGTTCAATCGCTTTTTCAAATATGTCTTCGAAAGACAATTCCCCACAGTCGATAATTACCGAGCCTTTTCTTTCAAAAAGATAAGCTGTGGCAGACAACCCAGTTCCTCGGTTGTTGAAAACCTCTCTAACTTTCTGAAATGTCCGCGTCTTATTATCAGTGAGCGCTTCTACAATCACTCCAACACCTCCCGCAGCCATTCCCTCGTAAACCACAGATTCCATGGGCTTTTCACCGACCAGTTCACCGGTTCCTCTCTTGATAGCGGTGTCTATGATTTTCTTTGGTACACTGCTTTTTTTCGCATCATCAATGGCATATTGCAACTGGATGTTTTGAATGGGGTCACCGCCTCCAGTCTTAGCTGCAAATGTGATTTTCTGGGACATCTTGAAGTACACCTTGCTTCTCTCCATGTCATTCTTGGCCTTGTCCCTCTTGATAGTGGACCATCTGCTGTGCCCGGATAAAGCAGCACAAGATGTGCTGAACCCCTTGGAGGATAGTCGAGACAATGTGCCTGTAAACACGCGACTTTTCGAGATCATGTTGCCGCACAGATGAGCGAAGTTTCAACTTGTCTTGTTAAGAATCGTGATTTGGTGATGCGCCGGTTTTTCAATTTCATATCGTGTGCGCACCATTCTGTGCTCGCAATCTGGCTGCCTTCTACAGATGTCAAGCCAAGCAGGTAAGATAGACCTCATTGAGGTGTTAATTGTGCTGCAATATATTGCCAATTGGTATCGAAGGTTATTGAAAAGGGATTTTAACGCTTGTGAAATATTCTGGAATTTGTTGGCTTTGGAAAACCCATAAATACACAAATACCTGCAAGATAGCATCATAGTTCAGAGCTGTTCATAACCCCATCACAACATGTCGGAAGCAAACAAGAACAGAACGCTTATAGCCGTGATCGGAGACGAAGACACGATCACAGGAATGTTGCTGGCAGGTATTGGTCAGATATCCTCGGAGGTGGGCAAGGAAAAGAATTTTTTGGTGGTGGATGCGAAGACCAAGGATGAAGATATCGAGGAGACTTTCGTGACATATACCGAGAAGAGAGACGATATCGCCATTTTGCTGATCAATCAGCATGTTGCTGACAAGATAAGATTCAGAGTTGACACGTTTACGCAAGCATTTCCGGCAATTTTGGAGATACCATCCAAGGAGCATCCCTACGATCCTGAGAAGGACTCCGTATTGAGGAGGGTAAGAAGGTTGTTTGGGGAATAAACGGGTGTTTGCCGTGAAGCTTGAAACTATCAAGCTAGTATCATCGAGTTTCGTGATATAAAAACCGAGAAATAGTTGATAGATAACTAAAATGGTGATTCAATCAGGCTAGCCTGATCTACGTCGATCCTGTATGAACCTAGCATCTCATAGTTCGCCATTATTCAGACAATTGACGAAGAAATCTTAATCCAAATTCATTGCTTACGAGCTGGTTCTCTCTAGTTTCTTTGCTTAGTCAAAGCTGACAAAAATTACTCGTTTACACTATGAAAAGTTGTATACATTTTCTGCCTTTGACATATCATTGTCAAGTTTACCAACACAATCTTTGCATGAAAATGTATATCTCGACTATTTCCATTGCTGAGTTATCAGGCCTCGCTCTAAACTCTACTGACACATTTTAATTGTATACATCTCCCTATTTCGTTTTGTAGCCTACTCCTCTCATTCCTCCTTTTCCTCTGAAGCCTCTACCTCGGTTTCGGGTGTTTCAACAGCGTCCACTTCAGCTAGTTCATTAGTTTCAGTCTCAGCCTCAGCCTCAACCTCGACTTCTTCCGCGGGAGCAATCACCGCAGAAACAGGTTTGGCAATTTCAACTTCAGTCTCAACCTCAGTCTCTGCTTCTATTGGTTCCTCCCTAACAGCTTCCTCGGGAGCAGAGATAACGATTTCGGGCTCCGCTGCCTGGGCGTCGGCATCAACTTCGGAATCATCCACAACTTCGTCCGTTACCTCAACAGGCTCGGCCTGAGCTGCCTCCTCCGAGTTCAAAGTGGTTGCAGTGGGACTGTCATCAAACTCCTTTGGGTCAATTGGCTCGTTCAGAGCAGGCACAGTAGGGGCCTCTGTCTCGTCTGTGGCTTCTGTGGCTTCTGCTTCGGTTGTTTGAGCCTCCACTGGCTCAGCTACTTCGGCCTCCTGCTCTTCAGTTGGCTCAGCCTTTGGCTCAGTCACATCCTTGTCCAATGGAGGAGGAGCGGTATCGGTCGGAGTTGCCGGTTGAGAAGAAGCTTTCTTCCAGTAATTGCGCTGCTTCAAAACAGCAGGGTCGGCATCTAGGTAGAACATCCGCACGCCGATGATACGTCTCTCCAATTCACACGCCTTCAGCCATTCCGGCCTGACCACTGGGATGTTCATGGACACAGCCTTCTCCCATTGGGGACCACTGGCCTTAGTACAAACGAAATGGGTGGTATCAACTTCAACCTGTTTTTGCAATGGTTTTGCTGCTATGTTGGCGAGACACTCTTTGATGTCCTCCACTGTGAAGTCCTCGTACCTGTCGATCTCTCCAAGACACACACTTATACCGCTCAAATCAGTCATTTTGTGGGTAACTATTTGAACAGGCTTGGAGTTAAATTCGCCAGCTGACGTCTTCATTCTCAACTGGAAGGTATAAGGAGTGTCAACCGGCAATCCCGACAGTTTGGTGGTGGTGTTGACCAGCGGATTTGGGATTTGACCAAGACGAGTCCCATTTTTGAACAAAGTAAGCGATTTTAGAGAGGCTGTGGCAATGTCTAGAGGCTCCCACTCAAGAACACAACTGGTCTGAGTGACATTCCTCACCTTTAGCAGAGGGGCCTGGGGAAGGCTTTTGCCAAATGTGTTGTAAATCTCATCTTGAATACAATCAAAAATCTCCTTATCTTTGATCTCCTGCTCAATATCACGATCGCAATTTATCTTGACAATTGAGCCTGCGGAAATCCCGTCTGGTAGCAATATAGTAGGAAACTCGATCAAGTGATGATCCTTGGTGAGTAGCAGCGCCAAGGAAGCGTCCAGCTTTCCCACAGTGAGCGATACTTCAACCATAATGATGGACAATTGCAATCAAGTAATGGATAATTGCAAATGCTGATTTCTAACAACTTTTCAGGACCGTGTTTGCTCGAGTATGTACTCTATTTCCAATGCTCCTTTGTGTATTACGTGTAGCTCTGACTGGGTAGGTGTTACAGACACGGGCAAATAAGCACGATATGATCTTCAGTTAAAGGGGCTCCTCACCCGCACTGTTAGTGTGTTGTTGTATAACGTTTAAGTGATACGCTATTTTTCTTGATTTTTCCTCTTTGTTGAGTCTATTTTATTGGAGATTTGGAGGGACCTAATCCATTGCAAAGGTCTTTTTTGAGTCCTGCCTGAGACTAGCTCTTTCGCACTTTGTCAGAATTCCAGATTCCGGGGGGCACCCACTGAAACTACTATGGGGCAAACGGCTTCAAGGACAACGCCGGTAGCTCAACCGAGATTCTCAAGAGCTCGTCGGACCTCCCGTGCTATAAATCATGATGATGTGGCTCATAGCATACAAGGCGCAAATGGATCCACTAGAAGAAGAAGGAGATCGAGCATTTTCCAGAACTTCATTGATAAGGCGTCAGATTTGGGTTTGGCTCCAACATCAAAAGCCTCCTCTTCCAAGCGATTCCGCAGACAATCTCCCCCGGCTGACTCTTTTGTTCTGGCTGGTGAAGCTGCTGTGCCTTCCCGAGACCGTACCCCGAGATTTCGCGGGGTAGTTGGTGAAGATGATTTGTCAGACGTTGCGGAGTCGCAGCCGCTTCTTCCCCGTACTAGTGGCAACAGGCAAGAAATGCATTCACAAGGATATTTGAGCGATTCTGAAGTGGCAACCGAGGTTGCGTCTCCCGAAAATGCTTCTTTTGGTGGGAGGAGTATCGAATTGGATGCATCCACTGATGGAGATTATGTTTCCGCTACCAGGGCGTCATTCCGGAGCATGGCATCAACGTTTCTGCCAATGCCCAGCAGGCCACCACCTCCAGCCCCTCCTTCGAGAGAAAGCGCGATCGAAGATCAGTTCAGAACGATACAAGGATCCCTCGATGCTTCCCTATTGACTCAATTCGAGACGTTGACTGGGCTGTTAGATGTTGTGACAATAACCACTCTCAGAAGATTGGTAAATTCGGATAACAGCACGTTTTCCAGACCCCACGAGGAATTTGATCTGGATCGCGATTGCTATCGCGGCCAGCGCATTGACCGCGTTCTGGACTCCACGAGCGAAGAAACCGGTTCCTCTACAGATGATGTGGACACCACTGATAGGACCTTCAGCCAATTTCTGGTGGGTCTTCGCAGCGAGAATCTACTGGCAAGGGAACTGGGAAGAACTTTCATGCAGGTCAATGATGAGCAACGCCAACAGTCGGTTCCTGGTTTGCCTGAACCGGCCAGCAGAAACATGAGCTTTTTCCGGGCGTTCAGGTTCGATAACACGGAGCTCATTGGGTTTGCTTCTACCAGCAGAAGATTTGAGAGGTTGATACCTGTGCTAATTGTTGGAGTTGTTGGGGTTCCCTCTGGCGACCGGACTCAACAAACAGACGAAAATACTGGTGATGCCGCTGGTTCGCCACAATCAGCAGCCGCAGCAGCAGCTCCTGATACTGCTCAAGTTTTTTCGTCCGAATCTGCATTTGACACCGTTCTTCCAACGAGTTCGCAGAGAACGTGGATCGTTATTGTCATGGCTCAGTATTATCCATTGAACGATCCTGCCCTTCAGTCAATGCCGGAGTTCGTGAACATCCTCCTTGAGTATGCGGTTTCCACTGATTCAGACGGATTCACAGCATCCACAGACAACGACATATCGCGGGCTCTTCGTGTTCGTCCTGGTCTGCCGCCTTTGAACCGCCAGGTTTCAGAGCTGCCCCCTGAAACTGAGGCATTCAGAGAGAGTCTCAGAACTCTGTTGGAACGGGTTCGTTGTGTCAAACACCTGACACGGGAGGAACTCGATAAGGCGAGCGATTCCGTCTTCAAAGTTCGTTTTGCAAAGGATGATACAGTTGCAGAGTTCTCCCCGGATGATGAAACCATGAAGGTAAAGGTTTATGACGAGGATGAGAGATGTCCAATCTGTTTGACTGATTATGTTGAAAATGATCTCGGAAGGGCTCTCCCCAAATGCAAACATGAGTTTCATAAAGCCTGCATAGACGAGTGGCTTTTACAGGGTGATAATAGTTGTCCTATCTGCCGCGGAAAAGGTATCGAAGTTGGAATGGTGATATGATCTCATCAATAATACCCTTAGTTGATACTTGGTATCTTTCTAAACACGTGTGACTCGCTTCACATTTATATAGTTTTCACTTCTCTGGTCGTTTTCTCTTTTTTAACTGTTGGCTTTGGCATTGGTGCATTTGCGGTTGGGTGGAGCCGATTTTTATTTCAATATTTAATTAACTAAGGTGGATTCAACAAGTCTTTTTTGTAGTTTTTTTGAATCATGTTCCATGAAATGTCAAAATTTTTAGGTAATTGAATATAGTGAAAAATGTTTCGGAAATTCAATCATGGTAAATTTCCAGTAATAAAGCTGTTTTTAAATTAAATATAAAGACTTGAAGCTGCTCTTTTCTTTGCAATAGTAGGATATTGGAGTAAAATCTCACCTTTGTATGTCCACAGAAACTCCACATGCGATCCCAGTCGGGTCTATACTTTAAAATACATAATAGAGAAAGCGTTCCTCGGTCTTTTTCTCTATATCATTTCGTCATAATTCAGAAGGTCAAAATATTGCGAGCCATGTTGGGACCCGCTTGACTTTCCTTTGGAGCTGGAGCTGCCTCCACTGTCATTGCTCTCCTCCCCATTATCATTTGCCGGGTCAACTTTTATTCGCTGTGCAAAAAATTCTTCCGATGGCTGCATTTTGTCTCCAACTGCCAGTTCTGACATCAAAAAAGGATTTGAAAATTCTGTCGCGGACATTGAAGAGTAAGGACGAAAGACTGAGTTCGTCTTAGGTTGACTTTCTGTTTCCTCGAGAATAGGTGTGCCTTCCGGTGAAATTTCACCATGAGATAGTACATATGGATTATCTGAGCCTGATAGACTCATTGGAAACTCTGTCTTCTCCTGGAAAACAGAAGATGAGGGCGAGGAGGAATTATAGACATCCCCAGCCATACTCTTTTCGCGTTCGTCCCTCTCGCGTTGTTCTTTGTATAATTGTTTCTTTCTCAAATAGGCCGCCCTTTTCTTTTCTGTCATCGAAGTTTCTAGCTGTGAGGTGAATTATGTTAGTATTGAAAGGTTCCGGATTTTTCGGGGATCAAAGAGTTCTCAAACTTACCTGTCTATACTTTGCCAGATGGATCTTCAGAGCAGCTGCGTAGTGCTCGAACCCCAATGAATTCATGGCATGTAATATATCCTCACCATTAAGAGTTTTTCTTTTTTCAATCGAGCATTTTTCAGCAGCTTGGGAAGTGATGAACGAGATGAACTCGCTCACGCATTCTTGAACAGCTTCTCTGGACTCCTTGGACAGTTTCCCCTGCGGAGGCAGTGCTCTTTTCATTATTTTTCCAACTTGAATAAAAATGTTAGAAGTTTGAATCTATAATCTCAATAATATCGTTTTTAACTCACCATTAGCGATAGGAAGGTACATGTCCTGCTCCTTTATGTCGAAGTTGATTCCACTGTCGTCGCTATCGGAGGACCCCATTTTGAATCTGTAGCGCTCTAGACCGACACAGAAAGCTGTGAAACCAAATATTAACAGATAATTGCTCAAATAAGTGATTCACGCTGCTTTTGGCAGCTATTGTACAAGAGAATATTCAAAAGCCAGTTCTCTTCGTAGAGAACCCCTATTAAAGAGAGTATGCACTTAGCGGATAATGCGTTGATGGAATAGATAATTTTTCCGAGGGCGCCATCTCGAGGAAAAAGAGTTCAGCCGCCATCCGACGGGAGAGATGGCCTTGCCCTTAATTAGCGGCGCTGAAGGCAAAACGGATATAGTGAGCGGTTTGGGGTCACTCCGTAAACACAGAAAGTCAATTTTTTTATCGATAGTGACGTTTTAGATTCCATTGGAGCGTCTACCGTGATCGCGGCGGTATGCTTTGAACCTTAAAGGGTCCAATTGCAGGCGCAAAGGGAGGCCACTGCAATTGGGCTGCTTTTGCTATTCGAAAAGTTTAATCTCTACAAAGTAATCATCAGTAGCACCCTGTCGAGCACCCGTAGCCTCCTCCGCTGAATACATCGATTCCTCACTCATATTTCTACGTTGCTTCAATACACCTTCCTGCTCGGGATTCTGAGCGCGGTCTGCGAAACCCAAATCAGTGCCGCACTCACACCGGGATTCGTATCCGAGGGATCTCCCCAATGCTCAAGAAGACAAAACGCGCTAATCACAGCGAATGATCATCGAATTGCATTTCAGAGCAACTAATTAAGCCGTATGGACCAAGAGCTTACTACAAACGGCTGAAAACTAGCAGGGGCTATTTTGGCAGGGACCGTAAAGCAAAAATGGGATGCCAACACGACCTAAACCAGAATTCTCCCTTCCAAAAATGCTTATTTTAATGCACCTCATGCATAAAATACCACACCCTTGGTTGTTGGTAAGGCCTCGCGCGACCAGACAGCACGGGTCTGAGTACCAAAATTTGTGGTAAAGGAGCCGAGCAACATCCCAAGGCAAGCCAGAATGATTCTCCGCTCCGTCAGCTACATTCCAATACTAATTTCCAATAATCATCGTCTTGAACAACCAACATGTCAGCCTCTCAGTCCTGCCTGAGAACTTGAGCCGCGCACACACGTGTTTAATCCTGGTACCACAGACCTTCAGAAGGAGTCTGCCTCGCACGTCCTTGAAGACAGGACGTTGAAAGGGCACGGATCGTTGACTCAAACCAGTCCAGTTTTCAATCGCAAAAGGCATGGTCGGCAAGCTCGATGGCACGATACTAATAACACCATATCTCAGCTTCATCAAAACATCGTCAACGCCCCAGCCCCCCAGCCCTCCACAACATCCTCTCTCAGCAACGGCCAATCCGCCTGATTAGACAGACGTGTAGTAGGGCTCTATCCCTCCTCTATCCGGACCACCGCGTCCCCACGCGTTTTTCGATCGTTAGGAGGAAACCCTTCAAAGGGATATTTATCAATTGCACCTTCGTTTATAATCAGTGCGACTTCCTTTTCTACCTTCTTGAAGACTCTTGAAGCCTCTCAGCATTATCAAGACCCCAAAACACATATCCGGTCCACCACTCACTCAGTTCCTAATTTCATTCCGCTCTCTTCTTACTGATCACTTACAGGCCTTGTTCTTGTTGCAATCATTGGTGAAGCCTATAGACCCATCCTTGACCACCTGTCCAACTTTTGACCCTCCTCTTTTTCCTAAGAGGCATTCACTATACCAAAATCCTTGTTATCCCTGTTATATGCTGTTATCCTATTCATAGTCGCCGAATCGTCATATATCCACATTCCACAGCACTGTCATAGGCCTTGTCACTAAAGTCCATTCTTCTCCATGTCGCTACAACCACAGCAGAAGCCCAGATCACGGTCTTTGCAGCCATTGGGCCCACCGGAAATCAAAACCTCGCGGCCGTATCCCGTTCGTCTGGATCAGATCGAAACGGAGAACAACTACAGGTTGATATCGGAATACCAGAAGGAGATCGCCAGACACTACAGAAATCTTGAGGTGAATTCTGCTGTTGAGCCCAAGTGCATTGATCAACAGCCCGAGCTCGAATGGTACATGAGACCGTACCTCATTGATTTTTTGTTGGAGATACACGCGTGCTACAAGCTGAAGCCCCATACCCTGTTCTTGACCTGCAATATCATCGACAGATACTGTGCTACGAGACAGGCTTATAAGCACCATTACCACTTGGTGGGCTGCACCGCCCTCTGGATCGCCGCCAAGTACGAGGACAAGAAGAGCCGAGTGCCCACGGTGAGAGAGCTGGTTGCAATGTGCCGTAACAACTTTGACGAGAACATGTTCAAGGACATGGAGATTTGCATTCTTAAGACTTTGAACTGGTCCTTGGGCCATACGTCTCTGGAAGATGCCCTGCAACTAGCGGTTACCTGTGCCAGAGACGATTCTGACCCGCGGTTCAAGAAAGACAGCCAGATGGAGTGTGCTACCATAGTGGTTGGGAGATACCTGTGTGAGTTATCGCTCTTCGAAAGGGCATACTTGTGCTTTCCAACCTCCATGGTGGCCACTGCGGCTCATTTGATTGCATGCTCCATGCTGGATATCCCAATTGGGGCCAAGTCGCTCGAGAGAATCACCCTGGCCTATGAGGTCAACAGCAGAAGGAAAATGATGAGAGAGAACCGAGGCGAAAACTCGGAAAACACAGAGCCAAAGGTGTATGCTCCATTGGTGATAGATTTTGAAGGTCTGGAGACCGTCACGCAACTGCGGCAGCTAGCACTGCTGTTCGTCAAGTCCCTGAGAAAGCCGTCAGAGCTGCTTTTCACCAAATACCGTTCCCTGGGAGTCATTGGAATAGTCAACGATTTCATGATGAGAGAAGAGACTGTGCTGAGCAAATTGAACCCTGTTTTGGAGTCTGTTTCGAGAGAGGCAGACGAGCCTTTTTTGAGCAATCTACTGTACAACCCTCAGGTCGTCTCGATTGCCAACATCGTCCTGGGCATTGACCTCAATTGGGACCAGATGATCAAGGACGAGGTTTCCCAAGAACTTCAGCCGGTCTTTGCTTCTCCCTTTGCGGTTCCTAATCGTCCGCCAATTGCGCAGTACATGCCCACAACTCCATACCGTTACACACGCACCAACTCGGGCTCCTCTCCAATGCCAATGACTCCTCCTTCCGTGACGTCGCAATCATCCACTTTTTCGTCCTTTTCGTCGCAGACGTCCTACTCATCATGTCCGCCTTCTGAGAACTTGAACGACAGCATGGTTGACATCATCTCGAAGGATCCAAAGAAGACGCATAACAGTCGCGACAGCACAAACACAATAGACATGCGTGGAGAAGGAACCCCCACGCTCCAGGACAAGTATGCAAGCCATTATCCCACGTCTTCTCCAATTGACATGTACGACGAGAATGAGAGCTATTCCGATGCCCACAGTTATCCCATGACCAGTCCTCTTTCGTCCCAGCTGGAGTTCTAGGGCTACTTTTCACCAACCACACACTCACACACGCACAAGCACTGGAATATTATAAAAAAGAGTTGCTTTACCTTGCATTAATAGATTCTAGCTTGTGTTTTTGCCGCTGCCGATAGGACAGGTTCCATTCGTCCATTATCCGCTTAGTTAAGTCGCTTATACTTTCAAGCATTGAAAAGTTGAATTACATTCAATTCGAAAACGGAACATGTACCATAATATTGCTACCGTAAATTACACCCGTCTATTATACAGTCCCATCATCCAGATATGGCAGGGTCGCTTCCGCTATCGTCTGGTGTGGTTGCATCACCTTCACTAAATTGGTCTGGCTTGCTCTCTGAGGTATCACCTTCGAAACGAACCGACTTGGAGACCGAAACTGCGTCGTCATCGAACTTGGTATCAATAGGGTTCAGCTCCACACGGATGCCTTCTCCGCCGTCCAGCGACGTTGGCTGGCTGTAAACGTATTGCTGCTGACTAGACTTGTCGTAGAAGTAATCGGAATACGAGCGGGCGATCTTGTGACCGATGCTCAGTCGTATCTTGTGACGTTTCTTTGGAAGAGACGTGGTTGATGAGGGAGAGCTGATGATGGGGCTTGGAGAATCGGATCGGGCCGAGTGCGAAGACTGGCTATCGTCAAACTGTTGATCCTCCAGAACCTCGGCCTCGATGAAAGTGTCTCTGGTAACCACGATATAGATCAGTAGACATATTAACACAATCGAATTCAGCAGTCCCAGACGCTTCTGAGCTGCCAATTGTGATGCCAACGAGTCTACTTCTGAAGCAGACATAGTGAGTAACTCAGCATGTTTTCTGCGTTGATCGTTAAGCAGAACCAGAGTATCGTCCTGAAAAGAAGTGTACAGCGATTTCAGCTGAGATAGCTGAGAGTGAATGGAGATGTTGAAAGCCGAAACCAGCAAATCAAACTTGGTGATTTGACGTTTTTCCATCTTCTCGAAGGCCTTCGAAAGAAGCTTGCTCTGCTCTTCAATATAGAGCAACGAAAGACTGGCGTTCGATTCAAGCAACGACAACCTCTTGACGATACTCTTGTAAATGGACTCCTGGGTCGTGGGCTCTTGAGCGGGATGATCGGTAGCCATAGAAGGAACTGTGAAGTCTGTCTCTATACAGAAGTCATCCGCGCTTCTTTCTTCCAGGAATTGCTCCAGTCCCAGATGCATCAGGGCAACTGAACAATCCTCATCCAACGTGGCGACCTGTTCCATGTCGATGACAGAGGAGTTCAGGTCGGCAGCATCGCTGCTGTTCCTACGAAGCAAGATATCCGAAGCTGGGGAATCTTGGGCATTCTCAATTTGCTCCACTTCTTCTTCGGCTTCTTCGTCAGCAACACCCGATAGTTCTTTTTCTTCCTCCAGTTTGAATTCCTCCATCATTGTCTTACCATAGACTCGGATGGCAGACAGCGGACAGTAGTACTCTCCTCCAAAGTAAGACAGAACTTCAAGCCGAAGATATCTTGCCCAAATCAAAGGGTTCTTGATTGTAAACGATTGCAAATCTCTGATATTCTCAGCCTCGAACTCACCCAGGACTTTCCAGCCATTTTGAGGAACAGGGAAACGATCACTCACAGATAAACGGATTGTCTTGAAAGACGAGGAGAAAAACTCGTAGTTTCCTAACAGCACCGTATCCACGAGAATGTCCTCACAAAGCTCAATAACAACAAACTTATTTGGTGCCACGCATTCATTCAGAAGATACGAGTCTTTGTTCTCGTTCAAAATGGCAGAAGCACCTTTCGCTTCTGAGTTCGTTTTCATAATCGTGGCGGCGCAGTCGAACGACGCGTAGTTGAACCTGTCCTTGTAGATTTTACCTCCTTCATCTTCAACTTGGCTTGGCTCACCTCCAAACAAGTCCAAGGGTATTTCAATCTCCTCGCTCAGAGGCCCCACGAAGTGAGCAGACTGGTGCGTCGTAGTCGGAGCCCTTGCGGCTTTTGTCTTTTCCTTGACCACAGGGTTTTCCAAAGCATTCTTTCTCTTCCATTCCTCAAATGACATGAAATGCACATCTGCCTCATCGTCAGCCTTTTCAGATCCGTTTAATAGCAGGCCGGAATCAGATGTTCCAGTCAGATTTGTCAACGCTTCGTCGAAGCTACCTATCAAATCGTTATGAGTTGTTTCATTTTGACTGAGCAACGACCCATTTTCAGATTTTTCGGTCAAATTTGTTGAAATAGACAGGTTGGAAGACGAGCCAGCGGTCATCTCCAGGATTTGCGCCAGGCCAACGTCGTTCTCAAGATCGGCAGAGGTCTCGTTTTGAGTTTTGTTATTAGAGTCGTTGTGAACAGGGAAGTTTGCTGAGCTCGAGTACTGCTGTATCTCATTTTCAATATCCACTATAACAGAAGAGTTGTCGTCGTAAAATTCGGTATCGTATGCCTCATGATCTATCTCCACAGATAGGTTAGCTCCTGGAATTGTGTCCGATGAAGGTCGGCTTTCGAACTCGGCAGAAATCGCAATTTGTGAGTTATTTGTAACATGGCTGGGATTAGTGAATGAATCTGCAGTTTCCACGTTTTTACCAGCAGAATTGAGGACTGGTTCAACGGACGATGATATGCCATCTGGTGGGGACTGAATGGGATCCTCTGCCTTTACATATCCCACCAGAACTAGCATCGCCAAGCATAGATACCTGCGTTGTAATTGCATTGCAGATATTTGGCTCGTGACCTTGCCAAACCTATTATAGACTGGTATATCGAGCTGAGCAGCGGAGTATGAAATGTTTTGGGTCACAACTTGTGTGTTGCGTTTGAACAAAACATCATGGACTCCCAGATAAGATTTCGGAGTCACACGACGTCGGATACCCGGGCCGGGCCTTAAAGGCAGCGATAGTGATAGGATAGCGAAATTTTGGCAGATTACAGAGGATTATTATAATATACATTTAATAGTCAGAATTTTAGTTTGAGCCTGATTTTGGGCACAGAAGGTTCGTTCTCGGATTCTTCTGGCTTTTGCTTCTTCATTGGGGGCTTTCCAGCTTGGTCGGACGATCTGCGCTTCACAGAGGGCGTTTCCTCCAGACTAGCCATAGATCTTACTCTGTACTCTTCGGCCCTCAAAATGGCGGGATGAATTTTCAGAGTCACGGGAACCTTCATGGTGGTATCTGATCTAAACTCATCAGAAGAAAGAACCACTTTATGCTGGTTCAACATGTATTTGACGTACCTCAGTGGAGTATCTGGAGTAGACCTTAGGATCTCGAAGTCAACCGTGCGTTTGGTCTTTGGTGTTGCAGCATTAGACGAAGAAATAACACCAGAAGAATACTTGAATTTGACCTCAAATTTGGGCCTAACTTCCGAAACAGATTTGACTGTAGGAGCCTTCAGCTTGACACTTGGTACCTTCGGAGTGGTCTTCGTAGCTGGAGGGACTTGTCCAGAAGGCGAGTCAGTAGTATGTTTCAATTCGAGTTTCACCTTTGGGATACCATCTCTCGTTTTGAGTTTGATGATTGGTCTGACTGGCTCTGCTGCAACTGGAGCGCGCTTCAATGTGGTCGCAAGTTGAACCTTCAACCTTCCTTGCAGTTTCAAAGAGACAAAGAACGATGTTGGTGGTTGAGCAGGGTCCTTGACCACCAGCTTGTCGTATACAACGGCAAGCTTCTTTTGCATAGGTCTGTCAACGGTAACTGAAAACTTGTCGTAAGCCTGATAGAGCACATCAATAATGTCAAAAAGCTCTCTCTTAGAATGCACAGAGAAGAAACACGAGTGTAGACTTGTCCATAATTCGTGTCGAAGACCCTTTCCTATTGACAAATCACGGCGAAGTGTATTGATTGCTCGAATGACCAGAGAATGTGTGCTGACACCTCTGCGGCTCTTGAGAGGATTTATAGCATCCTCTACAACGATCACGTCATCCGCTCCACCAATCAAGTTCGTATGGCCTGACTCTTCGGCGTCCTCATAGAACTCCTCATCGTCAACGCTGTAAGGCACACCTTCCAATGCGGCGATTGCAAGACTTTTGATGAACACGCCTACTCCCGCGTCCCTGAATGAGTGTGATGTGTCGAATTTCATCACCGAGAAGATGTACTTCAACAAAGCAGCGTTTCTGAGACCACCCAGTGTCAGGATGGACTCAATGGCAACTAGTCTCGTCTCCCTGCTGCTCTCAGATTTTGAGTAGTTCAAACACAAGTCAAAAGGAAGGTTAATGATACCCTTTCTGGCCATATTCAGCTTTGCAGACAGAACCGTGGTTCTCACGGTGTTGTGGTAAGAAGGAACCCATTCATCCAGCTTGAAAAGTCTGTCAATCTCGAATAACGCCTCAGATAGAACTTTCTTGAGGGGAGAGTTTTCAGTCTCATCTGTTTCCAACTTTGAGTTCAAGATAACACTCGAAAGGCATGAAACCAAGGTGGAAGTGTAGAAACAGTCCGCAAAGTCATTTGCAGAATTATCGTTGAATTTCAAGACATTAACCAAAGCTCGACTCACAGCAAGCGGTATTTCTCCTTCATTACCGCGAACGGTGGCCAGAGCCTCAGGTATCGCCTCCCTTACGAACAAATCCTCAAAGTTGGAGAAGTCGTTCGGAAGTGGCAGGAGACCAAGAGCAATCTGGTCAAGGGCATCCTTGGCACTAACCTTTGTATCATAACAGAAGAGAGTTTTGAACACCACCAGAAGATATTTCAGCCCTTTAAATCCGTTCTCCTGGTTGGACAACTTGGCCAAACCGAATGCAGCCTCAATTCTGACGCCAAAGTAATACCTAGAGTCGAGCAATGTGCGAAGTAGAGCCGTAAAGTAGAAGGAAGATGGTTTTAGCGCATTGCTGAAAAACCTCACACTATCCAGTTGAGCTTCAACGTCTCTGTCTTGGTTCAATTGCGATTGGTACATGTAATCAGGCTGGTTCACGTAGATCCGGCAAAGCCACTCGAAATCAGCATCAGCTCTAATCCATTCAAAAGCCTCACCAGATCTCGCTTCCATTTCTTCCTCGGTGAAGCCTTGCAATCCCCATTCTGCCATCTCCTTTTGTGACGAAAGAATGTCACCCAACATTCTGACGGATTTCAAATCATCGTCTTTCACGGCTGTAGCCACTCCTTCCTCGTCTTTCTTCGATGGTCTCTTCAAACGCTTGTACTTGGTGTTGTACTGTATATCGAACTTCGTGAATGGTTCCTTGATGTCCACGATGTGTTCGTAGGGAGTACCGTCTGCCTCGTGGATACGAATAGTCATGGGACCGGTGAACACATGAGAATTCTGCTGAGACTCTTCACCAGACAACACTTCCGAGGCATCATTTAGGAAGTTGGAAACCCGATGCTGCTGTTTGCTGCTTGCTGAGGCCATCGATGACCTATCACGCAAACCGAAATCGCCATCATGGTTACTGATGTCGTCGCGAGAGGGTACCTGTCTGATTCCCATCTCTATGAACATCCTCTTTTTGTTGAATCGTTGCGTGACCTTGAAAACAGGAGTTCCTGAATTGTGAACCCAGTTCTGGAAAAAACTCTCCAGTCTGTTGTGCGCCACCTTTTCACAAACATGTTGAAAATGGGCTGTTGACAAGCAGTTACCGCTGATCAAATCCCCCGACATAGCCTGAAGGAAGACCTTGGGAATAACACGAGACAGACCGAACGACTTATCAGTCTTGGTCATACGTCTATCCAAAATGAAAAGCACCAATGGGGCTTTCAGGTTGATGAAATCGAAATCATGGGCCTCATTGACAGGAAATCGGTATAGCTGGTTGGCTAGTGGACGTTTTCCTATATCTAGATCACACACCAGATCGGAGCGTTTCTTGGTCTGGAACTTAAAATGGTTCCAGCCATACAATCGTCTCAAATATTGTCCAGCCATGTAGCGGGATATTCCAATGGTGCACCAGACATCGTTCAAAGAGTAGGGCAAAACATTGATACCTGAATATTGCTGAGAAAGAGCAACGGCAAGCGTTTCTGTTGCTTCAAACATTGGCTCAATCAAATTAGGTCCGTAAAGGAGGTCGGTGTTGGCAATAGTCAAACCAGCGAATCCACAAACCGTTGCTGGTAGATCATCAATAAACACCAGCGAATAGCTGTTGAATGGAAACGATCCAAACTCATTGGAGTAGAAGTCCAGTGCTTTGGGAAGAAACAGGCATGTGTTCAAGACCTCCGCCTTTCTTCCAGGCATATAATATACATTCAAGGGCATTTGGGATGTCCCAGGTTCCCCAGCAGATCCATCATCTGCAGTGGCTGGTGCTGAAAAGATATCGTCCTCGCCCAACTTCAATATGGGCATGCTTTCGAACGCCCCGACTGCAAAACCAATGTGGTGGGCAGCAGACGGGTTGTGAAATTGAAAACCAATGATCTTTTTGCCCATATCAATCTGATGAGGAAACTCCTTCATACTGACACTATCGGGACATACCACGACAAATTCTCTGTCTAGGTAAGCACTATCATCCAGCTGAGCCTGGTCTTCAGTCTCCTGGGCATCATCGTTTTCAGCATCGTCGTCGTCATTTTCCATGAGATTACGTTTCCTCATGGCCAACTCAGCCTCTTTGGTACCAATGATCTTAGTCTCTCCGATGTCACGAATGGTTTTGGGAACAGATATGCTCACTTCCCATGCAGGTCTTTCTTGAAAATTATCAATGCAGGGAACCCAAGAGCTTGCACTGCATCCAAGATCGCTATTCGACGTGTAGCAGCACCATTTCTCTTTCGGTATATTGGTGTGCAGGCCACCGTGAAAGAGAACACCTTCCTTCGGGCTTTTGACCTGATAAACGATTTTCAAGGTCAAGGGTGTGTACACCCTCTCTGCTCCAGCCAGGGAATTGGCTGTAATCGGAGTGTTATGCGTTGACTTTCCAGTAGCTGGAGATATTGTCGACAGAGCATTCGGATCGTGTAGCCTGAGTTTCAGATTCTCTGGAAGAACAATTGTTAGATTCTCAGTCTCCTCTATGGATACCGTGGATGCGGAATCCGGGTCATTGTTGTCTGAAAACAGTGGATGAAACTTTCCTCTGTATAAATGGTGCTGTTCAATGGAAATGGTCTCGGAGGCCACATCATAACGTTCGTTGAACTTGTAGTTGTTCCTCAAAGTTTCGTTTTCCAAATCGTTCTGATACTCGTCGTTTTGCAGGAAGTCATTCAGCATGTACTGACACCTCTTATTGTTCACAAAGACTTCCCTTATCTGGATTGCCCTGCAGTCCAGTTTTATCACCCTGAGTCCAGGACTCAATGGCAACACCGTTATCTCGGTCTCTCCATCAATTGTTTGCGTGGCTAGGTTGATGTCCACAGTCACCTTTTGAAGCGCAACTTTTAGAGGCTGCGATGAGTAATCAAACTCTCCAATGTGATGCTTACTCTTCCGCGGAGTCGCATACGACTGCACAGAAGGATAATCACCGATTGACGAAGGCATGCTAGAACTTTAGCGAGAAGTTTTCGACGTGACTCAAAACACTGGAGGAGATCACAGAGTCGTCGGTGAATCTCCACTGGAAGTTACTGGATCCCAAAAATCAATCAGCTGGCTCACCAAGTCGTCCACTAAAAACACCCAGACTATTAGAAACTTGCCTGCTTCGAACAAAGACTGTAGTTTTCGCGTATGGCCTTGCTTTTGAGCCTCACCCAGAGCACACTCTTTGAACTCGTTCCCTGCATTATGTCACCAGACGGGGCTGCGTAACCAAGGCGGGCGAACGTGTCGTGTCCTGACAGCTGATCAAAGCGAGTGCCAGCTCAAGACCTTGAGAGTTTGATGAAAACAGTGTGGTTTAGTCGTTACTACAAGCCAGGAATATAATTTATTTCGTGGTTGGAGTGCTCAATCAGTTGTGGTTGTGGGTGAATTCTGATTTTCAACTTGGAATTGCGGAATCAACGAGGTTTTAAAGTTAGTGTTCCGCTTGGTGCTCTATATTGTCTTGTCATCTAATCAAGTTAGGCATATCCCTTCTCGGTTGACCAATTTCGCGAGAATTGGATTGAAAACAAAGCTCAACCTTGTCAAGAGACCGGATTTGATTCTTTCCTTAATTTCATCTTGATTTGGCACATTTGCAACTCTCGGGTGACGTGATCGTAACAAGTCACTTTGGGTCGGCATACACATCAAATTAGCCCTTCACATAGAATACGCATTTTACCATGGAACAATCGGGGAATGCACTGTTGCTGAGGTTTATCAGCTCTTCGCAATTCAACCTGTACCACTGCATAGCATATCTCCAGAAATATGCCGACAACATTGGTATTCACTACCACCTGTGCCAGAGAGCTGCGACATATCCTATAGACGAGCTCAAGTTCTTCATCCCGCAGTTTATAAGGCTGTTGGTGACTGTGGAAACTGACTCAATGGCATTGGAAGAAC